ATCCACGTTCTTGAAAAACCGAACCAATGAATTTCTTTGAATAGTGTCATATCTCGAAAATTATAAATTCTGCAAAACCGAGACACTGAGATAGGCCGGTCACTTGGAAGTGAATGCCTGAAGCTATGGCACCACAAACAGTAGACGGAAAGAGGCAGGCCTAGCGAAGATGCCTTAAGAGTGCTGGAAGATTCCGAACTAGAAGTGAGTGGAAGAGGCTAAGATCCACAATGAGTTGTAGCGCCTCTGGAGGATGATGATATCTCATTAAGAGTATACACTATACATATAAAACTTATGCACTTTGCTGGCGTCCCAAAGTACCGACATATAGATATAGTAAATTACATTATATGTGTGTGTCACATGTGGAGATCCAAGTAGAGAACAATGCGCACATTGTTTGTGAGGACGATAGCATCTGCGTCAGATTATTACGCCCGTTTTATTTTTATACTTGTTTTGTGTTATCAGCCAGCTATTTACCCACATAAATACTTTTTTGTTAACCTTGTTGGAATCTGCTGAAAGATTCCCTCGACCAGTGCCTCCTTGAATCTTGAATCTGATAACACATTTTCTACAGTATACAAAAATTATGCTAATTCCAAGAACACAAATTAGATTAATTGCCTGCGTTTCACAATCGAAAAAACATTAATAATTGCAAATTATTTCGATTTAGAAGAAACACATCTGACTTAATAATTCAATTTATTAGCATTAATATTTGTTAAGTTCGTACATAAAGATTTAGAAGCTAATTTTGTTATAACCTAATTTCAGTCCAGATGCACTCCGGTCATTGACTCGAAATGCAATGTTCCGATCATTGTGCAGTAATCCGTAAATCATTTCATCTTCAGCTAAACCATGATATAATACATGTGCTTACATATTTATTATTTGTTGGTATTTAATACGAAATCATTTTGAGTATGAAAAACACATAAATAATACAGATCGAATCTTTTATTTATTGTATTATAAACCTGTTATAATGTTATAGTAAGACTTAACTAGCATACGTCCAATAAGCACGGATGGCATTTGACATTTCCCACATCAACAATTTATAGACGTCATCGCGCGTTTTAGCGGGAAAACTTTTATTTTTATCGATATGATTGAGCCATAATGGTGTTAAGTGTCAAAAATTTGTTGTGATGTACTCAGTATTTACAGTATTTACTCTCTTCTATAATCGTTGTCTAAATTTCTTGTATATTAATTATTTTTTTCTAATTACTACATACTTTCGAATCGTCCATTTGTCTACTCATTTAATAATTACATGCAATATATTGTTCTCAAGGTAATGGAATGTATATAGCGAGTCACTTGCTTTATTTATCAGAGCGTGGGGTTATTTACATTGAATTACACAAATAACACTTATTACATACAAACATTGATGCCACAACCCTTCATTGGTTTCACATTTCTGTATCTGTTTCTCTATATAAAGAAGAGTACTTGTCTATGTAGACTAGTCTTCTGAACCTGACATGTTGATTTTTGGTTCCAAGACGTAATACCTCAATGTTTTTCCATTATCAAATGAAATTTTAAAAATAAGAGTGTGAACGCATAATGTCTAACTCTATATAGAAATTATGTTTCAATTACTAACATGCATTTAACAGTTTTATTATTTAAATGTTTATTGTATTACATTTATTTTTATTGAAATATCGAAATTTATTAATTCATTTACAGCATTTAACAAAAAATATAATAAAAACAGTATCATTAAAATAATTAATATATATATAATATTATTAAGAATATTATATATAATATTATATATATAATATTCTTAATGGAGTAGGAAGAATCAATAACTCAATAAGTATTTTTATATTTATTTAAATAAATAATAAACAAAACAATATATGACGGTGGAGCATAAATTTAAAACTTTTGCGTCCACCGAAGCGTCGACATTCATAAAAATAATATTATGTATAATTTGGTTAACATTTAATAAAAAATACTAAATAAAATATAACCTACTACTATAGTCTGTTATAGGTATAATATCTGGATAATATAACAGGCAATTAGTAAGCCAAAGATGGTGTACAACTGGGGTCAATTCTCGGCGTAATACTGTTTCATATTAAAAGTTTTTCTGAATTATGATAAAATACTTATTTTTAAATCGCACGATACTGGTCAAGAATGCGTTAGAAATGAGACGTTCCGTTATAATGGTACAAGGTCAGGAAAACACGCGAACAAAGTTGAATAGATTTTAATGGAATCTTAAGTAAAGATTGTCACACATCATAAGAAAAACTTATTAATAATTATTGTCAATAAAGTTGTTATTAATTAATTCTTACTCATTCTTGGAATAGCCAAATGAGTATCATACCAAAAAAAATTGTTATTTATCTTTCTTTTTTTGATTATTATTATTATTTTGTGCGTTTCTGTGTGTGTTTCGTTAGTAATAAATGTTACGTCTATGTCAATGTCGGTAGTCACTATTTTATAATCTGAAATTGTTTTTAAATTCTTGTCAAATAGCGTATGGAAAATCCAAGCGAGTTGTTGCGTTCGAGTTGGCAGACATCATATTTATGTATTTTTATTTAAACATCAAATTATAATGTTAGTAAAAGCAATTAAACATGAAAGTTAAGTGATTTAACATTTGAACCTTTTTAAAAGATACATTTAATTAACGAGTCGAATGCATGAATATGACGTTAATTAAATGCATGACGGCACGAGATGCATTCTTTTAACCGACTCCAAGAAAGAGGAGGAGATTATTAATTTGACGTGTAATTTTTTGTCTGCATAGCTCCGTCCGTGGACCGATATAGACAAGTGAATCGAATTTGGGCTATGGCAGTCCAATTGATTGTTTTAAGATAACAACTGAAATATCCCATGAAATTATATTTTAGTAAAAATTTAAGTAAATTTATTTAATAAAATCTACTAAGCCTATTACTAAATAGGCTTAGTAGATTTGTTAGACCTATCGGCGACTTTTCCATCTAGAAATGCCGATGAGTGCTTACAGCAGTTACTTAAAGTTAATGAAGCGTTAAGCCAAGTTATGGTTATAAAATCTTTATTTATATTACAACTTTAAAATATTACATACATCTAAGTAAACCTAATTTGGCTATGCTGTGTGATGGTGTAAAAGTAAGGGTATGGACGTGAAGGTGTGTATGTGGGGTGTGCTCATGATGCAGGTTACTTAGCGCTATGGATATACTTAATACTCCTTTTAAAAATGTTCAGCGATAGCTGAAACAAGTCAAGGCTTAAATAGTGGTCCAATCTCTGGGCTGCGCGATATAAAACAGTTTGTTTGCTTAGTTGGTGCTGATGTGAGGAACTTGAAACAAAGCTACGAAAGTAGGCAGAAAGAAATAAAGAAAAGTATGCAAAGACAATTAAATTCTCTTTGGTCATGTTAAAATGTGTTATCCGAATGCGATACTCTGCATAGAATACTGGCTCTTTGACATGAAAAAACATATTGTCTATGCGGATTTTACACAGGTGTTCGATTAGGCATGCATCTCTAAATGGCGGTCTAAAATTCTACTTACAGACATTTTCCTTTACCTACTTAATATAGTCGAATCGAAGAGAATATAAGTTTTGTAGCTGATTAAAAATCGGAATTTATTTTCAAATAAGTATTTAGTTTACCACGTTTATAAGATCCAACATGGCTGCGAATAAATAATATCAAATCGATAATTGCAAAGCGATTTTCAATTGTTATTTGTGGTACCTGTGTAATTTTTCTTGGAGTATTATTTATAGTAATAAATATAACTAATAAGGCACCAGTGTGAAATCGAGACGGGTCAATATTGTATGAATAGCGTTAACAAAAAGTTATCTGTCAAGGTCACAGACAACCGGCTGTTACCTGCCAAATAAGACTCGTGTCAACAACCTCTAAATTTCTTTAAAACCTTAAGAGGCCTTATGTCACGTGGGTGCTTAAATCACTCTAAACTAAACAAAAACCTTTTGCTTTTTTCGGGTTCTGTCATCCACACAGACTATCAACTAGATCGTGTATAGTTTAGTAATTACTACGCACTTCATGGCCACCGGTAACATTCTATTTCCACATAGGACATAAACCATTTGGCGTCGTAATTTCTGTAATTAATTAAGTAATAATAAATGTTACGTTTACATTTATATAAACAGTCAAACCTGGATAAATGAGAGCTTAAGGGACCGCGACCTCTTTTTCTCTTATAGAGATTTCTCACTAACCCGAGTTTCTAGTTTACAAGTACAAAAGGGTTCTGTCACATAAGAGGTCTATAAAACTATAGAAAACAATAACAGACGCACAATTTGGTTTGAATTAAATAAGACTTCGAAATTTAAGAAAGAGTCTGCGTTTAACTGTCACTTATAGAGGTATAGGCAAGTTCAATATCACTTATAGAGGTTCACGCGTCAAAAATGACTGTCACTTATGCAGGTTTCATGTTTCTCACTTTTAGAGATTTTAGGAGGGTATAATGAAGGGACCCGGTAAATACTCTCATTAATAGAGTTCTTTCGGTTACTCAGTTGTCACTTACTCAGGTTTGACTGTATACTCATATATATGTATTGAAAAAAGACGCGATGTATTGCAACGCAAATTCTATTATGTATATTGTTATATACATAATAGAATTTGCCTATTCTTTTTAATTATTCTTTGGTCCAATAGAAGGAAACAATTTCTTTGATATCTTACAGCACTCTCCTGTTTAATGCAATAACGTGAGAGTACACCTAACAATACGCTCTTTATAAAAAAATATTACACACGTTCATTATAAAGTTTCACTATCTACCGAGAAATTAGCTCATATTCAAGTGACATAATCACTAAACGAATGAACCAAAATCGTACCACATTCAATTACGAATGCAAAATACTTGATACACTCACGTCTCGTTAATTGTTTCAGATGGCGTAGAAAACCGGTCGGAGAGATTCAACACAAATGCTTTTTAACAACCTAATGGAAGGTGAAGCAATTGCAGCAAATACAATCATATCATCCATAAAAAACCTTAACACCGATGGAAAAGATCGTGGCACTATTAAAGCGCTTTTAAAGAATTTTATTTTACCAGAAACAGATATGGCTATCAAACATAAACATAGTCTAAGCGAAAAATGTGTTTACACAGTGCCAATGAAACCACCAATGTCACCTTCATATCAACGGAAAACAGTGAATGAAGCGAAGCAAGCATTTTTAAATTCCACTCTAAAACAATCAAAAGGACACGGACAAGCCAGACAAGAACCAACACTGCATTATGCACAAATAGCGATTACTACTAGTGATGACACTCGAAGTACAGGTGGGGGAAAAGACGTTAATGTAAAGCTTAATCCTAAAGATAAATCTAATCCAATAGACATTCCAGCTTCGATGAAGAAAAGAATTGAACAGCAACACAGAAAAGTTAGTTTTAAAATCAAGAATGCATCTACCTTACATCGTCGTCCGCCGATTGTAACAACAATGACTATAACCAGTAACAAAGTTTCAGAATTAACTAAGAAGTTCAATGATTTAGTTAACAATAGTTCATCCGGAATAGTCAAACAATCAAAATTAGTTAAAACATTTGAAGACTTACAGACGGCATATTCCGCTAGTAACAGCTCAACACCATCATCAACACTAAGTTCCAGTCCAAACATTAAAATTGTTGTACAAAGACATAGGAGAGGTTCAAGAAAACGTAACAGTAGAAAAAGATGCTCTAGTATGGATTCTATCGATAAATTAGTCCTTTCTGACAATTCCAATAGCAAAATTCGCGTGATACGTTCGAAATCTGATGGGAATAGAATTCCAAAATCACCTAAAAAGCGTTTAAAATATCCTGATTCAAATGGTCAGAGTGGATCAGACTCTGTTGATGGCAGTCCAAGTAAAATAATAAGTAAAACAGAGAGCCAAAAACAGAGCAATGTTGTCAAAAGCGCTATTAAAAAGTTTGAATGTGAAATAAATGCTCAATCTAATCAAACGAATACGTTGCAAAGAAATCGAGGGGTTGATGTAATAACAAATAAAGAAAAACCAAAAGTACCTGAAAAGAAATCATCACTTGTAGTAACAAAAAATCTTGTACTTAAAGATGGTGTACCTAAAATAAAAACAATTAAACCTGTTCTAGTCGACTTATCAACTAAACAAGTTGTTAATATCACTCAATCTGAATCTTTTAAAAAGAAAGAACCAATATATGATAAGAAGAAATTTAAAACTAATTATATTCATTCGGAGAAGTTACCATTACATGTAGTTGAAATTATACAGGAAGAAGGCAGTGGACCTTCTGTTGCTACTTCAAATAATGATAATGTATGTGAATCTCTTACAAACAAAGAAGAAAAACTACAACTAGAAGACATTGAAAATTCAATAACGCCTAATGAGTCATTTCTCTGGAGGCGAAAAAGTATCCAAATGTATTCAGATTGTGATAAACCAAATTCTGAAAATTCTTATGGATTTGTAAGTATTATAATGAATGATTCGTCTGGATCATGTACTGATGAACAACCAAGTACCACTTTGCAAAAAGATGAATCTCAACCGAGTGATAATTCTGAATCTCAAATAATTGAAATTAATCAGTCTCAGAACGCTTCTGACTTCGAAAGTAATTTAATAGAGGCTTATAACAGAGAAGTGTTAGTCGGTTTTACTTCAAAACCTCCAAAAGACGAGGTGGAAGATGACTATGAAATTTTAGAACCTCGAGACGATAACGTTGTAGTTGTCACAGTCAAGAGCGATAGAGTTTCAAAAATAAATTGTCCCCTTCCAGAAATTCCAAAAGTTGAAGAAAGTCCGCCCGTAGAAAATATATATCAATGCCTTTTAGAAATGAGGTCACATCCAGAAGGCGACGAAAGCAGTCTTCATAATTATGAAACATGTGGTAGTCAACTTGAGGAAAGAACTAGGGGAGATGGTGATAGTGATGATGGTTACGAGTATTGTAAGTCTCCTGTTAAACCATATTGCCATGCGTCTAGTTCTGGAATTCAAATCGCTGAAAATTATAACCCATATGCATCTAACAATAAGAACTATTCCATAACGAAATCTGTCAGTGGCGCTTCAACAGTTAGTTACGAGAAAATAGGTTCCGATAGAATCTATGAGCGCATACCGCCTCGTCCTCCAAAATCAAAGGAAAGCAGTCCAAAAAATAAAAGAGATTCAATAATATCAGATTACAATGAAACTGAAAATATTTACGATTCCATCAAGCATCCAGATGGTGTATCTTTATCGCATTGCTATGAGAGCATACCCAATAGCCCAAGCATGATTAAACTGAATACCGTGAAAAAGCAATTGCCTTCAGCTGTTCAGAAACGTCTTTCTTTTGATAACGTATCAAACATAAGCCAATCCACTGTATCAAGTGAGCAAAAGACAAACAGTATTTATGGCCAAAGATCTGTCTTAAGTTATAATGGACAGGAGGTACTCTTCCAAGTACCCAGTAGCGAGACCAGCGTTAGTGATCGAAGCGACAGGAGTGATGACTGGGTAGACATATCTGATGAGGAAAAGACTGAAGAAAAGAAGATTATCATGTATGTTTTTTTTTAATATTCTACATTATTTCTAAGGCCAATGCCTTTTTATCGTTTAATTTTTAGAATTAAAATACCAATAAAAAAATCTGCATTAATAAGAAGTAATAAAGTAAATACACTAGTTTTTTTATAGTATGAATGGCTGTAATCTAATGACCCAATAAAATCCTGTATATCACTGAATGCATAGCAAACATTCTTATCTTGATAAAAGCTTTCATAACATTCAGTGTGTCAAAAGCAGGGATATGGATAATACATATTCGTACCTAGTACAATTAGCGTTATGTCTTTCAGTGTCCAAGAAAGGAGCCGTAGGAAGGGCCTCGCATGGTCTCAGAAAGTGAGACACCAATGGCAAAATTCTCCTAAACAAAGCGAAAACAAAGGTATGTGTTACTTTAAAATGTTCGACTTGAATGTTCGGTTTCGAAAGCAACAAATCATATTTACTTAAACTGAACAGTTGCAGTCCTAACTATGCACTAAAAATACTCAGACATATTGTATGAGTTCTGAATTCATCTTTTTACTTTACAACGCCATCTATGGAGCGTTCAAAGTACTGTATTCGATTACGCCAATGTAATTACATTGGCTATAAATAGAGGGCGCTGAACCAAGTGAAATTATTTTTAATTATTATGAAACCAAATAAATAAATATTATATATTTCCTAGCAAATTGCCCGTCACTTACCTAACAACTATAATAATGGTTATTACATATTCAAAATAACTTTCAATTGTAGACTGGCTTGTCTGTGTTAATGAATATTCATAACAATAATGCAAAATAATTATTGCCCTGTGAAAAGTGTATTTGGTGGGTTGATTTGTAATTGGTAATTGCTTATATCGGGTTATATGTTGGTTACTTAAAAATATTTTAGAAGCTTTGTAGACCATTAATGGCCCTTAATACATTTTCAAGAGTCGCCATTTGATAAACATTATTCTATAGAAAGTTTGTCAAATATATCTCGAAACACGAATTGCCATACGGACCATTCATAACTTTGTACTTCATGTTTATGTCTCTTAGAACTTTTAGCTAGTAACTTTCCCATTCGGGAAACTTGGATTTGACAAGTATATCATAATAATGTGTAAATTGTGAACGCGTGGGCGCAGGAATTTGTTTATTTGCTCCAACACCTACTTAAGTACCGTGTATCAAGTATTATTCACCTCGAAAATTATTAAAACTTAAAAATATTATTCGCATTGTCTGTGTATAATGGGAGACAAAAAAATTTCAATATTATTTTCAGCCTACTTCAAATCCTTAAGTATGTAGGTTTATAATAAGGTCTGCTTAATTGTCATATCAATATAATCCTATGAATATTTATAGTGTCATACAGAATTTATCATTAAATTTATTGAAACACCATATTCTGTTTATCGTATGAGGATTTTGACTTACAAAAATTTTTTGTATCTGTATAATTACACCCAACACGCCGTGAGCTGTATGATATTGATTTCAATAAACAGGTCACATTACTTGCCCTACAAAAATATTGTTACCTAGCGACACACGATATAGACGTTTTTTATAATTAATTATTTTTAGTGTAGTATCTAGGTTTAGGGCTTGTATAAACTATCTTCGCTTTAGCTTCTTAAATTTCGAAATGGTAACCTAACTTTCACGGGTAGACAATAATCCTAAGGTTGGCCTACTTGTATGTATATATATACATATGTCAAAATTAAAAATCTTGTGCGAAATGTATACACATACACACCCTCACGTAGGAGTACATACCCTGGCTAACACACCATCACACAAAACACCCGCATTAAGTATACTTAGTTAAATGTATTTAATTTTTTTTCGTAAGCTTCGTAACTGTTTGAACCGTTATACGTACATATATTAAAGACTATAAAAGTAATCAGCTGTTGTCGTGACCGCCATCTTGTTTTACATTATTAATCAACACGCTGGCTTTCGGTCAGAAAGATAGTTAAACGTTTTCGACGCTGCTATATTGAAATCAAAACGCTAGCGACTGGATTGAATATCGATATTTAATTAAATGTCTAGAGATTCAATTAACTCTCTGATTTAACTACTTTACTACGACATATATATTATTTCTCACTTCATTTTTGGCTATATATCTAGTATAATTGTTTCTCGTGATATAGTTTAAGTTAGCTGTAGGAGTGTCAAATAAATATAACTAAAATATTAAATGTGCATTTCATTTGTCTTCACAATGTTTGTCATGAGAAATATTGTCACACAAAAAAAGTTCTCTCACGATTTATAAGTAAGTTAAGACATCCTTGACATATACAATAAAATGCGTTTATTCTTGTAAACGTAGGCTTAGCCCCGTAGTTCTGTTATGTTTCTTAAGCTGAAGTTGCTAGATGCAAAAACAGTTCGAATGACAATACAAGAGCATTGTTGGCCTAGTGGCTTCAGCGTGCGACTCACATCGCTTAGGTCGTAGGTTCGATCCCCGGCTGTGCATCATCGACTGTCTATGTGCGCATTTAACATTCGCTCGGTAAAGGAAAACATCGTGATGAAACTGGCTTGCTTTAGACCCAAAGAGTCGAAGGCGTGTTAGTTAGGCTGATCACCTACATGCCTATTAGTGAAAACATGAAACAAATACAGATTTAAGCCAGACCTTAAAAAGTTGTAGCGCAACTGATTTATTTATTTTTATAACCATAAATATCATTCAATTGATCATCTGACAGCGCAACTCGTACGCAACGATTGCAAATAATGATGTACCATTTCGTTAAGTGGAGTTTCATAATTCTGCTATTTAGTGCTTGACCAGTTTAAGTTTACCAATTTACTTCTCACAAAAACATATAGTATACGTTAGTTCACTGTTCATTGGTTTTTTTCTATATAGGTTAATTATTTATGAACGCGAGGAAACAGAGGTATCCAACACGGCTGTAGAACATGTAGAACCATGATGTATCCAAAAATTGTTAAGCTATCTATGACTATCAAACTCTTAAAATCACCTTCCCAGAAGCTATAGATCACTGCCGTGTAATGCTTATAAGAGGAATGTGAATAAATTTTTAAATGCAAGGCGCCTTTATACAATGGGAGATTATAACTTAAGGACCTATCTGGTCGCCAAACTCCAAAAAAGTACATTGTTTCTTTCGTCTTTCGTCATCGTTTCTTGAAGTAGGACGAATGGAAAAAATATATGGTGGAGTAGCTTATGTATCCATTTTGAAAGTCGATACACGATTTAAATAACTTCGCTCGATAGAAAAAAATCCAAACATAGCCAATATTTGACACTTTGAATTCATTTTATGACCAAAATATAGAACATAAATTTTGAAATTTACACGATTTATTTTATCGCAAGCCAAGTAACCCATTTCAAAAAAAATGTTAAAATTACATTAATTTAATATTTAACATAACTAAATGTTATTACGGGCCGGCGCGGCGCTCCTCAGTGCTCCAGCTCTCCACTGCGCCCCGCAGTCCACCCCGAGACACTGACACAGCAATTCGTGCTGGGATAGGACCTTAACAGTTCTTATTATTATGACAGTTGATAATTAATAAGACATTTGCATGCCAATTATTATATGGCTGATTGTGCAGATTTAGATTAATCAATCTGAATGTATGACTTTCTTTGCAAATAAACGATGTATTTAACATGTAAAACGCATGTATAACTTTTAAATTTTGATTTGAAACAATTACTATTTCGCCGGAAATTAGCGGACGTCCGGATTAAACCGGAATTAAAATCGGGTTACTGAGAGTTGAAACTATCAAACTTTTATCCCCTAGAGATAATATCACGTTGAAGTTTTTTATTAAAAATAAATAAATTAGTGGTCAAACTTTTTACGTTTGGGCCTCAGATTTCTGTATCTGTTTCATGATCATTTGTCAATCTAACGCAAGTAGGTGTTCAGCCTCCTGTGCTTGTCAACTTTTTTGGATCTAATGCAAGCCGGCTTCCTCACGATGTTTTCCTTCACCGTTCAAGCGAATATATTAAATGCGCACATATAAAGTCCATTGGTTCACAATCGGGGCTCGAACCTACGATCTCGAGGATAAAATTCGTACACTGTAACTATTAGGCCACCACTGCTTTTGAACTTTTAAATTATACTTCAGAATATCATGATCATATAATTATAGGTAATGAACACCTCTGAACAGCATAGTTTTACAAATCAAATGGATAAAAATAACTGGCAAGAAACACTTCGCCATTCTTTTTAATATCCAAGTTGGCAAATATTGTTGCCAGGTTTAATAATAAAAAATACTATTCCTATAAATTTACTAAGAAGTATGATAGATTTGAGCATTCTCTTCGCGTGATTCTCACATTCACTTATTTTTTGCTTCATCGTAGTTTCTAATATCGTATGCGTTGTGGGAAAACAATCTATTGATAGATTTACTCATACTATATGCTATGAACATTTATAAGCCCTAGATTCGCCGTCAACATATATGTATATAACCCTATCAAAGTTACAATTTTGTAAAGGAAAATTGATACATCCGCTAAAGATATTTCCCATAATGCACAGAAGGCAATATGGCAAGATTACGTGGCCGTTCACCAACCAGTTGGACCGATCAAGTGATTCATCGCTCTCAAAACTGTGCACTGTTTTGAGGGCATAAGAGATGCGCTATCCGCTCCAGATGTTTCCTTGCTCACCACGACGCTCAGACATGAGCTACTAAGGAAATAACTAACATAATTCTTTCATCTCTCTCCAGCCAATTGTACTTACGCTGTGATAAAAGAGACAGGTACTTTATGAATTAGGGAGTCATACAAATAATATCGCTTTATCTATATTACTTCCATTTCATACTAAATTGCACATTTATTACGAAGATTAAATTTATTATTACTTGTCAATGCACTTTAATACAATATTAAATATCATCGTATGGATTTTGTTTAGAGACAATATAATCTGAACAAGCCGCCATATTATTCACATTCCAACCATTCTTTAACATTATGTAACAAACGCTATTGATTTCATGTTAGTGCTCAGTTTCGTTATCGAAATTACATGAAAGGTAATAATAGCTTTTGATGTGTTAATATACATATTGTCAATCATTTCTATTAATGTTGTTTTATTATATTTTTTCATAAATGCATAGTATATATTTATAAACCAATTTCTGGAGCATCATGTAAAAATAAAAGTTTCTCTAAATATATAATAATTAAATCTAAGTCTTTAGAGCAACAATAACTAATGCCCAATTAGTTAACGACCGATTTACGGAAGTAATTATAGCAGTAGAAGAATTCTGAATTCAATGCAAGTACAAGTACAATCTCATTTTAAATATCATGTAGGACAATTTGCAACAGTGCAATCGATCTATTAACATGGTCGCTTATTGCAAAATCTAGATACACGTAGCCGGAAATTGCCTGATGCACGATGCAATCTGCACGCCCTGAATTTTAATATTGTTATTTTTTTGTACAGCAGATTTTAGTTAAGCGTACGATTTTAGAAACGCGAGCTTAGTCCCTTCGACCAGTCGTAGACAAATTGATTTTTTAGATGAGGGAAAATATCGTGAGGACTGGGCAAATAAAACTTATTACCTACTAATGAAAAGTCTAACAGACAGAAATGTACAGTCACCCGTGTACACCCGTTTTCATGTATATTGAAGATATAGATTATCAGTCCTCATAAAAAAGTGGCACTACAACCTTTTTAGGTCTGGGCCTTTAGATTACTGAGTAATGTCTGTTTAAAAATCATTTGTCAATCTCATAAGTCATAGGCAAATAATAAAAATAAAAGTAAAACAAATTTAAAAAGTTTGTTCCCTGTGGCAGTGTATCTTTAACGCTCGCAGTTCTTCTTCCCTGTATTGCAATTATTATTCGTTGAGCGAGGAAAGCACCAGCTCTGGACACCGATACTATCTACCAGGCACCAACTTAAATCTTTAATTAGCGCCTGTGAACCCCACGGCCCAAGAGTCTCTACTCCATAGGGAACAAAATCGAAGTTGGGAATAAAAATATATTTTATCTGTTCATTACGCCACAGATGTAATGCATTTCTGTAATTATTCATGTTCCAATAACTCAGACAGTATTCGTTTACTTGTTACGTAAATCCTAACATTTACATCTCAATAGGTACTAAGAATAGAAATAAACCTGTTTTCTGAAATGCGACTCCGATGCCGGTCGCCGGCTGCAGACAATCAGACCAATTGGCTAATATTAATTCATTTTACAATGCTTCTAAGGGAAAGCTTGTTATAGAAGTATTTTCGAACGAGACTTAAAAGGCCGGCAACGCTCTTGCGAGGCTTCTAGCAGTGAGTGTCCGGTATCACTTAACATCAGGTGAGCCTCCTACCCGTTTGCCTCCTGTTACATATAAAAAATAGAACCTCGAAAGGACTTACTTACTTGATATACGCTTTTGGGAACCAGATATTCTTGACGCTAGTGTAACTTTTTTTACTGTAAAATTAGATGAATGAAGTTATTGTTGGTAGAGTTCATGATGTATTTAATTGCTTTGCTTTGTTCCATTTGTTTATCTCTTATGTAGTTTTGCACTTCTTGCTTATCAAATTCTTTTTCTCACATTGGTTGCTTGCAGCTCGAAAGCGATAAGGTCGCCAGATCCCTTTTAATTAATTGTTTTAATTGTACTGTATTAAAGTTAATTGTCACCTTTGTAGACAATCAGTATGCATATAAAGGAGATTTTGATATATTGCTAGCAATAAATTGTTGTTACTATTCCTTTCCTAATCTGTAAGATGTCGTAATAAATTTGGAAGATACTGAAGTACGTATATATACGATATACGTATAATATATTATATCTGTGACGTACGCTGAAGTCTTTCAGTTATACAAAACTTTTCCACTATCACTATTAAAGTGAAAAATCTATTTCAATCACTTGAAAATGATTAATATTTAATCATATTTTTTATAAACAACTTAGAATTTATAATGATCCACAATGTACACCATGTATGGATGTTTAGCTTGCCATTTTAGTTGTATACGTATTTCAATGACCATATAAACGAAACGAAACTCTCACAAAGTAAACAATAGTTTTTTACCAGTAAAATTACTAGGTACATCGAAAATAAAGTCATTATCTAGAAACGTACCGCGCGTGCGTGCGTGGCCATGATTTAAGATTACAAACATGGCGACTCTAACAACGCACGAGTTTGTTTCCTTGCAAGACAAGTTAGGGGTGATACCTAAATGGACAATTCAGGTGCGCCCACGCAGGCGCATACGGAGGGAGAGAACGTCAACGCGAGTAGGCCCTGCGCTGCGCTAGCGAACGGACGCGTCGTCGGTGCTCCGAGAGTGAAAGTGATACAAAAATTCCTCAAACACGAAATCCGTTTTCAGAAAGTCGTCTGTGTCTCGAAAACCTGATGTGTTAACTGTGATGCAGTGCGTTTAACCCTATTTACTTTCACACGTATAAGATCATTTCGTCACGGCTCAGTTCGGTCCATTAAAGTTACGATGTGTTGCCTCATCCTTTATCTACCGGCGTTTTGAAAATGTACTTGACTTACAAACATAATATTTGCAACATGACTCTTGCGAAATATCAACATTGAACCTTTTATAATGGCTTCGAAACCGGCTCAATTTTAATAATCATGAGGCAATTAGAATAGATTTTGATAGGATTAAAAAAAACATTATTAATTTAAACAAGACTTGTTATTTACGCGATTAAAAACGTTATGAATATATTTGAATTAAACGATTTAAATTGGACCTTTTCAAGTGATATCAATTTTCAGATAGGAACATAAGATTTCTTATGTAATAAGTAAATAGGGTCTAATAAGATAGCGTGTACCATCCCACAGTTTCAACCCACTAGCCCTTGACCAACCGGAACCGTTGATACGAAATCATTGCACACTTTTGCATGCAAGATTTGCATACACAATTTCCTACATCGTTTCTTGTCTGTCAAGTACATAATAGCGTATTTAAACGTTTTATATTCAGCTTTTGTTATATAAAAATGGATACAGTATATAGAAATTCGCGGAACAACTGCACCTATTGTGTTGCAACTCGAAATGCTCTGATTGCAATGCCATCACCATTCATAGCTTCCATTTCACAATGTAACGGTTCGTTGGTTAACCATACGTTACGGCCCTTGGAGCAAAATTTTACCAATCGTTAATAATATCGAATATCTACAATAGTTTACAATAACGTAGCATTGAAACCGAGAAAAAATGAGAACTTAATACCACAATTACCCGTTGACCCTGAGCCGGACCGACACGTTTTCCTCCGCCTTACTGTGATATATAAAATGTAAATAAATTTGCTTGTCAAAGATATTTGTGATACTGATTACATATTTAATAAAACTAGCTGCTTCGCAAACGTTGTTTTGCTATGTATATTATTTCTAGGAAACATGTTTTTAGTTCAATAAAAATAACTATCTACTATAATAAAAACTAGGGTTTGATCGTAGAGGGAAAATTAAGGGTTGTATGTATTATTGTAAAGAAAATAAAAACAATTTTTTTTTCTAAAAAATAAAAATGTAGATAGACCGGACCACTGTTAACAATTAGGGAGATGAAAAATAGATATTGTCCTATTCGCAGATCTAACCGATATGCACACAAAATTTCACAAAAATCGGTTGAGAATTTTATATATTAGATAGTAAATCTGATTCGTTTCAAGACATTTGTAAAGTTAAGAAATACATGAATAGAGTCGAAGATTAGGTTATCGAACATGACGATTTTCTGATTACAGTATGTGATATAATGTGAAGTGAAAATGGTGCAAAATGGTAGAAGAGAGGCCTCCAGTGAATGGTGGAATCAGTCCACCGAGGCCGCGGACTTTTCGAAGGAATTGTGGCGATCAAGGTGCTTTAGACTTATCTTATTTGGCCAGTGACGCGATATTTCTGACTCAACAGTTGAGAAACGAATTGCTTAATTTTTGACCATTCATAACTACTGTGAATAAGTTTGTACATACCAAAGACTAGAGAAATACATGTTTTATTACAAGTAATAAACGTTTTAAAGAAATAAATTTTAAGGAACATTTTTATTATTTACAAGATCAAAAAAAACGTGTGTGTACACGCGTTAGAAGTTATACTTCTTTGGCGTAACAAGATAAAAATCTATTCAAAAATTGTATTCTACGTTTGTAGAAAAAACGACACTAACAATAGAAAAACTAAAATGTTGACTATAGCTAACTTCAGGGTGTCGGTTTTGTGACGGTGTGCGCGCATCTTAAAAATTTACTCTCATCATTTTTCCCAAATGCGCCAAAAGAAGTATAACTTCAATAAATTTAAAAAAAATGTAAATTTAAACTCCTTTACTTGATCAACTATACAGAAATACGCCAAATGAAGTCTAAAGCGCCTTAATTTTCAGTATCTGTATCGTCACCAACAAAAGTGTATATTAAAACAAACGAAAAGTGTCCGTTCTATAGTGTTAATGACCAAGAGATAGTGAAGCCCATAGATAAAGTGAAGTATGTGGACTCGTTACAACAAAGCCATTGGCTGGATGTGAGGACCATTTTAAAAAATGGCGAGATCGAGGTACAGGATCTCGTGGCGTTTATTGGTACGTTTTATTTATAGAATTTTTTCTAGAAAAGGGTAGGTTCGGTTGTTAAAAATTTCTTAAAATGTTAGAATGTATTTATCGCTACTGTGACGCAAAATAAAAAAAACTAATAATAATGTTTAAAAATATTTTTATTTTTTAGGAATTGGTTCTTGGAGGAACCTTAGTCGAAATAGTTCGGAAATACTTCAGTGGGCAGGTGGTTCCACATAGTTAAGGTGCGCGGCAAAAAATGCCTTAAGAAACACTGAGTTGTGGAACGATGGACGTCGAGGTGATACGGATGGTATTTTGTATTCTGCCTTGACGTCCGATGATAAATTATTTACCTTAGAAAACAATTGCATGTTATTAAAAATATATAATTCACGGCTTTTCGTAAAAAAAATATTTTCATCAAGTATTACTTGACCTCGTTTCTGGAGCTTGAACTTCTCTGGTCTATTTAAAATAGGCATTAGATACAATGTAAAAAATATTGTTGTAAATTCATAAAATCTGATAAAAGCCAAGAGACTGATTGCAGATGGATAAAAAAGTTGTAAATTCAAAACCTTGCCACATTAAAATTATCTATTCTTTGATATTTCATTGTTTTGAAAACTTAACTCCATAATAAAATGTTAATTTTTGTTTTAATCGTAAAAAGCAATTCTCACGGAAACTGTGCTGCTATAATGTCTATACTATACGATAAGGCATTTCTCAAGCTCCTAATAAGGTCAACTCTTAGTTTTAAGAGGAAATCACTGTGAATGTTACATTTACTTACCAAATTTAATGTATTAATCGAGATAATTAATCAAATTTTTAAATAAAATTACATTCAATTTGACGAATCACGGCTCCACCATGTACCATGCAATAATATGAAATTAATTAAAACATAATTTGTGAAATGAATGAAAGAATCTAATCTAACTTGATCACAAACGCCACTTAGAATCAAACAAATAAAAAAACTAAACTAATGTAATTAAAATTATTAAGCCTTATTTCTCGTAAATGTTTCATTCAATGCACCAGTGTACATATTTATATAATATTTTACTAATATTTCTCTGTCTATATAAAATTCGCAACAGATATCGCATGACATATTGTGCAGGAAAACAATAAAAGTCGAAACCAACCTGCCAGTAATGAAAACCCATTTGATGAAGTCATGCTCAAATATCTGTGGTTAAATCAATGCCTAAAACATGCCAAACAATGCAAACATATAAGCCGCACATTTGGTATGCTAACTATCGCAAATGACTCAATACTGTCACGCGTGCCAAGACCTCTAACCAGTGGTAACAGTTTTACGTCAATCTCATAATAAAAGTAACGTTATGTATTTAATATTACTGAAATCTCAAAATAATAATGATAATTTAGCCTCATTTATACCTTGAAACTATATTTGCGTGTTTCCACGAGAATGTAAATGCTTGCTCCTGTTTCACCATGCCTCCTGCTGATAGAGGACAAATCTTTGTTTTTAATTTATTATTATTAATTACTTAAGATGTCATGTGAAACTTGACGATTAAAAAAAGTGGCGGAGAGTTTATTGCTAGTTCTTCTCTTCCATTCTACGACCTTGTTTTGAGAACTGGCAGTAAATGTAAAATTAGAAGCATTTCATATTTTTTTATTTTTTGACGTTCATAAGTCAAAAATTACTTACAGTCGTTCCTTACGTCATTTTGTTACCTATATGAATTTTGAATTACATATATTGAATAATTTTTTTAAAGCTTTGATGGAGTATTGGCCTCCTCCAACTGGCTCCATATCTTTCTATCTTGAGCCCTACCGTGCTTCGTGCAAAGTTAGGGCGACCTCTCTTTCTATTCCATGGTGGCCGTTTCCACCTTCCTACCCTGTTTGTCCATCTGCCATTGTTCATTTAGACAACCTGGGGTTCACAGTGAAGAAATACGTACTGTGGTGTGATGTTTTTGTACTTATATATTTATAAGCAATTTTAATAATAAAAAAAGATAATCAAGTTTTGAAACTTGAATTTTGAATCTGTACCTATATCTGTCATAGTATAAGGTGCTTGTGATATTTCCTGCATAAAACAGAAAAAAGATACGTTGTGTTTAATTTTGACTGAATAAGTGGCGAAATAATTAATTTAAACTTATTACTTTTCAAACATACGCTTCAGAAAAATATTTAATTTAATTTATGGAAATAATTAAATATTAAAACAAGTCTTCATTGCTTTTGCATGCCTGAATCAAGCGAATTAAATTGATCGATCAAAAGCTATGACATTTGACTTAAAAGCAACCTTCACTAATTTTAACACAGTTACTTTCTACGAACAATCCTGAACTTTCAGAAAACTTGTTGATTCGAACGATCAATGGCTATTGTTAGTGAATTAGAAATGGAGAATTTAGCATTACGGAATATTTACAAACATGCCATGTCATATCTAATTGAACAATTTATATTATTGTTTGTTTCCTTTTGGTAGGAACGAAAACTTTATAAGATAAAATTTGGAGCTTATTAAATACTGTTATATTACTTATATATGTGAAATTTATTTAAGAGACTGCAATAATTACGAGAAAAACTAACCCCCTTCATATTCGAGACGTAGCTAAACGTGGCTTATGTCAAAATCAAATACGTATTTGAGGAGATTCCTACGGTTTCACCTAGGCACAGGCAACTAACATATAGCTATATATAAATACTAACACCATTTGAAATGAAAATTAAGGATATGGAAATAAAAAAGGCTTTATTATTATTTAACAGTCGTACTTAACAAGTCTCGACTCTAGCGGAGTTTAGTTTATTTTTAATAGCTTAAACTAGGGTAATGTTCATCAACAGTCTTAGTGTTCTATAATAATGATTAGACACTATGTTCGTGTGTCCGAGATACGGCACTTGCACTTATATTCTCTACACTAGGTTTTTTAACACAAAAGGTTTAGTTCTCTTTAGGCGTTTTATTCCTGTTTTATCAAGATGTTTATTGCCTCAGTACATGGCTATGTACTCTGTTTAAGTGAGTTCTATGGCAAACGGCTAATTGTTCTAAATTAATTATTTATTAAGCGCTAAACCTATCGGGTCTTGGCTTGGTCGAACAAGAACCTCCATCCGGTACTGTTTGGTGCTTTTTGGAGGTTCTGCGCTAAAAAAATATTTGACAATTATAATTACAATTATATTCTATCGTAATTTTAATTTTTAACACATACACAATAGTCGAGCGAATTTGCTTATATTTGCTAAGCCGCGTACATATTATTTCAGTCTAAATTCGAAATATTAGCGTGTTTAATCAATTTAAAAGGGCATTAAAGATACACATCAGAAGACCTATAAGGCTGAAATTAGGACGGCTGTCTGATGGCTCGTTCGTATAATAATATTAAATTACTCGTGTAAAAAGTACCATTTTATAATTACAGTTTAAATCTGTTATAAGGACATCGAAGGGAATTCTCATATTTGGTCGTAAAAACCGATAGTCGTAACAGCCGATGACGTTGTTATTAAGAACCTAATACAATAGAATTCAGCCGGGAATTTTGATTTTGGTCAATATAACCGGTATGTTGTTCTAAACGATGTCGTCGTAAACGGTTTTGACTGTAGAAATAAAGTATTTAGGTATTTCTTTGGTTCAATATTGAACTTATTTTTGGGACTGTCGTTGGTACGGCCAATCTTTAAGCATAAATTTTAAGTAATAAAAACACCAAACTGTGTATATACTTATATGCTAGCAGGTGGCGAATATAAAAATACGTAAATATTAAATTACGTAACCACATACAAAGCCTTGACATTTTTACGCGCCACTAACGAGGGGTTCGAGAAAGCGCATACAAGTACAAACAGAATTATATCTTACTGCTGTGTATTACAAACTAACATCGATTAAAGGGAAACTGATAAATAATTAATGATTGCCATCTTGCAATTGCACGAAAGTGATTGCGATTAACAGTTCGTTGGCTTGCTCAAGGTTATTCTTAGAAAAAGTCACTTTAACTAATACTTTGTAAACTCTTTAAAACGTCATTCGTTATAACGAACATTTCTCTATAACGCAAAAAGAGTTAAATTTAAGTTGTTTAACCCAATACCCATACATTAAATCTTCTTTCCCTATAACGAACCCCCTCTATAAAGAATAAAAATGCTCGGTCCCTTAAAATTCGTTATAAAGAGTTTACACTGTACTTATTTATTTCGTAATACAGCTAACGTAAATTATAGACAACAAAAAACAATTATACTAAACATATATATCTATATAAGATGAAATACATAATACAAAAAGGTTTCAACATTCACAAGTTCCAAAAAAATAAATAAATACGTAATACCTAATTCGGCTGTGTGTTGGTGTGAAAGTGAGGGTATGTATATGGTGTGTGCTCATGATGCAGGTGATTTAGGGCTAATACTATAAAATATATTCTTAATACTCCTTTTAAGAATATTCTACCGTATCTTAAACAAGTCAAGGCTTAGTTAGTGGTTGGTCGTTGTATGTCCGGGCTGCGCGATACAAAACTGAGTTTGGTGCATAGTTAGTGTTTATGTGAGGAACGTGAAACAAAGCATAATTACGAGTCTGGTAATCATTATAACGTTGTATATAATCTTATATAGTTTTAGGTTGGTCTACTTTTGTTAACTATGTTATTAACCTCCTTTTTTAATAATTATTGACTCGTTCGTGACTTAGTTGGTATATTTTGGTTGAGTTTTTCTGATAAAAATACATATTTGCGCCATTCTGAAAATATATCCAGCTATTCTGTGGATTTAAATCCTTGATGATCCTTGATCGAGATTTTGTTTTGTATGGATTTCATTTAGAAGTACCCACAGCTGAAACAAATTGAATAAGCTGTAAAACCTTTATCAGAAACGCAAACAACAAAGTGATATTAACAATTCTTCCGCAGAATGCGACAGCAGTGATTCCGGTCATCTCTACGAGTCGTTGGAACCTGCACCTGCGCCGGTTCCAATCCGCCCCGCGCGCCTTCCCCCCGCGGTGCCTCAACCCATAGATGACGACTTTGACTCATTTGACAGTGACACCGACGACGATAATGATAAGGTAAATATTTTATACCATAGACTATAATATTTTTTAAAACTGCAAAAATACCGTAAAGAGGGTTTTATATTATTTATTTTTACAGTGTCTTCTGACACGTAGGCCTTCCGCTGAGTAATTCATTCATTTATTCTATGATTATGTAACTAAGTATAGCTCAAATAATTTTTAATTCTAAGTCACAATTTATTTTATGTAAAAAATAAAATATGTATATTCTAATTTCACATATACAAATTATATACTGTTCACATTGTTTTATACACACTATAAATACTTTAAATAATGCTTGTGTTTTTACTTCTCTTTATATTAAAACAAATTATAATTATGGGTGTAATTAAATAAATGGGTGCAAACACAAAAACTATTGTTACGCTGAAAATAGAACTATATCTCATCTAGTTAATCGCATTTAATAATAAAATGGATTGACAGGCTTGACCGATTAGTTACGGATACGAATAATAATAATAAAAAATGATTGCGCACCAAAAAAATATGGATTTTTGGGAAAATGTTAAGAAGGAACAATTTTACTTGCAAATATGTCAGTATTTTTACTTTTAGCTATCTATTAATAATTATTATAAAAACTTGTATCAACTTGTTTCCTTGTGGAGGTAATAATATTATTTATGTTTATAGACACTTGAACCGGATTTGCCGCCAGAATTACCGGCTGCAAGGTTACCGACGCCCCCACACGGCGGACAGTATACGTTAACGAAAATTGCCAGCGCCGCCCAGAAGAAAATGAGACAAATAAAGCGGAATTTAACTAAGAGATATTCCGGTATGTGAAAATTATTAGTTAAATAGAATAAAAATAAAAAGTTATTCCGATACCGGGAATCGAACCCGAGCCTCCTGGGTGAGAGCCAGGTATCCTAGCCACTAGACCATATCGGATGCTGATTAACAAGCTAAAACTGTCGATTATTTTGTACAATGCAATCTATTTATAATTATTTTTGTTACAATTACATTTTAATTATTCACCAAAAAGTTTGTAACTGAGTTCTGTAGAAATTGTACTTTCTCTGTTACGTGATTTATCTTACTTGACAACATTCATACGTGTTACAATAATTGACTATTACATTATAAAAACACTTCTTTTCACAGTCGCAATGGACGGGAAGACCTTTATAAAATCCAATCAAACATATGACACGCCGAAGAACCAACAGAACCCCAAATCGCCCATTTACGCAAACTACCAGAAGCCAGAGATCCAACATCTATACAGTAACATAAACTTTGAAAAGAAGACTGACAAGCCTTTAGCCAAAATCACCGGCACGTTCAAAGACGAATTAAAAACAATTATAGATAAAAAAGAAAAACCCACAGAAAAAAGGCTGAGTGGTGATCCTTTACCCTTGCCCGAAAAGCCTTCGGCGGAAAATCCAACATCTCCAACAGAAAATAAGAAAGACAGTGGAACTTTATCCAGGAAAGCGTATTTCTCTTTTAAATCTCGTTTTAGAAGAGCAACTTCAATGGCAGTAGATATTAACTCGGAAGTCCCCAGTGCGCTGAAGATCACAAATTCTACGTTTTACCTCACTGATTCTATGGATGGCGACTCTGGATTTAGTAATTGGTAAGATTTAATATTAAACATGTTGAATTATAGACGATTAAATATTGTTTTAGGTAAATCTGTAAAAGCGCCATCTATAACCTTTTGCACAAACAAGCTAGCGGCATGTTTGACGGTTTGTAAATGTTACGTGATAAATAAACTTTTTTATAAATTAAAATGCAAGGTGTATTCAATTACCTTAAATGAGTAAACATGTATTATTTTGTTATAGTTACTGCGGATTGAAAAAAGCAGCTATCTTATCTACTGATAAGGCTATGCTTTCTGATCAATAAATTCATCGGTTGGTTTAAAAGTTTAGTGAGGAGTCTAGAGTGCAAAGGAAATGTACTAGATTCGTTTTCATAGTTATATTACACCATTTCGATTTCTTATTATTTTTTTTGTTCAGCAGCGACAACGGCGCCAACCCTGAAGCGCTGTCACCGAGCAACCGGAGTCGTGGTACGAGACTTCGCCCCGGATGGGCGGAATCCTCCCCTTGCCTGGCGCTTGAGAGGCCCTCTCTGCCCCCGCCGCCGCCTCCCACAACTGACCTTAGCGCTGTCAACGAAGGTCAGACAGACGTCAACTGTCAACTTGACATTTTCATTAAATTTTGATGAATTGGTAGCTCTTTAGTAGAATATTTAAAGGGATTTCGTAGAACGTTGCTAACTATTAATGTAGTTGAGTTATACAATTAGTTGGTGTGGTAAAAATAATACATTCATTACATTTGGCTAATTACTCTTTAGCAATTATTAAAGCAAACGTAAAATTGTGAATCTTCCTAAAAATAGTATCTATCAATACTTTTGATAATTAACATAATCTTAATTCTACTCTAAGCAAGAATAATTCCAGTTGACGTCTCCTCGTAAACCTAGATTAATTGATTTTGAAGATTAAAAACAGATAAATGACGAAGACAGCGCTAAACGAAGGTCAGAACCTGGCTCACTGCAGTGAACTTATTTCAAATTGGTATAAATATTGAGATATAAATTGAGCAAAGAGCCATCTAGTGTGTTATTATGAAATTACATCACTAGCGAGACAAGCATTTATGGTTTTCTTTTAAAGACCTAAATACTTTTATTAATAAAGTGAATCTAGACAGTCATAGTCTATTTGTATTTGTGAAATTTTTAAGTATTTATTTAATATGAAAGTTAAACGTGCTAAATTACTCGATAAATAGTTTAAACATATTAAATATACGCCATTATACATAGTTTAAAAAGAAGTGTAGTGGGATCATAACCTAGACATAGTTTTTGTGTCCACCAGGACGTAATTGTATACAAACTTTTTGACGTAAGTTCACAGCCAGTGAGCAAGGTATGGTTGCGGTACATATCACAGCTTTGTGAATGTCTCTATGTTTTTCACTGTCTTTGTTTCTTTTACTTATCACCACACGATTCTTAATAATGTTAACACAAAAGCACATTACTTGTTATTTTCTTGTAATTCTATATTTGGTTATGGACACACATAATTCTAGACACATTAATAATTATTTTAATGTCACCTGCATAAGTTTATCGACAACGCATGAATACAATATATAAAGCCTTTTTCCTTCTCAAAAACGCCGAACAAAATCGTAATCTTTATAAGTCTGCATTTTTAATTGGTATGTATTTAAACTCGAACAGATTCGAAAATATTTGCATTGTAATGAATAGGAAGAGACATCCCTACTTTAGTACCTACGTGCGGAAAAAGAACCGTTGTGGTATTTGAGGTCGCCGGAGTATTAAATTACCTTTTTTATATTGAAAACAATGTTAGTAATACTTAATATGAAACAATCAATTTTTGTGTAAATTAAATAACACGTAGGGAGAATTATATTATTATTATGTTTCCCGCCTCGCCGATTCACTATCTGCACAGACTACTATTACACTAGAGTAGACTTTTAACATTTTTTAAATACGGGAAACGAAGCAGTCTTGAACTGTTAAAACGTATTAAGATTGTAGCGTGTAACAAAGAGGACAACTATTAAAGCAATTTTCCTCAGAACTGCTTTGCGCAGCGTTTCTCAAAAAGCGTTTGATTATAAAATAATATTATTAAGCGCTAAGACATTTTGACATATTGCAATACTTTGTAAACAATTATTAATACTTAAGTGATAAAAAATTATAATCAAAACTGTCACAAAAATATGTTACGTATATTTTATTATGGCTTCTAATCATATTGTATTCGAGATATTCGTGACAGTAAATTAAAGAAATGCTCCCGATAATTGATATTGATACAGGGCACACATTATTATCATTAAATTTATATTACCTACATCTGGTCTAATTCATATAGCACTAATACAAGCAGATATCCTTTTACATAATTATGTGTTTGCGCCGATTTAAAACAAACAATTTCCCACATTGAGAATCACTGCGCATTGCATTGAAACGCGTAGGCGACAAGGTTTACTACAATATTACATCAGTCTTCCCACCACTAGCATAGTCTGTGCACGTTTGTGTTATGTGATCTATGGTGCTTGTGTTATGAGACGTGAGTGATGTTTTCTAGAGCGTGCAATTATTTTGTAATCTATGCAAAATTATGTGACAAATTGTTGTTCTTTGTAAGCAATGACTAACGCCCGTTTTTACCTTCAATTGTTATTATTTGTCTAGGTATTTCGCTATGTTTATTCCGTATGTCATGGATTTGAATTCTAAGATATTCTATTATTGAACAGAGTATTGAGAGGACAATTATTATACCAGTGTCCGAAAAAAGTTATACCAGCCCCCATTCCTCAGTAAATTTTTTAATCGAAAATTTTCTCAGTTCCCGCTGCGGGCTACTCGATTCTCGATTGTGAGGAAGTTGCATGGATCTGGTTAGCGCTGGGCCTTCTTAAGGTCTCATGTCATTTTCACACATGTATAATATCCTTTCTATAACATATTTTCATAAGTATCTGATTGTCCTCATTTCAACGTGTGTGTTTGAGAGCAATTAAATAAAAGCACATATTTGATCACCGTATAGAGATACTAATGTCCGTCAGTTTTGAATTTATTCTAAATCTATTGCATTGAGTAAGAATGTCTTCTCATCCATTGCGGGATTTTACTATATTTCTAATGACAAATTATTACCGCATCACTTATTAAAGATGACCTCATTGCATTGTTGAAACAATAATCTTTGGTATTATTTACTTTTATTATCATATTGATTAACAAGATTCATCAGTCTGTTATCCATTGTCTTGCAAATTTTATGTTCTGTGTAATTATTGTTCTATTCTATTTGATACAATATTAGTAGTAATATTTCAAAGAACTTGCTTTAATTACATTATTTTCATAGCTTATATTTTTCTCTGCACCAAAATTAACCTAATTTGTCTTTATAAAAGCAGCTACTATTTTTTAAATCTTATTTGCCTGAAAGAAATAAATAATAGTAAGTAAAGCATTTTTTTATTCTGTAATTGTAAGCCTGATTTATTCTTATGTGAACAGAATTGAAGCGACTCCTGCCGACTTTGTCGCGCAAGGAAAAAGGCCCTCGTACGCGCACCTCGTGGTATGCCGAATGCGGCGCCGACCCTGCGCCCGCGCACACCTCAAACTCTTCTTGGTAAGTACTTTTATAACGAATTAATAAATTGTAGTTGGCTTAGAAACTACCCGCTCAAATTTTGTCGTAAATATAATTTCGAAACGCATGGACATCATACAAGCGTGTCTTTCTATTAATTGAGATTAAGTAATAATAATAATAGCCCTTTAATTCAGATAATTATTCTGTGCCTATGTGGCCTTTTTTGGCAAAGGTCTCCTCCAAATCCCGCCAATCCTCTCTGCACTCACTCTCTGTCATGTACCACCTGCTATTTCTTTAATCTGGTCTATCGTTTGCTGTACCTTGGGTATTATTTTAGTACTTTTTTGCTCCTAAATTTGAGAATTGAGACTGAAAAACGCCACGTAAATATCAAGTATACTTAAGCTAAATTAAATTAAAGATAGCTAAACGAAAACTTAATTTAAAAAAAATATTTTGAATTTAATCTATACGAGTCGAAGCCGATAAAATGTCCTTTAAATAATGGAAGTATGTTTTGGTGTAACAAAATATATTGAATCGTACAACAGAGTGAGTATAATATAGCTAATATCGCGAATCGCTATTCGAGACCGACGAATGACGCTGTCGAGTGAGTCACAAGCCTGTTTGTACCACCGTTATTGACGCAAGTTATAAGCGATTAGTTCGTAAGCACAGTTAACCACAGTGTAACTCTTACCGTAAAAGCAACTTGAAAAAAATTGTCACCCGCATATGAACACAGTTGAACCGATGTTCAACAAATATCAATATGTTGTGAGGAAAAAGACAGCTCGCTCAGATTGATGATTTTTAGCCAGCCTTAGTTCCATTTCCGATATATTTTATTTTACTTGTAAAAGCGACAAATTTTCCAAATTTCCATTTCATTCCTTATTTATTTATCAAAATATACCACATCATATATAATACTTTATCTATAGTATTAGTTACAATTTATCTATTCTATACATGACAATTACGCTGAACATAAATCTAACGAAAAAATTATAATAACATTATTAGTATTCCTAGCTTAATAGAATCTGATATTTCCATAAAAGTCAATATAAATAAAGAGACCATAGTCAAGCTGCAAGACGTCGGTGATTTTATTGGCAACTATTATTTGAAAGATCTAGTAAAGTTCACAGTCCAGTTATATATCATAACATACAAAATTCTAGTATTTTAGTTTTGTAAAAATGCAAAGTAATATACTTGCATCTTAATTCTTTGCGATGTCATTGATAATAATCAAACAATATTTTTTTCACTTTTGACATTTAATCTCCCGCCATTTCTCTTTTCGTTCGTGTCTTATGCCACATTTCCAATACCCAGGTATGTTCTATAGACGCATCAGCCAACAGTGTTACGAATCCTCGGTAATGTGTTGGTTGGTTAATTGTGGTTAAATCACGAGAAATCCTTGAAAGTTATCTGTGGCCTATTTGAAATAACCGGTAAAAAATTAATTACCGTTATCTGTGAAACTTTGAAATGGAGTTACGATAATAGGCGTAAGTAATTTAGATTGTTTCTTTTTGCTATTTTGTAATTATGAAAACTAACATGAATTTGATGTAATGTTGTATCAATTGTAATTCATCGCCACAGAAAATAGTCTGTAATATAAAAATGATGTCCCAGATACAAATACTAATCTGTAGATTAATTTAAAAAAATCTTTTTTTCTTATATGTACCTCTAGAATTTAGTTACTATGGTTAAAAATGCAGTGTTTTAGTAACGCGCTTCAAGTGTTAAAATATAAATTTTGCTAGAGATATTATGTAAAATCATACAAAATAATTGTTTTCAGTTACATTATTTAGCCCCCCTAATATCTCGTATTTTATATTTTCTCTTTAAATATACGGGTATTCTACACAATTTACAATTATATTTGCGTCGTTTGCTAGAAATCACGAGAAACGTTTGAAAATTGTACGAAATAATAAAAAAAATTATTTAATATATTTAAACTTGCATACATTCCCTTCAAATAAATTGCATACAAGATTTCACTTGAGATGTCGCGACATATTGGTTATAAAAGCGAGATATCTGGTACCGTGAAATTATTCAGCAAAAAGGGTTACTTTAAACTTATAACCGTTAATTTAAAATTTAACGCATAAAACCCGTTTCAGGCTGCATTCCTTACAACACTTCCGAATCGAAACTTATTCCCAATATATTCGGTCATTTATAATCTGTGAATTTCGTAATATAAATCGCCTTTTGCATGTGCGCCATGTGGCCTGCCCATCGGCATCTGCCTATTATGCATTATATTATAATCTGCATTATAGATCCGTTTTTATTATCTGCGAATTTATTAGAGAATACAATCGAATTTGCATTATACAGCGATTTCTATTATAATCTATACGAAAGTTTTCGGAGAATTCACTTCATTAATATCAAATTAGTGAATTTGTTAGAATTAATTTATTACGTCATCTTTAGGTAAAAATTAATTTACTCGAAAAGTGAATCTTTTTTCGAATGTGACAATTTCAAGATTTTACTTTTAATATAAACAAAGACAGCAAAGAGAACAGTGTTGGCCTAGTGGCTTGGCGTGCGACTCTCATCCCTGAGGCCGTAGGTTCGACCCCTGGCTGACACCAACGGACTTTCTTTCAATGCGCATTTAACATTCGATCGAACAGTGAAGGAAAACGGAAGGTCAGGCACAGGAGGCTGATCACCTAGTCGCCTATTAGATTGATAAATTATCATAAAAGATAAACAGAAACTTAAGGCTAGAATATCAAAGATTGTAGCGCCACTGGTTTATTTATTTATATACATAGACAATAAAGAAAAGCTAAAACGGTCGAAAGCATCGTGCCAGCATCAGAAATGTATGAAATAAAATGTAGTCGCACATTTTACAAAAAAAAGGCTTTAACGATATATACTAACAAAACACATCTCTATTTCCTAATACGACTAATAATCATCATAATAATTAGATAGGAAGCTTTGCATTTTTGGAAGTGTTTTACTATGTTTCTACTCTGTTCTCTCTGTCTAGTTAGCGCGTAAGACAACCTGGGGACTACCGCCCCCCTTAAAACTTCGAAACAACTGCGTCATGCGTGTTAAATAATAAACAGTCTGTTTCAAAACCTTACAAAATAAGTCTATATTTGACACGAATGTTGTGAAGATTCTTTCTTTCTAGGACCAATTAAAAACATAGACATAAAAAAACTCTATTTTCAGGTACGCCGAAGCAGGTCTGTACCCAGCTGGGCACATCTCGTCGTCATCAGGCGCATCTTCAGGCTCTCATCCGGCCTCACCGCGTCTCCACTCGCTCTTCACCCACGAACCACTCTACCAGTTTTATAACGCCGCTAAAGTTGAGGTAAGCTTATAGTAGTTTTAATATGATATTTATTTATGGAATTAAAACTACTGAGTGATTTTTTATTTGTTTTGAAAGTCTAGTTGTTAATTTTAAAGTTTTCAAAAATCCGTACACATTATAATAAGCCGCTTTGGAACAAAATTTTAAGGAAAAATAAATTAGATAGTACCGGTGACCTGGTGCTGGTGCTTTCCTCGCTCAAAAATTTAAAAAATCAGAAACTAGAGTTGCGGTAAATATTCTACAAATTACCTAAAACAAAATACGCCAGTACCAGTTCATATTCATAGTTGATCACAGCTTACCGCAAGATTTCCTTGACTCATCTGTCCTTAGGAATAAATTATGTATAGTTTTTGAATACATTAACGAAACGCAACGTTCAAGAGCATTTAAAATCCATTTCAAAACCTTTTAAAACTATCTTAAACTATTTGTTCAATACGTGATGAACAGAAATTAAATATGTAATTCAAAATCATTTATTCATTTAGGTAACAATATGTACACTTATAAGCGTCAAAAAAGAAATACATATTAAATGCTTCTAATTTTACATTTACTGTTCACGTTAACCATCTTGAATACAAAATATAAATATAAGCAATATAATTTAAATAGGAAAGTCGTCAGTATTTCCTAACCATTTCGACAATTTGAAGTAGGCAACGCATCCGCGAGCCCTCTGGCATTGACAATGTCTATGATTATCACTTAACATGGTAGCCTCATGCCCGTTTCACCCTGTTCTATATCTATGACTTGAAATTAAAAGCAGTTAAACAGTGGCGCATTTACATATTTTCAAGGTTATAGGCTGTGAAGTTTTTGCCGCCTTTGCATTTACAATTGTCATGTCCTAGATTTTTCTATGAGTCCTATGATTTTTGAGCACAAAATTATACACAAATCATCCAGTTCGCAGCCTTCAACCAGTAGTAGGAATGTATGGGTTGATAGAGGGAAGAGGGCACAGGAACATTTTCTGCAATTTCACTCTTTTCAGTCATACAAAGTGTGAGCTGAGGGCGCAGATGTCGATTACTGGTTGGGGGGCGGCGAACTAGCTGTTAGCTGTTAACTTATTCTAGAATATTGAAGTTTGCTACACTGAGTGTACAATGACAAGTTAGAGGGGAAAGCCATATTGTGTAAAACATCAGAAATCCGTCATGCAGAAATCTTTTCGATTTCTATGAGGTAGCAAAAATATTATTCGTTTCCCAAAGATTCCGCCCTTGGCTCCAGCCTACTCAGCCTGCTGGTAAATCCGCCACTGGCTATAAAAACACTCATACATAAGCAAAACCTTTATAATCGTGATTTGTAAAATTTTATCAAGTATCTTGCTATAGTGCTATATGTGACGTATATATATTATTCAAATATCATATATAAATTAATGGTTTGATACACAGTTTGCCTTGCCACAAAGAACAAAACAGGCTTTATAACCGGTTTCTTTGAAAACAAATCTTAATAGCCGACTATACGACAATCATTAAAATACGCAAGCATTTGAAATACAATTATATTAAATGATGCTTAAAGTAAAAAAACCGATGAACAAGCAAAGTCACTAAGTCTATTAATCTGTGGGAATTTGGCGCCTAATTGTTTTATAAAATGATCGCTAATTGTAATGTGAATTGTGGGTGTAATTGGTCTGACCTTCCATATTGCCTCGTAGTCTTGACCTCCACAATGTTTTGCTCAAACGTTTAACTATAATTGACTTATCTATCGACTTCCGATAATGACGATGTTCCTGCCTACAGATTCGTAATCGTGCTTTGGTTCACGTTCCTCATACCAACACAAACTACACAAATACCTTAGTTTTGTATCGCGCAGCCTGAACATGCAACTACCACTAAGCCTTGACTTGTTGACATCGTGGAATATGCTTTAAAGGAGTATTAAGAATATCCATAGCATTAAATCGCCTGCATCATGAGCATACCCCACATACACGTGTACCTTCACGTACATACCCTCACTTTCACACCACCATACAACACAGCCGAATAAGGTACTACTTAGTTACTATAAAAATAAAAAAAATAAAATAAAATATGTTTATTATGGAACATAAGATACATGTATCACTTATTCCACGTCATTAAATTTGAAGGCATCCCTACTCATCGGCAAAGAAGACAGAGGGTGTAGGCCGAGAGAAAAAGCCGGCGTAAAAAACTCTCGGTACTCTTTTAAAACAGCAAATCATCAAACAACACTTATTTAAAACAAATATCGCAAATTGATTAGAAGTAGCCTGTCTAGCACTAGTCCCAGGCCCTTTTATCAACTAGATAATCGTTGACTTTATAGTAAGCCTCTTTACACAGCTTTTCTTTAATACATTTTTTAAATTTATTGAAAGGCAGTGATAAAAGAGCCTCTGGGATTTTATTAAAGAAGAGTATCCCTTTCCCCAAAAAAGAATTACTAACTTTAGATAGTCTAGTACGGGGAAATTGCAGCCTGCGTTTGTTCCGTGTATTAACATTGTGCGTATGTTCTATTCTAGTAAACTTATCACTATTTTTGTATACATACATAATATTTTCATAAATATATTGCGAGGGAAAGGTAAGTATATTAATTTCCTTGAATTTATCTCTAAGAGATTCCCTACATTTTAAATTATAGATTGCACGAATAGCCCTCTTCTGCAGGATGAAAATAGTTTCGACATCAGCAGCATGACCCCATAATAATAAGCCATAAGTCATTAAGCTATGAAAGTAACTAAAATAAACAAGTCTAGCTGTATCGACATCAGTTAGTGAGCGAATTTTTTTAACCGCGTAGGCTGCAGAACTAAGTCTCTTCGCCAATCCGTTAATATGAGGGGACCACTGAAGTTTTGAATCCATGGTGATTCCGAGAAATACAGTTGTATCATCCAGATTCAATTCCTCACCGTTTATAATTGGTCTAGTATCCATAACCCTTGCATTTTTTGCACAAAATTTAATGCATTTTGTCTTTTTTGCATTAAGTAGAAGGTTATTCATACTAAACCAATGGACAATCGAAGACAGAGCATTGTTCACATCGTCAAAATTTGTTATTTGTCGTTTGATTTTAAAAATCAAGGACGTGTCATCAGCAAACAAAACTATCTGATGTTTTCTCTCTACCATGAAAGGTAGATCATTTATATAAACAAGAAAGAGGAAAGGGCCAAGAATTGAGCCCTGTGGTACCCCATATCTACTGCCGACCCAGAGGACCTCTTACCATTCACTTCAACCTTCTGAGTTCTTCCGTGTAAATAGGAAGTCAGAAGATTCAGTGCGGTATTCTTGATGCCATAGTGGCGGAGTTTCCCGATTAAGGTCTCGTGTTGGACACAATCAAATGCTTTGGATAAGTCGCAGAAAACACCTAAAGCGTCATGCGACTCCTCCCAAGCCTTAACTATATATCTATATAACTCAACACCGGCATCGGCTGTCGAGCGACCCTTGGTAAAACCGAACTGATTATTATGTAATAATTTGTTTACGTTAAAATGACTTACCAGTTGATTTAATATAATTTTTTCAAATATTTTACTACAAGTAGGTAGTACGGAAATTGGTCTAAAGTTACTGGGGTCGGACATACTACCTGCTTTAAATAAAGGAATAACTTTACTATGTTTCATTAGATCGGGAAACTCGCCACTTTTAATACAATTGTTGAAAATTATAGCTAGATGGGGAGCAATTACATCAATTATGCTACTAATTATTTTTACAGAAATACCCCAAAGATCGGTAGTGTTCTTAATATCTATGGTTCTAAATATCCTCACTATATCGTCGGCACCAATGGGTCGGAATGAAAAACTGACCTTGCACTCGTTTACATTATCTTTGAGCAGCGATTCGGCGAGGGCGGGAGATGATTGAAGAGACTTAGTAGTCGAAATTGGAATGTCAGAAAAGTACTTATCAAAAACAATCGCTATCTCTTCGTTAGATTTGATTATAGTGTTATCGACACATAGTTCGATGTCTTGATTGCGATCCCTGACTCTTCCAGTTTCACTATCAATTATCTTCCAAGTCATTTTAGTTTTATTGGTACTATTTTTAATCTTGTTTTTGATATTTAAGGACTTGGCCGCGTAACAAACTTTCTTAAATAATTTCGAATAATTTCGAACATAAAGAATAAATTCTTCATTATGATTGTATGACTTTTCAGCGTAAAGGTCATACAACCGTTGTCTACTTTATAGTTACTATACTGAAGGTATTTAATATTTTTTATTGATTTTTCCTTTCGTAAACGTTTGAACCTTTTTGTTTATATTATGTATGCTTTGGCTATATGTTTAGAATAATTGTTTGTTGTATATAATTTATGTTAGCTCAAGGATTACGTAATAAACAAATAAAATTATAGTAAACGTGACAAAGTTATCACTAAAGTATACCATTGTAAAATGGTCTTTAAAAGTGACAGCTGTCAATGAACGGTGAGGCCGATTATTTGTCTATATATTCAAAAACAATTAAATATAAACTGGTTTAAAGAAATTATCTCTAGAGGGCGTAATATCTAATCTTATTTGGTTGAACATTTGCATTTTTAGGGCTTGTTTATAAACGCGAAATCACAGAGTAAGCTAATCTTGTGAACAACGAAGGTAACATAAACGTAAGCCGCATAGACAATTTTGTGATTGTGATATCGTCTAACTAGAATTATAATCAAGTGAGCTGAAAAGTTCGTAGGCTTACACAGAAAAAAACTTTTTTTAATATAATTAGATTTTATTATTCAATATATACCCTCGAGAGCGATACAACGAATATAGCGGTCATACAATTTTTAATACCATTTTTATAGTACAATTCTTTAGCCACTTTAGGCTTCAGTTTCGGCGATTACCTTTTCATCAGCGCAAAATTGTTCAGTGAGCATTCTCTTGAGGTCTGAGAACACGAAAAAGTCGCTAGGGGCTAACTAAATCTGGTGAATACGGTAAATTAAATGCGTATTTATTACGATTTCTTCAAACAACGAACAGCTTCAAAAACTGCTCAATTCGTTGTTTTTGGTAAATTGATTATAAGCTCTGAAAACTTAATAATACAAAATTTATAAACTATGAATGTATTATTACATATAAAGAAAACATAAAATCTAAACCTTTTTACAACAAATTATGAATAATGCAATTCTTGTGAATTCAGCCAGTGCGCGACTAAATATATCTGTCTCACTTGCAATAGTATTCAGGGTTCGCAAGACGCGCGCGAGGTGCTTCCCTGAGTAAATTTGTACGCGATCGCGGGGCTACTAGCAATTATTGCGACCGCTTACCACGCCGTGTGTGATTAATTGGTGTTATAGGATAATAAAAATAAAAGACAAACAAAGTTACATAAATAACCGGTCCGCCATTAAAAAGTATTTTTTTCTTCCAAGTGGCTTCTAAAAAGGTATATTATACAAAGCCGTTATCGCTTTTATGAGTGTGTCCTATAAGTGTATTCAATTCAGCAGCGTTTTAATATTATAAAGAAACTCCTTTTTCGACGACTGCCTTAGAGACTGTAATTTATATTAATTTGGTGTTGCAGTCGGCTTGTGGTGGTGAATCAGACTCAGATACGTACGAAGCTGGCGGGTCTACCTGCAGCGCATCCCGGCCTACAGCCATGGCGTTAGTGGCGCCGCGTGGCCCCGCTCGCACGCTTTGGTGCGAAGTGCCAGAAGTTCTTAACTCCGCTGTACTAAGTAAGTAATTACGTAACTTGTCGACGACCAGATTGTGTGTACTTATGTACACGCGTTAGAAGTTATACTTCTTTGGCGTAATAATTTTCTTCGAGCACTTTAGAGGGACGTTTCCTTCTTCGAATTGCATTTTTCTTGTCCATTTTAATGGTCACTTCCAATCGAAACGATAAAATATGTACTAAACATGATATTTTACAATAAACACTATTGTTTTTATCACATTGGAACGGGTTTTCTCGTATAGAAATCATTATTTTTGTTTGAATAAACACAACTCAGAAAAACTCTACGCCATGACAGACAATGCAACTTGTCAATAAAACAGAGCGAGCGCCAATTAGCGGCCCAGACTGTTTTACCGACGTTTCAACAGATATTCAGGGTGTCGGTTTTTTGTGACGGTGCGCGCGCGCATCCTTAAAGTTTACTCTCATCATTTTTACCTAACGCGCCAAAAAAAAATATTCATCAAAAGGAATCTAGTACTTTAAACCTAAACTAAAATTAAGTTATTTTCATTAAAATGTACAGGTTCCCTCGCACCAGCTCAAAAGAAACTCCAAGAGGCAAAGTTCGAAGTACTGACTTCAGAAGCGTCTTATCTGAACTCGTTGAACGTGCTAGAAGAGCATTTTATATCACATCCAGCATTTAGAGAAGCCCACGTCCTGCCCAGGGAAGACTGGGAGACGTTGTTTTCCACAATTTTGCCCGGTAGGTCCACGCTATATAGTTGTTTATTTAGATTTCGCTTCGATGTAGAAATTTTCTTATAGTGTTATCTCCTTGCGAAGGTTGGCGATCATCATGGCTAGTTTAATTTTGGATGCCGCACTTCTAAACAATGACTCGGTGACTTTGGCCAAACCATTATCTTCAGTTTTTTAACTAAGACGTGCGTCGGCCAGGTCTCCTTCTACCTACCACTTTGCCTTGTATGATTAGTTAAAGGAGCTGCAACCATTCTTATCATACCATATATCATCTTTAATTATATTGTAAATAACTATAATAATAAATATATAATCAAACGAAAAAAAAATTATCCAAGATATTTATAAGATGTAAACATAATATTCACTATGTGTGATATTGAGTATCAATTTTGATAATGTATTTCGAAAATTTATTAAAATTATTTGAATTTGAGTTTTTTTATGTTTTGAAAATGTACTTACTGTGTTTCGTTAACAATTAGTGTTTTCACTTAAACCTTTCTTAAGTGAACAATTAATTTTTTTAATATATAAAAAATTATGTATGTTACATAGGGAGGGGTTTTAAGAAAGGCAAAGATGGGGCATGGCACAACAACGGTTAGGAATCACTGACGGCTTTGACTAATTATAATCTACTTTACAAAAACATGTTTCATATTTTCCAGTCCGTAAATGCTCCCAAATGCTGCTAGCGGATATGGAGCGGTGCTGGCAAGAGAATATTCTCCTTACTGGCATCTGTGACATCGTGAGGAATCACGCAGAGCAAAAGTTCCACGCCTACGTCAAGTACTGCGAGAATCAGGCCGTCATGGTGCGGACCCTGCAACGACTGCGGGAAACGCCCAATTTCACGGCAGCGCTTAAACAGTGAGTACTTATTGATATTCATGAACGTCGTATTTATATACTTTATTATGATTAACGAGAAAGTCTTTTTCCAGTTCAACTTGGTGTTGTCTTTGTTTATTACCATCTTCAATATGGTCCTGTTTCGGGTTCGAACGCCGGTGAAATATTTTTGGATGACATTGTACAAAATCAAATGCTGTGAAATTTTTTCTCTGCTTCATTCGTCATCTCTATGGCCAGCATATAACGAGAGACAATGAAAAATATTATATAAAATTACTTTACAGGATTATATTCTATAGATTAATTATTTCTTAAACAACCTGTTTGATGTAATTTCTTTAAAAATCCCTCCACAATACGCGACAAGATACCTACTCACAATTGTTCCATGTGCCTCGTACGAACACGAATTACCTGCATAATTCGCTAATGTCTCTACTAATTCTGAGGATATTGATATTTTCACCGTGAGGATGTGAGAAAATATTTGAAGAAACCGGAAGGCTTATAAAACCAATGCATGTTCTTCAATCTACAACCAAAAACACAACTGTTTTATTTAACGAAACAAGCAAGACCAGTTTTTGTTACGTGTCGATAAAGGATCAATAAAATAGTTTGAAATGTAAATAAGAGAATTTTAAGATCATAAATATTATGTGGAATTAATAATATGTATATGCTACATACACAAAAATGGTATCAGTTTCTACTCCCTTTTAACTAAACTACTATATCTCTCTTTTGATAACAGACAGAACATTTGACAGAAAAGTACGAAGGACTTTAGTTTTTATGAATAAGTCAAAAATTTGACACCTTAGATAACTTTTCTTTTATGCATTTTTCCCAGGATGGAAAGTCATCCAGCATGTCAAAGTCTCTCCCTCCATTCCTTCCTGATGCTGCCCATGCAACGCATCACGCGGCTGCCCTTACTCCTTGATGCTGTACTGAGAAACCTCAGTTCTGGTGATGAAGAATACGATGGGTGCATGCACGCACTTGCTACACTTAATAATGTGAGTTAAATTACTTTTTGTGTTTAGTTCTAAAGTTATCCCACTATATCAAGTGACTATCCGTTATGAAGATTATTTATATAGAAATAGCGAAAAAATGTCAGAGATTATGTTATAAAAGAACACGATTTAATTTTTATTAGAATGGCAACACCACGTATCATTGACATCTTACAGGTTGTAAGATGCCAATGTGACAAAGTTTATTTGTAAGTTGTCTCTGATCGGAGCCTGCGGACGTCCGCACTGACCGTGTTTAAATATTAAGTAAAAATGTCGGACGATGGCAGTGAAACCCAATTTTGCTATCAATCGCGTTGAATCTGAAACAGTCCAATTGTCATCAAAATCAGTTCAATAGTCTTTAAGATATATATCCACGCATTTTTGGAGTGGTAGAGTAAGATTCGGCACTAAGTCTGACTCCCATACGTCAAAAAAATTGATTTCGGGCCTAATCTCGTTTCTGAATCTCACCCTAAGAACCTATTCAGTCAATTATACCATTAATAGTTTTTCCTTTGTTCTCGTGATTTATTTTTGTACTAAATTATATTTCAGTATGTATCCCAATGCAACGAAGGTGCCCGTAACACAGAACGTTTGGAAGAAATGTTCCGTCTCAGTGCAGTCCTTCACTTCCCGCCCGCACTCAAACACGCCCCAAACGTCGCGCCTGCTTGCGACCGACGAGACCGCAAGTAATATATTAATATCTCTATAGCTTATGGTTAAATGTGTGCGCAAATTTACAAAAATAAACTTGTTTATTTTAAGCAAGTTTATTTTGTCAATGAAAAAAAATTTTTGGCAAGTTTGTTTGTTAATCTGTAACGAAAATTATTTTTTCATATTAAGTGTCACATCGAACTATAATGACGTATTGTGATGTGTCACAGTATATCAAAATAATTAATAAATTACACAGATTAACAGATGTTTAATATTGTCCGTTGAGGGAATTGACAAAACGTTTTTTTATTGTCAGTTCAAATATCCGTTTGCCTCCTGCCTTAAAAAATGCATTCTCACTGTAAAAGAACTTCAAATCGGTCCCGTAGTTTTTATAATTTATTCAAATCTTTCCTATTCCTAAAATTAAGGTTAGGGCTTCGCAATGGTAGAGGCAACAGCCTCCTTTAAAAATCGAAAGAGTTTCGAAAATCGTTTTATACTAATTATTTAAGAAAATTATGTTTAATTGCTAAATATATCGTTTAATTTATTGTACAGTCAGGACCACCTTGAAGTTGTTATTTGTTTTGAACAACTCATACTTTTTCAATCCTTTGTACTACTACTGGACAATCCAACCTAACCTGAGACCTGAGACAAAAATACTCTGCGACAGGCAGGACCGCCAAATTTTTTGCGCCAATAATTAGCGCCAAACGTTATTTTAATACAAATTGTATTGAAATCACATCACGTGCCCACTACTAAAAAAATTACTTCCCAATATCTCAGCAAAGATTTGAATCAGAACTTTTGATTGTCCAAAGAGTCGTAGAATTCTATAAAAAAAGTTTTCTAAATATAAAAAAAAACTATTGCGTTTCAGACCAATCCGATGGTTAGTTCGTTCTGGAGAGATGACCCAACTGGTGTGGAAGACTGACGAGCTGAAACTGACATTCGGGAGGAAGTTCCACAAGCTTCCCTTACATCTCTTCCTTTTTAACGATCACTTGGTCATCACTAAGAAGAAGAGGTAAGATTTAAATTTCAAGTAAACTGAGTATATTTCTTTTAATATTTTAATAATAAACATTTTATACGAAAAATACTGTTATATTATTTATGTATTAATTCTAATATTTTCGAAAACTTTAAACTAAATTAAATTATTTTTTTGTATGTACTATTCATATTTTAATTCGAAAGTCACACGCCTTGAGGGCTGTCAAATATGCCAAACTTCATACAGAAAAATGGTTTGACAGTTCTTATTTATTTATTTTTTCTCGGAAAAGTCAATATCAAGATGATGGCTTAGTGAAAAAGTTTATAAAAACCAAGTCAGTAGTATATTTAATTTGAAGACGGGTTTTTTTTATTGATTTTTTTATTCCAGTGACGAATGCTACGTGGCAATTGACCACTGCCCACGGTCGCTGGTGGACGTGTGTTCGAGTGACGCGGCGGCAAATGCGAAACACGCCCTATTGCTTACATTATTAGAGAACCACGAAGGGAGGACTGTTGAAATGGTATGAATACTTGAGTGTAATAATATTTTTACGACCTATAATGGTTCGAAACTAACCAAATGGATTTACAATTAGATATATGTAATTATATATCATAATAATAAATGATAAATATTGACACTTACTAGTCACCATCTCTGTATGTTGCCGTGTATCGGTAGTATACGTTACCTTTACTTTAGTAATCCTGTAACTTCATTAATATCCGCGATTGTTTTACTCAAAATATAAAATCCTCTGATGAAAAATATACCTATCTCCTTCTATCTCACAGCTAATGTCGTGTGCAAGTGAGACAGACGCGCGTCGATGGACAGAAGCGTTGGCCCCGCCCACTTGTCACGACGGCGAGGCCGTATACGCGGGCTGGGATTGTCCGCAAGTGGCCGCTTTGTACGCGTACACTGCCGCACAACCAGACGAACTGGGATTAAATGAAGGCGATATTGTGAATGTCACTAGAAAGACTAGCGAAGGTAAGATTTTGTATCAATTTTATTTATTTTTACGATTTAATTTTCTTTCTACATTTTAATATCCAAAATAAAATCCTTTGGCCTCATATTGTTATCTGTTTTATGATCATTTGTCTCACGCCGTCGACTTTTGGAGTCTAACACATACAAGTTTCCTAACATTATTTTCCTTTACCGTACGAGCGAGTGTTAAATGCACACTTAGAAATTTAAGTCCATTGGTGCACACCCGGGGTTCGAACCTACGCGTCAGCCATTAAACTCGGACACTTAAGCCACTAGGCCAACACTGCTCTATTTAATAAATAGTAGATGCTGTAATATTATAAGTGGGAAAAGAGAAATACTTTGAATGGTTGTGTGCTGTACTCCGTTTTAAATTTACTTATTACATAATAAACTAAATTTATTTTTAGTTAAAGTTAGCTTTTACTGTTGACTTATATTACACAAATTAGTTACATTAATCTTCCAATGTAGAAAAAACGCAGCAACAAAAGTTTTCTGTACCACCTGCTAAATTGTATCCTATTATAATAGATTTTATTAGATGCTTAATGAGAATTAGTAAACTGAGGCAACAATATGTGTGCGAAGACAAGATTGCCATATAAAAGCTGCGTCGTCTTTAAATATATTATTTATAGGTTGGTACTATGGAGAACGAACTCGTGATGGCGAATCTGGTTGGTTTCCCGGCTCATACACAGTTGAAATTGCCTCTCCGCACGTTCGCGCTCGAAACTTGAGACAACGATATCGCTTGCTCGCTCTATCCGGTACTTACCTCGGACAGAAGAAACGGCCCACTTGAATATACTCTGTGCCTGTGGGGTTACCATGTTTGCACTACATGCACAATAACTGTTACTGTTAAATTAAATCCGAATGTATTATTTTATCTTATGTATGTTTTTCATTTCTGCCCTGTATATATTTATATAAAGCATATAATTTGTAACTTGTGTATTTCTAACTGTGAATAATATGTTTAAGTTGATTTAAGGTGCTTTGATAGTGTTGACTGACTTATTTGAATGTTTAAAGAGCCGTCCAAACACTGCCTTTACTTTGAGCACTTTAGTATAAGTTTTAAGCACCTCAATTTAAGTGGTGCTTAGCAAAATAATGTATTTATAAGACTAGTTACTGAATGTACAGTTACGTATGAGATTTAAAAAATTGTACAGAATTATCTTTTCCACAAGTGGCAATACCATAGACATAATCTATGGTGCCCTATTTGTCTGCGGTCTTCATCTATTCCTATTAGTTCATTTACTTTTAGCACTAACTTGCTTATAAAACTACTAGTCAATAGGCGGTTTGTAATTATAGTTCTAATGAACAAAATGTATTATTGATATATTTATTTTACGACATTCCTTTTAAATCTATTTTGTAAGTTTCTCTGACGTCACTGTTGTGTACGGGACCATAACATAAGTGTACTTAACATTATTTTATAGACACATATACCATGTAATTAACTCGTTATTAGATTTAATTTACCAGGAAATATAATTTTACATCTATTTTTGTTTTAATTTTAACGTCACATTTACCAAAACCATACCATTTAGTGGTTTGTATTAAATTAAAATCTGAAAGATTACTGAAAAAAATTAAAATGTTGCTTGCGAGTAAAAATGTTTCATAGGAACAAAAGGTTTATTACCTATTTGTCTTAAGAATAGATAAATGGACCCGATGCAGATATATGTTAGTGGGGTTTTGATACTTAAACATTTAATGGAACAACAAACAAAATTAGCACTTAGTTAAAATTTTAATTTGTAACATTAAGTACACAACATTATTTAAATTCTCATAAATGCTGTGCTGATTGTCATCTTATAATTAAAAATTGTAAAAAAATATAAAAATTGTTTTGACATACATGTTTTATAAAAATATATATTTTGTCTTTGTTTGCGATCAATGGCATAAAATATATGCATTGAATTGCTTATAAATATTTTTAAAATACTAAATAATTAGCAAAATTTAAAATTATAAATCAATAAAAAATTTAACATTTGTAACAATTGTAGTGATTTTATTTTTATGCTAAAATTCATCAAAATAGTCAAAAACTTTCAGAAGTCTCAAAAAATATAGACAACTTAATGATTAAACTATTACTAGCATTATCTCAATAGAAGCAATTAAATAATTATTAAATAAAAAAATAAAAATGAAGAGATCAGAAACAACAGATTAATAAGGAATGTCAAAAGATGAATTTACTTAGATCTAAATTCGTGTCTTTGATGAATTGTCTTTAACCTCAAATAGTTTCCTTAAAAAGTACACTTGAAGCGTGCCTGTGGCTGCTACAGCAATAATTTGTAACAGAGACCATCTGAAAAATAAAGTGATCCTTGATATCTTGTCAATATTTATTAACGTGTAAGGCGCCTATTACATGTAAAGTAAAACGTTACAAACGTTAGTACAACCAGTTGATTCCATATTTATTGAGACCGGCATTGTGATAATTATTGTACGTCTGACCCCTGCCTATGTGGTTTGGTTAAAAAAGTTAAAAAAATGTAGCTTACCGTAAAACATAGGTATTGTTATCGACTAGAAGGTTATAATCACGTGATTCCTTTGCTCTAGAATGATACTGGAACTGCAGGATATCATTTATATTTCTTTCCACAAACTGTATTGAGTTCTGAAATCACAATATAAATGATATGTGCATGAATTTTACTTAACTTACTTACTAAGGACAGCAAAACATTAGTCCCCAAAATGACTTACTGTAAAGTTTTTGATGTTCATGTCTAATTCTTCTACTTCCTTCGCGTATTTCTCCCACATGTCATATCTAATCACCGATAAGTATAAATTGACTAGTTTTCCGGCAAATCGAGAGAACTGGTTATCGAGACAAACGGCATAGTAGCCGCCAGAACTAGTTTGATCTGCATATTCCGCGCTCTGTCGCCATTCGTAAGGATGCACGATCTGGCCATTCGGATGCCGCACAGCAAACCCACACATTCCATCACCTCCTTTTAGCACCTACGAAACAATTATCTATGAAACATCTACCAAAAATATAAAAACAAACTGCTTCGCAGGTGAAAACTGACTTATTCACAAGAGAAAGTAACTACCTGGTAGCTTGCGTAGAATGTGGCACCGGGTTGAACAAACTGATAGTAACAATCTTCTTTCCCGGCATCTATGTGAACTTTGTAGTCCATTGTGACTGCAGGTAGGTTTTCGTACCATGGTGCTGCAGTCGACGAGAAAACATCGCCAGCGAGAGATAAAATCGTAAATATTATCGTTATCAATGTAAACATATGCCACGTCTGTCGAGCCATTTTTCGTTTTCTTGACAAAATAAAGATACAGATTAACTATTATAGAAACGTAAGTGTCAATTATTGGTAAATCGCCATACTTGACAGTTCTAAACGGACAACCACAGAACACAATTACCTAAAGGCGGACAACTCACAACAACGTGTTTAGTAATATAGTGCGTTTTCCAATTACAGAGCATAATGCGGCTCAGTGCCGCACAATGCCGCATTATGCTGAAGCTTAATTGGAACGTGAATTAGTTTTCAAATGCATCAGCAGAGTGCGCTAAGTCAGTGTTGAAAAAAAAAATGTTCTGAATAGAGTTAGCAACCTCATTCATGTATAATTAATGTGGTAAACAATAATAATTGCTTGAAAACTATTTATGCTTATTTTAAGTAATTTGGATTTTGATTATTTCATTGACATTTTTTTACTGAAATAAGAGAAAACCTTTAAAGAATATAAGGTTTGAACAAGCTAAATTAACAGTAAAATATTTAGTTTCATGTAAGAAGTTTACATCATTTACGTTTTGAGTAATTTTTTTAAATGATTTCTAAAAAATTATATACTTTTTCAAAACTATTGCAATGTTTACAAAAGTATAATCCTGTAAAATAAATTTGTTTACAGATCCGAATTTTAAAATGAATTTGTATTCATATTTTAAATGTGGAATATAAAAAAAGTAACTATTTATACCTTCATCCATACTTATATTTTTTTTTTTTTAGCAGTTTGAAATAACTTTAATTATTTTCAAAATCTACGACGAAACGAAAGCCTTACAAATTTTTCAACAATAAATAATATTTACTAACGAAAATTTCGATCAATGCCAACTTAAAGAAAAACACTGGTCAATTTTCTGTCACTGTGTTGGTATTGATTGCGAGAAGCACGCGAGAGCATTACTTTTGAGAGTGCTCAATTGTGCGAAGCGTTGCTGTAGTTGGAACATTCAACTTTGAGCATTATGCCGCATAATGCGCTCTAGTGCTGTAATTGGAAAACGCATATATTCGTACGAGTTTGTTAGGAGTGGGGGGTTGACTCATTGTTTTAAAAATAAAATCATAATACAGTAAATTTTCGTAAACTATACTAATACATTTGCTAACTAGTACATTTACAAATTGACTTGAAGTGGTATGATTTTACTGTACATTAGAAGAGTTGTAGATTAGAGGGATTAAGGAGGAAAAATAAGATCATAAGCAAGAAAGAAATAATTTATAACAATTCAAATAATATTTCTTACAAGAGTTTTGCAACAGTGAAGCATAAAAATCATTGCTTAGGTCAAAACGAGATAATTATTTATCTTACAAGAAGTCTGGATAGTTCCAAGCGGAGGAGTTTATTTTAAAGACAACCGTGAAGAATTTGATAACGAAAATGAAAGAAATATTCTTTAAAACTTTGTGTATATTGGTATGTGGGATGTTATATTAAATGAATTGACGTACGACCAAGAAACTGAAGAGTTAGATATTTATTTTAAAGACGGTATTAAAAGTAATGTAATTGATAATGGTATATCTAGTGTTCTTTCAAATAAACATAATGTAGAATCGAATGAGGTTGAAGTCATGGAAATGAAAGATGACCTAGTAGATTCAACAATGTAATTATGACTTTAGTAACAGAACCTCTTAGAGAAAAGTACATGAACTTTTTTTGAAGTTACCATAAAATTGAAAGGTATTTAGATAATCCCAAGCAAGTGGGTATTTCGCTTTAAATAAAACCCTGATGGTTCTGTTTAAAAAGTATAATACTATTGTAGAGGTGTAATTATTGTCTATATAGAAATTTCGTAATTCCATTTGTAATATTGTCTACGTATCATTATTTCGTAATTCCACTTGCACGTGGATCAATCAGTCGCCCTATAACCATGTAAGTCAGAGGACAATAAAGATAATAAATTCTATTTTGAATTTTTTGAAGAAAAACTTCAAATTATGAAGGTATCGAGTGAAATGCAGTTGGCAGATATTTTTTTAATAAGGCAATGTCTAGGCCTATCTAATCTGTCTAGACCACATATAATGTTTACTATTAAAAATAGGTCTACGACGAGTGGAGATGTTAAAGTAAAAATACGTTGTAACCGCTTTCGCATATATTTGAAACTACTTTTTGTATATAAATTCTTTGTTAAGCTTGAAACTAAACAAACATCTTGTAAGACATATAATTATCTCGCTTTGGCTTGAAATTTGGCTTGCCATCGGCAGTGAGTGAAAGTGAAACTATGAGTTTTAGTAGAAATCTTATAATTTTTAAATAGCCGTAGAGTAGATCCTTTGTGTCCGAAGTGTGTGCACCGGAGTCCGGAAGTGCTTTGCCACACTAGACGGAAATTCCGTCGCCGATCTTCTGCGGTGGAACACGCCAATACATGTTATTGCATATAAAATACAAATAGCGGGCACACTACGCGGAAAATCGGTCGTTCCGTCGCGGACGATCCGGCGCTGGGAGCGGACCGCTCACTCGCTCGCGTCTGCTTGGTCGTCCGCGCACCGATCTTCCGTCAGCGTAAGATCGGCAACGTCGCATTACAGGTATTTGTATGCATCGCGCCACATTCAGCGGATAACTCGCAGTGACGACGAACGCACAGGATGTTTAACACTGAACGATTTATTATCGAGGTGCAAAATAGTTTGCCTTTGGGACTCCAGAGAAAAGCCGGATAGAACTGCAAAGAAACGAGCATGGGAAGAGATTGCGAAAATATTGTATGACAATTGGGATAGTGAAATAGAAACAAAGCAGCGAGAACTTGGTGAGTTTATCACTTCATTAATTTTCTATACCTAGGTATATCTAATTATAAGTACTCGTATGCATGTAGGTACTATTGAAACTATCATTCATATGAACCTACTTAACAATGATTATACCAATCACTCTAGTTTACCTTCTTCTATAAAATATTTTTTAAATAAATCTCTCGTATTTATGGCATTAGAGGATCTAGATGTATTACAGTTTGGTAATGTAGGTAGATCAGAAGATAACAATTCGTCGTTGTAGTTCAAACCGTCTCGTCTCCGTACAAAGTTATGAAGGACACATGTTGTTTTTACTATATCTGTAGCAAACTCCGGGTTAACAAGTATGGCCGAATGAAGAACTCTCCACTTTTTGCTCAATATGCCGAAAGTACATTCCACATAACGCCTTGCACGAGATAGGCGGTAGTTAAACGTACGTTTTTCTATGTCTAATGTTTTATTGGGGTAGGGCCGCATAACATGTTTATGTAAAGCGAACCTCGTCAGCTACCAGTACAAATGGTAGTGCTGGGCCGATAGTACCGGGGAGTATTTTATCCTCGGGTAGGTCTAACATGTCATGGTAAAGTTTCTGTCCGAAATTTGAACTTCTAAATACATTACTATCAGCTTCTTTTCCAAAAGATCCAACATCGATAGAAATGAAGCAATAATTAGAATCTGCAGCAATAATTAGATTGACTGTTGCAGAAATAATAAATAAAACTTGTGAAGTAATTTGGAAAGTACTGCACCCACTTGAAATGCCCGAGCCAAATAAGGAATCGTTTTTAAAAGTGGCAGAAGAATGGCCGTGTTATCTTTCCGAAACAAAATGGCATAGGGAGTCACCTCATCAAGTGCGGCGTCCCACAAGGTTCGGTTCTTGGCCCCCTTCTTTGGAACATAGGTTACGATAGGGTGCTGCGAGCGAAACTAGTCCCTGGAGTGTCAACTATATGCTATGCAGACGACACCCTCGTGGTCGCTATTGGAGAAGATTTTAAGGAAGCGCGCCTCCGAGCGACAGCTGGAGTAGCTAGGGTGGTTTCTGAAATCAAGAAGCTCGGCCTTGTTGTCGCCCTTCAGAAATCAGAAGCTGTATGCTTCTACGGCCACAGAAAAGCTCCACCTCAAGACGCAAACATCATTGTCGGCGGAGTAGCTATCCGGGTCGGTACCACACTCAAATACCTTGGGCTGATTCTTGACCCACGGTGGACTTTCAGACCACACTTCGTGGCACTTGCCCCTAAGCTCACCGCCACCGCAAACATGCTCTTGCGCATAATGCCAAACCTCGGCGGGCCGAGTGGGGGGTGTCGCCTCTTATACGCTAATGCGATCCGGGCAAAAGCACTGTACGGGTGTCCCATATGGGCCGACAAACTGACCGGGTATAATCGCACAATACACAGGCAGTCGCAGCGAGTGGTCGCTGCCAGGGTTGCGAGGGCGTACCGCACTGTGTCTTATGACGCAGTGTGTGTTATAGCCGGTACCGCGCCATGGCATCTCGATGCGGCTGCTTTTAGCGAAGTATATTGGAGGAGGGCCGAAGCTCGGGATAAAGGGGATAACCCCACACTGGAACATTTAAACGCGTGGCGAGCCTTAGAAGACCAGGAATTGTTAGTAGAGTGGGAAAGCGAGCTGGCGGGTGCGAGTGCCGGTAAATATACTACCGAAGCCCTCAGACCTTTGCTTCAACTTTGGGTAAAGAGGCGCTGGGGTCACCTCAGCTATCGACTTGTGCAGATGCTGTCCGGACACGGATGTTTTGGTAGTTATCTGCACAAAGTAGTAGGATGTGAGGAGTCACCAACCTGTCACCACTATGTCTGGGACAACCGGGACGACGCCCTGCATACACTGAGGGACTGCCCAGCATGGGAAGTGGAAAGGAGACCTTTGTTAGATGCTCTCCAGGGCGAGGACGCAATACTGCCAAACGTAGTGAAAGCCATATTGAGCGCAGGAAATGACGGCTCGTGGAAAATCTTCTATAATTTCTGCGAGTCGGTCATGAAAGTCAAAGAAGAAGCGGGAGGAACCAGGGAGCTTTGTCCCGGAACCCGTCCACGGCGGCGAAAGAAACCGCAGGCCCGTCAAATCCTCGCCACCTAAAGAGTGCCCAAGCGGGGAAGCAGGGGTCCATGCGTTCAAAAGAAGGGATGGTGATCCATCCCTGCAAGCACTGGACCCGATCTCCCCTAGCTATTCCTAAAAGCGTATGGCCCGATTTGTGAAGGATACTTGCTGTGTCAAGAACAAATCTTAACAAATCAACAATGGGCGGGCTCTTTGATAATTAGACAATAACATCGAACTGTATCTAAATAAAAGTTATTCCTCAGGCAGTGTTTCTAAAATGTTGCATACTATAAGAACTTCCGGTAGTTTCTTTCAACCCTCTTCTTTTTTTAGCTCCACAATCAGGCTATGCCATATTTTTTTTTAGTTTCGAGACATGTTGTCGTAGTTGCGATGTCATTACCACACGGCTCCTTTCTGGGCAATGACATACTGAAATGCACGCACAACACAGAACAGCGCAAATCGCGATTTTGTACAGCTGATCACTGATGGATCGTAAATGTCATAAAACCTGTTGTTTTTAGTATCAATTTCTATTATTTTTTTTGTCTTAATATGGTTTAAAATACTCCACATACAACTTGGACCTGAAAATTGGAAATTATGAAAGCCCGTTACTTGTTATATTTTTCGTATATAGGTACTACCTTTAGGTTTGTATTTAAACCTCCCAACTATTTTATAACCTTCAATGCAAACAACTTTTCAGCTAATAAAATATTCTAGATCATCTGAAAAACTATGGATAAAAATGGGTCGGCAGTACCCTGACCCAGAAAGTGTTCAAGGTATTATGGAAATCGCGTTATTAAAGTTTAAGTCTGAAAATTACCCAGCAGTTAATCTTTCAAGCCGGTAAGATAATATAATCAAATATTTTACGCATCTTTCCTTCCTAACATAGGAACGCACTGTTGGCCTAGTGGCTTCAGCGTGCGACCCTCATCCCTGAGGTCGTAGGATCGATTCCCGGCTGTGCACCAATGGACTTTCTTTCTATGTGCGCATTTAAAATTCGCTCGAACTGTGAAGGAAAACATCGTGAGGAAACCGGCTTTCCTTAGATCCATAAAGTCCAGTAGGTGATCGGCTTTCTGTGCCTGACGCCGATCACCTACTTGCCTATTAGATTGACAAATGATTATGAAACAGATACAGACATCTGAGGCCCATACCTAAAAAAGCATGTAGCGCCACTGATTTCTTTTTCCTTCCTAACATACCCTTATTACATTGTAGTAATTTTATACCTTAGATTAGGTCACTGCCTTTATTTTAATTCCGAATCATATACTTGTATCTAATCAAAATAGTCTATGAAACCTTTTTCAAAATCCTTATTTCCAGTACAGATGGTGGAGTTCATGCCCTCAACACATCTGCCCATATTGATCTTGTTCCTAGATCTGGTGCTAAGCTGTATCACCAAGACACAATACCTTATGAACTTAATAAGTATTTTCTTAAAAGGGATATAAGCATATTTGTAAAAGAAGCTATAAGAGTAAATAATGACTTCAGTGCCAGAAGAAATGCAATCAGCAGGACATACTTATACAGGTAGCTATTGCGTTATATGAATTTTAATATATATGTTAACACCACAGTTTATTTTTAGTAAAATGTTGATTATAGGTTTGCGGTTCTCAGAGAAGGTTTATCAGAAAAAGTAAGTATCGGTCAATACATACCAGTTGAAGAATGGAAACGATGTTTGTTTATTAGGTAAGAACTACACTAAAAACAAATATTTGGTATGCACCAATTGAAGTACTTTATATGATTTATTTGGTAAAATACTAAATTCTTGAGCAACATATGTTTTGTAGCGAGTGAGATGCTTGGTAAATTTAAAGAAAATTTTGCCTTCTGCTATTATAATATCTGTTATTAGAATTGATTCTGTCACAATTTCATTTTTAAATTAATAAAAACCTTATATAATCATAACTATTAAACAACCTATTGAATCCTTTCTAAAAAATTATATTTTTAGGACTGACCAACAATAAGGGTCATATTTCTTGATCTATTTTACTAGTTTATAAACAGCAGCTGCATTATTGACTTTCATAAACACTCTGTATCTATGTCACTCTCCTGGCTCTACCTTTAGAAAACATTATTGAAGCAAGCAACCAAATATATCTTGGATTACCTTTTTATAGGCCAAAACAATTTGACATAGAGAAATTTAAAGAGGCTGCAAAATATTTTGAAGGGTACCACGACTTCACGACATTCAAGAAGTTTGACAAACTGAAACAGCACAAGCATAACAGAAGATATATTTATTCTATTAATGTGCGACCAGGACAGCCAATTGTTACAAGCTACACCAATACCCAAACTCGTAATTTTGACTATTGGGATGTTGAAATAAAGGGACATTCATTTGTGCATAACCAGGTGATATAATTATTTAAAAATAATGTATAATCATATTATATTGTTACAACATTTTTTTATAATAAAATCTGGCTATTCAACATTGGGTTATGCTCTTCCTTATGCACTTTAATTAGTAATAATTTCTTATAGTGGTTAAATTATATTTTGTAGATACGGCGTATGGTTGGATCTCTTATCACTGTGGCAAGTGGTAAAATAGAACCAAAGGACATAAAGTTAATGCTTCAAATACCCTCAAAACATTCATGGATCAGTCAGATTACATCTATTCCACCCAATGGACTTTATCTTTGTAATGTTGAGTATAAACCTGAGGATTTAATATATAATTCTAAAAATGACAATGAAATAGTATCCGGAAACTAAAGGACTCTTATAACTATAACTTGGATAAATATTACTAAAATGGATCTTATTGCTGGTCAAAAAAATCCAAATAAAAACCAAAAACGACGTAACAGGTGAGATTATAGGAAAATTAAAATCTATAGGAAGTACTTTATGGAAAAGAAAGAAAATTTGCAAATATTGACAAGTTTCAGTATTCTATACTTATCCTGCTTGGAAGATAATAGGTTTACATCAAGACAGAGCATTCATAATTAATGAGGTGATGTCAGAATTGTACAATTAAACATTTTGATAGGGCAAATGTACATTTGTATGTATCAGGTAAATATTACCTTCAAATAATTTTTCATAGACAAAATGAGCTTTCTAAGCGAATTAAAGAAACAAAAAGAAAAACTTAAAGAGACATCAACAGTGGTAACAAATGTTGATGGTAAACAGTACTTAAAGACTGGACAAGATATTAAAGAGATTAATAAAAATGCATATGGCTTTGTTGTTGATACTAAGCCAGATGATATACCAGTTTTGATCGTTGATAATTTATATATCGGATCACAAGATTGTGCTGTAGATAGTGTTTTAGAGAAATACAATATTGTACATGTGTTAAGTTTAGGTGTAGATGTAAATATAAAAGGGAAAAATAAATTTATTTATTTACTAGATTTGCCTGAATCTGATGTTAGATTAGTTTTAAAAGAAAGTTTGTTGTTTATGAATGAGGCTATAGAGAAGAAAGAAAATGTATTAGTACATTGTAATGCAGGTGTGTCTAGGACATCTTTGGTAGCAATTGCTTATTTAATGCACTATGAGAATATGGCGTTTGAAGACTCATATAATTTGGTGAAGAGCAAAAGACCTTGTATAAGACCTAATGATGGATTTGTAAAACAATTACGAATGATGGTACCTGGGGGAATTTTGTAGTGTTTTAACAAAAGTATGTATGAAGATGGTAATTAATTAAATAATATACTTTGACTCATTATGTGAATAAATAAGTTTGATGTACTATTCGCCTTTTATTTAATAATTATTCCTTAAAATAACTCTTGCTAATGTTATTAGATTGAGTTTTAAGTATGAGGTTCCGTAACAAAATATGCGTTCAGACACTTTTCTACGTTAGTTGCATTGCCCGTTTTTTTTAATAAAAAAAGTAGATTTTTACTTGTACCTTACCTAAGATACGCTCGTTCGTTACGATTTTTCTATAAATGTAAGAGCCAGTAATTTTTGTATAAAGTGGTTTTTACTAAACAAAATATGTACACAGATTAAGAGGAACATTAAAAGGAAATTATGAATAAAAATGCAATTTGAAACAAAACTGTATATTCTAATAAATAAGGGAATAAGTACATACGCCGTGCTGTACAATGTCAAACAATGAGGTTCCATTAAGCAAACTTAGCGCTCAACTTCAATACTCTTTCAATAGGAGACGGAAATAAGATTTCACCTTTCGTAGTATGATACATTCTATGAAAAAAATCAAAAGCTGTTGAATTGCTACGTATTAACGTAACGTTTTTCATAAGTCATTAAATAAATAAAAACCGGCCTATAAAATATGAATTGTATTGACGTTTAACGCTAATAAAACTGTATAATATATTGTTCCACCCTGTATATATGGTGTAACATATTGTCATTTAGTTCTATAAAAATCTTATAACTAACATCTTACTGGAAGCGCTATGTAAGTACAATTTTTCAATAGCACCGATTTCATAAGTTCATTATAATTAATTTATACTTGGCAACTGGGCAGTGGGGCGTCTATTATAAATAGCTATTTGTCTAGGTTCGTCCGTTATTTTCCGGTGGGTAATTAATATTTTAATAACACATACAGTGTATCAGGTAATTTATCTGAAGTATGTAAGTTAATTCTTACGTTAATTACCTAGTCAACGAATTTTGGAACGCTCGCCTATTGTTAATATTTAAATCCAATTATTTGTCATTTAAGTACACAATATATACAGATAACACCGAATGTTAAATTTCATAAATTACGCAAAAACAATAATTATGTTTTGGTATAGGTATACATGATTCAAACAATTGGTAATAATATTTCAAATAATCAAAAATTTTGTGCAAAAAATCAAACTTAAGAGTATTTTCATGTTTTACACTAAACATGACCAGATTTCAGTCTTCGATCTAAAAATCTCAATCTGAAATAATCTTATATACAAATAAAATCCAATTTAATAATAATCAACATTTCAATCGTCTCACGCATTTTAAACTTAACCTAAAAACAACAATTATATAATTCAATATTTATAAAGAAATTGTACTTATTAAGTAATTTGTCTTTTTACGAAAAAAATCCTCAAAAAATTACAACCGAAAATTATTATTGGACGTCTGATTTATCACAACACAAGTTTATAACACTAATTTCTGAGCTTAAACTGGCTTCGTATTATGACTTAGTTAAGGAATGTAAACACACAAACACAATCCGTTGACATTTTTCAAGTCAATTAAAACTAATGGACATCAGCAAACACTAAAATAAAGACTTTAAATTAAACGTATAGAGTGCTATTCAGCAATCATAGTTAACGGGAGACTGTCATAACAAGTTGACAGTTAAAGTTTTCAAATGTGTAGAACTTCACAGATGTCGCCATTATAAATAAAGTGAAGTGAAGTGAACTCGCGTAAACCAAAGACAATATTAATTTGAACATTCCTAGTTTAAAAATGTCTTTTAAAAGACTATAAACAATTCTAGAGCCAAAATTCATTCCGATATAACGGCGTTAAATATTGTGGCTTATGGACGTTTCACTAATATTTTTAAACTAGACCGACATCGAGTTAAATAAATATTGTTTTGATTACACCAAACTTGCGAATTATTATAGAGTCTATCCGATATATATGTCACCGTAAAATTGTAAACACCGTTAGATTGTAATCTATCTCGCGAGATTGTAAACTGTCGAAAGATTGTGAACTCAACGTACTGCTTACAATTTAACGTATTATTATTCGGTAGATTGTAATCTGTCGAAGTGAAACCGTCACATTGTGAAATGGCCATTTTCTACTTTTCTATTGGTTATAAGTTATGTGACATTCTCGTTTTCTATTCGTTATAAGTGATGTGACATTCTCGGTAAATTAATCGGATCGATTATTTCCTCATTTGTTATTTTTAAAGTTGAACCTAATCAAATCGATTATTCCCTCATTTGTTAATTTTAAATTTAAACCTAATTTAACCATTACATTAACTTCATGTTTCAATTAGTGTATGGTTCCGAAAAATTTTAAATTATTCAAAAAGTACCCAAAACCGAATCAGAGCACCCCACTATCCACGTGGTCTTGTCTGCCCTACCCCTAGAGTGTATATAAAAAAATCGGAGGCGCAGTGGAAGAGCAGCCCCCACCCGCTGTAACAAAGCACAGGCATTATGCAAGCCGTAGCGGCTAAGGCTGGTCCAAAAAGCCAAAGCTGCGGAGGCTTGAATAAATTGCCTGTGCTTTGGTACGCAAGGGTGGAGGGGCTGCATTTCCCGTAGCGCCGGTGCTGTCCAAAAACTGTATTATTATTCGGTTAGGTTAGGTTAGTATATTAATATTTTTTTTTAAATAACTGATCAACTGAAACTCGAAATCGAATACAAAAACGAATACAAAAATCGATTTTCACTTTTAATTTTTTTAAATAGATTATTTTTGAATAATTTCAAAATTTTCGGAACCCTACACTAATTGAAACATGAAGTTAATGTAATGTATGTACATTTGACAAGTAATGGTTAAATTAGGTTTAAATTTAAAATTAACAAATGAGGAAATAATCCATTCGATTAGGTTCAAATTTAAAATTAACAAATGAGGAAATAATCGATTCGATTAATTTACCGAGAATGTCACATCACTTATAACCAATAGAAAACGAGAATGTCACATCTCTTACAACCAATAGAAAAGTAGGAAATGGCCGTTTCACAATTTGACGGTTTCACTTCGATAGATTACAATCTACCGAATAATAATACGTTAAATTGTAAGCAGTACGCTGAGGTTCACAATATTTCGACAGTTTATAATCTCGCGAGATAGATTACAATCTAACGGTTTTTACAATTTTACGTTAACATATAGACGATTACGTCATTGTTGTCCTAATAATTAATATATTGTATTTTTATTAATAGATGTAATAATACATAATAATTAGGTACATTATTTCGCATAATCGACAGGCTGGTACTCTTTTAACACAGACTCATCTCAATTTTTAAAGGCTAATAAACCTATTAACGTCTGGGACTATAAATAAATATATTTAACATTTGAAAAGACAAAGTTGATGCTTGGATATGTGGAAATGCTACACAAATTCGATTGGCGTTCGAGAATCGCGACTGTGCTAATTTTGATGACTACGGACAATACAACCCGTCTTCAATTAATACTAAAAGAAAGTATTTTTGTTGGTTCTTCAATAATTTAATAATTCCTGAAGTGGTATGGTATTGACTTGTTGCAATAAATTCAATTTGTTGCATTAAATTTAGCCATAATATTTCATCTAAATTATTTCCAAATTTCAACTACAAACACGTGTACACGTGTAGACAAACATTAAATAATTGTACCATTTATATGGAAATATATTTTAAAGTTTCACCAGATTTAGCACCACCAACCTGGTTATAAAGAAATATAATTTTCTCCACTTCACAATTAACCAAAATTTCGAGTCCAGCAGGCTTACCCCGTAATAATTTATAATAGCGATTTCAATTCCAATACTAAACTCAGCAATTCAAAGTTAAATCCGCGCTACGAATACATGTAGTACTACATCGTTTCTTCTTAATTTCTATGCTTATCATAATATAGAGTAGGCCTGCTGACTCGTTATAAATTACATAAATTAATCAGAGTTGATTCAGGCTTGAATTAAAAGCTCTTGAGAGTGAGTCCTCTTGCTGGCAAGCTGTTGGCTTTAGCAGGAGCGTCTCTCGCTTGCGAGTGAGCGACTGCTATACTGAGGCACTGCACCCATTCCTCGGCATTCTTACCATCTTTGGGCTTGAGGATCAGGGTTTGATCTCCGGTAAAAATCTCAAACGCTTTCGGGATATTTCTGGCCCCGCGGGACACTTTTACTGACCGGATCTGGTTGATGTCTATGCTTTCTCCACCGCTCTATAGAAAATGCGTAATATAGCGGAGTCGGCACGAAAAGGTATTTTATGGGAGATCTTAGAATTACTACAGGACAGATGTTTGGCATCAATCCCACCTGATGTGAAATAAGATACGGCCTATTGGAGGGCACTGTTCCGGAGATGCCTATTTAGCTGCCCCTTGAAATAATTCTTGTTTATGGAATATTGAGGGTGCAATGAGTCCCTTTATGTGAAACTATTGTCCCCCTTAAGCCGTGGCGTTTTATTAGTGCTAGGCCAGTGTTGGCCTAGTGGCTTCAGCGTGCGACTCTCATCCCTGAGGTCGTAGGTTCGAGCCCCAGCTGTGCACTTTTGTGTATTTATCATTCCCACCAACGGTTAAGGAAAACATCGTGAGGAAACCAACTTGTAAGACCCAAAAAGTCGAGGCACAGAAGGCTTATCACCTACTTGCCTATTAGATTGACAAATGATCATGAAACAGATACAAAAATCTGAGGACAAGCCTATAAAGGTTGTAGTGCCACTTATGTATAAAAGAAATTTAAAACCGATAATAGAACTAATCCTTAAATAGCTTTTCTTTACTTTGCTTCTAAAATATCAAGGTAAAATCTTAGTATGACTTATCAAAACCTTAATTTTTGGGAATCAAACAACACATCTAATATTCTCACTTACCGATCCTTTACAAGAGAGATGCGCGCCCGACAATGTGAAGTACCTTGTTCTCCATCGTCGGAACAGCCTCCATCTCCCCTTTTTCTCCTTCAACTGTCCTTCTATAACTGGTTGGCCATCTGCTGCCAGAAAACCCACAGCTCTGTCCGGGTGCGTACAAAGGAAACAGCCCCACGCCCCACCAGCACTAACTTCGAATACGTCGAAGAAACCCGCCGCGCGTAACTCGTTCACCAACATTTCTTGTTCCTATAAGAAAACGTTTCGGGATAATTATGTTATGGCATATTCATTATTAAATAGCGTGAGCCGCAATTGTTATTGTTATTGCGTGTTGTTCCCACGAGAATGTAAGTGCGTGCTCGTATTTAGGCTATGTTCAGATGGCAAAAATTTTCGTTTTCAAATCGCGCGACTAGACATTGTGGTATTTTCATACAACTGTTCACATGAGCGCGCGTTAACGAGCGTCAGCGAGCGTTAACGCGGCGCTCAGAGAAAAAGTCTCTAGACGCAGGTGATCGCGCGTTGTCGCGCGCTTTGATATTAATGTAATGTCCGTTTGCTGTTCAGTTGAGCGCGCGCTTTCATCGCGATCGCATGTAAATTTCGTAATTATATTTTGTTTTCGCATTTAAAATGAGTGAAATTGAAGATATTGACATCGACTTACTAATCGATGAAGTAGAAAAAAGGCCAGCAATTTTAAATATAGGTTCGGAATCCTATAAAAACAAAATTTTGAAACGACGTGCTTGGGAAGAATTTTCTACGTTCTACCGAACTAGACTGACTAGTACTCTCGCAACGCGCATTAGCGCTCATCATCTGAACTCTCTTCAAATTTGATCGCGCGTTACATGTGAATATAGCCTTAACCATGCCTTCTGCTGATAGAGGACAAATCTTTGATATTAATTTATTTAATTATTATTTATTACTTAAGATGTCATGTGGAACATAGTGTAATGGTTGCAGCTCCTTACAAACGTTGTGTAAAAAAAAACTTGGCGATTAAAAAGAGTGGCGGAAAGTTTATTGCCAGTTCTTCTCTTCCGTTCTACGCCCTTGATTTGAGAACTGGCAGTAAATGTAAAATTTGTATGTAGTTTTTTTTTAGCATAAGAACCTACGTGACGCCCAAAAAGGCAGGTACGCAGCCCATGGACACCCATTTTAGTGGATGCGTTGCCGGCCTTTGAGGGATATCATAAAATAATATTCAGAAACTCCAAACTTACAATAAATTGAAATTAATTATTATTTATTGTGTATTCTTTTTCGAACCCAATTTTTTATAAAAAACCTTTTTTATTAAAGGTGTTGAATTAATTTTTGTGAAGTATATATATATGCATTTTCTAGAATATCTAATAAACTGACCTTTAACCCCGGAAAAGCGCTCGTAACGAGTGTGAGAAAGGTCTTGTTCTCGCACTTGAGTATATCCCAGCAGTGTTTGAGACTGGCCACCGTGGGGTCTCTCGAGGACAAGGCAGCCGTGTGCCTTGCCTGTAATGCTAGGAACATGAGATGTATCCAGACGCGGGGCGCGCGCGTACGCAACGAGAACGCACCGCGTGCGTACAAGCAATGAGGCCCGCGACGCCCGCAAGCGAATTGTAGGCGAGCTTGCTTTTTGGAACGACGCTCTGTGGATTTGTCAACCATTTAAGAAAATATATAATATATACTGATAATTTTAAAACATCTAATAACTGTATCAAAAGTTTACAAATGTAGCTTTCTTAAAGCCTTTATTAAAATCCCTGCAAATTACTGTTTCTCTTCTAAATGTTGTTAAAATAAAATCAGAAACTGCGATTTCCAAACAAGAAAAAACAAAATATACAGTGTAATCTCTTTATTTTTTCGTTATATAGAGTAGTCGTTATAGGGTCAGAATAGAAAAAAACAAATTTAACCAATTACAATAATTTCTAATTTGATTACAATCAATAGGTAAATTATTCTATATACATAACGCTTTTTTTTAACTGGCCATCTTGACAGTTTCAAAGTTAGTTTACGACTAATAATACACGATAGTTGACGGTGGTGCGTTTAGTAACTGAGACCAAAATTTCCTACAGGCAGAGTAATCTAAGAATGGCACACGTGTTAATGCAATTAGCAATAACAAAGGCGAGACGGCTGTTTATGAAATTTAGGCACCTCAAAAGATTAGTTTTGTAAGCTGATTATAAAAACTTACACTTAAGTATGTTGTTGATGTCTAAATATGAAAATATTTCTTCCTAACAGAGAATGCCTGTTTGCGTTATAAAGAGTGCATTAATGTACGGGTATTGAGTGAAGCCAAAGAAATGTAGCTATTTTTACGTTATAGTGAGATTTTCGTTATTACCAATGACGTTATAAAGAGTTTATACTGTACTTGACATTTCCATTCGTATTTTTTAAAATAAATTACATAATAATTATTATATTTACCTTCAATAGTACACTTGGCAGGTGGAGGTATCCTCATGGACACATTATCCATATAAGCCTTAATCTTATCCAAATGCTTCTCGCAGAAGTGTTGTACCGTATCCCGCATCGGGTAAGGCTCAAAAACCGATATTCGATGATTCCCATCACTATTATTCGTATTTATCATCGTCACACTAGTATTATTCGCTCTACGGGACGTCACTGTCACCGGGCCGGATATGGAGACCGGGTTTGATCCTATTTGGGTCAAGATCGGTCCCGTTTGCGTCAAAATTGGTCCCGTGTGTGAGCTGATCACTGATACTTGGCCGAGAGCTGTATTGGAATGTTGGATGGAGACCGAGGAAGTTATGGGAGTGATGTCTGATGATTTGCCAATAAGAGGGTTTACCGATATTGATTGGGAAGAAAAAGGGGGCGAAGTTGTTGATGTCTGCAAGTAAAATATTTTAATTTTCCGATAAGTTATAGATAATATTGTCTTTGGTACACACATTTAAATTAAACTTTAAAAAAAAACGTGAATTATTCGAAGAGTGAGAGGGAACATCGAGTAATATTCGAGTTTAAATTCGATAAAAAGTGAAAATAAAGCAGATTAATTCATGATTACTATTAATTCCCATATAACACTTGCCTGGCCTGGTTCGTCGTAGTATAGAGATTGTAAAAATCTAAAGATTTACCCCCTTATTTATAAGAACTAAATAAGATTAATTGCACCATATCCATAAATTACACTCCCACATTCACTCACATGCACACACGCGTAACGCGTCGCGTGTGCTGTTAAAAATTTGGAAAGAGTTTGTTGTAATAAGAAAAGGATTCCCAAATCTTACACATTGTAATCCACATCTACTTATAATTCAAAAAACAGTTTTTTTTTCATTTCAACTTCAGTACTGAAGTTTTTTTTTACCACAGCGTAAATACAGTTTGACAGAAAAAAACTATAAATACGAATAGTACTTTAGCAAAAAGGGACTTATTTAGTGTTGATTAATAAGGGGATAAGAGGTTGAATGAGTTGATTTTAATTTTTTATAAGAAATTAAAGAAAGACGAATGCAAAGACGGCCTATGAGTATCAAGCACTTTCCTTTACATAATCAGATATTTATGTTATAACCTTTAGAAGAAGCAATAAAAAAGTTTTATTAACAATTACACTGTAACTAAAGCTAATATATATTTTAACTAGCCGTTTCGCGCCCGATTGCTGGACGAATTAAAATAAATTTTATGTTTCATTATTTTATTTTTTTTCATATTTTTATTATTCTTCTTTTTAACTTCCCGCTAAGAAAATTGAAATATTTCGAAAATCGAGTTTTTAACAGATGTTGACGTTTAGAGGTTCTAGGAAGCCTCCCCGAATGTTTCCGCGGTGAAGTCCGTATGGATAAATTTTCATAAAAGTAAAACAGCAATAAAAAAATGAAGGAACGTTGGAATTTAATAAATAAATAGCCATAAACCATCTAGGAAAAATTTCGCATCGAATGGTGGTAGTTTCATGTCAGTGGTTTAGGCGTGAAGGAGCCTCAAACGAAGACCATTTTTCTTTTATATATATAGACTGACGCTTACAACAACTGTATATTATCAATAAATATTATTTTCTTTGTATGTGGTATATATATAATGAGAATGATCTCTTTAATTTGAATATTCGCGCGCACTGCTAGTTCGTGAGTGAGCCGCGTCGTGTCACGTCAAGCTAGCTGACATTGTCAAAGATGTAAAGGGCAAATATGCTGAGATTGTTGAATTGTATTTTAATCTTATTTGTAAATTAATTTAATACTTAGTTAAGCTATATGCATCGAGAGGTGATAACAATGAACTTTTATTGTCGTTTCTTTATTTACAGGTAAGATTGTGTTAGTCTTGTAAGGATTGTATCAGTGTGTAACCTACTCGATAAATAAAATTGCATTCTTTATTTACAGAGAAACAAATAGAAGTTTTATTTAGCCTCTTGTTTGCTATTGAAATACAGACTATTGTCTTATAAAACGACAATACTTGTTTATAATGGCACAAAAATTGCAGTTTGCATTTAAGCTTGAAGCATCACAAACTGACAATAAGACGAGTGTAATTGCCATAACCTCAATTACAACAGAAGATGACAAAAAGTATACACTGTCTGAGACTGATAAATACGCGAGTCGTCACATAGCATTAACAAAAACAGAAACCTACAAAAGAGTGAGAAAAAGTTTAAATCAAAGAGGTCAAGAAAGAACAATATGGATGACATGTACAGAAGAAATGATTCAAGCCTATTTTGATGAAGATAATAATTTAATGTTTAACGACCTATATTTAAAAGAAGAAAAAAAACAAACAGATATTGTAGAATCCACACAGCAGAAAAAGGGTCTACTAAATTTGAAAAATATATCAGAAAGATTCATGATTGAGAAATTTGTATGTAAATTCTCAAATGCGAAACAATGGATAGAAATATTCGAGAATGAATGTAAACGATTTGAGATTGAGGAAGATACAACAAAGATAGAAATATTAAGATTATTTTTGGACAAAACATGTGCAGATTGGCACTCGGCAACATTGAAGACTTTGAAAATCGAGGCTGGATGGTCCGAGTGGAAAAATAAATTTTTGGACACATTTGCCGATAAAGGATGGAGTTCGGGAATGTATGCCATATTTTACAAATATAAAGAAGGATCACTGATGGAATACGCCATTAGAAAAGAAAAGTTATTATTAGATATGGATGAAAATATTGGCGGGAAAAGTCTGGTCACACTTATAGCAGCCGGCTTACCTGAATTTATTAGAAACAGAATTGATCCTGAAAAGTGTGAAACCTCAACAAGATTGCTTCATGAAATAAGTAAATGTAAAAGTTTGGTAAATAATAAAAACTTCAAAATAAAAAAGGAAGAAAAAGATGACAATAAGAAATACAGTTTAGGAAAAAAACCATGCAAAACCTGTCAGTGTTTAAATAAGGGTAATCGATACCACCCAGAACAGTCTTGTTGGTTTAAAAAAGAAGGGGCAGATAACAAAAGGATTGGAAGTAATTCGGTTATAGAAGTAAATCTAAGCGAAGAGACAAAAAACGAGTAATCACACCATTGATAAAAATAAATATGTTATTAGAAGACAATATACAAATAAATGGAATATATGATTCAGGCTCACAAGTGTCTCTGATAAACAAAAGGTTAGTTAGAACACAGAATGATTCTGTGGATACAAATAGAATATTATTAAGAACTGTCAATGGTGTGACATACACAAAAGGTTTAATAAGAATAAAAGTAAAGATTTTTGATATAGAAGAATATGTTGATGTTTTTATTGTAGACAAACTGGATTTTGAAGATTTCATTATAGGACTAGATATGATAAAAAAATTTAAATTAGCTCAAAATGAAGATTTAAAAATTTTACAAAAGACAAAGAGGGAGATAAATACTATGAATGCATTTGAAGAGATAGAGGAAATTAAAGTCAATTTTAATGAGCATGTGAATAAAAATGACTTCATAACAAATCTACATCACTTGGACAATATCAAAAAGTCCCGAATACACAATTTAATAGAGAATTATAATACTATATTTGCCAAAGACAAATATGATGTAGGTACAGTAACAGATTATGAAGCCCGGATAGACTTAATGGTGGACAAGTACTGTAGCAAAAGACCATATCGTTGCACATTAGAAGACAAAATAGAAATAGAAAAACAGGTGGGTAATTTACTAAAAAATAACTTAATTGAGGAATCATACAGCCCATTCGCAGCACCAGTTACCTTGGCATTTAAAAGAGACGAAAATACAAAATCGAGACTCTGTATTGATTTTCGTGAACTAAACAAGATAGTCATACCACAAGCACAACCATTTCCATTGATAAGCGACTTGATTGTTAAAGCAAGAAATTGTAAATATTTTACCACACTGGACATAAATTCCGCGTTTTGGTCTATACCACTACGTATTGAGGACAGACAAAAGACAGGATTTGTCACACAGGATGGACATTATCAATGGACTTGCCTACCATTTGGATTGAAAACATCACCTGCCATTTTCCAGAGAATTTTATCAAATATATTAAGAAATAATAACTTGAAAAACTTCACAGAAAATTACATTGATGATATCTTAATATTTTCACAATCGTTTGAAGAACATATAGATCACATAGAAAAAGTACTCAAAGCAATAATAAAAGAAGGATTCAGATTAAAATTTAAAAAATGCACATTTGCAGCAACATCAGTGAAATACCTAGGACATATAATAGGAAATAATACGGTAAAACCGCTCAAAGATAACATTATTTCAATAAGAAATTTCCCAACACCCAAAACCCGAAAGAATATTAGACAGTTTCTGGGAAAGATTAACTTTTACCACGAATACATACCAAATAGTTCGATATTATTGGATCCACTACATAAATTATTGAGGAAAGATGCCCAGTTTATATGGTCAGAAGAATGTGAAGAAACTTTTTCTAATATAAAAAATATATTATGCTCACAACCGGTACTCGAAATATTTGATAAAGACCTGCCTATTACAATTTACACGGATGCCTCGTTGAATGGTATAGGTGCAATATTAAAACAGATTCAAAAAAATGGTAAAGAAAAACCAGTTGGTTATTTTTCAAAAAAACTCAATGATTCACAAAAAAGAAAGAAGGCAATATACCTTGAATGCTTGGCAATAAAAGAAGCTATCAAATACTGGCAATATTGGTTGATTGGAAGAAAGTTCACCGTTTTTTCGGATCACAAACCACTAGAAAACCTCAACATAAAGGCTAGAACAGACGATGAACTTGGTGAATTAACTTTTTATTTGTCACAATATGACTTCAACATCAAATATATTCCGGGGAAGAATAATACGGAAGCAGACAGTCTCAGTAGAAACCCAGTATTAGAAGATAATGATAATGATGAAGAAATTTTAAAAATGGTGAATCTGATAACAATAGATGATATTAAGGCAGATCAGCAGAAAAACGAGAAAATAAAGGAAAAGAAAACCAAAATAATCGAAAGAAATGGGATACTATACAAAAAAGATCGAAACAGAGAAAAAGTTATATTATCTGAAGAAGCGAGTGTGAAATTAATAAAGGAAACACACACCGAATGGTGTCATTTAGGGATCAACCAAATGATAAATAAAATCAGTCCTTATTATACAGCAAAGAATTTAACGAGAAACATTAAAAGAATATGCAAAAATTGTGAAACCTGTATAAAAAATAAATCGAGAGGCCAGGATAAATACGGATTAATGTCACATCTGGGACCAGCCGAAAAACCATTTCAGATAATGTCGATAGATACCATTGGTGGCTTTGGAGGACAAAGATCAACAAAGAAATACCTACATTTGTTAGTTGATCATTTTACAAGATTTGCGTTCATTCTGACATCAAAAACGCAAAATGCTTCAGATTTCATCAAGTTAGTAAAAAAAGTTCTGGAGACGGAAAACATTGAGATATTACTAGCAGATCAGTATCCAGGATTAAATTCAAAAGAATTCAAAGAATTTTTGACAGATAATGATGTAAAACTAATATTTACTGCGGTAGATACACCATTTTCAAACGGACTCAACGAAAGATTGAACCAAACACTGGTTAACAAAATGAGGTGCAAAATAAATCAGAAGAATGAAAAGAAATCCTGGACGTCAATTGCAAGAGAATGTATAGATAAGTATAATGAAACCGAGCACACAGTGACAGGCTTTGCACCAGTATATCTATTAGAAGGAAAAGTCACCAGTATTTTGCCACAAGAACTACGACAACCATTAGATACAGAAACATGGGTTCAAAATAGACAACAAGCACTTGAAAGATCAATTAGATCACATGCATATAATAAGAAATTATTTGATAAAGGCAGAACACAATGGGAATTCAACATAGGAGAACTGGTATATGTTGAAAACGGAAACAAATTAAATAGGAAGAAAATGGACAATTTAAGAATCGGCCCATTTGAAATAACAGACAAAATATCGAATACAATATACAAAATAAACACAGGCAGAACAAAAACTAATACAAGCTTATACCATATAACAAAACTTATTCGAATGGACGGTGGAATAAATGATGGATAACGCTGAATAATATGTACGGCTACCATGAGAATTACTGGAGCAATTCTCATCCTGGAGGAGGGAGATGTAAAGAGAATGATCTCTTTAATTTGAATATTCGCGCGCACTGCTAGTTCGTGAGTGAGCCGCGTCGTGTCACGTCAAGCTAGCTGACATTGTCAAAGATGTAAAGGGCAAATATGCTGAGATTGTTGAATTGTATTTTAATCTTATTTGTAAATTAATTTAATACTTAGTTAAGCTATATGCATCGAGAGGTGATAACAATGAACTTTTATTGTCGTTTCTTTATTTACAGGTAAGATTGTGTTAGTCTTGTAAGGATTGTATCAGTGTGTAACCTACTCGATAAATAAAATTGCATTCTTTATTTACAGAGAAACAAATAGAAGTTTTATTTAGCCTCTTGTTTGCTATTGAAATACAGACTATTGTCTTATATATATATAATGATTAAGCAGTGTTCACTCTCATGAGTCGCACGGTGAAGCCACTGGGCCACTCTAGGATGGTAGGTTCGATCCCAGGCTGTGCACCAATGGACTTTGTTTCTATATGCGCATTTAACGTTCGCTCGAACGGTGAAGGAAAACATCGTGAGGCAACCGGCTTGCCTTAGATCCAAAAAGTCGATGGCGGTAAGGCACAGAAGGCTGATCACCTACTTGCCTGTTAGATTGACAAATGATCATGAAACATAAACAAAAAACTGAGGCACAGACCTAAATGGTTGTAGCGACGCTGAAAAAAACTATAGTCTATATAAGTTGATTTTCAGAAATAGTTATGCCTTACCGATCCCTGAGTTGCACCACTTATAGCTTTGCTCACGATGTTTTTGTTTGGAACTGAAAGAATAGTTTTGCCTTAAGAATTATTCTTTTAATAATTTTTATAGTACTACTTTTTTTCCTTTTTTTGCATAATAATTATAATTCAATATGGATATATCTACGTCATATAGATTTATAAGGATATTTTATTTTGTATTCAATATATAGAACAAGGGGAAACGGGCAGAAGGCTTTACATACTATTGTTTACTAGTCGGAATTTAAAATATTTCTAGCCCTGATTGCCCTTTCCTAAATCCGGCCCTGGGTAGGCTCTTTTCTTAAAGGACCCTAAGTCGATTCAAAAATACTCCAATTTGACTTTACTTTAATTAACTGTTTTGGCAAGTATAAACACTAAATTGTATTAAATATCCCAATGAATTTATGGAAATGAAAAGAATGATACCTGGTGCTGGAAGGTTGGCGTTTTGTGCATTAATCTGTTGTGAGGAGGAAAGTCGCGTCATGCTCTTGTGTAGCCCGCCCACTGAACCACCTATTTGCAAAAACGTATCTTATGAGTTCCACATAAGATTTATATTCACATACATGCCTATTATAATACAAGGTGCTTTTAATAGTAATGTGTCATTAAGGGGATTGACGTAATGACGTAAATGTCAAATCCATTCATATTGGTCAGGGGCCTTAGTCAAGATGCCTTAACAGTAGTGTATGTAGAAAGTCAAAAACTAAATTTGTATGAAAACTTTTCGACACGAACTGTCATTTCCATACAAATTTAGTTTATGACTTTCTACATACACTACTGTTAAGGCATCTTGACTAAGGCCCCAGGTGCAATAATACCATAAACAAAAACCACCACAGATGAAACATTGATATAGAGTATAATAACACTATTTTATGACTATTGAAGTGAAACTTCTTTATCGACGTTGTAAAAAAATTTACCGTCACATTTTTCGGTTACGCGCTATTTTCTTGTCCCTACCACAGTTGATTCGAAGAGATTCGAAGCCATTAATAACAAAAATATATAATAACAATGATAGTAATATTACAATTAATGAAATTCTGTAATAATCTTAGTAGTAAAATGAAATAATTGTATTATTTGTATTCATTTCTATGATAATAAAAGCCTTTTGTTAAACTTTATCTAATTTAACCAATTTCTGTAAAGTTGCATATAGATCATTTTTCGAAAAATAAGGTCATAAAGAAGTTTCACTTCTTACGTGTGTACACTAGTACACGCACACACTTTCTTATATTTAAAACTATTTGTTTGTCATGAAAGGTGCAGTATGATATGACAGTGATTGCGTTTATGATTTAAGTAATTTGAGTATCTTAATATTATTCTCATATGCATGTAACAAAATAATCGATAAGCTTCCAAACTTAGTTGGTATTTTTTTTCACCTCTAATGTAAACAGCTATATTTTGTGTCCTTTTAGATGAAGAAACAATGATCTTTTTAACATTGTCTTTTAAATAATCTACTGATAAGTCATTTACTTAAAATAATTAATAAAAATAACATTCTATTTTTTATTTTAGTATACCAATGAAACATATTTATATACAATTATTATTTTTAGTACTAACGTCTACCTCGGCTTCCCATCACTGGATCTTTTTTAAAGTTACAAATAAATATAGCTTCCGTGAAATAAATTATTAACTCGATCTAGTAGCCTTTGTGTTAATTCGTGAACGTACGATTCCACCAAAATAGCGTCCAACACATTTGTTTACAAACATTTTGTGTGTCACGAACTTGTTCACTGAGATGATTTCCTGCACAATATGGCAGGAAAACGTTGTGCTTTGTGCTGCAGCCTGTGTGTTATGTTGTGCGCGCAAAATTAAATGTTTTCGCATTGGTAGCGGAGGCAAGACTGAGTTCGCGAACAACGAGTTACGAGTGTGTGCGCGTCGACACGTGTCCACTACTTGTACCGTGTGCGCACACAAGTGCACAGTTGCGAAATTTGTTATTGTTCAAAATTCAAAACCATTTATTCATATATCACAATGTACACTTATGAACGTCAAAAAAGAAATATACATTACATGCTTCTAATTTTACATTTACTGCCAGTTCTCAAATCAAGGGTGTAGAACGGAAGAGAACTGGCAATAAACTCTCCGCCACTCTTTTTAATCGCCAACTTTTTTGTTTTACACATTGTAAGCTGCAACCATTACACCATGTTCCACATGACATCTTTAGTAATAAATAATAATAAAATAAATTAAAAACAAAGATTAGTCCTCTATCAGCAGGAGACATGGTGAAATAGGAGCACGCACTGTCGTGGGTGAGTCGACCAAAACAAACATTTGTGCCGTACAGTTCAGCACTAGTGGAACCGTACTTTCCTATTTATAACATAACTTACCAGCAACATTCAATCTTGTCATGCTCCTATGAGAATTAGGTCCCGGGTGTAATCTACCCGTACTTCGGGAATCGCCCAACTTAGCCCTTCTCGTGTACCCCACTGGGGCCCCAGTATTTACCGCCGGAGTCCCAGTATTACCCGAGGGTCCCAGGGCAACAGGACCTGGGGGCCCGGTTATTGGCCTTGTTATTATGTCGTTTGAATTCTGGTTAAGTTTAACGATGGTTACACCACCCGAGGTTCGGTTTATTTCGCCATGTGTTGATTTTGGGCGATTACTGTAACGGAATATTAGTTAACTTTTAGCCAAGTTTGCAGACCAGCGTCAGAAAAACTAAGCAAAGCTCTCAAAAATAATAGTACATAAACTCATAAATTTTTTGTGTGGGTAATATGTGTAAAAAAGTAAATAATTACCAAATCATTACCCCGTAATACTTGAACGGCCCCATGGTTTAAAGTTTTTTTTTATAATTATTTAAACTGTCTCAATAAATAAAGTCTTAGATTAATTGAAATATACGACAGCTATAAAATATAAGTCGGTTAATCGAATTATAAGTACACAAAATACATTGTAATTTGTAGTATTTATTAAAATAAAAATAATATAGTTTTTATTTATCAAAGACAAATATTACTAAGGAGATCGTGATATAAAACCTACCCATGGTTGGCTCGTAAGGCGGCAAGAAGTCGATCAGTAAATAAGGCAGGGTAAGCGCTACAAAGCGCGGTCGCTTCTCGGATTAAGCCCGCTTGCTCCGACCATTCCGCTCCGTGTAGCCGTTCAACTACAAAGTTCAAGGCTTCTTGGGCTCGTTCCTGTACAAACAAATCTTTATGTTTTCATATATAAGTAAATTAATTATTAATTATAATACAATACTCTGATTTTTAATTCCGTAGAATTCTGACAGCTATAATTTTTTGACATGACAGACATGACAGAGATGACAAACCTTTTCGCCAGTAACATTTTTCAATACGAGTCTGAACATCTGAGTCTATTCATACGTTTTATTTGTCAGTGAATGTATCCATTTTATTAAGTGCGGTGATCCACATTAAAAGTGGTTTTACGGCGAGTGATAATTTCGTCCCTTTTCATCACTAACAGTAAAAAAAAAACGCAAAAGTAAAGATAACATTTTATTTTTTAAAAGGTTTACTAAACCTGGAATTAGTTAAAGTTAAAGAATAATAAAATTAAGTAATTAAAGTTAATTCGATATATTGTTCGTGATATTGATATATTTGTTATCTTTGTATTAGGGCACTTGAGTAAGTAACTATTTAGATTTACCTTTTTGTAGGTAGAACATAAAAAATACGTCGCATTTAATTTTTTATTCCCTTCAAATGGGTCAAGTTTGTCCTCTTTTCGGTGGAGAACTTTTTTAGTAGCAACACTTATGAAATGTCAGAATTCTACGGAATCAAAAATCAGAGTATACTTTGGTCGCGAGTACTACACATTTAAATTATTATTTTTATAAAGCCAACCCATTGATGTAAACCCAAATTTGACATTAAATTTTTTTTTACAAAATAATTATTGCACATATTATATGAACAGGGTTGTCAAAACTTAAAACACAATTAATTAAAAGGAATACTGATAAATTAGGAATGTCTCACCCGACTAGTGGTTCCAAGACGAGCCAGTATAGTGGCGATAAGGGCAGCGCTTTGAGGGCTGGAGTGCGGCGGGCGGGCGGCGCGCTTTATCACTCCCGTCTGCTCCACCACTAGGGAAGGGCGGCTGGCGCTCACGCTGGCAATCACCTTGAAATAACATATTGTACACTTATGAGGGTCAAAAAAATGTGTTGCCAGTTCAAAAATCAAGACCGTAGAACTGATGAACTGGCAATTAAGTCAACGCCTCATTAATACTACTTTATTTTACAAAATACTTGAGGAGTTGTAACCTCGTTCTTCGTCTCCGTATGGACGAATGTTGATTGTTCATGTCATGTGTTAATTCTAAAAATAATTAAGCCTCTGTCAGCAGTATGCATAGCAAAATAGGGGCACGCACATTCAATATACCGAGAACAAAAGAGAGCAGTTCATATACACAAACTAAAGTCCGACCAATTGAAAAATATCAACTTTAAATTTAATTAAATCTGTAATATTAAGATGCTTCTCCAAAGAAATATTTTTTTAAAATAATTGTACCAAGTAATTACGAGTTTTAAAAGAAATATTAAGCAATTAAGCGCGCGAAATGTCAGGACAACGTTTTAAATTATGTATTCAATAATGGTGAAATTTTTCACATCATAAGATTAGTTATACTTGATTTCTTAGAATTAACAAACTAGAATTGAAATCTATTACATGCCTGTCTCACGTTTGTGCACATATTTAAATGGTTAACTGATTCACCATAAACAAATTATAATTAATTGCAAGAAAGTTGCATGGGTCTGATGCTAGCAAAGCGACCTTATCATAAGTTCTTATGTCATTTTCACATATATATGTCTTTTCTCCTTCAATTTAAAAAGACAAAAGCGGCTTTAAAACTCCTACAACTTTATAAGAAAAAAGAAATGCTCTGAAATCATATTTTATTTCAGTAATTAAATTAAATAATAAGTATTCCCTGTGGGAACTACAAGGGTCAACGGAGGATTGAACGATGCAAAAAAAAAAACTTACCTGAAGAAGATCAATGCACATGCAACCTGGGTCATTTTGAGGTGCAGTGTTCGGGCATAAATATGACAACAATTGCGGTACTGCAGTCTTTAAAGCTTCTGGCCTTCTTGATGCAATTTGTTCAAATAGACCAAAAAGCGAACTTTTCTCCACTGGTTCCGCATGAGGAAGCAATGCTACTAAAGCAGTAACATGCCCCTCGAGCGGCTCAGGACACACTTCATATAAATTGGTTAGGATGCGACATAGAGGGTAGTTGCCTGAAAGTAATATTGAGGGTAGAAATTACTAGGTCTGTTTAGATTAGATTTTTTTTTGTTTTAATATTTTTATGATACAGCATACAAAAATACATACAACCCCTAATTTTCACCCCTCTACGATCAACCCCTATTTTTTATTATGGTAGATAGTTATTTTTATTAAGTAAAAATATTTTTCCTAGAAATAATATACATAGAAAAACAAATGTTTTCCGGGTCAGTTAGTATAACTATATAATTAACACAGATATGAGGATTGTTTTAAATAAATGTAAATCTTTTTTTCTCCCTGAATTTCCTAGATTCTCTACATTTTGTGTCATGTTAGGCTATTTGGAAATCTATATTATATTTCTTGCAAACTTAACTCGAGAAAAAATGTGGCACAACCGTACCATATCATATACTATCAGTTAATATGAAACTATCTCTATTACCTGACATAATAGAGTCCATAATTGTTTGTACATGTGGTTTCAAAAGTCCTGCATGATGGACAGCCGCTAATGACAAATATCTAGCCATATGTCTGGATATCTCACGGTTTCCCTTATGCAAGAATTGTACAGCTACAGGAAGAAATAACTCCATAACTTCTGCAGTACTGCTTGTATCCTTTTCAGATTGTAAAGGGAATGATACCTGAAATAACACTCAATTTATAAATATAATCTTCTAGATGGTAGGTGAGGTTAACCATAATTCAGGGAAGCTTTAAAAAATAGTGGGATACAGGAACATTATATAGGGTGCAGACTTAATAAATTGATTACTACATTAAACTAGTGATTTTCAGTATATACCTGTATATAATATAGATGTTTAAATGAAATATTTTCAACATTATTTATATTAAAACATACATGTAATTCTAGTTAATACAATTCAATATAACATTATATTCTTCCTCATTATAATAATAATTAAGGATATTGCTGTTTTCTTTAGGGATATTAAATATTATTGTTATATTCGTCAGGCCTCAGTGTGTTTTCCTTTTCAGATAGAACATGATTAAGTTTACCTTAATTCTATTAAAATGTAATAACTAAGGAAATGTATGTTTTATAAAGGCTAAGTAAGAATAATATATAATTATATTTATATTAGAATTTACTTACAAGCACAATACAAGAAATTACATCGGAGGCAATTTTGGCATGTGGTGGATCATCATCTCTTAGATGTCCAACTGGCATAAGATTGTGATGAAGACAGGACTCTAGCAAAGCAACTAGTGCACTACAGTACTTTGCCAAAGTTCCAGTCTCTTTAATGCAGGATGTTACTCTTGTGACACATATTTCAATTAAAGCCTGGTCTCTATCATTACGAATGTAATCAGGTCTGGAGGAAATTTCGGTAATTTGTTTTAACTGAAAAAATAATAACTTTGTAATGAAAAGTCCTAATTCCATATCCAATAGATAAAGTTAAATTGCATCAGTTTTAATATTATACCTTCTAGTTAAAAGTTGATCTAATTCATTATGTGTATGTGGTGAAACTACATTGGATGTAGTATTTAAATAAATTTAATATATAGCCATGAATAGCTAAATAACCAAGTCAAATGGAGAACTTTAGCTAAATTAAAGCACTTGTGTCACATGAATTGATATGCAATTCTGTCATCTATATATACACACACATATATAATACATTCTATAGATAGATACTTTCACAAATATATTTTTTGTGAATGAGTACCATATAAAGGCTAGAATAAAATTAATAATATGACATTTAAAACTCAACCCAACTTCATTGACTTAAGTATTTTAATTTTAAATTGCACTTACGACTTCGTTGATATCGTTGACGATGTCAGAATCGGGAATTGCGAATATGTCCCCTGCACGAGTGAGGTCGCGCTCAGTAAGCACGTGCTTCAGCAATTCGTGCATATTGCTGGATCAACAACTAAAAGTATCATCTAATGCATACAATCCACAACATTCCACTTTTTGGACACATCAACACCGCCTACATAAAACTTGTTTAACGCTTCGTTACAGTTACCTAATAATGTTAATAACACATAAAATCGATTATGAATGAAATAAATAAGAAACCTACAATGTTTTTTGGACAATCCCCTCCCAATTCCCGTTCATAATTTCTGACCGAATTAAATAAGAATATTAGAATAAAATAAGGGAGTGCGCTTGAAAGTTGATATGCAAAATGCAACCAATACAAAATATTATTGACAGATGACAATTAACATATTCAACTTATAACAACCATGAAAACTTCAAACGGTCAATGATCGAGAAATCGGATACCTAGACCTAGAATAAATCCTAAACAAGATTTTGTCTCCTCAAATCGTGATTTACATTTAAATAATTATTTTTGTGATAAGCATTACGAAATAATTGCTAATAAAATTTCTATTCAAACAAAAAATAAAAATTTATTTTATTGACACCAAAGATGCATTGATTACCTATCACTTACAAGTTGAGTATAAGGATAAATTTATTTACATGTTTCCTTAACAAACAAGATAAAGTATATTGTCAAATTAAAATCAAATTCAGTCATAATTTCATTGTTTATTTTAATCCATACTATTATGTACATATCAATGATAATACAAAATTTATAATAAATTGTATAAGCCATAACTAATTAAATAATAAAAAAACAAGTTATTAAAACCTAATAACTAAATAAAAATTGTAGTTGTTCAGTAGTGAATAGAGTGATATTAATATGTTTATTCCTAAAAACTGATGTTAGTCTAATATTTAAGTCTTGTAAACCTCAGTCCTAAAACTATGATTTTGTGACAAGACTTCTCTTAATTTTTTTCGTTTTGGCATATACACAACATGTGTAGAAGAAAAATCTTTTTAGATTTTAAACCTAAAAACATCTAAATGAAACATACACCAAAATGGGTAAAATATAAAAGTAGGAGAATGAGGAGTGTAATGTTTGAATGTCTATAATTCAATGATGGATGTGTAGGTACTTGACATAGTAGGCTTTCGTAATCTTTGTTTATGTATGTCACAAGGCGAAGGAGTTGAAAAATCAAATACCTTAATACTGCGATTAATATTTTCATGTAAATATGGAGCTGCTACAGGCCTTAATCGTGATGTCAAAACTTTTCCAAATGTTGAAGGTTGGCCTTCACAAACTTTTTTACTTAATATATATGAAATATCAGATGTACAAGGCAAAGGGACCTCAGATATGTCTGAAATTTTTGTATCTTCAACACTATCAGTCAATTTCAGTTCAAAAAGTGATTCAAAGGAACTACTACTACTAAGCACTTCCTCATCTTTTACTTCTTGCCTTTCAAACTTATAAGGAGTTTTTACTGCTTTCATTAAATCAATAACATAATCACTATTGTCTATGAGGTTGAATTGTTGCATGTCTTTAACTAGTTTTTGATCTCTATCTTCTTGTTGTTTTCGCTCTTTAGTTTTTAGCATATTTGCTACCTGTTGAGCCAAAATATTTTTTATGGGACTTTCACTTACTCCAACAGTAAAAGGTGATGTAGGAAATCTTGGTGCTAAAGGAGTCTTAATCTGTCCTTCTGATGTACTACAGTTCGGAACATTTCCAAGTGATGGAAGAATAAATGTATTTTTAGGAGATTTATCAGAACGAATGCTCGTTTTGGACAAATGGCTGTCCACGAGTGCAAATAACGATGAATATTCTGTAGAATCTGCCATGTTTAGTATTGACGAAGAAAAAAGAAATCCCAAAACAAAACGTTGATTATTAAGTCACTTAACACACATTAAATACTCTATTTATAGATTAATAGACTCCATCTATTGTTCAATAAAAATGATGTTTTTCTATTTATTGTTTTTGTTTGGACTTGTATAAATAGTTACGACATAACTCATAACTGACAAAAAGGCATAAACATCACAGAATATGTAACTAACAAATTAAACGAAAACTATATATAGGTCTACCAGAATCTGATGGCAAACAAAAAGTTTAAAAATTAGCGATTTTCATATGGCAATAAAAGAAAAATTTCATATGTCAACTGAAATTTCGAGGAATTGTTTTTGGTTTGGCTTCAAATTTCCTTGAAAAAGTGATGAAAATGTCGAAGAAACCTCTTCGATCGCAAGCAAGACATATTGTTTTCAATGTTAATCAAAGAAAACTTGATCAACAAGATGCAGAACATACACAATCATCGATATTGAGCCATGTGCAAGCGTTGACTGGTTAGTAGGAATGACACGTCTTGATACTTTGGTTTATGAGATTTTTCGTGTGTATTATATTATGTACTTATACTAAACTTTGGTTTATTTCAGGGGTTTCTTATACTACAAATAAACTTGGATAGTTTTGATTTAGAATTGATCAGAAACAAGATAAATGAGTTTTACACTGTTTCTTTCTCTCAAATAGGGATCGATGAATGGCGAAAATCTTGTGAACATGTAATAAAAATTGAAAATCAGTTCATAGAACAAGATCGGTTAACACATAGTATTGTCTTTGATTAACATAACTTTTATTCATTTAATAAAACACTATTTTGACCACCGTGACCACGCACGCTGTAAAGCACGCGAAACGTCGGATAAATTTAAAATTATGTTAAATAGTTGTAAATTTATAATAATACATAACTTCAATCCGGTCAAAATAGTGTTTTATTAAAAGATCGGTTAATTTAGATGCAGGAGGAAAGGTTTATCATAAATACTGCGTTGAAGACTTTTTTATGGATGTGCAGTATTTGGAACCATTTTCAAGTTCTTAATTACCTAACTAATAAACTCATGAACAGAGTAATTGGAGATTTCATCTAAATTTCAAACCCCACATTCGCCACATTTTCAAAAATTATCCTTAATCATTGGATAAATTTTTATATTTGCATGTATCACACACAGAATCAGCCGCAATAAAAAAAAAATATCAAAACGTTTTACTCCAATTTCCCCAGTATTGCTAGCGTCAATTTCTTTTTTGCCTTTTTGCCATCAGATCCTGGGGCCTTAGTCAAGATGCTTTAACAGTAGTGTATGTAGAACGTCAAAAACTAAATTTGTATGAAAACTTTTCGACACGAACTGTCATTTCCATACAAATTAAGTTTACGACTTTCTACATACACTACTGTTAAGGCATCTTGACTAAGGCCCCTGGTAGACCTATAGTAATTAGTACAAAAGATTTCAAAACATAGATGTCGCCTTACAGACAGTATAACAGAGTACATTTGGTCTTTGAAAACATGAAACCAGGATAAGCTGTAAGGTACACCTGGCGCAGCGACATAAATTGGGTTCCGAAACTAGAGAACGTCACCTTTTCCGATAATGCATTAGTCCACAAAAACAAGGTTTAAGTCTAAGGGTTAGTACGTGTTGCTCTGTTGAAGGAAAGTGTCATGTCCTCATAATCCACGATGTGTAGAAGTAGGGTGTTCTTCTGCGGGGCCACCACCCAGGTTCACCAATGTGAAGGGAGGAAGGTTGCTGCTCCAACCTATATAGAAGATCCAGTCTAACCTCTAACTGGCCTGTCCGAAAGCTTCAAATTTTAGTCTTAAGTGATCTCTTTATCCCCGTATGTATTTAATAATTAATACTAAAAAGAAGACTACACTCTTAAGTAAGATATCTATGGTATACAGTAATTTCTGTGATTGATCAGGGTTCACAACCGTACGATAATTATCGTACATTTGCGATAATTTCATAACTACGTACGATGTACAATGGTACATGACTATCGTACGTAGATTGTACGATAATTTCCAGTCTGATAAAAAATTTGATGATTACATAGATAGCCCAATAACAATTACAGTTTTTAGTGTCAGTGCCATCTATTGGCTTATTTTTCTATTAAGAACTTATGCTGTCACAAGGCAACTACAGCAGATGAACAAAGCGTTAATGTACAAACACAAAAACGCATCAGAATGCACAGCCAAAAAATTCACGATTTGTATGGTGACGCAGATTTGGAAGTCTTCGATAACATTTTAATGCCTAACGAATTTTAAGTGATAAAAATAATATGCGATGTTTACGGACAATAGGTATATCACTTAGAGCGAACACCATATTGTTCAACGAGAAAATATTGCGTATTTTTGTTCCTCTTTGACGGAAGAGATTGAATTATTATTATTTTTTTCAATTTGAAAAACACAAGTTTATAAGATATAAACTATAAATCGTTTGCAACATTTTATTTTCACGTTTCATATGATTTTTTAAAGTATTTTTAGCCATTTTCCTGACTGTACGATAATTTATCGTATATGGATCACATATACGATAATTTTACGGCCCTGGTACGATAACTGCCTGGCTTCAGGTTGTGAACCCTGTGATTGATCATTGATGATTAAACCATAGATATCTAATATTTTAGTTCACACTTCACGCTTGGAAGTTTGAACTGTGGATTACACAGTCAATTGTGGATAAATAAATTTGTATTAAAAGGAAAATTACATTAAATAAATCATTTATTTTAAAAACAATATTAATTTTGTTAACCGGTTAACAATGCCGGCGGTGCCTTGTAAAACAGGATGTGGCAAAAATGCTATGTTAAAGGTAACCTCATACAATTATTCCTCATTCATTCATTTAATGTTTTTAGATATTGAAAAATGTGTTCTACAATAGATTTAATTTTGTTTTATATAATAGCGACCTAAAACTGGAGATGCGCTGTGCAAGGAGTGTTTCTTTTGGGCCTTTGAAACAGAAATACATTTCACAATCACAAAAGGGGAATTATTTAAACCAGGTGACTCTGTGGCTGTTGCAGCCTCTGGTGGAAAAGATTCTACAGTGCTTGCTCATGTCTTAAAGACTTTAAATAATAGATACAATTATGGCCTTGACCTCATGTTACTGTCTATAGATGAAGGTATTACTGGATATAGAGATGATAGTCTTGAAACTGTTAAAAGGAATAGAGATGATTATGAAATGAATTTAAAAATATTATCATACAAGGATTTGTATGGATGGACTATGGATGAGATAGTTGCCCAGATTGGTAGAAAGAATAATTGTACATTTTGTGGTGTATTTCGAAGGCAGGCTTTAGATAGGGGAGCAGCAATGCTTAATGTAAAGTGTATAGCTACTGGTCATAATGCTGATGACATAGCTGAGACAGTACTTATGAATGTATTGAGAGGAGATATAGCTAGGCTGAAGAGATGCACTGCTATTACAACTGTAAGCATAAATTCTGTTTATTTTTGGCCTATATTTGATGATATTACATCAAGTATTTTACTATAGCATTTAACTTTTCAATTAACTATATTTGTATGAGTGCATAACTAATAGTAACTGCATAACTAAGAGCTCTTTTAAGTCTGGAAACTACATGGTTGATATAATGGTGTGAGCAAGCAGACATATGCAATTTCAGCTCTATAACTTTCATAATCTGATAGGAAGGATATGGCCAATACAATCCAAAATGACCATTATAGGTCTGGCCTAATGTGATTATCAGTTTTATGGGAGTGTTTAATCATCTTGACTTAGAGAAAATAATGAAATTGTTCAAAATCAAGGCATTTTGTATTTCCAGCCACATAATTGCAACCCAAAACCTCCTAATCTGTATTCATACATTACATATACAGTAGAACCTCGATAAGCTAAAGTCCAAGGGAAACACAAAATATTTTAAGTTATAGAGGTTTTAAGTTATCAAGGTTCTATGTTAGGTAAAGGTTAATATAGAGGTATGTATATGTTTCTATGTACCCTTGCTCCCATTTTTACTCGAATGCATCAGAAGGATGGGTTCAATAAAATACTGAAAATTAAATATGTAATCATATTTATTCACATTACTTCCAGGACAACGATCAAAAACTTATGATGCAAGTAAGTCGTTGTCACAAAGCTAACCGCCGCAAAGCTTTGAAGAATTTAGATAAAGCAAACAATAGGTAATGTATTGTTTACGTTAACAATACATTAGTAAACACGTGCAAGCAATAAATACCGAAACCATTTATTTTGACACTCTTTCAAATGACTCATTCACAAACAATTTTATGTTATAGAGGTTGTGGAAACATTTCTTTTAGTTACTGAGGGCCTATACAGAGATTATTTATTTAAGTTATAGAGGTTGCGTATTCTAAGTTATAGAGGTTTTGGGCTCTGATGGGAAGGGAACATAGTATTTTTTGAAGTAACAGAGGTTTTTATGTTACCGAGGTTTAAGTTATCGAGGTTCTACTGTAGTAAATATTTCTAAATTTTTAGGGCAGTGAGGGAACAATACCAAGAGTTAAACCTTTGAAATACACATATGAAAAGGAAATTGTAATGTATGCACATTACAAGAAGCTAGTATACTTCTCAACAGAATGTGTTTTTGCACCAAATGCCTATAGAGGTCATGCAAGAGCACTGCTTAAGGATCTAGAAAAAATCAGACCTTCGTGTATTATGGATATCATATATTCAGGTAATTTCAGAAAGAGCATTCCCATATAAGAAAAAATGTGTTTTTGTATGAATGTTTAAAAGAATAATAAAAAACAAATTCCCAACTTCTCTCGCACTTTCCCCATAGTATTTGTTACTTTTGCTTATTAGGCTTGCTTGTCTGGAAAATATTAATTGTTAGCGGTAGGGCTACACATTATCCTCAGTGAAATTAAAGTTTTGCTTTACTAATGATTGCCTTGTATTGTCATTCAAGATAATTTAGCTTATTGTTTTTCATTTATATGAGTAATACACATTTCAATAAAACTTTTTTAATATAAATAATGGCGAGTTTTTAAAGTTATTTACAAACTTCCATGTCTCAAGAGCTTTATGTCAGTTGTGGTTTCTAGTGTTTTGCTATAGTCAGCAGACCATGACTTATGTAAGGTACTACAATGATGAAAGAAATGTAATAAACTCATGTATATATCTGTTAGTAAATAAATAATATGTTTTGTATGTATTTAAAGAAAAACACTAAGATATATTATATATTAATATTATTATAATTTTTTATATGTATATAAATATTCTTTATAATTCTAGGTGAAACACTATCTGTAAAAGAAGAAGTATCTATGCCAACTTTACGAGTGTGTTCAAGATGTAAGTTTGTATCTTCACAAGAGGTTTGTAAGGCATGTGTACTTCTAGAAGGCTTAAATAAAGGCTTACCAAAACTTGGTATCGGCAAAAGTTCAAAGGCAAAGAAAATGTTAGAGGAATATAATGCAAAACAAAAAGCTGAAATAGACAAATTAAATTATGAGTTTAAGAAAAATAACTGTGTATCTAAGGGTAAAATATGCAAGTCCAAGTGTAATAATGTATCTAATGGTAAGAATGATGAATGTAATGATAATAATTGTAAATGCTCAACCGAATTAAATTTACCTGTCAATCCAAAAATTAACAAATTATTAGAAGAGTATGGCTTACTGGATGACAATCAAGAACAAAGTTTAAATCAAGATTTAACTAAAAATGGGAATAGTGGCTTAGAAGAAAATACCTGTGCAGGAGCTTGTGGTGGAATTGATGGATTTAGCATAGCTTTTTGATATCACAATTGTGTATATACAAAAACAATAATAATATATATTGTATATAAATTAAATTTTATTTATTAAAATATATTTTATTCAATGAACTAATTAATTCAAAACATTGATAAACTAATTAATTCAAAACATTGATGAACTAATAATAATTGCACTATACACAGTTTGCAGATCACTTAAACATTTAACAACAGTAAATATTTAAGATAATGTTACTGAATCTATTTAGTTTATTAGCCACCCTAATAACTCCTACAAAAAAGGCATTATAAAATGTGGAACATCTTTCCGTAACCCAAAATAAAAATCAAATAACTATTAAATATTGACTTTGAGGTCTTTTCAAATTTTCTGTACATATTTACAGTAGCATTTAAAAATATTAGACTTTATTATCATCATAACATCTTTTTTGCCACATAGTTTTATTATTAACTAACTATTTATTAAAAATTTACTGTGTTATGTAATCATTTTAATTAACAATTTTACAATATTTATTGGGTACACATGACCCCAAACAACATTTCTATATGTTTTAACCTACCACTTAGCATTTATGTTATAAATGCGGGTGCGCGGGAGTGGATTCTCTCACGACAAATTGGGCAATTGTCGCGAATATTCTCTGAACAGTCTTCGCATAAGCAGACGTGGCCACACGGCAGAAGTATAATCTGTAAAACAAAAGTATGTGACTAAAAATAAAAGTAAAATCTTCAAGATGTGAAAATTTATTAGATATTAAATCATTAGATTAATATTACTAGGGTAGACCCTTCGAGGCATTTTTTTTGTGATTTAACGTGTCGTTTTGTAATTTTTATATAAGCTTGTTCGCTACCTTAATTAATAAATAAAAAATCTATTATTATTACCTCTTTAGGATTATCACTGCAGACAACACAAAGTTGCACTTCACTAAGATCCTTATCTCTATTTTGTGCACGTCGTTCTCTTCGACCAGCGGCGAGCTGCTGCTTTAAATTTTCGTCAGCCTGGCGTCTTCGTCTTCTCTTAATATATTTGTATGCAATGCGTCCGGAGGCAATAGCTGCTACTGAGCCAAATAACACCAGTAAGACCCTGTGTAAATGCCAAATATATTGTAATGGTAATATAAATATTGGAAAAAATACATACAATAATATGCATTTAAAATAAAAATACAACAAAGTTCTTAAATCTTATTCAGAAGAAGATGTCAGTAAAGTGAAACTTATCTGATATCTATTATAATTGAATTATTTTATATGCTATATTTTTCATTGTTATTGTTATCAATAGGCAATCTATATGATAGATTCATTAAAAAAAAATAATTACCTCAAGAAGTCTCTAGAACTTGCTAATCTTTTTAAAAGACTAGATTTTGTTGATGTTGTCAAATAAAGAGGTAATCCATCTTTTGGTGGTTGAATTTTAAGGCCTGAGCTTGTTCTACTAAGTTCACCAACAGCTGTGATGTACGACCCATCTCGTAACATCTCTTCCATAGTCTGTAGGCCTCTTTGCCTGACACCAGAGAAAAAGCCCCATACATGATCAATTACTCCTGGGGACATAGGCTCAAATTTGTCGGAAATTACATCCAAGTCTGAAACAAAATAAAAAATTTAGTTCTTCAATTCTAAGGACTACATAATCAATACGATCCAACAACATACTTCAAATCAGTCAATAAAATACCCACCTAAAAGTTCAGCAGCCAAAGCATCTACAACTTCAATGCTGTACTTTCCATTAGTAAGCACAAATGGTGTTGAATTGCAAAACTCATGAATTGTGCGAGTCTGGTCAGACCAGAAACCAGCAGATGTTCGAGCTATGACATGTTCTTTTATTATTAATCTGTAAATAATACAATTATTTAATAAAACTATTATATATTATTATAACATTTTGATTATAGAACTAAATTTAATTAAATTGATAGTATTGTGTTTCCTTTACCTTTGAATAACTCCAGTAACTGACTGATTGTAGTTACTTGTGATAGGATTTCCAAGAGGCTTAACTAGACCTCGTACTACAACATATGGTATAACATAATTAGGGTACTTGTTTATCTCTTTATTAAGACTATTATCAATATCTAGAACCGGCGCTGTCTGCAAGAAAGTTTTTATTATATGATAAACTTTTTAATTATATCTATAAAGAAATCATCAATTACTAAAAAGACAACTGGGCCATTTTATTACTTTGTTATGTAGTTTAAATAAGGTTAGTAATTATAATATGTGCTTACCTGAAGAGCATTTAGTATGTGTTTACATTTGCTCAGCTGTTTAACACAAAACCCCAATATTAAAGAGTCAATGCTTAAGATTACAGCTTCACCTATTACTTCCGAAAGAAAATCCATGTCAATTTATTTACAACTCGACTTTGACAGGAATTTCGCCTAGGAATATTTAATTACATATTAAACTTTTTCAATAGCTCAATTTTTTGAAAGTATTGAATAACAATAACCTCAAACTTGTAAATAATTAAATGTCACTTTGACATTTAATTTCTCCGTCATAGTATATTTGTATAGTACATAAATCTTAAACAGATAAAACAGGCTATCGTTTTATTGCCTGAAATGCTACTACCACGCTCTTGAACTATTTCCTTCAAGTCATTTCAACGCTCGAGAATGTCGAGATGACTTTTTTTACAACTTTGCAGCCCTCCCCTTTCTTTACGTTACTTGCAATTTGTCAGATTAGTGAAATAAACACTTCTTAGCATGTAATTAACTCACCCTACCTTAATCTGACGCGCTCGAGAGAGAGCGAGATTTTTTTTTATAAATCTGATCCTTTATCCTTGACGGGCGGCCATATATATGAAGCTCATATTTGGTAGAGGTACTTAACCGGGTACAAGGTATCTCCCTGTTTATTAATCTGCCACGCTGTACTAAATCCCGGAATCCCCTCTTAGGCTCCCCTAATATTAATGGTATCGAGTCGGCAATCTTGCTCTCGGGAAAGATAAATATTGTGAAACAAATTAAACTCCTATCACTTTCTCATGCTGTAATTAACCACTCGATCATCTCTTGAACCCGTAAACAGACATCTGTACAATCTAAGGGCATGTATACTAATGACTTAATAATCTATAATAAATATTTCAGATATTGTTTTAAACACGGAATAAAACTAATGTTACAATCACATTTTTATTTGTTTTAACAGATTTAATTTCTTCGCCTCCGCACCCTAGATATTCTCCAAGCGTTCGGTTCTTCGTACTTATTGTACAACGGCTCCAATCTCTGGTTTTTCTTAAATTTAGACAGCTTCGTAGGGTCTGAGAATTTAAAGAATGCTGGAGCAAACTCCACCAGCCATTTGGGGTCAATAGTGGTCACTTCCCGCATGTACTCCTTGGTTGTCTGCACTAATTCATGGTAGATAACCCTGAAAAATAAGTGATAATTACAATGGAATCAATTATTTATTTCGTAATCCTACGGTATCCACACATTATATACAACAATAAACAATTATACTAAACATATAAGCAAAGATGGAATACATAATATATACAAACAAGTTCAAACAATTACAAAAGGAAAACTTCAATAAAAGTTATTAAATACATTTAACTAGGTAATACTTTGGCTGTGTTGTGTGTTGGTTTGAAAGTGAGGGCATGTATGTTAAATAAATAAAGAAATTATTAAATTAAAAAGGTTTGCAATAAACTAGAAGTCAAACTATGAGGTCCATATGTATTGATAGGACATACACAAAATTACTGATTTATTCATTTGTCTCAAATCCTAATTCACATAGAATACATTAATAAATGCATATTTATTATAGCAACATTACTTACCACTCAGGCTGCCTATTAAATAGGGCACTAGACGGATGAATGTAGACCACCTGACTATCCACCAGGGTCCTGTAGCCTTCCTGCGGGTCCTTTTTAGCGGCATTCCGGAAGAAGCCAGAACAGATTGTCTTCTGCACACGCACTGTGTTCTTTCCAGCCGATACCACATCTAACTTGTGTCTGGAAAATGTAATAGTTGTTTAAGGTTTGATTTATGGGGTAAAAATTATTGTTTCTGATTAGTAAGGGCAGAAATCCTATCTTGTCTTACTAAATTCCATACATATAATAAATGAGTAGAAAAGGAATTACATCAAAATAAGAGCAACATAAGGGAAATAACAAAATATAAAAAGAGCAAAATAAAGGCAATCGATTTTTTCTAATGCAAAATAAAGGCAATAAAAATAGAAAAAGGGCAATAATAAGGGCAACAAAAATAGAAAAAGAGCAAAATAAAGGCAATAAAAAAATTTAAACTGCAAAATAAGGGCAATAAGAATAGAAAAAGGGCTAAATAAGGGAAATAAAAATAGAAGAAGAACAAAATAAGGGCAACAAAAAAGAGCAAACGAACACAGAACATTTCTTTTTGAAGTTATACTTCTTTAGGCGCGTTATGAAAAATTGATGAGAGAGAAATTTTACGATGCGCGCGCACCTGAGACACAAACTGGTCAGTGTGATTATAGCGTGCGCGAGCGAGATGGGAATAAGACAATCTACAAGTAAAAAGAAATAGAATATGCGTGAAGTTAGCAGCTATGCCAATAATTTTGAATGAACATAATGACATTTACCTTTTAAACAAATAAAGGAGTTTTAATTATTTTTTCAAAGAAATTTAGCAATGCTTTTTCACAAAGACCTATTGTTACTTAGTTAAAAGGTTATGAAACATACGCAGTTATTAAATTGAATGAATAATATAATAAAATAATAAATAATAATTATTATTAATTAATAATTGAATAATATACTAAATATTAAATATTATTAAATTATTAACGTTAAATATTTGTTATTAATATTATAAAAAAATAATATTTTAAAAAAATAAAGAAAGCCAAAGAAGTATAACTTCTTACGCGCGTACATAAGTACACGCACCCTTTTTTTATTTATTTAGGCTATAATTGCCTAAATAAATGTATCATATTAAATCCAACAGTTTAAAAAGCTAAAATAAAAATTGTAAATTGTAAATGTCCTATAACAATACAAAATGAACAAGATAAATAAAAAATACCTGTCCATAATTCCCAAGAGCTGTTTCCTTACATCTTGGGCTCGCTTCAAAGTCCTTATTTGGACAAAATTCTCATAACACCATGCATTTGAGAATTTATTATTTTTCCAACTATTGTACACCGCTAACAGGGTTAAGTGATCTCCCTCGGCTTGGTTAAATTTAGCTTTTTTCTGGTCCGCTAGAGCCTGTTTATCTTTGGGCCGATAGAAGACATTTTGAACGCTCAACATTGAGACAATTGTAAGAATTTCATCGGAGCATTGCAGTGCTACTGACATAATCAAGATCTTTGATAAATTTGGCTCAAGAGGGAATTCGGCCATCTGGAATCAACATTTTAACAGATTATCCATGAGTTTATGTGCCTAGTGCTAGATAACTTTGTATCAATGTGTGTATTTAATTAGGAATATTATAAGGAAAGGTCTAAGACCCATATATCGACAAAGTTTGTCGGTCATATAAGGCTGATCACTTGCTTATACTAAAAATAATGAAGGAAATAGACAGAACAAAACTAAGGTATGTAGCGTAGTGTTTGGTATAACGAATATAAGCTTTTTGATTCATCAATTCATTCCAAACAATTATGACCAAAACACTTAAATTAATAGAACTGCATTCAGTGAACTTGTCAAACAGGAAAATAATATTTAACAGTTTTAATGTGAAAATTTTAATGCTTGTTTCGAGTTACATATATTTAAAAATACTTTTATAAAAATATTGCTACAACAATAATTGTAAGCTCTTAGAGCAGTGTTCCCAACATGGGGCTCACGCTCCACAAGGGGCAGTTTGATTATGGAAAATTATTTGGAATTTGAATTTCAGCTTTACAATATATATTTTAAAAACTTACTGTGTTTCATTAAAAACTTTCTAGTGATTTCTTCCTAAAACGTATCATTACATTTTCTTAAGTAAACAATTATTTTTTTTAATAAAAAATTATGTATGTAACATAGGGGGGCATAATTGTCTTAGAAAGGCTAAGGTGGGGCTTGGCGCTAAAAACGTTGGGAAACACTGCCTTAGAGGATCATGAAACATACCCGTCTTCCCAATCTCGTCAAAAGTCCTTCCGAGTCAAGTGCAGACAGCGAATGCAATTGTTCCAAGGCCATAATGAGAGACTCAACTGGGGGGGCATCCATGAAGTCGAAATGTAGGAGATCGTTTATACCCATTGTTTTCAATTGTAGCACCTTTAAAAAATATTATATTTAAATGATTAAATACTTCCAAAAATGGATTACATTCGCTCGAACGGCGAAGGAAAACATCGTGAGGAAATCGACTTGCCTTAGACCCTAAAAAGTCGAGGCGTGCGTCAGGCACAGAAGGCTGATAACCAACTTGCCTATTAGATAAAAAAAATGATCATGAAACTGATACAGAAATTTGAGGCCCAAACCTAAAAAGGTTATAACGCCATTGATTTATTTTTTTTACTTCTAAAAAAAGAGACCAGTGTTGGCCTAGCTTCAGAGAACGACCCTTCCTTGAGACCAATGGACTTTCTTTTGCTTGCCTGCGAGTTGCGACCCAAAAGTCGAAGGCGTGTGTGACGGCAACCGCAGGGGGCTGATCACCTACTTGCGTATTAGATTGACAAATGATCATGAAAGTTGAAACAGATACAGAAATCTGAGGCCCAGACATAAAATGGTTGTAGCGCCACTGGTGTTCTTTTTAATTTATTTTTTACTCATGAAAAAGCCCATTAGTTATGAAACGTGCGACATCCTATTAAAAAAATATAGTATTCATAAATATAATTACGTACCACCACAGACAAAAATAAATACGATTTGTTTACAAATATATTTCCTACTTACAGTGGTTGCAAGATTCGTCCTCTGTATCTCCGGCACGGGCGTCGGCAGCATCTCATCTCTGTAAGCCCTCTCAGTGTAGAGCCGGTAACATTTCCCTGGACCTGTTCTTCCCGCGCGACCGGCTCTTTGTTTCGCTGCTGCCTAGAATTGTATATTAAGAAAGATTTTTTTATAAATATAGACCGGCAATTGGGATGGGTCGTATCTAGAGTTGCCATCCGTACTTTATGTAAACTCGTAAAATGCAATATTGTGAAGAGGCAAATATGTATATATATATCTTTATTGGTGCAGTTCTTGTCAGTGCTGAATCTGTATGTTCCAACCTCAACTGTTTCGTCAGGATTGAACCTCACTCCCTACCTCCTAACCTCACTCCTCACTCCTTAGGTCTAACCTTACATCAAATAAACGCTCGTCGAATAATAATAAAAAAAATTAAACAAACCTGTGAAATCGGAGTAACGACAAGCGAGTCCATACCGGTCTTCGAATTATACACCTTCTGCTTCACAAACCCTGGGTCCACCACATAATATATACCATCGATGGTCAGCGAGGTTTCTGCTATGTTCGTCGCTATCACCACTTTCCTGGACCCCGGTGGTGCTGGCTCAAAGATCCTGGTCTGCATTTCCGAGGGTAGGGCAGAATAAACTGGCAAAATTATCAATTCGGGGACATCCGGTCCCAAAGACTTCATCCTTTCGTAGAGGATCTCGCAGGCCGTGTCGATCTCTTCTTGACCCGTTAAGAAGAGAAGGATATCTCCTGGTGGTTCCCTCAAATGTATCTGCATCACTGTGATTAAAGAGGCATCCAGGTAATCCGTCTCCGGTTCTTTCGTATACAGAACTTCTACGGGAAAGGTTCTTCCAGGAATTGTGAAGATAGGAGCAGCGAAGAAATATTGGGAAAACTTGACAGCATCCAACGTGGCCGAAGTGACAATGAGTTTCAGTTCTGGTCTCTTTTGGACAGCTTGTTTCAAAAGACCGAAAAGGACGTCCGTATGAATCGTGCGCTCGTGAGCTTCGTCCAACATGATAACGGAGTAGGTTTTGAGATCCAAATCCATGAGACATTCCCGGAGTAACATACCGTCCGTCATGTATCTGAAAGTTTACATTAAATATTTCTACTATACCGTTTTTGTTATCAAGAGCGCCGCCAGGGGAAGTTACCCCAAGAGAATTGTTTTTTTAAATATAATTAATATCTGAACCTAAATTTGTCTACGTGTAAGCATAGTCTACAAAACATATTATTTTAAGAATGATTAAATAAAAACAAAATAAGAACTTTAGTTGCATTAATCGCTTTTTCAAAGGGATCAGAACTGATAATAATATTGGCCGCAGATATCGTAAGATCAGCCTTCTTGTCATGCCTGACACATGTGACACATGTCATGTCTGACACATGTGATTGATTTTTGGATCGTTTTCTTCACCGTACAAGCGAGTGTTAGTGCATATAGACAAAAAGCTCATTGGAGCAAAGCCGGGGATCAAACTCTAGACCTCAAATATGAGTCGCACTAAGCCAACACTGCTTCTCAGGCGAACCAAACTAGTAAATTCTGTTGACATAATTACTAAAGTTTTGAAATTCAAATTTCATACTCTAAAAACTAAATAATTATGTCAGAGAACCTGTCAGTTGTCACACAAAATATATTTTTTGACATATATATTGTTTTGAACATTTGTATATGCACTCGCCACTAAAGAGAAAACTATAACTATAAGCATCACTTACTTAATAACAGTTTCCGGCGACGTACAATCTTCGAAACGGATAGTGTAACCCACTTCCTGTCCAAGTCGGCACCCGAACTCTTCAGCGACTCTCTTGGCCACAGACATCGCGGCCACACGTCTGGGTTGCGTACAGGCCACCCGCCCACGGGCGGTTAACCCACACTCAGCCACGTACTGGGTTATTTGGGTCGTTTTACCTGATCCAGTCTCCCCGATAACTATGAGGATCTGATTATCTGATATAGCCTGTTTAGAAGAAATAAAATATTAAAGAGATATTATTTAGCATTACGAATAACCCGTATGGTGAATGTCCAAGGTTTTGAATACAAAAAAGAAAGAGACACATAGCTACATCTAATGCCAGCCGTTGTTATGCCCGTACCAGTCTGATTACGATTGTTTGATACTGATTACTGCATATTTCTTAATCAGTTGTACCTTTATTTAATATTTTTGAAGTTATACTTCTTTTGGCGCGTTAGGGAAAAATGATGAGAGTAAATTTTTACGATGCGCGCGCACACCGTAACAAAAAACCGACACCTTAAATCTCTGTTCAAACGTCGGTAAAACAGTCTGGGCCGCTAGTTGGCGCTTGCTCTGTTTTATCGACAAGTTGCATTGTCTGTTATGGCGTAGTGTTTTTCAGAGTCGTGTTTATTTAAACCAAAATAATGATTTCTATACAAGAAAACCCGTTCCAATGTGATAAAAAAACATAGTGTTTATTGTAAAATATCATGATTAGTATATATTATATCGTTTCGATTGGAAGTGACCATTAAAATGGACAAAAAATTGCAATTCGAAGAGGGATACGTCCCTCTAAAGTGCTCGAAGAAAATTATTACGCCCAAGAAGTATAACTTCTAACGCGTGTCCATTAGTACACACACGTTTTTTGTAAATACAATATAGCCAATTTAATTGATTAATTATATAGTATTCTAATGGTCAAAGATTTTTTTAAATCAGTCCACTATTTGTTACAAACATTCACAATACAGTGAGGGAAAAATGTCATGAGGACACCGGCATATTGTCTTACACCTAAAAAAAAGACGGCGTGTGTCAGGAACAGAACTGATCGTCTATTTGCCTGTTGAGAAATATAAATGACGGAATCACGAAACATACAAATATCCGAGACCTAGTCCAATGAAATGCAGCCGTACTATTTTTGAAATGAAAACTTCTTTAGAAATTTAGTGATTTAAAAGTCGATGAAACGAAAAAGCGACAGTAAAAAGGGACAAACATATATTAATAAGATATAACGCGGGAGAAAATGAGATAGGAAGCATTATACAGTGTATAAATTTTAAATTAGTGTAGTAATAAGTTTTCACTTCAGAAAGTTTTTATAATTATAATAATATATTGATATGATATTATCATGTGTAAAAAAATCTTACTTTTATCAACTCATCCCTGAGCTTATAAATGGGTAGCGACTGCCTCTGTTCCAAAAGTGACAGATTTGTCTTCTTTCCAAATGAAGATTTCTTCCCTCCGATCACATGTTTCTTCCATTCGGGAAGGTCCTGAGTGGTAATGCCCGTTCCTCTCATGTTTGCTGCGAGAGCCCAACCATCTGTCTCTGGAAGTGGATCTATCCAGTTCTTGTTCAGACCAGTTGGTACACTCTCCATTTCTTGCTCCCTGAATTTATTATTGTATATTAAAAAAGAGTTATTTAAAAATTTGCCAAAAAAATTAGATATGGGGGTAAATCGAACTTCACTATATGTATAATACGAAATAGGTAAGTTTAAAAATCATTATTAAAATTAAAATAATTTCATTAAGTAGCAGCAGTAGTAATATAGTAATATTTGCGTTTGTAATAATTAAAATATAATTGTTATAATATAAACATTAATAATTTAGCTGCCCCCGAGAACTTCGTTTCGCCTTAACATTTTTTTTTAAGTAGCCTACCTTTTTAGTACATACCAACATATTATAGAACATTTTGCTATGCTACCATAGAGACTGTTTTCTTTTCCAGAATAAAAATTTAAGTAGTAAATTTTTAATACTTAGTTTATTATTAATCGGTCTTCAAGTTTTGCGCTTAGCAACATAACTATAGAAAAAATTATCAAAATAAATCCAAAGCATTGAAAATACATATTAAAAAAAACTACTTTATACCTTTGCAACATCTTTTGTTCTCTTCTCTCTTTAGCTAGAGCTGACTGCATCATGGCAGCTTGTGCCAAAGATCCATCGGGGTTCTTCACTATTCTCACAGGAGACAAATCATGTAATGCCCTTCCATGGCCTTGAAGAAACGGTGGTTCATCCTCAACAAGCTCAATTTCAATATCAGCTTCTCCATCTTCATCTTTTGGGAGAAGACCTGTCTCTTCGTCAAAATCAGGTAGCTCACTCTTGTCTATTACACCCGACGATATCATCTGTGGTAAAATAATTTAGGTTGTTAATACAGAAAATATAGTTTTTTAAAGTCAATGAGTTTAAGAGACTAATAATAATAAGAACTTACCTGCTTGATCTCCCATCTCTCGGGACTGGAGATCCTGGTGACCCGTTTCCTGCTGGAGTCTTCTTCGGGGTCGAGCCCACCTTGGAGCCCTGCCAGCACCGTTGCTGCAGGTGGAGGTCTATCTGGGTTACGGCCAGCTCGCTCCGCCTTTTATAAGTAGTCAAAATATCTAGTCAAATATTTTGGAGGCCAGCCTTATCCTGGTGTTTCAGCTACATTAATTCACTCGTAGTAACAGTGTTATTGTTACAGCCTTGTTTAATTATTATTGTGCTAGATATAATGTGCCACGTATATTTGAATTTATTTTTAATTTTGAAACCTAGTTTAGTTTCGTTTTTTTAGACTAGTTCAATAGTTCATAAGATTGATGCACTATATCATTCAATCAAACTTGGGGAAGCTTTTAAAAGGTAATAATTTTTCCTGTTTTAGAAACTTTTTTCATTGACATTTCATTGAATAACATGGAATAGCCATTTACTCACTGAAAATGATTTATACTGGCAAAAAGAATTTTACAAGAATGGTTCAATAGTTTTAAGGTTTATCCAATACAATGAAAAATCAAATATGTCCACTTCATAATATTAATACATAGTGCAGACTAGATTTGGTTTAAATGATCAAACCGTATATACAACAGGAAGGGGCTTGTTTATCCTCTGTACATATAAAAATTCCATCCTTTTGAACCCCTATGACTTAATATAAAGAATGCAGCCGCCAGATGTTTTCTGTGGTTTATATCAAAATACCTTTTAAGTTTTACTTATTAAATTTTGGGTGAAAACATAAACTTACTATAAACCTAAATATGAAATTTTTCCCTTATCACTCAGGTCTCACTGCCAATGCAAATTGGACAAATATTCTTTATCTAATTATGGATAATAGCATTTTTAGTACTAAGGATAATTATTTCAGTGACAATTATCAAGAACAAAGGCATTGAATAATGCCATCTGAAAATTAAGTCAAACATAATTAAATAATCAATATATAGTATACCTCCAAGTGAGCGTGTGACGTTGGATTCAAATCTTTTCCAGTATCTTGACAGACATCCTTCATTGTTAGTGATACCTTTTGTCCAGTTACTGATAATACTTTAACCTGTAAAGACATAAAAATAATGGGCTATAAATAAAATCAGAACAGCATTAGTGTATGGGTTAAAGTTTAACCGTCAAAGTTAAACTATCTTTAAATGTTTGTATAACTAGTTTGTACAGGTAAGGTTAAATAAAATAAGTAACCAAAAATCAATTATATATTATTAGGCAGACCGATCACCTATTTGCCTCAAGTTTGCTCTATTTTTTCATTGGGGGGAACATAAAATGGCCAATCCTAGATCCAAATTATATAATGCTTTATATTATTTATATAATGCTCTAGATCAGTGAGTAATTAGCTGTTTATTGTTTAGCCAATAATGTTGTTCATGTCTTTTACCTTGACTTTGTCTCCTCTTGAAACAATATCGGACACATTTGTCACTCTGCCCTCAGCCCTCAACTGTGATATATGCACCAGACCTTCCCATCGCTTCCGTAAACCCTCCATTTGCACAAAGCAACCAAAGGGAACTATGTTTGCTACTCGACCACTATAAATCTGTTATAATGAGTTAAAGCATTAATGTATGTAAAAAAAGTGTTATTTTTATTAAAAATACATTATTATCCTACTTTTATGCAATTATTCAATTTCAGATCCTGATAATGATTTGAAAATAAACAAGTGAAACTTTCTTACTAGTTCAAACTGTAATTAAACCTTTAAAAAGATGGATGGAACAACTTGTTACATAGAAGTTTTTTAATATTTCTTACCTTACCAGGCTCAGGATCATCACTTATTTCCGCTTCTGGACTCTTCTTTCTAAACCTTTTGCCATGGTTGCCATCTCTGTCTCTTTTAAAATCCCTTTCTTTTTCTTTTGACTGAGATCTTTTTCCTCTTGATCTAGACCGCCTATACCTATCTCTGGATCTGTCTTGATGACGGCTTCTTGATCTGACTCGATGGTGGCTTCTTGACCTGTCCCGATGATGGCTTCTAGATCTGTCTCGATGATGGCTTCTTGATCTTCTTCTCCTATCTCTATCCTTACTAAGTGTCTTTATATCTCCACTTCTGCTTGTCTTATCTCTACTTCTACTTCTCCGACCTCTACTTCTACTTCTCCGACCTCTACTCCTACTTCTCCTGCCTCTACTTCTACTTCTTCGACCTCTACTTCTACTTCTTCGCCCTTTACTTCTATCTCTACTTCTACTTCGTGCATCTTTTAATTTAGGTATGTCAATTTTATCATCCTTATAATCTTTACATGATGAGATTTTTATTTCACTATTCTTAATGTTAGAGGGTGCTAAGGCTTCCAATTCAGCCATAGCTTGGTCAACTATTTCATCTTTACCCACTTGGGTCTTACTTTCATCTTTAAATATGTCCTTTGTTGTAATTCTTTTGTTTGACTTTTCATTACTATCACTATCATCATCAGAAGAGAAATGTGGTTTTTCATTAGCAATAGCTAGTCCTGGAAATTTCTCAGCTAACGGGTTGGAAGGCTTAGTAGTGTCTTTATTTTCGCTTTGTATAGCTGCTGGTTTCATATGCTGAATAATACGCAACAAGTTCGTCATAAAAGAATCTGAAAACTCTGCTCCATTTTCTATTAATGATTTTTTAAAATCATCAAAGTTAGTGTTCTTATCCGCTATATCAATAATAAATTCAGCTGAAACACACAAGATAATAAGAGGTTAATACTTATCGGAAAAAAGGATTAAAAATACACTCCAAGCAACTACAGGTCAACTTACCTAAATCTTTATCATTAATACCCAAATGATTGTCCAGCTCTGTACAAACTTTGGAGACGAGAGACAAATGTTCTAACTTGGCAAGTTCATCCATTTTCTTAGTAAATATAATTAATTAAAAATTATAACAGATATGTATAAACATTTTTCGTATATGTTCCAATTTCCAACCACAATTTTTTATTTTCATCACTGCTTTAAGTTTAGCACAGATTAAGAAGAGTTTAAAATTCTGAACAAATCAATAAAACACCTCATCACTTATTCTAAGAAATCACAATACGATGGTACCAAAACAAATACTGAATACAGCTATGATATGGATTGCAGCTAGCATTACTAATATTGACACAACTTACTAGGCGTGGAACTTTTCAAATAAAAATTTTATACAAAAATTTATTTTTTAAATTAGTTTTCTGTTAAACCAAAAAAAATAGAATTACCACATTTCAAAAACAATAATTTTATAAGACATTTAGCCTAGAATACCTAATCATACACAAAATTTTGAAATTTTTATAATACCTAATGTAAATATAATTTTAAAAGGACAATCTCCACACAAAATAGTCTTCTAATTTTAAAACACAAATTGCACCAAGAAAACTCAAATTTTCCTTTAATAAATATTCCTTAATAGCCTAAAACTTTGTAGAATGAGGAATATAAATTTTTTTGATAAGTATCTATGAATAAAATAGACGGTTCCCTACAATATGTATTAGCTACATACTATATAAGGTCAATAGTACACAGTTGTACTTCTTAGTTTTAGGCGGTTTGGCAATGGTTGCCAACTTTATTGCATTGTTGATCCTAATAACTTTGAATATATCATTCAATTCAAAATTACTGTTACAATTCTCATTAATTTTTTATAAAAAAAAGTAATCTAAATTCTAATATGAAAATATGTGATAGATATTTATAAAATAGTGGTACTAGACAAAAATGTTTACTTGTGCTTACTTATGCACTGTTATGCTTACCTTAGAGACTTGACATTTGTATCATTTTCAGTACATAATAAGAATGTACAGAAAATTGAGCCTCGTACAACAAATAACGGATATATTTAATTATTGAGTTAGACGACTTCACTATAAATATTACCTGGCTGTTAGAAGGACAGCTATTATATTAAGTATTTAGTAGAATAATATAAAAATGTTGCTTTCATTTATATTGCTATTTTCATCACTAATTTGGGAATAATATTTATCTGAAGTAATTTAATCAATGCAATGTATCTGATTTTAAGTAGATAGTAGATCCTATGTAGTTTCTAGCCAATTTAAAATGTATTCGAGACTAAAAATATTATTACATTTCAGTTTTCAGGTTTGTTCCAGAGTAAGTTCTGAATTAATTGGCTTGAGAGTAGGTTTCTGAATTTTTGTATTAATTAGCAACCACGGCAGATGCCGATGGCGCCTGTGGTCCGTGTTTGTCATGCCTTTTGCGCCCACGTCGCCTCTTGTCACCCGTCATTTGTAAAGCAGAGTTAGCACCAGATTCATCGGTTTCTTGTACCTAGAATAGAAATATAACATTATAAACAATATTAGAAATTACAAACCTATAAATAAATTTTATTTCAGGTTTTTTTTGTATTTATTATGTCACTTAAAAAATAGATAAACGTGAAAAATATTACGATTTGTTAAAAATACATATGGCTTCTGTGGTTAACAAAAACAAACTTTCATCTATGGTTGGTGTTCTATAGGGATCTATTTCATAGATTCTGAAAGTACCAATTGGTGCTAATGCGATTTCAATTAAGAAATAACTTACTGCATTGAGATGCCTATGCTCATGTCTATGATGTCTGGCAGTCGCCTGAGCATGAGGTTCAGGACGTAGTACATTACCCACAGCTTTGGTACGCCCTTCACGGAATACCTACGGAAACAAATTTTTGGAACCATAGATAATAATACATCCGTTTGAAATTGTTTATTGACTTTATGCTCTGTATTCTAATTCTAATTTTGTCTTGACTGTATAAATATTAAATTTCATTTTAAGAAGTTCATTGGAATACAAATTATAATATTTTCATTGTAACGAAAGTCGAAAAATAGAAATAAATTTTTCCTTCGTCACTTTTATTTCAATTGTATTATTTTTTAAAGTTATAATATTTTTTATATTGTTCATGGCCAGGAGATTCATCTGATGGACACTCTTGATGCCAGAGGGCTCGCAATTGCGTTGCCGTCCTTTTTATAAATTGGTACGCTCTTGTCTTGATAAACCTAATTCACATCGTATTGCTTCGGAAATACCTCGACAGGAGGCAAAAAGCAAAAAGAAAATCATACCATCCTTTGTCCCCGTCGCAAGTACTCTGGGTGCTTGATGAATCTGAAGCTCACACGCGCCTTATCTCCCGTACGGAGGCATTCGCGAGACATCGAGAGAATCGACGCAGTTTGACGAATACTGCCGCAGTGTACTGTAGAAGATATTTTCTTCTTTAACTTTGGCGTATATGTATATAATTTTCTTTACCAAAAATAAATCTTCTTTAAATATACATTCACCTCAATATTTTTAAAAATAATATAATTTTTTTATCTACGGGAGCGTTCAAGTATTACGTAACGTATTTTTGGGATCTTGTGATGCGTTACAGGGGCGGAAGGGGGTTTTTTTGGGGGGTTTGTTTTTAGTAATGGTAATTGGATAAAAACAATAACAAAGGTATTTTTCAGCGACTTTGGCTTAAACTGTACATATTTGTGACTTGTAGTTGAAAATTGTCATTTGATGGTCATGTAATGTTTTACTAAAGGGGAGAGGGGGTAGCAAAACGTGACGTGGATCAAAAATCTTCAAAATTTATGTTACGTAATACATGAATCTACTAATATTTGGTGGCTGAATGTAGCATTTTATGTAGAATCTATTAATTCGGGAATACATGTCGATAGGAATCCAAAAACATACCCATGGCTTGGTATCTGGAAGATATGGTGGTGGGATGATGCAGAACAAGAATCTCTCCTTCGAACTGCCAGCAAGCCTGAGGGTTCAGTGCTGGTGATACCATCACCATACCTTTACGGATTGCCGATCGTTTAATCTGAAATAGATGTGAAATTAAATTAAGTTTTACCTAGTTTTAAAAAGTCACTCAAAGGTGTTTCAAATATCTTATTAAAAAACAGAGCTTACTTAATTTAGCTAATAATTGATGATCCACAAAATAAATACACTTTCATTAATAAAAACCCGTTAATTTTAAAAATACCTTTTTAAGTGCGAAGCTTGCAGTCTGTCCCCCTCGCACTTCATGCACACTCATTCGTTTGCGATGAATACTTTTAACAGTGATTGGCACAAAACGGCCGAGCGGGTCAGGCCCTAGAAGTAACGTGTCGTTCAAACGAATAACACCCGCTAGAGTTGTTCCTGATACAACTGTTCCTACACCCTGTAAATAATAGTATAAAATAAATCAGGGGCGCTACAACCTCTTTAGGTCTTGGCCTCAGATTTCTAAATCTGTTTCATGATCATTTTGAAATCTAATAGGCAAGTAGGTGATCAGCCTCCAACACACGCCGTCGACTTTTTGTTTCTAAGACATGTCGGTTTCCTCACGATGTTTTCCTTCACCGTTGGAGCAAATGGTTAAAGCGCACATAGGAAGAAAGTCCATTGGTGCACAGCCGGGGATCGAACCTCCGACCTCAGGTATGAGAGTCGCACGCTGAAGCCACTAGGCCAACACTGCTGTATTATGTTGGTAAATAATAATATGTGTTATATTTCCGGCTCTGGGCGACTTTCTCTTCACTTAAAGATTTTATTTAATTTAAATAGGCGATTAAAAAGAGTGACGAAAAATTTTGCCACTATTATGTTCTACGCCCTTAATTTGAGAACTAGCAGTAAAATCATTTATTTATTTATTTTTAATTAATTTAATTTATTTGATTTTCAAATATTAATAAGATGTATATTTGAAATTTTAAAATGATGATCTAAAAACTATTATAGTATTCGATTTTTCTCGTACCGGAACAGAGTATGTATCGTCAATCTGGAACTCAGCAGGTTTGTCATCTTGCGAAGGCATCCTGGTCTTCAGCAGGTTAAGGAACATCGTCAGCAGCTCCAAGTTTTCACCCGTCACGTTCGATACTTGGAAGATTGGACATAGACTGCAAAATTGTTACATATATCAAAATTGAAGACACTTAACTATTCAGTCTATACACGGGTATTCCCCCATATAACGCGTGGAGTTCACAGGCTATATTTATTTACAGTGAAATGATTTTTACGCACTTATTTCGTTAATAACATTGTTTTTTTAAATATTCGATTTAAATCCCCTTTAACGAGAAAAATTAAACATGAATCATTTGTACATAACGCGTTATATACGGTCATACAAGCGCGTTATGCGAGAATACTCCTATAACGCTTCCTCCTATACTTTGATATAGGGGCGATAACTGTATTGTATTGTAAATTGTAGGAAATTTTCTTTATAAAGTAAAAACTTCAACTAATTAACTATTCTTTAACATAAATCTTTGAAAAAAATTAAATGTACACTATGAATTTATTCTAGCTCGAAGGACCAATAAATTGAGCTTACCGTTGGGACACAAAATTAGTTGCACTAACGATGACGTCATCTTTCGTCTTAACCATAACTGGTACTTTGCGGCACCCGGAAGACTTCAGTATTCTAATTAATAACTTCAGATTGTCCTGAAAGAAATTAATTCGTTTAAATAAACAATTAATATTTTCATACTGTGTTAAATGATTTTAAGGATTTTGTACATTTTCATGTCGTTTTTTAGATAATTAAATATATACCAAACGTAAAATATGAAAATAATATTTACCTGTAGTACATTTGGCGGACACATATCAATCTTGGTGACGACAACAAATACTGGCACGGACAGAGCTAGCGCTAGTCCCAAATGTTCCTTTGTCATTCCCACAATACCCGCGTTTGCACCGATCTGCAGGCATTTAAATTAGCATTATTTATTTTAAATTACAGTATAAACCCCATGTAACATCCATCGGTTTAACGACTAAACCCCTAATGCGTCGTTTAGCTTGTCTTTCATACAATGATACACTCTACATAGTATTATCCATCCTCAATAACGACAACAATTTTTTTTAAATGTAATAGGAGGCAAACGGGCAGGAGGCTCACCTGATGTTAAGTGATACCGCAGCCCATGAACACTCACACTGCCAGAAGGCTCGCAAGTGCGTTGCCGGCCTTTCAAGAATTGGTACGCTCTTTGCTTGAAGGACCCTAAGTCGAATTGGTTCGGAAATACTTCAGTGGGCAGCAGGATCCACATAAATAAATAAATTAATATCAAAAAGTACTTTTTAAGTTGCTGAAATTAGTTAAAACTGCGGAGCTGTGTATGTTGTTTTGTGGTTTTATTGTCCTAGCGAGAAAAAACTCGACTGTCGGTACTCGTCATACGTACCGAACTTTCCAAGAGATACGTTCTTTTTTTTTTTCAAATTACGCATGCTTGCGTATGCCTTATCACTAAGATGCCTCAATATCGCAATATATGAATTATATAATTTTAAAAAATACAACCTAACTACTGGTACAGTTCAAAAATATCAGACGCAATAGCGTTCAAATACGAATTGTTTTTATGTAATTACTAACACTAGTCTGAAATAAACTTTCTTTTTCTAATACAGATTCTTCTTAACAATCAACGACAACTCTTTGTGACGGCAAAATAGGCACAGTGTCTTGAGTGTCGTTATATAGCGTTTACACTGTTTATTATATTTATCTATTGTTTATTAGATTCAGAAAATGTATGAAGAAGCTGGCTAATTCATTTTTGTTGGGTGAGGGGTCCATACCATCAGAGGACAGTAAAAATGGAGCAAGTCATTAATGCATTGGTACACAGGTTATATGAAGAGCAAAGCTGAACTGCCCAGTTCAGAAATTTACGGTGGCAATTGGAGGAGGCCTTTGCCAACAAAAGGCAAACAGACAAGCTCGTCGAGGGATTTTAAATATTAAACTACATACATATATTTAAGTTAATTATTTTTAATAAAATTGTATCTTGTCTAAATAAAAGCTTATATTATTATAAAAACAATTTCTTACCATCAACATGCCAAAATCAGGCGCATGTCCGGTCATACCAAATACAGTTGTCTTCAGATATCTCTCATGTCCGGCCAAGTCAATGAATGTGATCACTTTTGATGATTTCTCACAGATCTTCACCCAGTCAAGAGTACCATGGTCGGGTTTGTTGACAACATTACCTGGTCAAGAATTTGCAATATGTGAGTGTGCAATTAAATGGAAAGAAAATACATATCTTCTTAATAAAATTTTGATAGGAATAATATTAAAGCATTATAATAATAAATTTTAAATTTCTCGTAAACTGTCTAATTTGTAACTATAAAATGTTACGTACAACCAGGGTGAGATACTCACCCATACTGTCGAATCCAAGTATATCATTCCCCACAGAACTGGTCCTGCCAGTTTCAGCTTCATGCTTATGTCTGAAGAGCCGTTGCCTTGCATGTCCTCTCCCGTTGTCTAGTTCCCCATGCGTCAGCACACCTAGTAATGTTGACTTGCCCGCATCTACATTTCCCACTACTGCAACCCTGGAAAGAAATAAATATTATAATGTATTACACCAAACAGATAACACAATAAAGAATAAAAATTAATGAACTAAAACCTACTATAACTACTGGTACACTCTATGCAAAGTCAGGTATATAGTGATAAAGTTAATAATAATTTTTTTTACAACTTAATGTTACCTTATCTCCATAAAGTCATTATGATCCAATTCAGTTCTGAGTAGATACTGCCCAACAATGCCGGTGCCACAGTCCCACTTTCGTAGTTCTACACAAGATATCCTCTCACTTACAAGGGACTGTAGGGTTGCAACTGATGCATTGTATTCATCTTCTGTAAGACCCTTACCATCTAAAATTTGATTTCATTAGATTTATTAGATTTTTTGACCTAAATTTGCCTGACCAGATTATGGGTTTACATTACTATTGAGAAATCATATCATTTAAAACTGTAAGATTATTTTTATATTGTTTGCCCTATATTTGAAAAACAAGTTTACCTTCTCCATGTCCTATATCATAAATAATTTCACCATTTCCTGACTCTAGTCTCTCAGTAAGTTGTTTCTTCAATAGTTCATATTCTTCTGTACTTGGACTGACCAGAATCATCTAAAATTATTGATAGATATTTTAGAAAATGACTAGACAAATGCAGTCTATGCAATACCTATATATTGTTTCACATTAAAAAATTGTGCCATTTGATGTGAAAAATGATGAATGATAAAAAATGCACACTAAGCAAATATTTTCTGTATAATATTAAGAGATGATACAATAAATTATATGAGATTTTAATAAAATATTAAAAATTATCTAATAATAAGTGCTCTTTCTTGTAATTAGAAGCTGATTACAATTTTCGTTAAGGTAAATAAAAAAAATTGTTGTGCAACAATTTTATAAGTGATGCAAGTTTTTGCATAATTGAGTTAATACCTACATAATTATAGCATGAAATAAAGCTTTTGTATATATAAAATTGGCAAATTTAGTAAGTAAATATTTGTTTTAGCTAAATTCGAACATATAATGAACCTACTTCTAAGTAGTGCTATTTAAAGTCAACAATGAATATATTTTGAATATTTTTTATAATTTATGGTAATCAATAAAATAAACAGTTAAGAAATCTTATCAGTTATCACTATATTTTTTTATTAAAAACAAATAAAGATAAAATAAGATAACGGAAAGGAACCATACTTAGCAATATGATTACAAAAAGATACTGTTATGAAAACAAAGAGGTTCACTTACTTTCCCTCTAATACTAGAATAATCAGTCTCAGATTCCATTGGCATCTCTGGCTCTGGCAGAGGGCTGGCGACAGTTTCTGGTTCTTCTACTTTGTCCATATTGATTCAAAATTGTATCTTTCGACGGGATATTACGACATTGTTTCCTCACTGGGCATATACTAGAAGCTGTCTGGGACAATAAATACGTGATTAACATTCGTGAAGACAAAGATTAATTACAAAATATTTAATATCATTCTCTGATTTTTAATGAAAGAGTTTAATAAATATCAGAATACACTTTCGCAAGTATTATTTAAATAAATAATGTAACTTTCATAAATAAATAACTAACATTCACGGTTATGCAATTTCTGCAAGAACACAATATTTCACACACAAACAAGAAACAAAATAACCCGCTTTTCATATATGAAAATAGATTTTACGAAAACAGATGGATTTTTTTATGTACTCTGATTTTCTGCCAACAATTTGATTGAATTTGACAACTCATCGTCCGAACTCGACATCGGTGTCAGCAGTCATAGGCTGATGTCACTGCCACCTAATAATACACAATATTCAACATGCACAGAAACTACTACATATATCTATATTTAAAAAGTTTCATTTGTAGGAAATGGGAGACTGACTTCGGAGTTCGGACTACAAATTGGCGATTGGCCCCTTTGGCGCCTTTAAAATTTAAGTTTTAAATCTTAAGTTCAATTTGAATTTCAATCTTTAGAAAACTACGTGTTGATTATTACGTATTCAATAACGATTACGAAACTAGTACATGTATAAAGGTACTGTAAAAAATGCAAGATAAACAAAATTTAGAAGATGAAAAGGAGAACTGTTTGACTCTTTTGAATAGTTCTTTATTGCAGCAATACAAATCGTCCTTACAAAGGTGACTTTAAAAATATTTTTGATAATTTTAATTAAATTCTCTGTGTCAAAATACAAGTAATACTTAAAAATTTGCAGTTCTTCAAACTTTATTTCAATTGCTGTTCTCAATGAGGTGTTGGATGAAAATATAGATCAACTGAACAAACATTCTGATTCTATTCTAGAGACTGCCAATAGTCTACTAAAAAATCACAATTATAAAAACTCCACATGGAGGAGTTCGCTAAGGTAAATATACTTACCTGCTTGTGGCTGTTATTGTATGTAATACTTCCAATTTCCAAGCATTCGTATTTTAACGAAGTTCATACATTATTTGCAGCACATTTCCTGACCCGGTCTCAATATTTGAAAAAACAGTAAGTTGTAAGAAATGCGACAAAAAAAATACTGACTTAAAACATCTTCATAAAACCAAATGTAGTGAGAAATTGAAAGCTTATTTGCAAGATTTGTGTAACAACAGTTCAAGTCAAGAACAGGAAACTAAATGTGATGTCAAATTCAAACCTAAATTTAATAGTTTTAAACAAAGTAAAAGAGAGGCTCATAGTGTTGCAGAGATGGGCAATGGTCCAGAACAAAACCTAGATTTTACAGTAATAGATGAGAGTGAAAAGGCTCACAAGCAGCAAGTAGCTAAGATTTTATTCAAAACAGCTAAAGAAACATTCTTAGCTTCCAATCCAGCAGCTAAACGATCATTGGGAGCTTCAAGGAAAGCCCAAGCAAAGTTTATCTCTCCAATGATTGGAGCTCAGTAAGGATTTTTTTCACTCCATTTTTTTTAAATTCTGGAACTAATACTAAGAAATTAATTTAAAGGGGTTTATGTTATTTTATAACAATTTATTTGAAAATTTTAGCAAAGTTTTGTTATATTTTTTAATTTACTGTATGTTACATAAATTTCATTAAAATACATTAAATTCTTTTTATTAGAGAAAAGCAAGATCAAGTAAAAGAACCAGAAGTGACAGATGAGAGACTAAAACATATTGATCCCAAAATGATTGAGATGATAGAGAGCGAAATTATTGATAAAGGAACACCTATAGGTAAACTTTTACTGTGGGTTAAGAAACAAATGAATAAAAATTTCTAAACTGAATTAGATAAGAGGTCTAATACAAAAAAAAAAGGGTGCGTGTACGCGCGTAAGAAGTTATACTTCTTTGGCATTATTAAAAATAGTTTTTGATTGCATGCAAATAATTAATTACAATTAAATAATCAAAGACTGGAAAAGGAGTCATTATAGTCAATAGAGTTCAGTTTACATTTGAAAAATTAAATAAATTAATATTTATTATTATTCTCTTACATTAAGTGTAACATAAATTCTATTATTATTCGAATGTTGTTTTTAAATGATGTCTAATGCCGTAGCATCTTCCGTGGGCAACTTCATTCTGTTAATTTTGTGTCACGGTGCGCGCGCATCGTAAAATTTCACTCTCATCAATTTTTCATAACGCGCCTAAAGAAGTATAACTTCAAAAACGCGCCATTGTTTTATCTTTTGTTTTTCAACCTCACTTGTGTTCACAGAAATGGTTAGAATACTAAGCTTTGCTTAGTTTTTAAAGGAGTTGTTATATAGTAATTAGTGCTATCTTTTTTTCATTGGTAATTTAAAATAAAGGCAATAGTAGAATTACCTATAATATTATTAAGAAATAAATTTTTTTTTTAAATATCACTGTTATGGCTTAGTGGTAACATATAACACATATAAAAAAAATTGAGTTCATAGGCTAGTAAAACCTGGTATACCTCTATCATTTTAACCAATATAAAATACAAAAGTACAATTTGATATGTTAATTACAACATTGTTGCACATTGTGAGCTACATATACGAGTACATATATATTTTATATTGTCATTATTTGCTATTTAGGGTGGGATGACATAGCAGGCTTAGAAATGGCAAAATCTGTCATACAAGAGGCAGTAGTGTGGCCAATGTTAAGACCAGATATATTCACAGGCCTACGGAGACCGCCTAAAGGAATACTGCTTTTTGGTCCCCCTGGGACTGGAAAAACCTTAATTGGTGAGTTAAATGACGGTTTCTTTGCACAGATATTTACTATATTGGACCTATAATGATAGAGATTATAATATATAACTGTAATATATTATGAGCTTCTTAACTTAGGACCAATGAATTTAAAAAAATATACATATACATGAACAATCTGAAAATTGTCAGCTAAGTTTATAGTATCATTTTATTTTTGTAAAATATGTATGTATAATTATTTTCTTACTAGAGTTGCCTGGAAGAGATCGCTTGGTAGCAAAATAATTTATTTTACTGATTTACGATCGCGAACAAGTACTTTAAAATCATCAACAGCACTTCTGTCGAACTTGTATTACTCTGAATTTTTTAGCTCTATGGCTCTATCTGAGGTTTCGAGTTCCAAGCACAGCTGCAATAAATGTTATGTTAATGCCTTGCCTATAGATAATTAAAGGAAACAAAAACAGAAATCTGAGACAATAGCATAGGGTTGTAGCACCAACGGTATTAAAATTTTTAAAATAGGAATCAGTTTTATTTAGTATTATACTGGAATAGGATAATACATAATATTTGAGTAAGACGGTTCATCCTTCAAGCAAGTGTTTGTCCATCAATTGTCGGAAACTAAGTCGTATCAAGATCCTTTTTTATTTATGTCGGGTATATTCTAACTTAGAGAATACTTCAAGTTATATAGATTCAGTTTTTTTTTACATATATACATATGTAACTAGGTTAACATTCGCTCGAACGGTGAAGAAAAACATCATGATACCGACTTGCCTCAGACCCAAGAAGTCGATTAGTCAAGATGCCTAAACAGTACCTAGTGTATGTAAAGGGTTTTTCAACAAGAACTTTGTTTTCTAAAACAAAGAATTTAGAGGAAAATGAATAAAATTTTTATTGTATTACAAAGAGAAAAGTTTGGCAATTATGAATGAAAAATGATATCTGGCAAATGTCCACCACGACCACGCTGACAGATGTTGATTCTTTCATCAAAATTTTTAATCACTTTTTGGCAAAATGGAGGGTCTATTTCGTTAATGACCACATAGTGCACCACACAGTAACACGTTGAGTATGCAAAGCCTTCTCAATAATTGCTTTAGGATTTTCAGAAGCCCAAATGCGACAATTTTGCTTGTTGACGTACCCTGACAAATGAAAATGGGCTTCGTCTGAAAAAATGATTTTTTCAGAAAAACCAGCAGGTTGTTCCTGAATGAACTGAGCGAATCTGCGGCGATTTGAATGGTCGATCAGCTTTAATTCCTGCACCAGTTGAATCTTGTAAGGCTTCAAAGCCAAATCCTTTCGCAAAATTCGCCATGTTGTGCTTTTGGATAACCCCAATTGTTGAGAACGTCGTGAAATTGACAAATTTTGATCTTCTTCAACACTGTGGCTCACGGCGGCGATGTTTTCTGTTGAACGACCCGGTCGAACACGTGTTGGTGTTGGCACATTTTGTACCGAGCCTGTCGACTCAAATTTCGCGACCAAATTCTTAACAGCGGTCTCAGAAGGACGATTATGCTGGCCGAAAATATCACGAATTTTACGAAATGTAACTTTAACAGAACCACCATTTTTATAGTGGATTTGAATTATTTTAATGCGATTTTCGAGTGAAATTGAATTCATTGTAATAATTGCCAAAGCACCTGCTACGAATACCGCCAAAAACTAAATGTCAAAACTATCACGTTCTCGGTGTTGCCACAATTGAAAAACAAACTTCTTGTTGAAATACCCTTTAGAAAGTCTCAAACTCAAAATGACTTTATTTATATATGTAAACAAGTACACTTAGTACCTTGTGCCCAGTTGGCACAAATAAAAGCCATTAAAAAAAAGAAAAAGAAAAAAGTACACTTATGAACGTCAACAGAAAAGATTATACATTTACTAGCTGACCGGGCAAACGTCGTTTTGCCATATATATCATTTATAAAAAAAAAAATAGGGGTTGATCGTAGAGGGGTGAAAGTTAGGGGTTTGTATGTATTTTTAAATGCTGTATCATAAAAACAGAAAAAAATATCTAAAAATGAAAAAAAAATATTTAGGGGTGGACTACCCTTAACATTTAGGGGGATGAAAAATAGATGTTGTCCGATTCTCAGACATACCCAATATGCACACAAAATTTCATGAGAATCGGTCGAGCCGTTTTGGAGGAGTATGGCAACGAAAACTGTGACACGAGAATTTTATATATTAGATTACCAGTTCGCAAGTCAAGGGCGTAGAGTGGGCAAGAAGAACTGGCAAGAAACCTTTCGGCACTCTTTTTAATCGCTAAGTTTTGAGTCATACAAATTGTTTGAACTGGAGCAACCAATCCCAAGGATTAGGATCATTTAAAAATTTAAATATTCGTCAAATTTATAAAAAAGCTTTCATGATTAATTTATGTTTAACGATAGCTTTGAATTTATTCAGTGATAATTCTCTAATTGCGCTTTGGAGTTTATTGTAAAAACGAATACAATTTCCAATCTACATACACAACTGTTAAGGCTCTTGACTAAGCCCCCTGATCACTTACTTGTCTATTAGATGAAACAGATAAGTACAGAAATCTGAGGCCCACCTAAAAAGGTTGTAACGTTTACTTTAGTTTAAAGAAGGGTAATAATGTTAACAGGCACTTGCATTAGGTTTATTTTTCTTTAGCTTAGTTGTAAAATTATAGTTTAATTTTTTCAAGGAAAATGCGTAGCAGCTCAATGTAACGCGACATTCTTTAGTATATCGGCCTCTTCGTTGACGTCAAAATGGATTGGAGACGGAGAGAAGATGGTTCGAGCGCTATTCGCCGTCGCACGATGCCATCAACCAGCTGTAAGTACACCAAAACACCACATGGGCATGGGACACAAAATTATCCATCAGTCTTTCGTTTCCGATAAATGGTTGAGGTTTTCTAGGATTTTATTTTTGCGTCACGAAGTCGTGGCAGAAATGTATATTTATTTAAATGAAGTTCAATATGTTTTATGTTGTATTTAAACAATTTTTAGGTGATATTCATAGATGAAATTGATTCTTTGCTAACTCAGAGAAATGACACTGAACATGAAGCAACGCGAAGAATTAAAACTGAATTTCTTGTTCAGTTCGATGGAGCGGCTACAGGTACTAGGCATTTCTAATTTATTTTAATTAACTTCCAAATAGATTTAACTTCAGGCATTTTTTTAGTATAGTGAAAATCGCAACTGTGTCATAACTTGGTATTCAATGTAAAGTATAAAAATTTCCGTTTACACAATAATTTTGTCAAAAAATTATTAAACTCCTTAATCAGCGATTATGTTATTATTTATTTTTATCTCGTTTTAAGTTACAATAAAATTTACTATAGGTATATTTGATAAACTTCCGGAAAGATAGAAAGTTAGATACGAGAGAAAATAGGCATAAAATAGTCTTTATGTAGAAATTATTTTTTACTCATAGGAGAAGAAGACCGTTTACTTATCGTGGGCGCAACCAATCGTCCACAGGAATTAGACGAAGCAGCGAGGCGACGGCTAGTCAAAAGACTGTATATTCCCTTACCCGATGCACAAGTAAGAATAGGCTTAGTTACGATTTGTGATTTTTTTTAAATTTAGTATCAGTAGAATAAAATTCGGTAATGAGCATTTTTCATTACCAATTAATTAAATAATGAAACAATAAAAATACAATTTTTGGCTATGGTGTGAAGTTTGTGCCGCTACAATTTCGGAATATTTTTACAATCCAACAATTTCGTTAAAATTGCACGAAAAGTTTTGGGTCTAATTTTTGAGCACAAAATTATATACAAACCATCCAGATCGCAGCCTTCAACCAGTAGTAGGAATTACATATTATATGAAGGAAGATGGGTATTTTCTGCAATTTCTGGTAAATCCGCCACTGGTAATTCCCAACACTCCTCATTGCCACGGTTTTTTTGCAAATACATTAAACTCAAATAGGGGTCAAATTTATGCAACATCAAACTCAGTATGTCAGTGCCACTAACAATTAAAGAAATTTTAATTCAATAAAAGTAAAATAATTAGCCCTTTGCTTGTTATACTGACGCTACGAAGTCGCAAGAATCAGTAATAAATCATCAGAATTAAACCTAAAAAAAATTTTAAACGTTTGTTTTGTCTGTTATTAATCTTGAATATGCTTGTGAAAAATTAACTTAGAAACTTATATTTAAGGCTCGCAAGCAAATAGTGTTCAACCTGCTCAAAAATGAAAACAATGAGCTGACATCACAAGACATGAGTGATGTAGCTCATTTGACCGACGGTTATTCGGGTGCTGACATGAAATCACTGTGTTCTGAAGCCGCTATGGGTCCTATTCGAGCTGTGCCACTGTCACAAATTACTACTATTGATAGAGATATGGTATGATCTTTAATATACGATTATTCTACTACTATAATCTTTATGCAAATGATGTTGAAAATTAATTTTGAATGTGAATGGTGGATTTAATTTACAAACTGGCATGTCATAAAAATGCCACCATATACTTTGGATTAATTATAATAATACAGTGTAAACTCTTTATAACGTCATTCGTTCAGTTTCATTTGTTTAGCTTAACACAAAACCCATACATTACCTCACTCTTTATAACGCAACAGCCATTCTCTATAACGAGGAAATATTTTCAAATTTAGACATCAAAAACATACTTAAGTGTAACTGTTTTTATAATTAGCTTACAAAACAAAAATAAGTCAAAAACAGCCGTCTCGACTTTGTTTTTGTTTATTGAATTAACACGTGTGCCATTATTCTTAGATAACATTGCCTGTAGGAAATTTTGGTCTCAGTTACTAAACGCGTGGTGCGTCACCTCTCGTGTCGTATCAGTCGTAAACAAACTTTGAAACTGTCAGATGGCCAGTAAATGAAAAACGTTATGTATTATATGTGTTTAGAATAATTTACAAATTTTTCCCATCCCCTGCCAATAACGAAAAATAATGTTCGGTCTCTTGATGTAGTTTCAAAGAGTTTACACTGTACTTTATAAGTGATTTACCAAGAGAATAAATAAGTCAGTAAAGAAACGAGACCTAATAAGAAGTATCTGTGAAAATATTATTTTATATTTCTATGTTATCTTTAGTTAAATTATATGTTATAGGTGCGACCGGTAAATGCGCAAGATTTCAAAGCTGCTCTGAAAAGAGTGCGTCCCAGTGTATCTCAAGACGATCTCGGCCAATACATTAAGTGGGACAGAACTTATGGTCAGGGTTTCTAGTTTTTTAAACTTTTCAAATTAAATTTATTTTACATTAAATTGCTGTTTTATTAATTTCATGGTAGAAATATGATTTATTACCATTACTCTTAGTAATTCACTAGTCACTTTTGTAAAATTACACGTTATTAGAACATATATACATCTGTAGTAATGAAGAGGGTGGATGAAAACTTGACATTTTCGTTTCTGTCAAACTAACAGTGTATCGGTAGCGAGGTTTTTTTTGAAAAATCAAGTCAAAACAAAAAACATGTCTTTCTGGCGCGATTTCATGAAGTTATTCATGAAAAACTTGATGTAATTATTATATTGTACAATATCTTTTAAAATGGATATACATAACAGAGTGGTGGTATTAATTGATATGGACTGTTTTTATTGTCAAGTTGAAGAAAAGCTAAATCCAGAACTAAAAGGAAAACCCATTGCTGTTGTGCAATACAATCCATGGAAAGGCGGAGGGTATATATTGAACTTACGTTGTTTTAGTAAAATGTATGTATCAACGTAGGTAGCTACAATAAATATGCGATTTATGTTCTTAGAATAATAGCTGTGAACTATGTAGCAAGAGCCATGGGTGTTACTAGACACATGAGAGGAGATGAAGCCAAGGAGAAATGTCCTGAAATACAGCTGCCTTCTGTGCCATGTTTAAGGGGGAAAGCTGATATTTCCAAGTAAGAAAATTTTACAATTACTATGGAATTAGGTAAATGTGCAATGTCTGTATCTTCATGGTTTTCTCATTGTGTAATGAACAAAAATAATATGTAAACAAACTTATTTTATCATTTATTCCTTGACAGATACCGAGATGCTGGCAAAGAAGTTGCTAAAGTTCTACAAAGGTTTACAACACTGTTAGAAAGAGCTTCTATTGATGAAGCATACTTAGATATAACAACACCTGTAAGTCCAAATCATAATAACGAAGTAGACATAACTTACATCTAGATTAATAACAACCAATGGTATGACTGCCTCTGTGGTTTAGTAATGTGGTTATGTAATTATAACACATAACCAATTTTTTGTACAAAGACTGAACCTATGTCCTGCCAAAACAAAAATCAGGTTTTAAGACAGACATATTAGATATATGTTAAATATTTGTCTTTTAGGTTCAAGAACGCCTTAAAATCATCAACATAAATACAATAAGTACAGACATGATGCCTAACACATTTGCTCTCGGATATCAAAGCATAGATGAGTTGGTGTCTGATGTACATAATTATGGAGGAGATTGTATGGAATTTGATATAGAACATGCATCACGGTTGCTAGTGGGGGCTGTGATTGTTAGTGAAATAAGAGCTGCTGTATATGAAGAAACTGGTAAGTAGTGTTAATTCAAAATTAAATTAGATATCTATCTACAACACTTTTCACTTCAGAGATCAAGTGAGTTTAGTTGTACATTTGATGGCAACTTAATATTTAAATTTTTGGTTTTATATTTTGTATAAGGGAAAATGCTACAGTGCACTGTTTTAAGTTGCTACTTTTTAAGTGGATTGGAGACTATGATATTTTATTTTTGTTATACTTCTTAATTATTATCATTACACTACTAATAAGGTCAGTCTGGTTTTATGACATCCAGCTTTACATCAAGATAACAAATACAAAAAAAGTGGTATGACAGTTAGCTCAGCTCTTTTGTAAGTAACATAATATAGACTTTTAAGTGCATTTTACATTCAAAGAAATGTTATTTGTGTTTAATAGCAAAATGCATTACTCTTTGATTGGTAGAATTTTTTTTAATTGAAAATTTCAGGCTACCACTGCTCAGCTGGCATTGCACACAATAAAATTTTAGCTAAGCTTGTATGTGGAATGAACAAACCCAACAAACAAACAATACTACCAAAACATAGCATTAATTTGCTGTATCAGTAAGTTATATTTTAAAGTAATATAGAGTATATTATTTATATATAAGTAATTGTAAAATATTGAACACTGTAGAGCTCATGCTAGTAATTTTAATTTTTATATCCCTATTAATAAAAAATAAAATCAAGAAGTCGTAATTAGTTGTGCATAGCTTTGAGAGAATTCTTATTGTTGTTTATGCAATAGTCCAAAATAAATATTAAAACTTAATAATCTTTTAACACTGATTCTGATTAACATTTGTTGTAGAACATTACCACTAAAAAAAGTAAAGCACTTGGGTGGAAAATTTGGAGATGCAGTATGTGAAACTTTAACAATTAGACTAATGGGAGAACTACAAAAATTTTCTGAAAATGAGTTACAAGTGAGATTTGATGAGAAAAATGGGTATGTATTGGCATATGTAATTAAAGGTAAAAAATGTATATGGGTTTTTATTATATATAGCCCATATAAATGATATATTCACATGGAAGTCTTGGGAAGTGTATTTTATCCTTAAAATTTTCAGAACATGGCTTTATAATATAGCGCGTGGCATTGATTTAGAGCCAGTTCAAGCTAGATTTAATCCAAAAAGTATTGGATGCTGCAAACAATTCCGTGGGAAATCTGCTTTAACAACATTAGATAGCTTAAAAAAATGGCTTAGAGACCTAGGGTATGAAATTGAAGATAGATTGGAAAAGGATGCCTTAGAAAATAATAGAACCCCTAAACAGATGGTGGTTAGTTTTTCTACTCAAACCCAAGATGGTAGGGATATTAGCAGTAGTAGGTCTTACAATTTTACCCCTGACGATGAACTATGTGGGGATTTATTTTCAACCAAAGCTCTGGAATTGATTTTAGACAGTGCTGAAGGTTGTAAATTGAAAGGTAAAATAATTTATTTAGTAAACATTTCTCTTTACTTCTGAAATAGATTATTAGACTTGTTTCCTTTTCAGATGATGAACCTGATCGAAGATTAAAAGCACCAATAAAATTTCTTGGTATAAGTGTGGGCAAGTTTGAAGATAATGATACCAAGAAAACAAAGAAAATTAAAGATTACTTTATTGCTGGTTCCTCTACAGTACAAAGTACTAAAGAAAACTTAAAACCTGATAGTGTAGACACAAAATGCTGTAGCAAAATTGTTGACAAAGAACATGTATTTAGAAAATTCTTTCAAATTACAGAGAAAGGAGCAGAACCACTATGTGGTAATGCAAGTTCATCAAAAACTAATATTGACAATTATTGTAAAACAAAAGACCTTAAAAGTGACATTCAACAAATAGAATCAAGCTTAGAAAGACAAGAATCATTCTTTGCTAAGTTTTTAAATAGAAACAAACATCCAAATGAAAAATCAACTACACCAGTATGTAAGGTAGAAACTTGTGGCGATGAAAGCAATGATACTAATTACTCTGGATCTACTATTGATGAAGAAATAAATAAAAGTATTGCCATGTTTGAAGATGATCCCTTAGAAGTAGACAGGGTCAGTAGTATGAGGCAACTACTTAACACATCTAAAGTAGGAAAAGATACCCCTGATGTGGAAGAAAATGGACAATTAGATTTAGCTAGCAATATTGTAATATGTGAACCTAATATAGAAGTAATACAATGCTCCGAATGTGGGAAAAACATATCATTAGACATGTTTGATATTCATGCTGATTACCACCTTGCTTTAAAAATAAGAAGTGAAGAAAGAGAGCAGATACGAAATAAAGTTGAAAGCAAAAAGAAAGATTTGGCAAAGAATACTGAATCATTAAAAAAACATGAGGAAAATACAAATAAATCAATAGCTAACTTTTTGGTTAAAATTGATGAAACTATTCCATGTAAAATGTGTTCTGAATGTGGAAGCAGGGTTCCATTGGAGAAATTTGAAGAGCATTTAGATTTTCATGAAGCTCAAAGATTAAGCAGAGAAATTAATAGGCCATCACTACCTGTTAATAGTGCTAAGAGGAAAAGAAAATCTGCATCACCTCTTAAGAAACCCAAAATGCAATGTAAATCTATAGATCTGTTTTTTAGATGATTGTTTTTCTACTTCTAAATATGTATTATTTATCATGTATATAATTAGAGTAATATATATTTTTTTAAACATTCATTCTTTGTATTCTCCAATCCTTAAAATTCTAGAGACCTACTAGAAATAAAACAACTTTTAGACAAATTAATTATATTTCATCTAAACGCTGTAAATTTCGTTTTGGACCTTCCTCCAAGCATCTAGAGGACCGTGCTCGGGACGGTACTTGACGTTGCATCCATCGTTAGCGAAACGTCCGTCATCACGCAGACGCTCGTATTCTTCACGTTCATACACGGTGAAGCCCCACTTCTTGGAAATGTAGATCTAGAAAGAAATGTATTTTTAGAACAATAGATTTAGATCTGCCCAGCTTATTTGCATCAGTTATCATGGTTAGATATGAATCAGATAACGAAAATTTATTTTCCCACTTTTAGACTAACATATTAAAAATATATTATGGTTGATAACATTTACAATATAACATACATGTAAGTATATATTAAATTGTTACCTTCTACGTTTACTATTATATATTTATTCATACTTAAGTATAAAGTTTCTTTAACAGAACCAAAGTGAAGAAATATAAAGGTTTTTATAAATTATATAATTTAATCTACCTTTTGACGACCTGGGAACTTGAACTTGGCACGACGCAGAGCCTCAATGACTTGCGCCTTCCAACGGTCACTTGAGCGCACTGACATAATAGGCTGTCCAATGCGCACGCGTGCCACTGTACCTTGGGGTTTACCAAAAGCACCTCTCATCCCAGTCTGGAGCCTAAAAACCCGTATATGATATATAAAAAAACTATCCTTAGTTATGTACAACATTTGGACATGTGGAACACCTTATGAATAATTATTTACTATGTAAAATACAAATAATATTTAACTTGCACAACTGTATTACAAATTTAACCTGATAATACTTAATATTAATAAGTTAATGTATCTGGTCAGATTATACAATAATAAAGAGAGTTTCCTGTATTACCTGCATAAAATGTTTATGTGCTATCTATTATCAATTATGCAATATTAGACTTTATACCTATGACGTGAAGATTCAAAACCACTGAATATCACAAACTTTTAATAACTACATTAAAATACTTTGGACCAGAAATTCATTTAAAATATCTTTATGTTAATTATAGTACACAATAACAGCACTTACCTATCAGCTCCAGCGCACGATAACATTTTATTGATGCGGATAACGTGGAATGGATGGAGCCTAATGCGGATGTGAAACTGATCTTTACCACAGTTTTTGACGAGGTACTTGTTGCAGCAGATACGGCCTGCCTCCAAAGCCTCAGAACTTAGCTGCTCGTACTCATCCGACACCAGGTGCACACATAGTGGAAAGTCATCTACGGCCGCCTTCTTTTTACCCAAGTCGAAGATACGAATTTTTGGGTCAGGCACACCACGACAGAATCGTGACTTTGGGTAGGGTTTGTTTTTACAATACCGATAACTGAAAAGTCAAAACAAATTAAATTTGTTAGCAATTTAAGCTACATAAGAGTAAATCACAACAATATAACCAATATTTACCATCTCGCTGGCCGGCGCCCCATGATGCCCTGAAATATACAAAAAAACACGCTTAGTAAAACAGAAATATGTTTCAGACACAAGTTTAATGTATAATTATTCAATATCTTAAATGATTTTATTCGATTTTAAAACAGCAACTTTTCGCACCTTCAATAAGACACACAAGACGTCGTAAAAGAAAGCTGTCAAAACTATTGGAACTCAATTTTATATCGAAATGTCAATTGTCAAAAATGTCACAGATTATACCAATAGCAAGAATGACTAATTTACAAAATAAGTGAATGTAATAATATATTTTTAACTTTTAATATTTTTGCATGTTTATAAAATTACGAAGAAAAACAACAAAAGCGACCGAAGCAATGAAAACAAAAACGCTGCAATTACATCCATAGTGGTACTAGTCAATACATTTGATAGTGCAATAATCTGTGGCACCTTGCTTTCTGAAAGCTTAGTTGAAAATCAAAATATTTTGTTTTTGGATATTTTACTTCTACCTTAATCGGAAAATCCAATAGTTAGTTTGTATTTTTATCGCTTTAGGATTGGAAATAATAAAAATGGGTGCACTTACTAGCAGACAAAATGCTGGTGTGGAGGAAGCTGATGTTGTATCAAATCATGCATACAAGTATCCGCCTCGATCAGGTGAATTTTATTGACCTTTATCTTGTTGGCTTTACTTTAGTTTAACTATTTAATATGTATTTTTTAGTAATGATGCCAAAATACCTTGTGAATTGTTATGACATAAATTGTTTTTAAACATATAGAAAATATGACACGACTGCTAAAACTATTGCTTAATTAGTTAAATATTTTTTATTGTCTTTCATGTATAATGATTTCCGTGTTAATTTATTATTAGGAAATTATTTTGGAAGCCACTTCATAATGGGAGGTGAAAGATTTGATACTCCACAACCAGAAGCTTACTTATTCGGTGAGAATGCTGACCTGAACTTCCTTGGTAGCAGACCTACACCTGTGAGTATTGCGGCGGAATTAATTATTGATTATAAAAACAGCATTTTTTTATTTATTAGAATGTTTAAATTGGTTTTGTTTTATGGTTAAATAAAACATTTATTAAAAGAATAAAACCATAATATAAAATTATATTAAAATGAATTTCATATTTGTAGTTTCCATACCCACCACCTCAATCTAATGAGCCAACCAAAACTCTACGGAGCCTAATCAATATCCGTAAGGAGTCCCTACGCTTTGTTCGCTGCCCAGAACCAGTGGGAAAATTGAGTGAGACCAATAAAATTGGAGATGGCCCTGTCAAAACTGTCGATAATAATGGCAAGGGCACTTATTACAATATTGAGTTTACATTTGACTGTGATGTCAGATGTGCTATTACGGTGTTCTACTTTTGCACTGAAGAAGTTACACCAACTGGTATTGTGTATGTATTGATTAATAATATTCTTAGACTAAGTCAGGCTTTTTAAGCTTCAGTGCCCACCAAAACACTAAACCACTTGATTGTATGTATACAATTTAGAAAAAAACTATTCATTTAATGTAATTTTGTTAAAAGCCAAATACAGAAAATGTATAAATTATTGACAAATATTTTTCTACACCTATGTATTTTTTATTATATCCTATTTATATTTAACCATTCCACAAACTTTTTACCATACTATTTTGTACTTTATAGACACTACCCTCGTGATTCATCTATGTCCTCCCAGACTTACCATTACAAGAAGGGAGCTAATCAGCAGTTTTGTCAAATCTCTCATGTGTTTGACCCTTCAAAGTATCCAGAAGAAGATCTTATATACAATGCAGACCGTGAAATTATTCCCATTGCAATTTATTGTGTTGTAGATGAGGGGCAAGATGGTGAGTTATCAAATCTGCACTGAGTTATCTGACATTGAGCTAAAGTTACTCTGAAGTGTTGGCATAGTTTAATAGTTCCTTATTTTTCCTCGCATTTAATAGTAAAACCAACATAGCTCAGAAACCCAAAATGCCAGTGCCCTCAAGACTAGACTATTTCTTTCTCAAAGTATCTAAAGTTTAGACCTTTATATGTGTGATTAAATGTTAGAGTCTATCATTAAGTCTATCCCCCTAATTCATATAAATAAATCAGTATAATTCACTGTTTTAACTATGTTCATCACAGTGTAAACACAGTTTTGTTTATGAACTGCGTTTCTTTTTCATATTTCTCAGTTATAATTGGTTCATTGTTGACATTTTTCAGAAATTAGGCAGTCACACACAACTATTGCTATAGTAGAGAAGCACTTAGATGGAACTTATGTCTTGAAAGCTCTAAAGCAAAAATTGTTTGTTGACGGATTGTGTTATCTGTTACAAGAGATATATGGTATAGAGAATAAAAATCTTGATTCAAAGGTACGCTTTAATCTATAAGTGGACCATCAATTTAAACTATTATTCTTTTACCTGAAGAAAATGTTGGTTATTGTGTGCTAAAAGTAGTTGAGGAATGGGGGCATGCTGTACCTATTTTGATGAAATTTTAGTGTATTATTAATAGTGTTATTTTGTAATTGGTGCCAACCAATGATATAAATAATATTTTCTCTTTCAGCCCACCTCAGATGAGGAAACCGAAGATGGTGGGTCTGAATGTGTTATCTGTATGTGTGATGTCCGTGACACACTGATACTGCCATGTCGGCATCTCTGTTTATGCAACTCTTGTGCGGATTCCCTCCGTTACCAGGCCAATAACTGTCCAATATGCAGAGCTCCGTTTAGGGCTCTGTTACAAATAAGAGCCCTTCAGAAGATTTCAGCTTCGCCGACGTCACCTGCCTTGTTGCCCGCTGCCAGTCCACCAGATGTAATATCTTATATTAAAAAAAAATTGCTATCAAAAAAATTATTTACGGTGAACATTTTGAAATTTGGCATTTTTAAATCTTTTTTAGTTATGATCATAACAGTTATTAAATTAATGTCAGCGCCGTTACTGTGTGACTTCCAATATCGACATATATACCCAGATCCCGACGTTTTTGTATGCAATTCCGATTTTCTCTCAATAGTCGCTGACGCAATCGTAGGACCGCGCGGTACCAATCATTTTTGTGATCGGGATAAAATTGGAAGTTGCAGAGTAACGGCTCATGCCCACGAGACGGTTTTAAGACCGGGACTACGTCCGGTCGTCAGTTTTGTATGGGACACTATAACCACACACGAAACCGTCTTGTGTGCAAGCTCGGACGGTTTCTACCCGGCGCCGGCAAAAAATCGGGCCGTGATACGACGGACGATTGGACGACCAATCCCTCTCCGAGCGGCTTGATCCTTTGGCGTTGCGTAGAGATGTGGGGTCACTCTGCATCTTCTACCGCATTTACCATGGAGAGTGTTCAGAGGAGTTGTTCGGATTAATTCCTGCAGCTGAGTTTTATTATCAGACGTCGAGGTAGAATACGAAATTCCACCCGTATCACCTCGACGTCCTCCGTTCCAAGACTGAGCGTTTTTCAAGGCAGTTTTTGAACGCACTCACGGACCCCTTTGGCATTGAGAGTGTTCTTTAAAAAAAAATCATCTCGTGGGCATGAGCCCTAATAGGCCAGTCATTATAGACATTCGAAATCGAAAATTTGATAATAATTCCAAAAGTTTTCAAACTTCGGTCAAGTGAATGGTACATTGGGACGACAATAAATCTCATTTTGCAACCTTGTCCGCAGTCCGGAACATTGTTAAAATTGCAATTAAATTAATTTTTGCTGTATGGTCGTGAAAAAAATTCCAAAAGTTCTGCAAACTTGGGGAAGTTTTCGATATAATATTTCATATCACGTATAAAATTTGCAACCAACCTAAGTGTACGGAACATTTTTTGTTATTTATTTTATTTTCTATATATCTGTCAAATTTGCAGAACTTTTGGAACGTTTTCCTTCAGTTCAGTAAAGAAAAACATTAATTTTTAATAACAAAAAATGTTATGTACACTAAGGTTGGTTGCAAATTTTATACGTGATATGAAATATTATATCGAAAACTTCCCCAAGTTTGCAGAACTTTTGGAATTTTTTTCACGACCAAAACTTATTTTTAACAATGTTCCGGACCGCAGAGCAGGTTGCAAAATTTTATAGTTTGTTTTAATACCACTCCCGACCTTACATCAAAATTTTAAAACTTTTGGAATTATTATGAATTAATTGTCTTGACTGACTGGTCTATAAGGCTGATAGTTTACTATACACCTTTACAAAATATAAAAGTTATTCTTTTTTAAACTTAAAATTAAGGTTTACATCAGGACTTCCATTATCTTTTATAAATGGAAACCATTAAGGCCATTTTGTAAAAGAAGTCGCATGTGTCGACTTTGTAGATATTTTATATATGTATTATTTTTTTAATATCTTGTTAGAGTCTATGGTGAAAGCACGCCGTGGCGGTTATGTAAAAACTTTTATTTGCTGCATATTAACTACTTTTGTGAATTGATTAAATGACGTATTGGTTACGTAACAGATATCAATAAAAAAAAGGAATTTAGCAAAGTCTTTTCGCACAGACTATAAAAAAAACTATTTTATATTAGGATTTCTTTTTAAAAAACCTTTAAATGTTGAACAAGTTTGAATGTTGTGTAAACAAATAGGGCAGCATGGAGAATATCCCAGCAGGTTATGAGCCGGTCTCCCTCATTGAAGCCTTGAACGGACCTCGAGCCCGTGTCGCTCCCCTCGCCCCACCTGCCCCGGCCATCGCCAGCCCCGATACGGATACAGCGTCGCAGGTACGTTGACTTAACCCCTAAAGGGCAGACACATTTTTGTGTCTGCTTTGATTGTAACGACTTAATGACTTCAAAATACTGTAATTACTTTTAATATTTCAGCGGTGAATACAAACTTATATTATTTTATGTACTATATGATTCAGTCTACTGTCTACCTTAGATAAAATACATAGTCTTCATTGGTATACTATAGGTACATATTTTAAGTAATTCACTCTGTTTTGGTTAAAATAATTTCATTCATTCGCCTTAATAAGATTTTTTTCCAATTTTTCGCCTTCCTCAGAGCAAGGAATAAATATTTTTAAAAAATTACTCGATTTCATCCAGCCGTCTTCCGAGTTTTGAGCTTAGCAACATATTTTTCTTTTTAACAAATTAACTTGTTTTTCAGTATATAAAAGCGCTGTTTTAATTTCGAAATGAAATATTTCAGGCCGCGGAAGTTTTAAACCGTTGCGTAGTTGAACGCAGCTCTTCAACCAGTTTGGGAAGTAGACGCAGTAGCTGTCGAGATGAAAAGAGAGATAGACTCGCCCAGCATCCACTTACACCTGAGGTAAGATTTCCAGAGCAATTACAAAAAAAAATAATTAAAAAAACTTATATTTTTTCTGTGAAATTTCGGTACAAGTTTTTTATTATTATTATAGTTTTTTATGAGGTATTGTTATTCCTGAGTTGAAAAAATATTTGATTACACGATATACACAACTAACCTACCTTAAATTTAAATTACACTAAGTTTTCACAAAGTGGATATAATTCTCAAAGGAATACAGTATCTTCGCACTGAAATTATTTGTTATGTTTATTTATATAAAAAAAAAAAATTTTTTTCCGATTCCAGTTCCGTATGTCAGTGCTACTCGCCCGTGAGCAGTCCAAACGTGACGAGAAAGCTGCCAGTCCCCTTCTTCAGAAACACAACAGCACCAGTGTGCCTGACAAACTCTCCAAGAGCAAGGTAACACATACACTTTTGGCTAATATAAAATTCTAATCATCATAAATCTGATTAAATATTTGTAATAAAAATGTCACAAATTAAATAAAAGGGTGATTTAAAAAAGAAACTCACCTGATGTTAATTGGTGCGGTCGCCCATAGACACTCACATTGCCAAAGGCCTCACAAGTGCGTTGCCGGTCTTTAAGAATTCTTACGCTCTTTTCTTGAATGACCCTAAGTCGAATCGGTTCGGAAATACATCAGTGGGCAGCTGGTTCCACAGAGTGGTAATGCGCAGCAAAAACTGCCTTAAAAAACGCTCAGTTGTGGAACGACGGACGTCGAGGTGATACGTCTGGAATTTCGTATTCTGCCGTACGTAAACCGAATAGTTACCGCTAATAATAAGATATTTGTTGATATATTGATTTTAAATGTTAAATTTATATTGTTTTAATCGAATTTGTGTGATAGTAGGAATTTTTGTACAATAACCTTTTAAACGCTAAAACATTTATTTATTTACAGCTTATGTGTGGACAAATTTCAACTAAAAATATTATAAAAGAATTAAGTTATTTTTATAAAATCTTGTCTAAGTATATTTTAACTTACTAGTATATTACCGTTTCACAAACAGGTTATATATATATATATATATCTAATATATAAAATTCTCGTGTCACAGTTTTCGTTGCCATACTCCTCCAAAACGGCTCGACCGATTCTCATGAAATTTTGTGTGCTTATTGGGTATGTCTGAGAATCGGACAACATCTATTTTTCATCCCCCTAAATGTTAAGGGTAGTCCACCCCTAAATATTTTTTTTTATTTTTTTCTGTTTTTATTTTTTTATGATACAGCATTAAAAAATACATACAAACCCCTAACTTTCACCCCTCTACGATCAACCCCTATTTTTTTATTATAAATGATATATATGGCAAAACGACGTTTGCCCGGTCAGCTAGTATATATATATACTAGCTGTACCCTGCCACGCTTTAAGTGGCACATTGTGATTGAATGGTTGAGAAATGAGAAACAAAACAAAGACACATACATACATACATTTCATATTAGTTTAATTTTCCAATATGGGAAAAAAAATAATTTAAAAAATAGATAAAAGCAATCCTGGATTGTGGATGTGGATTATATATCATGCTAAAATTTAGATAGGTGCAGAACTTTTTGAGTTTTAGAAGCATACAAAAACCAACATAATTTTTTTATATATTTTTAATATCAGAATTAATTTCAGACCTCCCTAAACTCCATACCGACGTCAATCCATCGTTCTGAAGAAGAGAGCTGCTCCTGCTCCGTGGAGGGGCGAAGTGAAATCGGTTCTGGTGATTGTGGGGCAAATTATGGTGAATGTGGAGCTGATTGCGGGGTAGATTGCGGTGAATGTGGGGTGGATGGAAACGGGGCTGAAGATGGAGAACCTGATAGTGATGCGGAGAGACGTTCGCCGCTTCTTACTCATCTTACGCATAACGGGGTATGTTGTTTCGTGAATAAATAAATCAGTGGCGCTCAGATTTCTGTATGTTTCATGATCATTTTTCAATTTAATAGGCAAGTAGGTGATCGGCCTCCTGTGCCTGATACATGCCGTCGAATTTTTGGGTCTAAGACATGTCGGTTTCCTCACGATGTTTTCCTCCACCGTACGAGCGAATGTTAAATGCGCACATAGAAAGAAAGTCCATTGGTGCAGCCGGGGATAGAACCTACGACCTCAGGGATGAGAGTTGCACACTGAAGCCACTAGGCCAACACTGCTGCTGTTGTTTCGTGAAGTTTTGTGAAATTGTTTGCCAGTTGCCTATAAAATACCAGTATTTCTCCAAAATGAAATATCTCATCTCAAAAAGAAATATTAAACATATATTTTTTAATAAGTTGAAACATAAATTTTATGACTTATTTATAGATCTACAAACGTCGTTCAGTTGTTTTGAATGTTATTCGTTTCCCTCAAACCTAAAAAAAAACAATTTTGACGTGAAAACGTTTAATAAATCTATGAATGCCGGCTGCACGCACGAAAAATCATGACGCATTGTCCCGTTACGCCCATTGTACGCAAGCGCCGCATCTATCTCTCTTCCACTCGAAGACTTTAAGTATGCAATCATTTCATCAATGTTTTGTTATGATGTGGTCGCGTTAAATTATCGTCCGTAAACCGGCTTTACTTACAAGACGTTTTTTAATAAAAAGATGATTATTGAAACTAAATTATTGAAGACCGGAAACGCAGTTGCGAGCCATCTGGCAATGTGAGTGTCCATGGTGTGCACAGCACATAAAAAATAAATATATGTATATGGTAATACCCTCGGGTTCTATCTAATTATAAATAACACAAACTAGTTTTTTTTTGTTGTGTGGTGCGCGGCGGCGGGAGAGTGTCCCGCGCTGCGAAAACTGCCCCCACTCCCTTGTTTAATGTTCAAGATGTTTGCCGGTATCTATACACTGGTTCATGTTTTTTGATTGTTACGATGTTATATATTGAAGAGACAGCGCAAGTAGACTACATTTAATTAATTTGTATTGCAGATTAAAGCGAATGGCTCTTTGCGTACTCCGAGCGTGGAAGCCATTCGACCTGCGCTCGCGCACATTGACGACACTGATAATGAAGAAAATGAACAACACTGTAAGTATGTTTTATTATTTATTTATTGACGTTTACCACATACAATTTCAGTAAACATGAATGTTACAAAAAATATAATCGAATACCAGTAATCTTGCTTATTTTTAAGTAAAATAGGGTATGTTTTTCTTAAGAGGCAGGCAACGCACTCACGAGTCATCTGGCATTGAGATTGTCTATGGGCGGCGGTATCACTTAACATCAGATGGCCTCCTGTCCGTTTGCCCCCTGTTCTATAAAAAAAGGTGTCAGATAGGCAATTAACAATGCTTTCTTTAAAACCGATCAGCCCACTACCGAATATATCCAGCTCCGGATAAGTACTGCTTAATCTGTTATAATTAATGTTACCAGATTGAGACGGTTTAATCAATAGTAAATACTAGGTTATTAATGTGTATTTCGCATATTCATTACTCCATGCAATGCAAATTGTCTTTTGTTTATTATCTATGTGGGAATTCATAAAGGATACTACTTAATTCAGAGTAGTGTTGGTCTAGACTTCATGCGACTCTCATGCCTGAGGTAGGTTCGACCCCGGCTGTGCACCAATGGACTTTCTTTCTAAGTGCGCATTTAACATTCGCTCGAACGGTGAAGGAAAACATCGTGAGGATACCATGTCTTAGACCCTAAAAGTCTTTGGCGTGTGTCAAGCACAGGACCCTTTGCATAGATTTTGAGGATTTATGAATTTAATAGTTTCAATGTTTTTTCGAAGTGTTACAAAGCTAGTGATAAAAAAAGGTGTGGCACTCGGGGAATGCCGCGGTAAAGCTATTGCATAGCATTTTTTATCAACTTATTCAATTATAATTATTTATTATTTTTTTATTGATGCAGTATTTTTTTTATTTGATATTAATTCAATCTACCACGACCAGACTCAGACTAACACGCCTATTTAGTCTGTCTCACTCTAACGCGTACCGGCTGCACCGGCCCCGCTTTTGCTACGTTACCGATCTCGTCAGAGAGATGTAAATACGCAGTATGCGCTCTGTCCCTCTCTAAGCTCCGCCGCCGCTGCCGCCCCGCTGCCCGCAAAATTCGAGGCAGCAGCCTAACGCGTATTGGCCGCAAATATTTACGTCATCCCGTGTTAGGTTAATGTTTTCGTTACGGAGTTTCTTGACTCGGTCGCCGCGCTCAAAGCCCCCCATAAAATCTATATAATAGATTAAAATGAAACTTGTGTTGTATGTAAAGTCAAAATTACTTTGATGAAAAAAAACTACTACATAAATAATTTTAAGCCAATGTTTTGGGCTTATTTCTAGAATCACTTTGTAAATAATTAAATGTAATTATTTTAGCTATAGATTAGATAATAAGAGCAGCCGATAAGATAGAATACTAAATAAAATCTCTGTTAGGAAAAATACACAAGACTCAGATCTGTAAGATGGTTTCCATGACATGAGTATAGTTGGTAAAAAGCCTCTAACAAGTTGTTATGGGCACGCAGCGGACCCGCTCCGTAGAGACGTGGAGTCGCCGGGGGTGGCCGAAGACTCGGACTATTTCACACCGGAGGATACTAACACCACGATACTGACTGTCCCCAAGCCTAACGCAGTAAGTCGGCGCGAGGTTGTTTCGAAGGGTAGCGATCTATGCACACATTTTCAAACGCTAGTCCTCGAAATTTTTGTCGTGTGAACCAGACTATACAATGAAAATATAGTTTTTTATATACATATTTAATACTCAAACAAAGTTTTCTACTTTACTCAGTTAACACTGTCTTTTTAACTGACTTCAAAGCTAAGGAGATGGTTATTAATTCGACGTAATTTTTAAAAAAAAATAATCTAAATTCAAACCAAAATGTGATTGTAAAACTCTACAAGTTTTGATGGATGCATTTTTGTCTATATGCGAAAACGTTTCTTTATTCTGATCTCTGCACCGGTGCCATTTTATAAGCACAAACAATTTTCCTTTCAAGTTTCTATATCTTTTTCTTGCGTGCAATGATTGTTACACTTCAAAAATCACAAACAACCACGCGCTCAAACGATGCGGTGCTGCCAGTGAATACGGAATTTCTTGTAATCTTGTAAAAATTTTAATAGAATTGTTTGTAACATATACAGGATTTTTTCTGGCAACACTGCAGCGTTAGTAGAGTCGTAGCTGTGACGTCAGTCACTTGCTTCATCGCCGCTCCATTTTTTTTTCGTTTGGGTTTTGTGTGTGTTTATTTTTTAGCTTTATGTAACTAGTCTCGCATCATTTTGTTTTTTAATATCTGTGCGATATATTGTTAATTTTCTATGCTATAAAGAGCGTTTTGTTTCAGGATGTAGGTAATAAGATCGAATGCGCGCCACAACGTTGGGCTTTGCCGCATCATGTTACGTCGTTGCCTGGTATGTATAAAATGTCTCACCATGTTTCGTGTAAACGAATTGTTGGGGACGTTAGTTTGTCAAAAAGCTTCACTTTTTATCAATTTCTAAGACGCGCTCAATGTGTATAGTAGTAGAGTATGACGTTTTAAACTGTTTTGGCTCGTTTAGCGCCGTTGATGTGCTTTACTACAGTTACCATATATGTTTTAGATTTCACACTAAAACGCCAATTTAACCAATCCGGTAAAGTATTATATAAAATCGTACTTGGTAAAACACTGTGTACTTAATAACCCTCATATTGCAACACTTTCGTAGACTATTAAAGCATCTGGCTAAAGGACTTGTATCTATTGTCATTATTGAAAAAAAACTGGTTAAGTAGCCTATTGGAAGATTCTTTTTAAATGTCATTTACCTATTTAGGTACGCCGTTATCGCAGTCTAGCGTGCGTTCGTCGGGGGATTCTTACAGCTCCACGTCTTCCACTCGTCAACTTCTCGCGACTGCCCCACTAACAGCAGATACTCCTTGTTAAATTTATGTGAATTCGTTCGCGTCGCAACATAAATGTTTTTATTGTCTGTTTTTGCGAATGCCCTTCTATGGTGAAAGACTTTCAAAATCGATTCTGTAAATCCAGAGAATCCTACAGAGATATTTGTATTAAGTTAGATATTTATATCAATTGCAAAATGATTTCTTTTTCTATCGCCGGCCATTAAACCAAGGACTTAAAGAAACATAGTCCAGATCTAGGCGAAATTCTACGAAATAGCAAAACTCTAAAATAACAGTGTAATTTTTTAGTAACTGTAGTTTTAAGGAAATAAATTGTGGTAATTGGCCACAAATAAAAAAAAATATAAGAAATAATTAGAAATATATCTAGGATTATAGATATATGTTATATTTGTTAAGCAAATAACTTGTGATCTAAGATCAACTCAAACCCTTGTTGAGAAATTTTACTAGAATAATTAGAAATAATATAATATGGAACTTATTAATAATTCAAACATAAAAAGATTTTATATTTAAAAACGATTGAGCTGCTAGAAATAATATGGTAATATGATGCCTGTAGTGTGTTATAAAAACATGTGTTTATACTTTTTGAAAGTAGTATAGTGGGTAGGTGCCAAATATGTTTTGTCAATCAATCATGTGAAGAATTTGTATAACCTTGATATCCAGTGGATTCTATTTTTTTTAAACTAATTAGAGTATAAACTCTGTGTAATCCTAATTGTGCTTGTGATTGATTCCAATTTATTGCAACCAAAGTGCAGCTTATTATTTTAGTAGAATATTTAGTATTATTATTTTCAACTGGTTAAAACAAACTACCGAAAAAAAAAAAAAAAAAAACCACCAAAACAAAAAAAAAAAAAAAAAACCCAAAAAAAAAAAAAAAAAAAAAAAAAGAAAGGGAGAAAGGAAGGGGGGGGGGGGGGGGGGGGGGGGGGGGGGGGGGGGGGGGGGGGGGGGCCCTCCCCCCCCCCAAAAAAAAAAAAAAAAAAAATTTTTTTTTGGGGGGAAAAAGGGGGGGGGGGGTGGTGGCGGGGGAGGAAAAAAAAAAAATGGAGGTGGGGGGAAAGGCCCTTTTCCCGGGTGTTTTTATGGTTTTTTTTTAAAAGTTTATTGGGTGTTGGGGGACCACAAACATTAACCGAGGTTAAAGGTAGTTTGGATATGTATTAATTAAGGTGACTGAATAACATTCCTGGAATCTCTATATTTTTCCTGTATATTAAAAATAAATACTATGTCGGCATACCATGTGTTTTTTTACAAATTCATTTTACATAGTTTATTAGATGGGCTTACAGGAAAATAATAAAAAAAGTAAATCAGTTTCAAATATTTATTAATATTCTTATAGTAAGGCATTAAATTTAATTGTTTATAAATATTATGTACACTTCTGTTTTATATAATATATTTCTATGTAAAGCCCAGCTAAAACTGTTATTAATATTAATAAAACATTAAAAGATGACCAAATCTGGAGACAAAGTTTGTGAGGGGTACTCTATAAATGCATTAGATATATATTTTAACCTCGGGTCATTATTATATTCTTAAAAAATATATATAATATGGTGTACAATGTAAAAAATAGGATAAAAAGCCATTAACACAAGATTAAAATAGGAGTGTTTAATTAACTCAGGTTAGAATCTGTGTATCTCTCTATACATGGGTTATTTGTGTTTACGGAGCTAGCTTTTTTCATAGCCTGTCTACGAGCAGCATATGCAGACATTCTGGCTAGTCTTGCTTCTCTCTGTTCTGTAGTTTCATTGGCAAGTCTTTTTGCAGCATAAGCTGACATCCTTGCAAGCCTTCTTGCTCTTTGTTCACTTGACTCAGTAGCTAGTCTTTTAGCTGCATAGTCTGACATACGTTTAAGTCTAGCTGCACGTTGCTCAGGTGTTTCGTTAGCTAATCGTCGTGCTGCGTATGCTGACATCTTAGCCAGACGAGCGGCTCGTTCTTCAGCTGTTTCGTTTTTAGGACCAGATAATCGTCTACTGACGTGACCTGCTTGTGAGTGTTGGACTTCTAACATTTCTAATGGGTCTGTCACATCTGCACTATCATCAGTGTCATAGTTTTGCATTTCATTTTCATCTTCGACTTCCTTTTTAATATGAGTTAAATTATTTGTATCGTCACCTAATGAAAAATTATTCGTGCTCATCGTCTTTACAATACTTAATTGATCAGATTTTAACTTAGAAACCCATTTATTTTCAGACTTCGATAAAACCATTTTCTTCCAAGCACAATCGGACCCGCTGTGGTCTTCACCCATACTGATTGTTCACCGATAGCGGTATCCAAAGAATCATTGTTTAAAAACACAAAACTTGGGATTTAAATAAAAGTCTTTTTGAAGAAAACATACAAAAAACGTAAAAACAAAACGAACACTCCATTCTCCAATACCTATCAATATTAGACCACAGACTAGGAACAGGAAGACTATATTTGGTATTTGACATTGGCATTGGTTAGTTGAGTAAAGCGCTATGAATATTGAAAGCTTACACTGAAATTGGGATATTTTCTTCATCTGTGGCCACTTTGTTAATTTAATGGTGCGTTCCACTAAGCGCTCACGACGATCAAAATGTTCCTTTTAGCCATTCCACATACCGACCGCGGTCGTTGTGGTCAGGCGAAAACGTCACTCATGACGTCATGACAATAATATGTAAGGCTTTCATTCAACTTCGACCCATCTAAAGAGGTGGGTCGTTGTGAACGTCACCTAATGAGAAATAATTGTGGCGCAACGTTTTTGAAATATGACAAATAATAATATTATTATATTCAAAGCATTAAAGATGGCGACAAGAAAAATCACATTATTTGATTCAGAAAGAGAAATTGTAAAGCCATTTCTGATTATATTTAAACTTAAGTTGTTTACGATAACGTCACCAAAGATTATTTATAAAATATTCAATTATTCTTCACTTTTAAATAAAAGTAAATTTAAGTCACAAATATACAAAACTTATTGTTTATGATTACACTAACACTCCTTAAAATTCTACTATACTTTCAAACTTAGACATTTGTAATATTTACAGGAACGACCGAAACGCTCCATAATCGACATTCGCACTTGAGTTAACGACAGTAACATTCACAATCAAGTGGAATGGGGAAATCAGCGGTCGTGAGCGTGATCGTCGTGAGCGCTTAGTGGAACGCACTTTGTTAATTTAATGTTTATAAAATTATACGCAAACTCAAAATATCTTTATGCGTATAAGTAAACAAGTACACTTATAAACGTCAAAAAGAAGTTAAATTAATTGTAAATTTACATTTACTACCAAATAATGGTTTACTATAAATAATGGTTGACTTAATAATTGGTAACATAAACTATATACAAATATACGTTATAAAATATATAACGACCAAATCGTTGATGTAAAATCAGATGATTGAACACCGAAGCCATAAAATAAAATAAAGTAGAATTTCTCAATCTTACCCGAACTATATACTATACCCCATATATTTGTAGTGAATAACAATTATTAATGAGTCAAAGATTATTTATAAGTTTATTAACAGTGGCCCACTGACAATGGTGTAATCTCTATCTTTAATAAGTCTGTGGGAGCTTTTTGAACATATTGTTCCTAATTATTGTTCTGTGCACTATCACCTTCAAATGTAAAAAGATAATAATTCTCATTTCTCAGTTTTCCACAAATTTTCAGTTTGTTTAGTCAAGTCAGAAAAATACTCAACTATTGAATGGATATAGTAATATTTTTGGTAATCTAGTAATTTAAATAGGCAGGTCTTAAAAACACACAAGTTAACATCATGAAGTCTGTTAAGACTCTATTCTAATAAGAAACACATTAAATGGTGATAAACGAAATGAATTCAAAACCTCAAATTTACCATGAAAAACAAGTAAAAGAGCTTTGTGCATTGCATGCTCTAAACAATTTGTTTCAGGTGAGTGTATCTCAATTATTGTAAGGGTTTGGGTAATATTTTTTAAATATGTTTTGACCCCAGGTGTTTGTATTGCATTGAATGTAAACGAGATTTCATTGTGACTATAGATAATTAAGTTCTCGTTATTGGTTATTAATTTTAGATTAGAGAATATAATATAATTGATACCTGAATATATACATCTGCTTTTGCATTTTACTTTTGATGGAAGAGGAAGCACAGGCAACCTTATATTAAATGGTATATTCCCAAATCTGCCCCCTGTTTAAATTTATAAACTAAATATTAAATATATCTTTTTATAAAACTTATTTTAGTAAGTTTGGTTTTGGAATTTTTCAATTATCTTTTTCTAAAATTGATTACAGACACGGAATACATTTTCAAAATCTGATTTAGATACAATATGTAGAAGTTTATCACCAAATGTATGGATTAATCCACACAGATCAATGCTTGGTTTTGGAAATTATGATATAAATGTAATAATGGCAGCACTTCAAAAGCAAGGATGTGAAGCTATATGGTTTGATAAGAGAAAGTATGTATATTTTAAATAGTACACAATATTCTCCCATTACTTATTATGATTGATTGCATTTTTTTTCATCTTTACGTAGTTTAAAAAAATATTGTAATGAATAACAAAATAATTTTTTGTCCCTATTTTAATGGAATGGTTCTGGATTTAATTTAATAATTTCAGGGATCCAGGTTGTTTGGATTTATCAAATATATTTGGCTTCATTTTAAACGTTCCATCAGACTATAAGTTAGGATTTGTTATGTTACCAATTAGGAGAAGGCATTGGATCACAATACGGCAGATTCAGGGAAACTTTTACAATCTGGATTCCAAGTTAGATTCACCTCAGCTTATTGGTAGGGTAAGTGCCTTTCACAAACTTAAAAAATATAAATTTCTGTTTATTAGTGTAGTCCAAAAGTATACTTATAGTATAGTAGGTATACTTATCACTTCTATGATCGATGTAGATAATCTTTGTTACCGCTAACTTTTGAACTAAAAGAGATCCAAAATAATTTCTTAATTTTTTTAACAGGGCAGTGACCTAATATCTTACCTGAAAGAGCAACTTGATTGTAAAGAGAAAGAACTGTTTGTGGTTGTGAGTCAAGAAGTAGAAGAAAAACAGCTCTGGATGCATCAATACACAATTAATCTAGTTCAAGAATCGCACATGAAGGAGTCACTAACAAACTGCCACAGTATTGACAGTATTAACTCTGAAAATGAGTATAGAAATAGAGATGCTGAAGTCCTCAGATTAAATGAAGTAAGAAACTGTATTACCGAGAATAGTTTTTAATGATGTGTAAATTTGTGATGTGTCATAATATTAATAGAATAATATTTCTTAGTTCTGTTCTTCTATGTATGCTGAATTCAGTCTATTAGTTTAAAAATTGCTCAATTTTTCTAGATTTTATACCAGTTCTAGATTGTTTTGATTTGGTAATCAAATATTGTATGGCAGGCAATTACATAAAAAGAAACCAGACATCAACTGGTGGTTGGAGCATTAGTTTATTGTTATATTTAATTCTTTGGGTATGTTTTATCACAAGATTCTTTTAATTATTAACCATTATTTATTAATAACTAACTATTTTACAGATTGTTAACTTTTTTCTATTTATTGTTTTATTTATTCAATTTTGTTATGTTTGATAGGTCTTATCTCAAGCAATATACGGCCTAATCATAATAATTAAGGTTTATAATAACACTTAAGCTCAATGACCAAATTCTCATAATTTTAATATTAGGTAATATTGGGAGTGTAAATTTGTAGCTACAATATTCATATTGTTCATTTTAGTCTCATATAGACATTTGTTAAAACAAGTTTTATCACACTTTTAAGACATATAACAATATTATTTCTAAATAAAAATATCTGACTTTAGATGATGTCATATTATCACATATTTAAATTATTTTACACTCCATGTTATTTTATGCTATCTCGTAGATTTTTAAAATTGTTAGTTCTAAGTGAATTCTCGTGTGTCTTCTTATGTATATGAATTTTTCAGGTGCATTAATAATATTATGAAAAGTTTTGAAATGTAAAAGAACTTCTTTGACATGTGCATCAATATATTGTAAAGTTTCTGTTTTTTAGATATGTACTAATCTTCAATATGCAGATTGACAAAAATAATTTTAAAATCTTTTGGAAGGTTTTGATCTCTATAATCGTCAAGTAGAAGTCTGTGCTATGAGTCTAAATTAAACATTCGTAAAAACAGTTGTTTTAACATATTCAAGCTATGTATTTACTTTTGTAGTTAAGGCATGCATGAACATTGTCTTCCATTCCTTGTAAAGAAATTACTACATAGATTGTAGGACAAACTAATATTTTTAATATATAGAGTTATTATTTTATGCTATTCTTATATCATTTTAAATAGTACACAAAACTTTCTATTTGATAACAATATGCTTAACTTGCAGATTTAATAAGCAATTCATTATTTTCAGTCTTAATGTTCATGGTATATATTTTCACATAATTCTTATGTATTTAATTTTTATTATATAACAAGTTACTTGAAGAATTTTTTAAAACTTTTATTTATTTTATATTCTTAGCCAATTTATTATTACCTCACAATACTACTGAATAATGTGCAGCTTACATACTTGTATCTTGTGTTAGTTTAAAATTTTAAGTGAAACATCACAGTTCATGTTACCTGAAGTTTATTGCATTTTTATACAATGCTTTTAACTTGCAATATTTGTTGTAAATAAATATTTTTACAGAATACATTTTTGTTTCCTTTAATAACGTTTGAATAAATACAGAAATTAAGCCGAAGCAAAAATTGTCTTAATGACGATAAGATTGACGCAACAATTTTTGCTTAACATAAACATGTTAAAAAACTTATCTGTTAACCTGTAGCCTGCAAGTACGTGATGTTTTTTAAATTCCTTAAAAAACTACAGGTTGTGATAAAAAATTAATAATATTTAATATGGTTTACGCATATTGTGTGTCACTATAAGGTGCACTGGTGCAATTGTTATTCTTAGAGATAATTAGTCGATCGGGGTCTAGGTTCAGTTCTTGCATGATAGCGTATATTTGCGCGCGAAGAGTAGCGTCGATTTCGCGTTCCCGGCCTAACACCCATATGCGATCTGTAAAAAAACATTTCAACAATCATATTTAGCATTAAACACTTGACTGTGATTAAAAATAATATCGCATTCTGCATGGGTGGTGTGTTCATTTATCTTTTTATACTTCCGTGGCCTATATATATATATTATAGTTTACGCAGAGTTCCCGAGTTTCACTGCATAATATGTTTTGGTCTTAAAGGCACAAAAGACTGATCTCCTTTTTGCTTATCTATAAAAATAAATGACAGTACACTGTACAGGCACTAATGTTACGGGACAATCACGTGCCTATAAAATCCAATATGGCGACATAAATTGTAAAAAATATAACGCCTGACAAAAAGTTAATGCAAAACAAATTTCTATAGAAGTAATAAATTAGTTCTTACCTGAATGTGCAATGCTATAATTGGTGCAGGACCAAATGAGTGCGAAATTATCGTAATCTGTAAATAATACATTGTATTGTCCGGCGCCTGGTAGCATACGTCCAATGACGTATGGCATCCGATTATTGAGTTTATAACGGAAGGCAGAAGAACCCGTGTGACTAGGAATTCCAAGTCCATAAGATGTTGATGGGTTTCCAGTCCTGAAAAGTATGGTTGTTTTAATTAATAATATCTGGTCATTGTTCTCTGAAGTGGAATCCTCAAGGCAAAAGGAAACGCATCCGCCCAAAACAGACTTGGTAACGAAGTACCATTGCAGAGGCAGAGGAAGCTGGAATAACATGAAATAAAGAGAGCTGCTCAGGAACGATCTGGGAGTTATTCTACGCTGGATGCCCTCTGCCCCACTTGGCGGACATAGATAGGACTTTAAGTCAGTTGTATTTTTAGGGGGGCTTTAAAAACGATAATCTTAGTTACTCTACCTACCATCTATTGGTAGTGTGTACGTTGATGACGAAATACCCCCTCTCGTTGATACTGGTGTGTATTTCGGTGCAACTTGCCGCGATTTCTATTAAATGAAATGATCTCTCGACCTCGTACCACGCTCCTAACATCTGGAAAAAAGAGTGGCACTATAGTAGTGACCAAGCTCCTAAGAGCAGACCGTGTTAATTTAATCATCAAACCGCAATTAATTTGTTTTGTGTGCAAAGATAATTAAAAATATAAAATTACAAAATATTTAATTATTTCAACTAACCAATAAAAAAAAACAATTGCACTACAACATTTTTAGGTCCTGGCCTCATCTGTTTCATGATCATTTGGAAATCTAATAGGCAAGTAGGTGATCAGCCTTCTGGGCCTGACGCATGCCGTTTTGGGTCTAAGGCAAGCCGGTTATGCCGGACATGTCGGTTTCCTCACGATGTTTTCCTTCACCGTTCGAGCGAATGTTAAATGTGCACATAGAAAGAAAGTCCATTGGTGCACAGCCGGGGATCGAACCTACGACCTCAGGGATGAGAGTCGCACGCTTAAGCCAACACTGCTCTTTAAATTCAACTAACCAATAGTTGAAGAAGTATATATATATATATGCAATATTCGTAAGATAGGTATTCAATTCATATAATTAATTAAAAACAAATAAGACTTCCAGATAAATGTCTGCTTCTTATTTCTTGGTCTTGCGCTGGTAATTAATAGAAATATTGTATTTAATCCTCTTAGTGTTAAATACCTATATAATAATAGTTCAGTGAGGTTTATATGATGAATTAAACATGAAATGTGAATGGAGGTGTGTCGCCGGTCGCGTGCGGTCGTATGACAAACAACTACTACGTCTGCCCTTTGCCCTCAAAACAGGTGAGCGTTTACAACAACATCTACCAACCTCCACAAAACGTAGTAATATAAACAATAAATTTGTCTATATTGAAATAAAATAATAATAGGCTGTTTTATATCTATCAAATCAAATAACAAGTAATGTTATCTTTTAAAGTTCGAGATTAAACTGAATTTTATTCAAATTTTTGGAGAAATCCTAATTCGTATACACAATTTTTAACTTAACATTTAGTTTATTATTATTATTGACCAGTAGAGGTGTTAATTTAATTAGTTATTTACACTTCGTTATATTATATATTAAAAAGCAGTTTACGTAAGTTATTGGGCAATGGGCGGCCTTATCGCTAGCAAGCGACTTCTTCAGAAGTGCATAAATAATTGACGAAAAAGATCATAAAATAACACATATTTTACACTAACTTTAACTTAAATAAAGTATAGTCATAGAAATACTAATAATAATATAAACAAAAATGTGAAAGCTAAGCCAAGGGTTAATGAGCCACAATTAATAGGTATATATGTATAAGTAGCTAATTACGAGGCAGAAAATAGAACGAAATAAAAGAAGATTTGTAAATAAATTAAAAGACCGAGCTCGACTAATATCAAGAGGTAAGGAGTTCCAAAGCAGGATACTTTGCACAGTAAAGAAGGATTTATGAGAAAGGGTTTCAAGAATTGGATTGTCAAGGGAACGCAAATCAAAACTACCGCCAGGGAGGAACATAAAATTTTGCTGTAACTAGGAGTTTTAAGGACGAATAAAAAGAACATTATAGAGAAGTTTTAAAAATTAAAATGTTAGTTAAGTGTTTAACTCATTTAAGAAACTATATAATTTAAATAACGTTGAAACTTGATCGTGCTGCAATGGATATAGATACTTTACATAAGTACACTTTGTATAGAATTACTGGTTAATTCAAAATATAATAATTTTATGCGCCTGCAATAACTCTCAAAGCAAATTGATCTACGTAACTGAATTCACTGACATGAGACATCCATTACATTCTGATAAGTTTTAGGAGTTATGGGGCGTTACAGATACTATGCATTTGATGTTTTATTATATACTAATGACCTGATAAAAAATAGCTAATACTAAGTGTAAACTACTTTGGTTTCTGAATAAAGCAGAGCATTTTGTTGAAATAAAAAGAAATTGCATATTTTATAGTTCTGTACTATATTAACATTAAAACAATCGTTTTGGTCACCTACTATTACCAGATCATTAAAGAACGAAGTTCATTGACCAGATTCAGAAACGTAAGCAACGCCTAGATATACCTACACACTGTAACAATTGAATTTAAAAACAAAATAAATTAATATTCGTCACTCACAGGGCAAAATGCACTTAACAATTTAAAAACAAGTCTAATTTTACATTCATGAAAGATGTTATTATTATTTTACATTATTATTGATTGATTAACAAGTTATATTATAAAACCGGCTTAATTTTGGAATTTGACATTCGAACTACTAAGTACCGGAAAAAGATTGTTTCTAGTTAGAAAGCTAGGAATTCTAGTTAGTTAAAGGAAGTTTATCGAAATTTGTTAGATATTGTTGTTCAAAGATTATTTATCTTGCTTATAAGACATTCTTTTAATTGGCGATGGCGAGGGTTTTCTTAGATTCAGTTAAGAATTTCGAGTTTGTAATCGTCACTTTGGACTGGACTCTACGAACCCGACCCCTCCACTGTGTGGGCTCATTCTATCAGCATGCCTTATTTTCCATTAGAATTTTATGAATAATTACGATATTTGAACTCTGAAATTGCATTTGGTTACGATTAAATAAGAATTTAGAAGCTACCTTCAAATATTTTTAATGTCTAATGCTTTTCTAACATTATTATATGACTCACGATATAAACTATACGGGAATTGATTTTAGTGTAACACGTTTTGCTCCACTTAGGCGCTTGGTTAATATTAATTGGATGTAAATACATGTCGACTGCACGACGAAGGGTTAAGGTTAGAAACGAATGTTTATAATTATTTTTAATGGCGTGCAATTGAAAATTTTCCTCGTACAAAATGCATTTCTTTTACAATTATTGCTACTAATGAGTAAATATTGCTTTTCTGCGCAATTAACACTTGCATTCTCTTATGTTACGATGTAAATCAACATCGTAACTTAACTAGCATGTAGAGTGGCGGAGAGTTTCTTGCCAGTTCTTCTTGCCCGCTCTACGTCCTTGACTTGCGAACTGGTAGTAAAATTTACAATTAATTTAATATATTTTCTTTTGACGTTTATAAGTGTACTTGTTTACCTATAAGAATAAAGTTATTTTGAGTTTGCTTTAGACCCAAAAATTGACTAGAGTCAGACACTTACCTATAGAAGTTTCTGAATGAATTAAAACTTTATAATTTGATAGTCTAGAATTACTATTCACAAAAACGCGTCAAAAACATTCTTTGAATCAATGTTTACAATGTCTACCTATAAACGTAAACTGAATTCGATTGTTTTAAAAAGTTCCATAAATATTTTCCTTCAAAAACGTACGAAAGGTTGCTTAAAGTATGCTGATTAATATAAAAACTCGACTTACCCTTGTCATTTCAAAATTCGGGAACTGTGGGTATATCGGGCATTTTCCCATGCCCGTACTAATAACAGCTTTAATAATTGTACAGAACAAGATAAAATACAGTCGAGTCGCACCGGTCACTCTGAAGTCCCCCATTTCACTGCACTACGTGTGCAAACACGTTAGCCGCCGTAGTCCGCCTCATACTGACGTTTCAGCCGAAACATTTTATGCTTCACTTCAACTTATGTAAGAAATGTCCAATTTGAATTTAGTAATAATTAAACATTTATATTCGTGCCGTAACCGTCTGTAATGACAATTTTATTTTTTTCAAAATATTTCCGCTTTGATAAAAAATCATTCAGAAAAAAATAAAATAAAGTTTATTATGGAATATAAGATACAGGTATCACTTATTCCACGTCATTAAATTTGAATAGGTAGACATCCCTACTCATCGGCAAAGAAGACAGATAGGCCGAGAGAAAAAACCGGCGTAAAAAACTCTCGGTACTCTTTTAAATAGCAAATCATCAAATAACACTTATTTTAAAACAAATATCGTGAATTAATTAGACAAGAATTACGAAGTACTCATTCGTCTCTCTCTGTCAAATTGTGTTAACGCTTCGATGAAAGGGGACAGCAAAAACTGACTGATTTTATTTTTATGAATAAATGTGACTTTGACCGTCACGACAGCTACGAGCGAATGCCGGCCTTTTACACGTATTTACGGTATTTTCTTAAAGGACTCTAAATTGCATTGTTAGTGAAAAAAATAGGCAGCTGATACTTCTAACGGTGATCTGAAAGTGCCTTAACAACAGCTTTTTTCAGTAAGTTATGTTAATACTAAAGAGACTCAAGTATAGCACCAGTCACTTTTCGTGCGGCTTGATCCCTTGGCGCTGCGTGGAGATGTGGGGTCTCTCTGCATCTTCTACCGCATTTACCATGGAGAGTGTTAAGAGGAGTTGTTCAGATTAAAACCTGCAGCTGAGTTTCATTATCGGACGTCAAGGCAGAATAAAAAATACCATCCGTATCACCTCGACGTCCGTCGTTCCACAACTGAGCGTTTTCTAAGGCAGTTTTTGGCGCGCACCACCACTATGTGGGACCAGCTGCCAACTGAAGTATTTCCAATTAGATTCGATTTCAAGAAAAGAGCGTACCAATTGTAAAAAGGCCGGCAACGCATGGGCGGTATCACTTAACAAGGTGAGCCTCCTGCCCCTTTGCCTCCTATCACATAAAAAAAGTATCTATTTCATATTATGACCGCTTCATTGAAAGAGAATAATTTTGATTACTTTTGCTTTCCTAAGCAAGAATGCTTATGTTGAATAAAGTCATTCTATGAATTACGCAAATGACAGTGCATAGCGACCTTGTCTATCTATATTTAAATAACGACAATTTGCAAGTAATATTACTTTTATTTACATCATTACACGTATTCTAACATAAGAATAAAATTTAAACTAAATACAACTAGGTTAACTGTGAAAATATTTTTTTATACATTGTTCATCATCAAATGACAAAGTCCTTTTTTCGGTTTATCCTTCCTCTCACCCAAATAACTATAAACAAATCTATTTCCCTGTTTTTATATATAATTATTAATATACGTGAAGTCATTCACTGGCGTAACTAGTTTCTTCAAAGTATGAACTAATATTTTTGTGTATTGTAAATTGTACCTTAATTAAAAACAATACTTACACTATTTCAATTTTAGACTATTAAAAGAAATACAGTCTAAATCTGTTATAACGACATCGAATACTCATATACGTCGTAAAAACCGATAGTCGTAACAGCTCGTTGTTGTTAAGTACCTAATACAATAGAATTCAGCCGGGAACTTTGATTTTGGTCAATATAAATTTTAAACGATGTCGTCGTAAACAGTTTTGACTGTATTTTATCGGTCCTGGATTTAACTTCAATCTGACTAAAAGTCAGATTGGCGCCAATCCAAATTAGACATGACGTATCGTATATAATGTATAGAAACAAAGTTTTTTAATCGCTACGTTAAATGACTTTTATACTTAGAAGCTGTGCCATAAAGGTCAACAGACAATTATAACATGTGATACCAATAGACATAACTCTGTTGGTAAACATACTCGTATTATAAATTTATAACTAAAGAGCGAAGAAAATTACGTTGAAATAACTATTATTGAAATGTCATGATTGACAGTTTAACCACAGACAACGCAAAATACTGGAATACATTGATATAATATTATTTATTACATAGTTTTTTTATATTTAGTTCGTATAACATTTGTTTTATGCAATATTATTACACATTTTTTTAATTTAAAAAAAAGTTCCATGTCACTACTTATTATGAAAACATGTACAATTATTATTGCAAGAATCTTGCCCTTCACCAGCTTTGGATATTGGAAAAAAATATTAGCTAACCGGGAATCGACTCCGAAGTAGTTCGCCCTTCTTTGTATGTTAAGCAAGAGGTTCTAGATTCTTACTCAAGGAATTTGAATTCAGTTTGACAAACATTAAACTGCGATCAAAACTAACGCAAATATCTTCCCCATACCCCATAAATTATGTTTACCACTTAATATTTAAAGCTACATCGCTCTTTTCCAAAGCGTGGTACTGCGTATGTAACATGGCGCGGGCTTTATCCGAATGTTTTCCTGACAGCCATTCGTTATACAATCGAGAAACTGTTTGATTCTCGTCCTCGCTTTGAGGTAATTCACGGTACATTGTGTATAATTGCCCAACCAATTCCCGCGTACTTTCCCCTTGATAAGGACGGATTTGGGCACCGCCATTTAGACAACCTGAAAGTAATAATTATTTATCTTTCAATCGATTTATTTGTCAATTGTCATGCTGTGCAATGAACACGTTATTTTAGCTATTATTATTAAGCAAATGATTCTATCACGAGTTATGTTAAAGAAAACTTTACAATCTTTTTTGAAAGCGCATATTACATATTGTTACGAACACGGGTCGACTGCAATGTTTCTTGATTTTTCCACTACTTTTCAGCAGGTTTAATGTAGGCCGTTTCAGAACAAGTGTAGTCGAGTGGTACACTTTTCAGGAAACCCGTTTTCATTATACCCCTTTGATGAAGGAATAGTCTAGAACGAATTTTCTAGGTGTGGGACAAGGACGGAATGATGCGAGAGAGAGACGGAAGATCGGAACCTTCTCGAAGCTAGACCGAGCACTCTAGAACACCGTACGACAAGGACGGAGCATTGTGAGAGAGAGGTTGCGAGTACGCACGTTCTAGAATTGTGCGATCGCTAGGTACTCAGTAGCGCTCCCGCTTAGAGAGCTCTCGAACTTGAAGACTATTCCCAGGATATATAAGCGAGCCGAACCATCAGTTAGTTAGTTTTGATTGGATACCGAGATAAACAGGAAGTGACAAGTGAAGAAAGTATAAAGTACTGTGTGAAGTGTGTAATTAAAGTAATTATGACAGTATTTTGTGTGTGTATTTAGTGAATTTTGTAATTTCCAGTTTTAAGTGTTAAAAATTCTGTTAATTTATTTAGAAATAAACCCTTGAAGAAATCTAGTTTTCTATCCGATCCCCTAGCTCGTAACAATATTATATATATTTATACGATAAAGGGGCAACCGAGCCTACGGGACGCCCATAAAGGGCAGCGCAGCCCAGGGAAATCCATTTTAGTAGTTAGTAGGTACCGGCTCTTTGAGGGAGGTATATGCTTTCTTTTTAAACAATTTGAGGTCGGATTTCTCAGGTAAGATCTCCACCGGGAGTCCCCAGTTCGCTAGTTCGCAATAGAAAATGCTTAGTGAAGCGTACAGTGGAAGACTTTCAACCATCAAGGTGATGGGGATGAAATCTGGACAATACGGTTCGTATTGTGATGAAATGTAGCAGGAGAGGCCAACCGATTATTTATGATTAATTTTGGCACTGTTTGTCATTTTTCGTTGTGGACCAATAAGAATCAAGCAAATGCCCCATTATTTAAACTGCGTTGTAAATTTTTACGTCAAGTTACGTTACGAATACATTTAATACAATCAAGAGTTTTATTGCAATTCTTTGAAACTTTTATTTGGCATCAATAACACAACTATTTCTTCTGTATAAATAAAAAAAATCAGTGGCGCTACAACCTTTTTAGGTCTGGGCCTCAGATTTCTGTATCTCTTTCATGATCATTTGTTAATCTAATAGGCAAGTAGGTGATCAGCTTCCTGTGCCTGACGCATTCTGTCGACTTTTTGGGTCTAAGGCAAGCCGGTTTCCTCACGATGTTTTCCTTCACCGTTCGAGGGAATGTTAAATGCGTACATAGAAAGAAAGGCCATTGGTGCACATCCGAGATCGAACCTACGACCTCAAGGATGAAAGTCGCACGCTGAAGCCAATACTTGGCGCACAGCTTTTCCTTCTTTATAACCGTGTAAATAATTTTATAGAATACAAATATAATTTTTAAATAGAAAATAAATCTTACTTTTAGGGTGTTAATGTGAATATAATGTTACCTGATGGACAAGCCATAACTTCTACATAGTGATACGGTGACTTTCCCCGCTTCAGCTTTTGCACCAGGTTCTGAATGTTACGGAAGCCATTTGCGATCGCAAACTTTAACACTTCTTTACCGTCCTTTTCTAACGATGCTTCTCGGAAGTCCGGGTTCCTGTACAAATAATAATTTATATTATAAATTAAAACATCATTCGCAAGCCTATGAAGCCAATGTTTACAAAATAAATTTATTGTAATAATTGTTTACAGTTTAAAATAGTCCAAGGACGATAAAATGGGTATCTTCCCATTTCGGAAAGGAGTACAAAGAAATTGTAACGCCAACATTCACCTACAATCACTGCGATTGCGTTATACCCTGAATCGCGCTAACTATGTTATTCCGGCCGCTAAGGATATACTGTATATACTTCTCGACCCAAGCTACTGGAGCCCTTCCCGACAGAAAAAGGTCCGTAGGAGGCCCCGACATAACAAATAAAAAGCCCGCGCGGCAAGGCAAAATCAAAGTCAGACTATGAGACCTTGCGCTAATCTCGGAAAAACCCCAACTCGCCAAAACATCCCGAGCTGAGCTGTCAAGGCCCTTCAGGGCAACAGCGATTCCAATTCCAAAAAAAACGCTACTGAGTCGAGTAAGTCAAGTCAAAGTCAAAGTCAAAGGCAAAAATCATTTATTCATGTAGGTAAAACACAATGTACACTTATGAACGTCAAAAAAGAAATATACATTAAATGCTTCATTCCATTTACTGGCAGTTCTCAAATCAAAGGCGTAGAACGGAAGAGAAACTCAAACTCAAAATATCTTTATTCATGTAGGTAAACAAGTACACAAGTATGAATTGTCAGAAAGAAGTTAAATTAATTGTAAATTTACATTTACTACCAGTTCGCAAGTCAAGGGCGTAGAGCGGGTAAGAAGAACTGGCAAGAACCTTTCCGCCACTCTTTTTATTCGCCAAGTATTTTTATATAAATTGTTTGAACTGGAGCAAATCAATCCCAAGGATTACTGATTGAAGAACTGGCAATAAACTTTCCGCCACTCTTTTTAATCGCCATGTTTTTTGTTTTACACAAGAGAGATAAGAGGTTAGACTGGCCGAGGAACTTTCTTTTAGGTTGTAGGAACTGTTCGCGATCTATCATCGACAAAATGTCTATGACAAAGTTTAGTTCAAACTTTTTTTTGTCATCTACCAGTCTTAGTAAACCATAAAAGATATTAGTCTTGAAGATGAACACTTAAAACATATTTGATTAAATATATTATATGTGTATTAAGTTAAGGGGATTCTGAAACGCAATAGATATATCTCAACAATGTAAAATTCATGAGTCAAAGCATTCATGAGCAACAGTTCAACAAAATGCGTATTGTTTTATTTATTTCACAATCGCATTACAATTGAACTTCTACATTTTTCTAATCATGTACCGTGGATTGCGTATCAGTGTTTTATTTGAAGTTATTGGAGTTTACTCCTTAAGAAACGATTTGAGTTATAAGGCCCGGTACGGAAATTTTATGAGGAGTAAAATCAAGTGTAACACGAAAAGTTGAGGCGTTATGTAGAAAGAGACAAACATATATATCTGTAGGATTGAACGTGTAAAAGAATGAGATGGAATACATTACACTGACTTTTCTATTTTGAATTCACGTTTTGACAGCCACGTTACAACATTGTCAGTGTTGACAGGTGTAAAAAATAAAAGTAGATTGTCTAGCGTGCCATAGAGTTTTGTCAATAGTAATGGTCAGTGAAATTAAAACTAAAAAGATTGTTCATTCTTATTCTTCTTTTACTATAAAGGTAACTTTGGTCACAGAAAGAAAATCCTATTTGGGCATAGATGATGTAGGTACGTTTTATTACTACTACAAACATTTATATTATAAAAACATATATTCTTACCACCTTTAGTATGAAAATATGGTCGACAGCCACAGAACATTATCGCCATTTTATCCATAGTAAGGAGTAAACTCCAATCGTGCGTCGTAGCTGACACACACACTTTTAAAGTGTTGTATATATCTGTTAACGTAAAATTGTAAAAACCGTTAGATTGTAATCTATCTCGCGAGATTATAAACTGTCGAAAGATTGTGAACCTCAGCGTACTGCTTACAATTTAACGTATTATTATTCGGTAGATTATAATCTATCGAAGTGAAATCGTCAAATTGTAAAACGGTACGCACCTCGCGCGCTGATTGGTTGAACGGAATATGCCATGGTGGCGACCATATTTGTTTGTTAATTCGTTTGTTGTCGAATGTAAACAAACGGTGATTTGTAAATTGATGTCGTCTTGAAAGTAACTCACAGCTTTAGGATGTTGAAAGTGAACGTGAAAAGTTATATGAAATTGTTGTGGAAGTAAAATTTATACTAACACAATATTAAGATATGTAAACTTTGTAAAGTTTTTATTTTACTTAATAAATCTTTAATAATAATCTAATATACAAAATTCTCGTGTCATAATGTTCGTTCCCATACTCCTCCGAAACGGCTCAACCGATTCTTATGATATTTTTATGGATATTCAGTAAGTGTGAGAATCGGACTACATCTATTTTAAATCTAAATCTTAAGGGTGGTCCCACCCCTAAATTTTATTTTTTAGACAAAACTTTTTGTTTTTATTTTTTTATGATATAGCATACAAAAATGCATACAACCCTTAATTGTCACCCCTCTTCGTTCAACCCCTATTTTTTATTATAGTAGATAGTTATTTTCATTGAAGTAAAAAAATGTTTCCTACAAATAATATACATGGCAAAACGACGTTTGCCGGGTCAGCTAGTAATCTATAAATGACCAGCGTACAAAAAGTTTTTTGTAAACGCTTGTACAAATTGATTTCTAAGGGCGCGTTCTACTAAGAGGTACCGAACTTTCAGTTTCCATAGCTGAATGTTACTCCCTTACATCGTGATTGTTGGATTTATCAAAGCTCAGCGTGAACTATATTAAGATTAAATACTTTTGTCATACAGAGAAATTTTAAGTGTGAAATATTCACTCTGAAAAGATTACTCTAACTCTCAGAACGAGCGCCAAGTGTATGTCTTTCGTACGTCAAAAATGGATAGGATTTGACATACACAGTCAAATAATTATGGGGCATAATTTTATTTCTGACCCCTACTAAGCCTTGACTCTGAATCTCTCCCTAAGACATGCCAGTTTCCTCGTGCATAATCGCATTAAATATTGACATGATTCTAAATAGAAATTCCATTAACCCTTGAACGGATGACTTGTCACACGTCGGAGACAAATGTTAGCCTAGATACCGCTAATACCAATAAAGGCGGGAGAGAGAGGGCAGACACTTTTTCGGCCGCAAAGCCAGCGGAGTGAGGGAGTTACAAAATGACTAAATATTACGAACAGTCGTCGATCTGTAGCGATTGTATAACTTATAATAAAACATTTTATTTTACGTAGACCAAATCAATACAAACTTTTTGGGAGTTGTTTTTTTTATGTTATTATAGGCTAACGGGCAGAAGGCTCACCTGATGTTAAGTGATACCCATGGACACTCACCTTGCAAGAAGGCTCGCAAGTGCGTTGCCGGCCTTTTAAGAATTGGTACGCTCTTTTCTTAAAATCGAATTTGTTCGAAAATACTTTAGTCGGCAGCTAATTTCACATTATTTATTTTATGTTACAGGAGGCAGACGGGCAGGAGGCTCATCTGATATTAAGTGATACCGCCGCCCATGGACACTTGCACTGCCAGAAGGCTCGCGAGCGCGCTGCCAGCCTTTTAAGAATTGGTACGCACTTTTCTTGAAGGACCCTAACCTAAGTCGAATCGGTTCGGAAATACTTCAGTGGGCAGCTGGTTCCACATAGTGGTGGTGCGCGGCAAAAAATGCCTTAAGTAACGAAAGGTTATACAGATGGTATTTTGTATTCTGCCTTGACGTCCGATGATGAAACTCAGCTGCAGGTATTAAGTCCGAACAACTCCTCTGAACTGTTTATTAGAATTGTGTTAATTATGGACTAATCTTAATATATATAAATTACGTTTCACGTTGTTTGTCCGCTATGGACTCCTAAACTACCGATATCAATCAAATTTGCACACCGTGTGTAGTTTGATCCAACTTAAAAGATAGGATAGCTTACATCTCAATTTATACCCACAATATTATTTTATTGCAAATATTTGTTTATTATTTGATACCGTTCTAACAGATGGCGCTGTGTTAAAAGTACCAACGTTTCACATAACCTACAATTTAATGGCATAACAAAAAAGCATGGTGGTCCCCTTGACTGGTATTCCCCTACCGGTTCCCTTGAAAAGTTTACTACTATTAATTATAACAAAAACCTTAGCCTCAGCAACCCGGTCTGCTAGTACACATATAAAATATAATGATTCCAATATAAGAATTGCAGTATTGGAGTATTTATTTAGTGCATAAGAAATACCTTAAGTTTTTATACTCCAATGGTGGGTCGGTGGCACCAAAAAGCTGATCGGCCGCATGTAAGAACACGGCATCACTGTAGCCCCCAGAACCAGACCCTATATGTCCCTTGATCCCTTTGGCGTCACTTTCGTCCCATGGCCAGTCGAGTTCTCCATCCATTATGTCGGATAGTGATTTGTCGTCGCTGGACAGCATTTGTTCTAGTTCAACTGTAAGAAAATGTAACTCAGTAAGACTTAAGTTCCAAGTTCGACCTCGTTCTCATCTATTATCTATATCAATAATCAAGTTTTCAATATCAATAGATCAAACAATCACGAAAAAGTAAATAAAGATGAATTTGTTAAAATTAATTTATTGCTAAAGGTACCGTAAGTGGATCCCATTTTGATAATTTTTATGGCCATTCTTTTAGATTTTTTTTCCTCAGTGATTAATAGCCAATCTGCAGGATTTCTGCTGAGTTTATTTGATTTTTTTTAGTATAAGGAGGCAAACACGCCGTAGTCAGGCCGGCAACCCATCCATTTTAGTGAGTGGGTCGCCGGCCTTTAAGGGAGAAGTATACTCTTTTTTTAAACACAAGGAGGTCGTATCTACCAGGGAAGACCCCAATTAAAACATAGATAAAATATATATTATTCCATCATATATATCACTAAGAATTCAATTTTTTAATTATTATTATTTTAATAATTTAGATTTTAAAATAAATTATAAGACTTTATTATGCCAACTCACTCGCAGTAATAACACAGTCAACATCCTGACAGTTGTATACTTCACTATAGAAGTCTTCTCGAGATGCTTCAAGTTTCTTATCATAACAGGGCATAAGGGTCACATGGTAAAGGGCTGATGGCTGCAACTCCCGTCGTCCTGCAAGGTGCTGCTTTACCAGGGAACCCTGAATCTGCTGAGGAGACTTGGTACTGGATATGTATGGTAGGATGAAGCTACCATGAGTTTTCTCTGCATAGCACACCCATCCTATGAAAATTAATACAATAATAAGTGGATTGTGAGGACAAAAATATGTGTACTTGACTGATGTTTTCACAGAAGGGAAATTTTAATAAAACAATCCATATATTCCAAACTGAAAAACTTCACCAAGATGTTGTGCAATAAGTTCATTGACATACAAAATATAGTAAAAGTATTTTGGAAAAATTAAACCAGACCAATTATATGTATAGGAAACGAGTGGACCCATATCACAAAAACTACTCAACTGATTTCAATGAAACTGGAATGTGGCTTTAACCAACTTAATATGGACATTTAATTTATAAGATATTTGTAGACAAACATATGCTTTCAAAATTTTCCACATGTGCTTGAAAATCTAAATAGATCATCAAACTCAAATGTGTACCAATTCCAGCAATGTAAAAATAATAAATATCACCAATCACCTGGGCAAGAGCTTGCAAGCATAGGCAGATATTTCCCAGATGGATCATTCTGTTGATTTCTATACCTTTCAAGAAACTCTTGTTGTGCTTCCAATAATGAGAAGTCTTCTGCTAACGTCATATCCAAAACTAAATCAGCACCAAGCTTCTTGAAATATCCTTAAATTAAAACAAATATATTTAAAAAAATAATGTGTGGCACTCGGGGACTGCCGCGGTAAATCTATTGCATAGCATTTTTTATCAACTTATGCAGTTATAATTATTTATTTATGCAGTAATTGTTTTTCTTTGACATTATTTCAATCTAGCACTCTACCAGACCCAGACTAAAACGCCTATATAATCTGTCTCACTCTAACGCGTACAGGCTGCACCGGCCCCGCTCACGCTACGTCACCGATCTCGTCAGAGAGATGGGAATGCGCAGTATGCGTTCTATTCCACTCTAACGCGTAAGGTTTTTTTCGTTACGGAATTTCTTGATTCGGTTGCAATAGCTTAATAATTTATCCTTAAATCTTAAAACCTGTCTAATGTGTTATACATATTTTTAATAACTTTAAACTTACCTGACACTTTTCTAGTTGCTTCCTGTGCAGTCAGTTTATATCTCAATGCAAGAGACAACAGTGGCTGCGGTGATATTGACACAACAACTAAACTTACATCCATTGTTGCTCCCTTTGAGTCAGTGTACTTTCGTTCTGATAATACTCTGGAAGTAATTAATATTAATTACAAAAACTTAACATTACTAAAGTATAATTTACAATAACACAAAAGATAGTACTTTGTAAGCCAATTTTATAACTATTAGTGCAATTTACCTCAATAATTCTTCTTGGCTTTGTTTTGTGACTAGCACACTTTCAGCTGATGTTATACATCCACTACATGCCAAGCAGTCAGCCAATGTAATTTCAACTTTTTGTAACTTCTGCTCTCTTCCACTTGACAGATCAAAGTATCCATCTTCACCAATTTTAATTTTGGCACCAGTTTTACTCTTCGTTTTTTCAATCTTTACTGGTTTTATACATTCCTATATTATTTAGATAACAAAATGGTAAAATACAGATAAATAACAGAAAATTACACAAGTATGAATTTTTTGCAAGACAAGGGTGTATCCTGTAAAAATTCTTCAGCTCACACTGAATCAAATTATACAAACATTACAAATATCATTTAATAAACTCATATCGTCTAGAGGGACCTTATAAATTAACAGTTAAAAAGTAAACAAATGCGCATATTTAAAAGAAGTAATTAGGTTATGTAGGTAATAACAGATACCTGTGAGGGAGTTATAAAATCGTCTAAGTCTGTCAATTGTAGTGCCCCACTGAATCTAGAAGCCATTGTCAATTTTCAATTAACACCATGAACCTTATTAAATAGTTTTGATAATTAAATTACATAAATTATTGTTTAGTAAAATTATCAAAACATTAAAGTATCCAATCAGCTGTTTCCCCATTGTCAAATATCGGACAAATGACAACTGCCACTGCAGATCAGATCACTGATATTCTGCCAAAGTAAATCACAGAACACTGTTTACCGCTACGCGCAGCTACAGTAGTTGATTAAGATTTATATGAATTTTCTCTAACTTACTTCTATTTTACTTAAATAAAACTAAATTATTATTCTTTATATTTATAGCGTCCCGATCGACATATTTAACTGTGAATAAATATTCAAATGTGGCGAGCGCCTGCAATATTTTACAGGTTCTCGCACCCAAGTCGTTAAAGCCGCATGGCGCGGGCGGTGAAAAATTTCGTTATTTGATGGAGCTTTATTTAGTATAGTTATCCATCAAATAATATAATGTGTGAATATATATGTGTTTGAATTTAATATTTTCCAGGCTGATCCTACCACGGATACCTCTTCATTGAGACTAGCCTACATATACGGGAGATATTTTTTTTGTTCACAACTTCGCACAGAGACATAAGAGCATCCCCTATTCCACAAATCTCATATTCCACACACACTAGAGTATCACTAGAGCTGGTGCAGACCTGATAGCTGCTTAGGGCTAGTGTTTTAAGTTTTAATTTCGGCCAGCAGACCGACATGCTAACCAGTAGACAACGAGGCAGAAAATATATAAATTGTTAACAAAATTCTTTTTAATTAATTAAAATACAAAATTAACCAATTACCTGCCTAATATGTAGATAATCATAGAAAATATCGTTGTTACCTACTTGTAAGTCTCCATGCACAGACCTTAATTAAAAGCAGCAATATAAAGATAAAATCATTATAATGTTAAATAAAAATAACTTCATATAATGTTTCTAGACTATGTTTATATGCCGCTTACGTAAAACTTATTTATGTTAATGGCTTGCGTAGGTTTATGCTAAACAACAGTTTAATGTTTTAGCCAAGACCTTGATTGCCCATAATTTTCAAGTGCCAACCCACCAACAGGTCATCATCACTAACAAATTCGAAATTCAAACGGAGAACTCGAAAAATCAATCAAATCTCCCCACATCTCAACGTTACCTAGGCAACGAGTAAACAGGCGGGAGCCGTGGAAATCGGCACACGTCTGTTGCTCGCAGTGTCGATTAACGAGAACATTTGGAAAAAGTGAAGTGGTATAATGGCTGAAGAAAGTGCCGCAGCTGGTGGAGCTGCTGCGGAAAAAGTTATCCACACATACCCATTGATAAGGGTGAGTAGTTAAAGTATATAGTATAGTATACGACGGAATGTTTGCAATAAAATAATAATTAACTAGTTTATATTTTATAACAGGCCATCTTCAATATTTAGTGTGTTAGTTGAGCGTAAAATGGTATATTGCAAATAAAACACTCGCATTTATAATATTCGGATTAAAGAGCCGATGTTAGTATTTTACAACCAAGTGATCATAATAATTTCCAGAATATATTTTAAGCTTTTTGTATGATAATTTAAGCAAACTAATTTATAAATGTTGGGTATTTTAAAATGGTTTCACATATCTTATTACTTTGAATGAACTTTCTTGTTTTTTTAAATATCTGAGTAGATAATATGCCTAGTTTTTTATTTAGGTAAATTATCGTATTACAATAATCTATAGCCAGGCTACATTGTCTTTACCTCCCAGAACGATAAGGGTACGTACATTGAATTTTTTATGCATTGATGGTGTCATAGTTATACTTTTTTCCTATTTAACTCGAGGTTCAAACAAATTAAATAAAATGAGTGCGTGACCAGTACATGGAGCTATTATGGCAAGCTACAAGCAAACCTTACTAAAACATTAATTTTATTTACCGCATGTATCAGGCCTCTTCCGAAATCAATTTCATAGAAACTAATGAAAAATACTAAATCAGCTTGATAAGTATAGTTAAAAATAAATGGTAAACAAAATTATTATTATTAATTCCTACGTATAAAGTTGTCGCTTTTGCAAGATTAACTATTATTATTATTTTTTGATGCCCTCTGATAAAGAAGGAAAAAGTTGACATCAACACTTTTCCTCTCGTGTAGTATTAGATGGAAACCCTAGACGTTGGTAAGATGATCGCGGTCATGGTTTATGACGCTGTGATGGACGGACGACTGTCGACGCTATCCGCATTGATATCGAGTTACCCTAGAGAAAATGCGTACAACTTATCATGTGTAACGGTTTTTTCATATAGAGTTTAAGGGTTTATAAATTGGTTGAATAAATGTTTGTGAGTTTGTTCACACTATATAATACAGTTAACTTTAATTAGTTTTAGATTGAGGTGTATTGAATTGGTGTTTTGTAGTAAAATGATGATAATTTAACAATTACAATTTTTAAAATCGAAACGGTACGATGAGCTACAGAGAAATCTATTCTTATAGTGCCATCTCCTTTTGGCGATTATCATGGCTACTTTAATTTTTGATATCGCGCTTCTGCACAATGACTTAGTCCTTTGACCAAACCAGTGTCTCAGATTCTTCAACCAAGACCAACCAACCAAGAGAGTATGACAGGTCTAAAGAGAAATTATTATACATATAAAAATAAACAATTACGTCAAATGTTCTATACAATGATGAGTCCCTTTTTACTTAGGATTTTTCCTGATGAAATATTACCCTAAAGTTGTAAAAAATTACATTCTATGAGTTTACAAGCTAATTGCATTCTACATAACTACTCTAAACTTGGCTTAAAAGCTTCCTCACTCAAAGCTCTTTTGTTTGGCTGATATTCGTAAGTGGTTAAGTAATCGGCACTGTTTATTTTATCAGCCGGGAAGCGACAGGTGGACCAGTTACGCACTCATTCAACACTCATGAACAAATATTCTTTAGAAGTGAAATTGCATTACATAACTCCTTTTTCATTTACAAATGCCAATATAAAGCTTGTTAAATGTGTAATTTAATATACCTTTATAGGCTTTAAACAAATTTACTTACCTATTAAAATGATTTCAAAGAAATTGCGATTAGGGGTGTGTCTAATAAATAAAGAAAAACAAAGTTTCTTTAATTGTGGGAGTGTTGTTTTAAACACAGCGTCAATACAATTCAAAGATATTTGTTTTGTCTATAGTCTTAGAGTCAAATAAAATTTAATATCCTACGCACATTTATTCTGTATAGACGAATAAAATTTCTTAATTTTTTCACAGCATTGTGACATGTCAGAAGAGATGCGTATAGAGGCGATGGAGCTGTCAGTGACTGCGTGTGAAAAGTTCTCTCAAAACAATGAGCTGGCTGCAAGAATGGTTAAGGAGACAATGGACAAAAAATTTGGTCCTGCCTTCCATGTGGTCGTTGGTGAGAGCTACGGCTTCGAGATCACGTATGAGTGTACAACTATATGTTATATGTACTTTGGTGGGAACCAGGCAGTGTGTATTTGGAAGTGTTCGTGAGAATGTCCAATTTGTATTGGAAGTGGTTCATGAACTTGAACAGGGTTCTGATGAATACTGTTGTCTATATGTTGTAAATATAGACTAACAAATATCTATGAAATTTTTGAAGGTCACATTTATACACATTCTAGCCATAGAGCTCAAAATGCCTAGTTTATTTGTCTAACGCTTCGACCCTTGTCGAGGGGGGTACGTAGACAGACAATATAGGAACATCTATAAAAGCAGTCTCTCCCTTGCCCTAAGCTAAAGGGTGGACTTATAAATTGCCTACGGACTAGAGCTTCACATTTAATATTTAGGAAATTGTGCCTTTATTGTGAGAAAATAAATATTAATATTAACTAGTATAGGAAAATACATTGGCAATGAAAAATTATACAATACACGCAATTTAGCTAAGAATTGGTTGAAACGATAGGACGATTGTACTTTAGTGTTATTCGTTCTGTCCTTGTATTCATGAACATAATACACCGTAATTTGTGCGCAATTATTGTAATGTTAATATTAGTATATTCATGAAACAAGGTAAGCTTTGGTAATGTTTTTGCTGTTAAGTGAGCAATTTAGTTGATTTAACCTATTGGAATATATTACGAAATAAGGAATTTTATGAAATGTACATTCGACAAAAAACTTCTGTTGTCTATTTTAGCCCCCTATCAAGTGCTTCTCACCGTTTTAGTGCTCAGTAATCCTTTATCTCTTTTTGTGAAATAGTGTTTACGATGTAATGAAAAGAGACATATACACATCTCTCTCTTTTAGAATAAAAGAAAAGAGTAGGTTAAACTGTCAAACTAGAATTTTTATTTTTTATAAGGTTTGTAATTTTTCAACTATGTTTATTTAAAACATATATATTATGTTCCAAAGATAACTTAGATAAAAATGTTTTTAAGATATTAAAATATTGTTTTATAAAATTAAATTTTCGTTTTAAAGACATCCAATATTTTTACTAATAAATATTTTTAACACATTTCTGCGTTTTGTAATGGTATTTGTAAAAGGTGGGTCACTTAGAAATAAGTGCTTACCGCCGCCCATGGGCACCTCAGACATAAGGAGACTGCAAATGCGTTGCCGGCTTTCAAATTAGTGCGATCTTCACTTGAAGGCCCCTAAGTTTAAACTGCGCGGGATGTTCATAGCGCTGTGTCGTGACGTCAAAGTGGAATTTCGATGACGTTCCGTTTAGGTTAGATGTAAAACAATAAATTTATTGTGTATAAACAAATAAAAAAAAATTAAATGAAAAATTCTAATTCTGGGCCTCAGATTTCTTTATATATAGGCAAGAAGGTGATCAGCCGTATGTGCCTGACAGACGCCGTTGACTTTTCGGTTCTAAGGCCAGTTTCCTCACGATGTTGTCCTTCACCGTACGAGCGAGTGTTAAATGCGCACATAACGAACATTACGGCCCGAGGTTCGAACCTACGAACTCAGGGATGAGAGTCGAACGCTAGAGGCCAAAAAAAATCTAATTAATGTTTATATTAACAAAGTTAATTGTAGAGATAATTAAAAATTCGATATATCCGACCACATTTATTTGAACACTTAATAACTGGATAATCTCATTAACAAATATATTTTTATATAGTTATACAGATTATAAAAACTTTAAAGCTGAAAAATTATATCTAATATTATTTTGTTTGCACGATATATACGCAATGGTGTACACATTTTAGTCGCATTTCCTACTCTTCACGTTTCGGTTACATCTTCATTAACATATCATATAACTAAGCTCGCATTTGAACTAAAAAGCCATATTTCATAAAACGAAATCAATGCATACGGTCGTCTCTTTCTTTCAAACGTTGTTAATGCTGTGTTGAAAAGAGACCTATAAACTGTAATTCTAAGTTTTATCCAGCTTATGACTAAACTGTCGTATATTGGAATTTATTGCTAACTAACGGATACTTTAGATACAAATTCTATATTTTTAGACAAATATATGAATCTAATAAATTATATATAAACTACATCCAAAAATCCTCTAATTATATCAAAACCACGCTAAATTTGGCTCAAATTGAACAAATCCAGTCAGTTTAAAGATAATTTACCTTGTCAAAGACTTTACTTGTTATAAATAGTTGTTGAGGTCATAAACTATGACATTTGAAGGACCTTCAGTTTGGCTGTGGTATAATTAGTGGGATTGCCATTACAAAAAACTAGCTACTTTATTGAGGCACGATTGTGTAACACTACGCACTGGGTCACATAACACTTCAAGCACCTTAGCATTAGTATACATTTTGAAAAAACACGATTACAATCAAAGAAAATAGTATCAAAATTTTTTATTACTCTAGAATTTTCAACTTTAAATTAGATTGAAAAATGTTGCCTTCAGAAAAATAAATAGAGCGGAAATTAAAAAAGTCTTAATCCCAGACATTTGTGGTGGTATATAGTAAATTAGATAAAAATTAAACGAATTATTTTAGTACAAAATCACTATTGGATTTCGTTGTCCCGTGTCTAATATATATATCTTTGTCAATACAGATAATATAAAGCATTTCCTGTAAACAATATGGCAATTTCCTTTTAGCCTCTTATGCGTAACAAAAAAAATCTTAACGATCATATAGTTTGCAAGACAATTTTCTCTAATATAGCATAATAATGTTTCGCTACCTCCTACATATATATAAAATATGTAGCAAAAATAACAATTACAACCATTCACGATGCTACAATTTGTCTTTATATTTTAGTTCTTATAAAACACGCATTTGAATTATACACCGACCTATTTATAATACACTTAATAAGTTTAGGAAATATACCTTTGACAAATAATAATTATATTATAAATGGCTTAAATTGATCATGTCCCGTAAAAGACAAGGAATAAGAAAATCTCAAATCCATAGAAATGTAATATGTCATAAATCATAATCGCTCTATATATTTCTGCCAGCTTTCTTACTGTATACATTTTAGCTATATTTATAATACAATTAGTATAACCTATAGTAAAAATTATTAGTTGAAATTAACTCGATAGCTACAATTTTGAACAATCGTAAAAATACTAAAAATCCTTAAACGTAATGATTTTTTTGGTCTTCATTTTCTGCTTAATCAAAAGCATAAATTACAGAATCAGTAATTATGCATGATGCACGTTTTTGTTAATTCATATATTTGAGTAAGCCAACATGCTAATTTACTTTCCTGAAGTATAGCCACAAGCTAATTTACTTTCCACAGATTAGGTATAGCCTTGAGCTTTCTCTAATCTTGGCCTGTATTCAAATCACGCCCTTATGAACTGTCAAAAAAAAAAAAAAACAGCGAAGCGTTAGCCAACACGGCCCAAGGGTCACCCTCTATATGAAGTTCGGACACGTAGACGAGAATTAATAGTGACCTCTAAAAGCTTTAAGCTAAAAACAAAAATTATGGTTTAAAAAAAAAAAAAAAAAAAAAAAAAAAAAAAAAAAAAAAAAAGGAAGAAAAAAAAAAAAAAAAAAAAAAAAAAAAACAAAAAACTAATCTGTAGCCTGTATTCAAATCACGCTCCTCTTATGAACTATATCATGTCATATATTGTATACTTTATATCATGTCATTATTTGAATAAATGTGTTTTTTTTTAAATTAACTTCATGACAATCGAAACAAGTCCTTTCGTCTGAATAATAGAGTACAAATTTGAAATGACTGTAGAATTTGTTGCCATGCATCCCACAAGAAGCGGGAAGCCACCAATTCAATAAATATATTTGCATAACAATTTGCGCTTATAATTTGTGTATATTTGTATTTGGTTCACAATTAAATAGTAAGAGATAAAAAGACCCACATTTTTTGTATTATACATTTCACTCTATTATGTCTTCACAATTCTCGTTTAGCCTTGTCCCGCTTTATAATATAAATTTCATTTCTAACTCCAGTATATTTTAACCCAGCTAAAAAACAGTATTTTATTAAAATTTAGTATTACTCACAAGTAAATTGGCTAGGTTATGCGTAATGAGGGAAAGGCATGTATCTAAGGAAGATACCTAAGACCCACTTCTCCGTATATCACTAACCCAACTTATTTGCCAAACTTGCATTCACTTCATGCAACTCCAAATCACAAACAATTGATTACTATCAAAAAGCCCGCAATACTTTCTCATTTGCCGCTAAACTGGCAATACAAGAACTGTCACACTAATACAACCTACAATTGTGACACTAATCACTTAAACATCCCAAAAGTGCAACACCAGGGTACACTTTTACACTACACGGTTGTGTAGTGTATTGTTCTTCGCTAGGAGGGCTGGAAATGTGTTACTAAAATTTTGGTCGCCTTGGCCAAGTCGTACGCCGCTGTTCGTACTTGGTCGATTGGAGCTTGGGCAGTGCAAGCAATACTCAATTCTTCGCTCGCTGAACGAAGATCACTTACTACCTGGTCCAACGATGCGTCTGAGCAGGTCTGTAATTTATGACCCCATAATATAATCTGCTTTTGACAAACATAAAAAGTAGGCTTTGAGTTTGTGAGGTAAAAAAAGGAAGTTTGACAACAGTTAATTCTATGTTTGGTCTTGAAAGCGTTGTTAAATTTTCAATTCAACAATGGTAGGGGAGCCCACGATGCTAAATGGGGATTTACTCGAGCGTCGTAGAGACCTATTGGGATGCAAAGCTTAGATGATAAGAAGAAAAAAAATGTTATATGATATTATATACCTTTTCATCGGTGGGGGAAGCGGCTATAGATTGTTAAATATGTAAAAAAAACTGTTGCATGGACATCCTCGAGCGCGTCAGATATTGATGGCATCAATGCCCTACGTATTTTTAATAATATACGTATGTTAATCTGATCGTTTGCATGATGCGGGTGGTTGTATTTAAGGGTTGAAAATGAAAAAAAAAAAAAATTATCGAGCGCGTCAGATTAAGATATATGTGGTTCATCTTTATGTTCTAAACGTACTGTCTCATAATCTGACGATTATCTAGAGGGATTCGCCTGATCTGATAAAAAAAATTAGAAAAACGGTTCACCTAAAGGGCCATCCCTGCAACTTCCCGCTAATTCCATTCCTGGGCGCTTAAAATTGCTATTTTGAGCTCGCTGAGTTCAAAGAAATAATATTTCTATGCATTTGAGCTCTCCCAGCTCGAAAGTCTGATAGAAGTTTCATAGAACACTATTTTTGGAATTTTCAAACCGCAATAACTTTTGAATGGATCAAGCAATTTTCACGCGGTTGGCGGCATTCGACGCAGTTTTATCATCCTCATAAGTAATTTGCAATTTTAATTGATCGAACCACAAATTTTGAAGTAATCCCGAAAAAACACTTTTTCGGCTTCTTTCGTTCACGATATCTCTCGGACGAATCAACCGCTTTTGACCAGCTTGGTGGCGATCGACGTGGTTTTTCAAGCTAAAAGGCGGATTAGTTTTTGAAGTTGATCGATAAAGAAACCACTTTGAAAAAAAAAAAATCTTATTTTTTTTTAGATTTTTCAAAATTTCTCAAAATCTATCGGTCGGAATCGGTTCAAATTCACAGGAAATGTAATTTTGAGGGAAATATTTAGAACGCCGTTTAGTAGATTCCGATCGGTTTAAGGAAATGTAGGCATCACGCAGCTGCACGCATTTAACTTTATCGACGAATTTTTGTTATTTCGGCTTGCGGAAATCGTCAGATTATATATTTTTCATTATTCTTGAATTATTTCCTTCAAAATAAAAAAAAATTTAGCTACGCTCGAGAATGTCGAGATGACGTTTTTTTTTTACAACTTTGTAGCCCTCCCCTTTTTTTACGTTACTCTCAAATTGTCAGATTAGTGAAATATACACTTTTTAGGATGTAATGAACTCACCCTACCTTAATCTGACGCGCTCGAGAATTTCTGATGGTCAATTTATTTTTACTAATCTGATCCTGTCTCCATGACGGGCGGCCTTATATATGGGCCTCATGTTTTGTGGAGGTACTTAACCGGGGTAAAGGTATCCCCCTATATATTAATCTGCCGCGCTTTAGTAAATCCCGAAATCCCCTCTTGGGCTCCCCTACCACAAATACCTCCGTTGAAAAATTCATAAAATAACTTTTGTTATTAATATTCTTTTAAAGGGTCTCTGAAAAAAGTAATACATAGGAGACTATAGTGTATGTATAAAGGAGACTGTTTTTGATAAAAAATATATATATTTGTGTAATTTATAAATATTAAATAACACGTAAATTTGTTAGGACAAGTGCGACGCCATCTTGCCTCGAGAAGCGTTATCAGTTTTGGCGGGTAATTGATTAATTTCAATTTTTAACGTCAATAGATAAAAGAATTTAAAAAAATTTTTTAGGTTCTATATTCAAAAATAAATAATTTTTTTTATATTTTTAAGTTTAATTGTGCCAAGCGTATTAGTGGACTTTTGTGTCTTAAAAGCGATTTAAATATTTAGTAATCTTATCCAAAAGATTAATAGAAGAAATACCTGTGGAAACAGTGCCAATAGTGACGACGTAGCTCGTCGAATGGAGTCAGCCCTGTCCGGCAACCGACTGCGTTGGAGCCTCGCAGCCGACCACAACTCCTGGATTGCACGGGTCACGGCTTCCGCACGCATTTGGACTACCTGAGAGAAAGATATCTTAAAAATTTCTTAATCCACTTCATGTGTTCCTGCTAAGAGATTGTGACTGTAAATTTTATTCACTTATTGTGCACTCTTGTCAATTTAGGGTCACCTGTTAGGGCTGGATTGTTTTTATTATTAAAAATAAATTTTATAATAAATACAATTTATTCTTATAAGTTCCTATACAGTTACCAATATGAATAAATAAATTTTATTTTGATTCATTTATTTACTTTACATATTTTAACATTTTAATGTGTGGATAAATGGAAATTGGGTATATCACAAAGGCGTACAAACATGCGGGCTAAAATTTGAATATGTTTGTTGGTCCACAAATCTCTTGAAAACTTAAAGTCGTAGCAAGGTGATTTAAATAATATTATTATTAGTATATTCCAACTAAGTAAACGGCCCAAGTTTCATCAAAATCGGTTTAGTAGTTATGTGAGGTGTAAATAATTTTTGTTAATCACTTTAATAATATTTGTTTCTTGATGATTATCTGGAATTTTTTTTAATCAATTTTTTTTTAAATAAATTTTTGATACACACAATTCTTACCTCAGCATTCAATGGCTCCCGAGGTGAATCAATATCCATCATACTCGACACGCCAACTTCCAACGCACCCTGTGTTAGGGATCTCTCCAAAACCGGAATACTTGTCAACTACATACAAAAATGAATTTACTTCTAAAAAAACACTACACAGACAAAACGCACACTACCAAAATTTGTGTAAACATGCGATTATGTGCTGTAATGTACACAAGCACGCAACACGCACACACTCATGCTTATATTTAGTTGTATTTAGTAAATCACTACACTACGTCAAGGGTCCTTGCAAGCTGTTATAACGTTCTATTTAGTGAATTAATTAAAAATAATTATTACAAATCTTCTCACTACAGAGTACAGATAATAAATAAATGTAACTTTAATATAATTAAGTGCGTTTTCCAGCACGAAGTGTTGATACTAAATGACTTATACAGATACCGGCAAACTTCTTGAGCATTAAACAAGGGAGTGGGGGAAAGTTTGCGCATCGCGGGACACAAATGTCAACTGATTTACCAATCACGCGATCGACACGTCACTCTCCCGCCGCCGCGCACCACCGCGGCAGGTGGTCCCAGTGATACCTAAAACTCGCTTCTGCGCAGGCAAGGACATTTGTTCAAGATGTTTGCCGGTATCTATACGCTATATTAAAACCCTACAATTACTTTGCGTCAGACTTGACTCTACAGATACAAAATTGCAATGTACGAGACCATTTTTAAACAAATTCAAATGGCATTTGTGACCCCAGAATTTAATTTATTATAGAAACACTAGCCAGGCGCATTAGCAATTTGCGAAATTCTAAAAACATTAGTATAAGGGACTGTATAACCAATACCGTTAATGATTAATATCCTAAATACTAATCTACAATTAGTACCTGATGTTTAGTAACCTGCCAGTTATTCCTTGGTCCCTCTCTAGTCTCATACATACTGACCGGGCGGGTCTTCACTCTTACATCTTCTTCTCTTCCTTTCTCTTTGTCCTCATTCGTGGACACGCTGTCCTCGTCGATACTACTCGTTTTTAGTACGCTGTTCTCTTTCGTCAGCTGTTCCACGATAGTTTGAAGGTTTTTGAGCTGGTTCTTCAACTCTGTGATGGTTGAGTCCCGATTGTCGAGTTCTTTTTTAAGTGATTCTATCTCGTTTCTGTCTATCGGTGTGTTTGTACGTTCGTTTGATTCAGGTAGTGATGGGTTATATGTGGATGAGACTGTTTCGCCCGCTTTTGGGTCTAGATTTGACATCTGAAGAGAGTCATTAGTTTAGTATAATAACTAGGCAGGCAAATCTTTTTTTTTAAATTAATCGTCATAGTCGTAGAATAGTGACGGATTTCATAGTGATAGAGTAGCCATTTCAAAATAATATCATCATTAAAATTGGCATTCAAGCAAACAAAAGGGTTTATTTTGAAATAAAATAAAAATAATAACATTTAATTACACAGTTTTCTAGAAAAATCACGTTTCTATTAAATCCGTCACTTTACCGACTGAATAATTTGAAATTTAAAACACATGGTTTTTTTTAATGTAGCTGCAATATTTAGTCAATTTAGTATCCAAATGTGATAAAACGTTGATTTTGGATTTTTTTCAAATCCGATATTGTTCTACGATCATTACGATTTCGTTCTTTTCACGAAAGATAATTTAAATTACCTAAAATACAAATGACCTATACTCCTTTATATTATAATCCTGTAGAAGATGCTAGATTATTCCAATAGTAAGCCACTTCACGTGACAACATCACAGAACAGGTTCGTAGCCTAAGGGCTGATTGCGAATACCCACAGAAGAAAAAAAAATGTAACTTGTATTTAATTTTTGTGTGGTAGGTATAGTTTTGTTATCACGAACGCTATAATAACGCTACGACTGAACAAATTCGGTTCAACCTACACCTAATATATCACAAAATCATTTGCATTTAAGATAGAAACATCGAATTTACTGTTTTAAGTTATTAAATCACATTAAGCTCTACAAAAATATGCGAAAAATTAAAGCCTCAAAAAATGTCCACAACAAAACTTTTTACATCGTAAAATAGACCTTAACACAAAGCGACAGGGTTCAAAGTAATCATGCTCATAGTGGTGTGTTGTTTAAAGAGGTTACAACTCACATCCAAGTCAATGGGTGTCAACGCCGCGTAGTCTTCGTCCGAAGCGACCGAATCGTATAATGGCTCATCGTCAGACATTTGGGAAATGTGTTTCAAGTGGCTTGCTGATAATAACGGGTTTAGAGGACCCGATATACCTGAACAAATTATTATTTATTAAGACAAGAATTAATCATTTATATTAAGTATAAAAACATGCTACTGAGCGATTCTTATGAACGATGAACTTTACAGAAATTCGTTAAATTAGATAAAGTTTAACAAAAGACTTTTATTATCATAGACATGAATACAAATATTTCATTTTACCTTATTACTACGAAGATTATTATAGAATTTCATTAATTGTAATAGAATTATTACTATCATTGAAAAACGTGACGATTTGCTACAAAATTTCTCCCATACGTCGATAAAGAAGTTTCATTCCAACGCCGATAAAGAAGTTTGACTTCAAAAAGCAACATGACGCGTAACCGAAAAAATGTGACGCGTAACGAAAAAATTTTACTTACACTAAATTTTTTTCCAACCTCGATAAAGAAGTTTCACTTCAATAATAATTAAAAATAACTAAATTTTAATAATAAGCACAACTTATAACGTATAAACTTACCGAAACTGAGAAAAAAGTAAAGAATGACTATAAAAAATTACATTTTCAGTATTAGAAATACCTACTGGAAATCTAATTTGTTATAATATCGACACAATACATAATAAACAAACAGCGAAAACAGAACACATTTAAACACAGTTATTATGAAGAAAAAAAAGATAACAGGCAAAATACAGATTAATAATACACTTATAGCTAAAGTAAACGAAAATTAAAACGAATTTAAAAAGTTTGATCTGTGGAAGTGTATTTGCTTGATATTTGCATTAAATTTATTTGTAAATGCAAGATGCCTTTATAATGTGAGGGAGTATTTAGACCATGGGTTTCAACAATAATTATAAATATCTTAACTGTTATTAGTATTATAATTATTAATATGATATTTCCCTATTTTTAAATGGATGATTGGTTTTTTTATGTGTATAATGTACCACATTCTTTGAAAATAAACGATTAATTATTATTATTTTTGAATTAACTGTCGATAAATTAAAATGCTGAAATTGCTACTTTATTGCCGAAGAGCAACTAGCTTATATCAGAAACCACTTTAAACCGTTTGCTACCTTTCCGTACATACGGAGTTAGAAAGTAGAAACGTATAAAAGATTACCTCTGGGCTGTAGACTCGCAATCCTCTGTCTTCTAGTAGCATCTAGAAGAACATCCCGGAGTAATGTAGCGAATTCCGGTGAAGACAGTCTGGCTAATTTCTGCCTGCCCTGGTTTCTTGGGGCCGACAGAGCCGGGTTCACGGGCAGAAATGCCACACCACATCGCTCTAAGCCCGTCGCGCTTGTTTGCCATACTAAAATTATTTTGTGTATTATAAAAATTAACGATTTAAAAAATATTACATAGTGCATAGCCTTGCGTTATTATTATGTACAGATACCGGCAAACATCTTGAACAAAGGTCCTTGCCTGCGCAGAAGGTGGGGCGGCGGGAGAGTGACGTGTCGGTCGAATCGTAGAATTTATCAGTAATTCTGTACTGTGTTTTATGTTTATGTTCGAATGTGTATAATGTAATTGTTGAGATATTGTATAATAAGTAGCTGTGGTAATACTGATAAGCAAATAAATAAATAGTAATAATAAATAAACTAACAATATTTTCGTAATGAGTATATTTGTATATGAGATATGTACTCACTGGCTTCCGTTTCCCGTCGATCAATTTCATCGTAAATATCCATAACCAGCTCTTCAAAGAGGTGGTTCGGTAACTGTAAATGATCGTCAGAAGTTATTTTTTGTTTATATAGAAAAATTAAACTTCAAAAACTTCAAGAATGTGTGTGTGGGTTGAATTTAAATGTACATGTAATGCTACATAATAATCATTTTTAAAAAGATTTACATATCTTTTATACATTCATTATATTTATTTTGTTCATTACAATAAAAAAAATATAAAATTATTTTTGTGAATCTGGATTTTTTCTATAAGTATATTATATAAGTACATACTAGTTGCAACTTTCCCCTAGCAGCCTTAGCGACGTCGGTCATTTCGTGTGTATCATGCGCTCGCGGCACTATGTAGTGCCTACCAGATGCGTGATCCGGTCTTTCACCGGTCAGAAAGTAGATCATTCGGTCTGTGGCTTCATATACTAACTCTGTCATGCGGTCTGCAAGTTCTGTGTGGCCACCTAGTCTGAAATAAATTCAATTATTTGAACCAATTTGCCAATTTATTCAGTTAGAATCATGCCATCAATAAAAGAAACACAAAAAAGCGCACTAGAGTGTTGTGCCTCTTCCTAATATGAACTCATTAATTGTTTGTAAAGAAAAACTAACTATGAACATTTTTTTTTATTTCTAGGCGTTTTACGAAAGGAGATTTAGAGAATAATCAGAACGTTGTCACGCATATCGTCAGATTTCTGTATTTGTGTTGTTTTTTTTCTAACAGACAATTTGAAGTAGCTTTCTTTGTCTGACTCATACCGTCCATATTTTGTGTCTAAGGCTCCCAATGTTCTCAGTATTTAATCGCACGAGTGTTCGTTACGCACAAAGAAAGAAAACTTCATTGGTGCACAGCCGGTGATCCGGTGATCTACGGGTTAAGAATCGCACGCTGAAGCCACTAGACTAACACTGCTAATTCAAAAAGCCTATATTTTAATTATAAGTGTTTTGAAATAAATGTTGTGTCTCACTTCAAATGGTGTCGTCTGCAAAAATTTTACCTGAGTTCACACATACCTAGCACATTCGCTGGGGGTGTTTCCTGCGCTATCCTTGGCTGTTGGATCAGCTCCCCAGGCTACCAACAACTCAGCCTGCGCTGGCTGACCGGCACGGCACGCTACGTGTAAGCACATGTTGCCTTTTTCCTATAAGAAGAATACAAATTTTCGACTTGTGATTTGTAATGGGTGTGATTACTACCTGTAAAGATACCGGTAAACATCTGGAACAAATATCCTTGCCTGCGCAAAAGCGATTTTTAGGTACTCCCAGTGTGCGACGGGCGAAAGTGCGCAGCGGCGGGAGAGTGATGTGTCGATGGCGTGATTGGTAAATCAGTTGACGTTTGTGTCCCGCGCTGCGCAAGCTTTCCCCCACTAACTTGTTTAATGTTCAAGATGTTTGCAGGTATCTGTATTAGCATTTTGCTTGCAACTTGTTAAATGTACGCCTAATGCTTGGCTAATGATACAAATCATTCATTAGCCAAATGGTATAAAAAAAATTAAATAGGGCTAACTGAAATTCAGAATACGAATTGCAAAGCGTGATATTTTAATAAAATCCTATTAAAAAGTCTTCTTCAAAATAATCGGAATTTCAATTAGCTTTACTTTTTAAAGGCCCAACTTGAAAAATAAATATCATAAAAAAAAACGTGTGTGTACTTATTTACCCCCTTAACGCGTTTCTTATGGCATAACAAGATCTTTTCAAAAAATTTATTCTACGTTTGTAGAAAAAACGACACTTAAATTTTTTTTTTCTATAGCTAAATACAGGATGGCGGTTTTTTGTGACGACATCGTTATTTTTCCCTAACGCGCGAAAAGAAGTATAACTTCAATAGGTATTTGCGTTCATATCCACTTGAGGTATGATTAACCTGAATATAAACAAATTCACGACCTCACTTCTTTTTCCCTGTCTGCTTCACGTGAATTGCTCCAATAATAACTGTGGTAACTGTTAATCAAAACCTACAACCTTTGATAAAACACCCCCCTAAAGCTTAGGTTTCCTAGAAAAGCGGTGCCGTTAACTAACGGCCGTCATTTTACGGTTGTCAATAACGGCCGTCTTTACTTTTTAACATAATGCAAAAAAAACATCATTTTCGCTCGTCCAAGTCCCGTTTCCACTCATTGTATTAATTAAATAGGGGCACCGCTACTCGCGAAAAACGTTGAACTAATGTTTATCACCGCTATGATGGCCGTCATGCAAATGACAGCACCGCTATTTGACGTTACGGTGACACTCAACGTTCTCTAGGAAACCTACTCCGATGTTATTTATAGACAACGGGCCTTAGTCAAGATGCCTTTACAGTAGTGTATGTAGAAAGTCAAAAACTAAATTTGTATGAAAACTTTTCGACACGAACTGTCATTTCCATACAAATTTAGTTTATGACTTTCTACATACACTACTGTTAAGGCATCTTGACTAAGGCCCAACGTATGGGTGACGTCACCCAACGCTACATTACGGCCGTTAGATAACGGCGCCGCTTTTCTAGGAAACCTAAGCTTTATCAATTTTAAGTCAGTGCAATACTTTTTTCTCTTATGCCTTTTGTAGACTAAGTCTTATTATAAAACATAGAATAAAGAGGTGTAAGTTCCTAAAATTCAAAGTAGTGTAATCAATACTATCTTTAGTACCTGTTTCAAATAGTTGTTATAGTTTAATGTTTAAAATGGTTTATAATCATAATGTAAGACAACACTGTGATAACATAGTAAGTTGTTATAAGTTTAAGTATACAGGAAATCTACTAAATACACAATACTATCACTTAACACCTCATAACATAAGTAAATGTTTGACAATGGTTTCATAAATATAAAATAAAATGGAATTTATTTACGAATTTTCATTCAACTAAATTATTATTTTATTCTTAAAATATTATTTGTGGAATATAGACCAAAATATAAAAAGCTGTAAAAGAAAATTATACTCTTTATTACTTTCTCATTTTTGGTTTGAAATTTTTGTTCAAATGTTACAAAGTTGGGTTATATAAAATGTTTCCTTTGTGAAATAAATGCCGAACACACCTGATTATAGTAATTAGGATCAGCCCCCTGCGCTAGTAGTCGCATGCCCGTGTCCAGAGAGGAACTTCGCACAGCACTGTGCAACTGTCTTCCCAATTCACTTGGTGGCTCATCACGACGAGCACGTAATACATAAGCGAGTCGCAAATGTTTTGCCAAAATGAACTCAGATTTAACTGGACTGTAAAACAATTTTTTTAAGAATATTGTAATGTTTTGACGCTAACAATAAACAGTAAGTACAGAGTAACTGAATTAAGCTAATTTACCAATAAGTGTGTAGGATCTGAAGGCACAAAGCTCGCCTTCAAGATAAAAATATACTTCTTAGTTAAATACTAATAACACAACGTTATTAATAAAAGAAAATAGCTTACTCTTTAAAATAATTTAAAATTTTAAGTGGATCAAACAAAATAATTATTAAAGTAGTCTGTCTGTAATCTGAAAGTCTTACTGTAATGGGTCTTTTGGAGTCGGTTTTTTCCGCAGATGCTTAGGAGCTGATGTGTCCAATAAAGAGTGCTCCCAAATACTATTTACATTCTGAGCTGTCAGTGCTTGCACCATCTGAATAGAAACGTTTATTAATAATTTTAAAGTAGGAAGTCAGTAGTAAATCAATGAAGAATACCTACAGCTAAAAGCGACGGAGGCCAAGACCCTTGCCGTAGTGACTTTACGTGCGATATATGCCGACCCATACTGCGATGAACACTACAGCACTCAGCACATAACAACAGCCCACGGTTAATTGACGCCCACGATGGATCTACAATAATAATAATTCACAAACACCGGTTCTGGTCACTTGTATTGATTGACACCAATTAATCTTAAGAGCAATTATAATATGCTGCTTACCCGATGCCCCGCAATCGGAACAAACATCGATAGACGACCGATGTTTAGATCTTGAAATCATCATTTTAATGAATACTGATGGTTGTTTCACATTAAAGCTAACTCCATTTGTACGTATGCCATATAATAATTTATATTTTAATTAACTGTTGTAACAGGTACAAACACTTTAAACACCAAGTCTAAACAGTGAGAGTGAAGTGTAAAGTGTGAACACCAAAATAAACCAAGAAATCTCCTCAATTTAAATGACTACTGTCAGCAGTCATGTGCCAACTATGAACTATCCGACAACTGTCAATCAAAAGTAGAACTTAACAGATTAATGGTCCTTGTTTTTATTTCCACAAATATTGCTTAGAATAAATATATTTTTATACCGTATTTACAATTCTTAACATCTTAAAATCTTAACCAACATAGTCATAAAAATATAAAAAAAATAAGAATAACATAATATATAACTTTTGCTTTTTTCCCTCGGAGACGGGGCAAACGTGTCCACACAAGTAGCATCTCATCATACCAAAGCCCGTCCATCATCCAAGGGATTAGGGAACATAGGTCTGGTTATTAACAGATTAATAACTCACTTTACCTGAAATACACAGACACGATTCAAAAACAAAACAAGTTTTGGCAAATGGCAGCACTGAATATGTGGATCGCCGATCGACATTCAACACGTCAGATTGTTAAAAATTAGCTAGTAACTTAAAAATGAAGTTATATATAATATTAGGACTGTTATCATGTGTTTCTTTAGCACATTCGTATCAAGAAACTTTAGTGCTTGTAGATAATCTTAACATCAAAGAAACACATTCACAGTTTTTCAAGTCTTTACAAGGTAAGATAACGGCGTCTCTGCCACCGGCACTCATTTTATACTTGTGGTTTTGTATTTGTATTGGTCTTTTAATCCTCAGCTGGATTGAAAAAAAACCTAATAATCTTTTTTGATTTGTGTTTTAGAACGTGGTTACACTCTCACATACAAGTTGGCCGACGATGCTAACCTCGTTTTGTCAAAGTATGGTGAATACTTGTACAAGAATCTGATTATATTTTCACCAACGGTAGTAGAGTTTGGTGGTCAGATTGATACCGAGGCCATTACAAAGTTTATTGATGATGGTGGTAATCTTCTTGTTGCTGGAAATTCAGCTGCCAGTGATGTATACAGAGAGATTGCTACTGAATGTGGTTTTGAGGTATAATTTAGACTAAATTATTTTATACCAGTAATACTTTTTGACTATAAGTATTGCATGAGAATATTGTCAGAAATTCTTAAAATTCTGTTTTATTATTTGACAAACATTATTTGTTTGCTTTAAAAAAATATATAATGGTTACATATTTTTTAACATATTTAGTGATAACTAATATAGGTAATAAATTGACATAAAATATAATTTCAGATGGATGAAGAGTCTGCATCTGTGATTGACCACTTTAATTTTGATTCATTGGATGATGGTGACCACACTAGAATTGTTGTATCTCCAAAGAATTTGATAAATGCACCTACTATTGTTGGAACACAGAATACCAAACCTCTCTTATTTGAGGGTACTGGTCTGATATTAGATAAGGAGAATGCATTAGTTTTACCTCTTTTAACAGCTGATAGCACAGCATACAGTTATAACCCTAAGAGCCAGGTAAAAACTTGTTAATTGTACATTGATGCCTCTATATCCTTTCTCTCTAATTATTGTGGAAAATATTGTTACTATGCAAATTTTTGTATAGTTTTCTTTGTAAAACTTGATGAACTATAAGTTCTAAATATAAATGTTTATTTTATTGTATATTTTTATTACAGGTGAAAGAATATCCTCATGCTGTTGGACGTAAGACTGTACTTATTGCTGCTTTGCAAGCTAGAAATAATGCCCGCATTGTATTCAGTGGCTCATTATTCTTTTTCTCAGATGAAGCTTTTAATGCACCAGTAACTAAAGTACATGTAAGTATAATTGTAAGTGTTGTTTTCATCTATAAGGCATTTAAATATATATATATAAAATTTATTTTGAAGAGCTAATCTGTAGAAAACTACTGCCTTAAAGAAAATAATATAAACAAGCTTGGATACTGTTTAGTTGAAAATAGAATCACTTTTATTCAAATGCTTATGAAAAATGTTCTAATTGTTGTTTGAAAATATTCTTTAGGGGGACAAGATTAAGTCTGACAAATCTGGTAACAAAGATCTTGCTACAAACTTAAGTGAATGGGCATTTGGTGAGCGTGGTCAAATCCGCGTGAGACGCGTGCATCATCACCGCCAGGGAGACAAAGAGTCCTCTGATACTTACACTATCACTGACACAGTGGTAAGTTACTTTTCAGGTTGTTTTGTATGATGTTTGTAAACTTTACATGCTTCATTTGAATCTCACAAATGTATATCATATTAAAACTAAATATACCTTGCCTGCCTCTTTAGTAATTTTTTAATAAATATTATAGGTCTACAGAATTGAGATAGAAGAATTAAAGAATGGTAAATGGCAATCATTTGAAGCAAATGATGTACAACTTGAATTTGTCTGTATTGATCCATTTATTCGGACCACTCTGCTGAAGAAACCCAATGGAGTATATGAGGCTATCTTCAAGGTTCCTGATGTTTGGGGTGTATATAAGTTTAAGGTTAATTATGATAGAATTGGATACACTAGACTGTATCATTCTACTCAGGTTAGTTGGCTTCTCAAATATTAGCTAGTGACTTTAATATCATTTAAGTGTGCTAAAAAGTTTCTAAAATTAACTGAAATATATATTCACATAAGGTATTACTTCTGCTTACATTCAAACCCATTCTTTTATAATGATCAATTTTATTATTATAATTCAGATCCTAATTCTATTGTACCATTAAAACAAATTTACTAATTAATATATTTAGTTCTCATATTAAAACAAGATTCCAATACTACTAAAAGCTTTAATATTGCTTTTTCAGGTATCTGTCCGGCCTCTGCAACACACACAATATGAACGCTTCATACCAAGTGCATACCCATACTATGTAAGCGCATTCTCCATGATGGGTGGAGTGTTCCTCTTCTCTATAGTCTTTCTTTATTATAAGGAGGACACACCTAAATCTAAGAGTGAATAATTATTATCATAGTGATGTGTTGTAATAAGCGATCACTGTAAAATAATAAAATTGATTATTTATCGAATTAGCATTCTGTTATTTTATTGTAATAGTCCTGTGTCTAATCATACGACACGCGTGCGAGTGTATGATAAAAATTTATAACAATATCTTGCTTTAGTAGTCATAGCTTAAAGTTAAATTTTGCCGCCAGAAATTGTTTATTTGATTCTGTGCCACTGACACCTTTACCACAGATATAATACGCTCAGTCAAGATCATATCTGCAATTGTTAATACCATTGAAAAGCTTTGAATTAATAAATTAAAAGTTTAATGCTAACAATAATCAAAACTGGATTAACAATATAAAGTGTAATTTTTAAGTTTGAATATGGTGCCCAATAGCAAATTATAAATAAAAGAAAATGGCAATTGGCATGCTTGTCAGAAATTGATAAACGTCTTTTTATAATTTTATACCCGTAAAATTTCTAAATTAATCTATAAACCGAATTTATTAATAAAGAAAGATATTTTCACAGAATTCTTCTATGATGTGCCAAAATTGTTACTTAATAAAGTACTAAAAACTGCAGTTAGAATCGAATGAAGTGAATCTTGTAGGCCGTGATTTTGGTGTGCCGTATTTTTATAATTTAGCGTATTGCCAAATGTTTTTCGTTTGTTTACATTTAAAGTTAAAACTAACATACCAGTGAATGTGTGGCTATTACTGTGATAAATTTCTTCGTTAAGTTGTTTGCAGTGATGTGTTTACATCTGTAATTTGTCCAGTAACTAGTAAGTATGATGTCATTGTATTTTGTGACTGCCATTAAAAATATTGGCTATGTGCCCACCCATTTTCCTGCTTGAAATGTAATTCTGATATAGTTTCGTAAAAACATCCACGCGGAATATAATCAGTGAACCCATTAGGTTATGGTGACTTGTACCAGAAAAATATGTAAATGAGACACTCTGTGTAATCTTAGAATTGAAAGTTTGTAATGTGCACATCTACATGCCTATAAGTAAGCTGTAGCTAAAGTTAACTAGGATATACTTAGCCTAATTTAACAGTAAGTTTAAAAACTGATATTATATGGTAATTCTTAGTCACCTTATTACTAATTCCATTGTCCGGAGGATCCACTAGTTCTTTATTTGTACATAGAATTAAAAATCATACCCACAAATGTACTACAAGGATAATTAAAACAGCTGCTGTATTTTGAATATAGCTTAAGAATAAAGCAAAACTGTTCAAAACAGCTTTAAGGTTTAAACATCATTGAAGACAAATGTACAGGAAATAAATAATTGTTATATGGTAAACTAAATAATCATTTTGTTTTTATTCCTTAACCCAGCTGCTAATAACTTTATTAATAAGGAACTAAAACTAACATTGCTGCTATTATCTAAAGGCTTCACCAATGAACTTTTATCCAAAAATTTGTAATGGATGCTTATAATAATAACTTTGTTAATTGTAATAAAGTTTGTGATTAAGAATGATATTATTATGGTTATGTTTGAAAACCTATTATTCTTATATATATTTTGAACCTACAGAATCACACTCATTTGTTAGCTACCTATGTATTATTTTCTTTAATTGTAAAGTTCTTTATTAATGTATGGGTAAAAAGTATCTTAGTTCTATTGCATTGTATTTGTACTCCATAATATTTCTGAGATCTGATATGTTTTTCTATGATAGAAATATGAAAATATGAAGTGGAACAAATAAAATTATAAATAAAACTTTAATCTTTGCTACATTATTGTACTTCATTTAAATTTAATCTCATAAATGATTGGCCCTGTCTATTGATACCCCTATACTTTAAATCAAGTATGTGGACAAGACATGTGGACTTTGAAATATTGTTGATATACTTAAGTGTCAAATACATTAGAATACAGCAGTTACCTAGTTTGCCTTGTTACAAACATATGGTAGAGAATCAATTTAAATGACTTTTTCCATTAAAGACTGTTTATCTAAGAAATGTTGTTTGGCTGTACCCATTTAAGGAGGAATGTTGTTTACTGCTACTATTGAAGTCTTAGATTTAATAATTGTATCAAATTGTAATGTAATTTAATGAGATATTTTTCGAAATTACCATAAGTTGAATATTTTATGGTAACTTAAAAGTACACATACATTACAGTTACATATTACACCACCATTATCCTTAAAGAATTTTAGGAAATATACACTAATGAAGTATAATGAATATTCAACTAAATAAATAAATAATTACCAATATCAATTTTTTGGTTTGACTTACAATAACAGTTATTTCCTTTGCAGATAGTGTAGTGGTAGACAACATGGATCCGTCGCGGCGTCAGAGGACGCAGACCAAGGCAACGGCAGAGGAACAAGCCCTTGATCAAATTGCAAGAGAGGTTAGTCTTATTATTTGGGTAGATAATTTTGCTTGATATTATTATTAATTTAGTTATTGACATTAACTAGATAAAGTCCGACATAAACTACAATTGAAATATAATAGGGTTTGTGGAGATTTATTGTGTTTATTAAACCTTTTTTCATTTATGTATCTTGAACGCTATATATTGCACTTAATACTCACAAGAAATTAACTCAACAACATAATATATTAGACTGAGGCATCACATGTTTTGTTATCACTGATAAGATTTTATATTTCTATCATCAATTATATGCGATAAACATGGTTGGTTTGCACAAATAGGTTTATAAATACATATATAAATAATATATAAACAAAGCATAGAAGGTACCTGGTGCGATTCTATATCTATATAATATAATTTATAAAAAAATAATACTTTTAAAACTTTCCGTTCTGTGGATAGCCCAAGACTTCAGCCAGAAAGTGTGTTGACGTCACCTATGGATGACGAGGCGTAAGATTGCCATCTATGAACATGTAGGAAGAGTATATCTTAGAAAGTGTGGCTAAACAATAGTCTTGGATTTGAATGCATCTTTGATTTCTAGGTAAACAATAGTCTTGAATTACAGTAAAATCTCTTTATTCGGCGGGGTAACTTCCATAAATATGCAGAGATCTTTGATTTCTATATGGGTTTATAGGGGATACGTTCCTAGGTGCCAGAATAAAAACACAAATATATAAGAAAATCAATTTTATTATGTTATTGAACATTTTGATTGTAATAATCATTATCCTCAAGCGGGGGGGGGGGGGGGTGGGTTTGTCATAGCTCCTTTTTGATTCAGCAGTCGCATTAGCAATTTGCCTCTTAAAATTAAACTTCGTTCCATAGATGGATCAATGTTTATAAAGAAATCGCAAAGCTCATTTGCCATTCTTAAACCAAAGTCAAAGTTTGAACTTGCACGGATTCTTCTTCAATTACTTCAGCAATTTTTTCAAAGGGGGGGGGGGGGGGGGGGGGCCCCCCAATTTTCCATCTAGCGTATTTTAGCATTAAAGACCACTTTGTTTTAGTGAATAAAGATCACAGATGATTTCGTTGAAGATGTTTTTGAAATATTTAACAACAGGCATTACAATAAAATCTTAAATCTAAATAATATGTAAACTAGTTGTTGTAAAAGCCAAACACAACATGCTTGCCTTAATAAATATTAAAAAAAAATGACTCTACTACCTTATTAGCTCTAGGCCTCAGATGTCTGTATCCGTTTCATGATCATTTATCAATCTAATAGCCAAGTAGGTGATCAACCTGTTGTACCTTAACCACGCCGTCGACTTTTTGGGTCTAAGGCATGATGTTTCCTCACGATGTTCTCCTTCACCGTTCGAGCGATTGTTAAATGCGAATATAGAAATAAAGTCCCATTGGTGCACAGTCGGCGGGATCGAACCTACGACCTCAGGGATGAGAGTCGCACGCTTAACCCACTAGGCCAACACTGCTCTCTTAATAATTATTACAGTTTACTAAAATAAACTATTTTATACGTGCATTGTAAAAAAACTTAAAAATATGTTTCGTTAATACTGGCCCGTCAGCAACTTAAATTTTTTGTTAGGGCTTCAACGGAAATTAAAAAAGGTTTCAATCAATCAACAAGTGGGGAGTACAAGAGAAGATCGAGATCCTCTCAATCACTCATCTCATGTCTGTATGCAATTATCTTTCGAGTGGTATTCAAGTAGTTGGTAATAAAGGATTTACTTGTTAACACTTTGCTTTATTGTTTGATGCACTCGATAGGTAAGTACAATTGATTGATTGTACGGGCTATTTGAGGATTTGATTATTTAATATAACAAAAAAATATTACTCTAATTATATTATTATTGAAATACTAGCTGACCCGGAACATGTTGTTTTGCCCTGTTTATTATTTCTAGGATTTTTTTTTTAGTTCAATAAAAATAACTATCTACTATAATAAGAAATAGGGGTTGATCGTAGAGGGGTGAAAATTAGGTATTGTATGTATTTTTGAATGCCGTGTCATAAAAATAATTTATATAAATTAAAATGAAATCATTTTCCTTGTACATTTTTATAAATTTGTGTTGGTAGCAATCAATCTAGATCTATTTTTGTATGCTCCTCTGAATAATCGTCACTCCAAACAAAAAGACAATGGTAAGAGTTATAAAAAGATTTCAAGCGCATCGGTAATAAAATACTTTTTTGTGTTCCACATTTTGCGTAGATTTTCTTAGTGCCTTATATAAATAAATCTCTATTTTTACTTAATTCTAAAAACATTTTTAAATACACAATATCTCAAATTCCTCTGTAGTTCATCACGTACTCGTCGTATCTCTCCTTTGATCCCCTAGGTTCGATTCCTCCACATTACATTTTAGTTGGTTGGTCTTGATGAATGATCAAGAAACAGACAATTCGGCAATTCTGGGACTTCACCGAGTCGTTCATTATGTCAAAGTTAGTCGTCTAAATAAACTACGGCAACCAGTTGGGTCACTTATTACATTTCGCTCTAAGTTGGTGTTTCAAAATGTGGGGCCCGCGCCCCACAAGGGGGCTATTCGAAACCTAAAACCTAGGTTTCTTAAACTCAAAATATCTTTATTCATTTAGGGAAACAAGTAGGTACACTTATGAATCGTCAAAAATTTACATTTACTACCAGTTCGCAAGTCAAGGGCGTAGAGCGGGTAAGAGGAACTGGCAAGAAACTTTCCGCCACTCTTTTTAATCGCCAAGTATTGTCATACAAATTGTTAGAACTGGAGCAAATCAATCCCAAGGAATAGGATCATTTAAGTATTCGTCAAATTTATAAAAAGTTTTATTGATTAATTTACGTTTAACGGGGGCTTTGAATTGATTTAGCGATAATTCTCTAATTTCGCTTGAGAGTTTGTTGTAAAAACGAATACAATTTCCATATAAGGAGTGGTTTATCTTTTGGAGCCTGGTTATCGTACACTCAAATTAGTTCTATTTCGCGTATTATACTGGTGAAAGTCACCATTTGTTTTAAAGTAAAGTAAAAAATCATTTAATCATATAGGTAACATAATTTACACTCACATATGACTCGTCAGTAAAGAAATACATATTAATGCTTTTAATTTTACATTTACTGCCAGTTCTCAAATCAAGGGCGTAGAACGGGAGAGAAGAACTGGCAATAAACTCTCCGCCACTCTTTTTAATCGCCATTTTTTTTACACAACGTTTGTAAGGAGCTGCAGCCATTTCACCATGTTCCACATGACATATCAAGTAATTAATAATAATAACATAAATTTAAAAAAAAAACAATGACTTGTCCTCTATCAGCAGGAGGCATGGTGAAATAGGAGCACGCACTTACATTCTTGTGGGAACAACACTCAAACACATAGTCGAAATAACCAACATCACCGCATACACGAATTCAAGTACGACCAGTCACCACAAGTAGCACCCGTTCACGAGTATGACTCATGGCCAGCCATCGGCCCCCTCGCCATATTTTAGGGAGAGAGACAACCCGACGCATGGACGCCGCCACAAGCAATGACATTTAAGCGAGAATGACGATCCTTGAAATGTGAACTTGGCTACTTAAAAAACTAATAATTTATAAACGTACACAATTAAAATTTTAGATATTAAAAATTATTTATGTTACATAAGGCGGGGCATGGCACACAATAGGTTGGGAAACACTGCACAGACTTAATAATTCTTACTTTTTTTTTAACCCGCGACAGCCTGGATCGATCCTGTGTCCCAGTTTTGCTTTCCAGGAGTCAATGCCCTCAAATCGACTGATTCAATATTTTAAGAAAAAGTTAAATTCTATTACGTGAAATTTTAACCGTTATTATTGTTTACTGATGATCGTAGAGATCCGAATCTAGGTATAATTTCTCTAGTACACATAACGCTTATCATATTATCAATTATGTTACTTAGATATAATGTATTTACAACTTCATTACTGTGGACTCTCGATAATTTGAAACTTAAGGGACCAGTGATAAATTTCAAATCACCAAGAGTTCAAAATAACAAGCGTTTAAATAATCACGAGGGGTAGGGGGGACTTAAGTAAATGAGAGTTTGATCAACGTGATTTATTATTTCTATATTATTATTATTAAGAAATTAATACAATTATTTACAAGTTTTTATTACGAAAAGACGTTCGTAATATTTTTTTGAGTGAGCGACTACAGTCTATCATTGTCCAAAGAATCTTAAAAACTGGCTTTAACTGGCTTAAATGATAGGGTCTGTACATGATAACTTAATTATAGAGAGTAGGAAAGTCCGGACTTTAAATTATCGCATGTTGGTACTTCAAATTACCGAGGGGACCAATTAACATTGATTTTATACAGTTTATAGACTATTTTTCAAGGGACCGGAAAATATTTTAAGTATTGAGAGTCCACTGTATTTTAAATTTTACATTTTGCTATGAAGTTTATAGTAGGCGCGTTTATTTAACCTATATTTTGTATTTGTCTAATCAAACACAATTTAATTATGCTTAAACTTTTAACATATACAGGTGAAAGTTTTAATTTCTTTTATCCAAACGTGGAAAATAGTGGCATGGAAGCCAAAGACAATTAAAATATAGATAATTCAATATACACATGGAAAACAGAGACCCAGGCAGTCTGGTGACGTAAGTACTAGCTCGGGATCGATCCGTCTGCCCCCACTCCTGGACCACCCGGCACCCCCACAGGCTGATGCAACTATACAGAGTAATGTGAAATTCTGTACTTTGCTCTTATACCGACTAAAAAGGTTAAGCTGTGAACTCACTATAGTAGACTTTAAATCTATGAATTGCATCTTGAACCCAATGCTGTCTTTATCTTGAAGGTTCCAGCCTAATAGATTAATTCTTTTTTATTGATAAAAGCTTGCCATCGCTCGGCACACTGATACATTGGTAAATAACCACAATATACAATTTTTAATGTAACAAGCACTTATAGGCAAACATGACATACACGAAGAGATAATACAAAACAATTATTGTTTAATATGTAAATTTACCCTGAACGAAACCACCATGTTATGTTTTGATTCGGGTATATCAGAAACTCTTTTGCTTGATTTATAATTTGATACATTTTAGTATATAGTTATTTTGGGCTGGCGATCTGAGTGAGTTGTTGCCCCACATATTTTTATGTTGCCACTGCCGGTATTGCTGTGTACCGGGTTGTGCAGCTCCCTCAAAAATGGTTGAGCTGCATGAGCTATTCGGGGCATGCTTGCCGTCTGCTGGCACAGGCTTGCTCAGATCGATCTGGTTCTTTCTTCCAAAGAACAGTCCAGTAAATACTCTGCATTTGTTTACACCAATTTATTATTGTATTATCTGGACTATAAAAGAGACTAAGACCCCCGAGTTTGTTTCGACATTTCTTCTCAGGGCAGTCAGTTAGGAAATGTCGACTTCATCTAGTTTAGGATGACATTGTAAAAGTGATTTATATAGTCCTACTTGCAAGAATAAACTATTTCATTTCATTTCATTTAATTTCGCTGACAGAAATGGGATATTATTCACTCAATAATTCTACGTCCTTTGACAGCTTTCTAAGCGGAATTTATTACCTAATAGAAAATAACTCAGAAAGTTGTTTAGTATAGTGTTGATATCTCAATTATTTCCTAAATCGCATAAACGTGTCTTATTGGAACCGGACACTTGCGGTAGCGTTTTCGCAAATGCGAAAGAGAAATCTTCTTAACCGGCTTGGCAAGATCCATTTATTTTGGTCAACGTACTAAATTTGCAATCGGCCATTACCTTATTTTAATTTAAAATAAAAATTAAGATGAAAAACATTTCGAAACGGGATTTCAAGTCTCTAAAAACGTACACATTAATTTTAATTAAGTATATTATTACATAGGAGTTTAGTTGTGCTACGAATACTGTTTTATAAGAGTCTAGAGCAGAGTTCCCCAAACTTTTTTGTGTCGTAGACCCCTTGCCATGGTTTTCCGTGTTGGGTAGACCCCCTACTTACTGATATTGATTTCCTGTAAATTTCAAAATGTATTGCGACCACAAAGCGAATACCAACATCCTACAACTTACACAATTTTATAAACATATAATAATTTTTTACTTCATAGGTACTTTTATAAATAATGTATATGTTTTGATATTATAAGATAGTATGATATAAGTAAATAGGTACTATCAGTGTATGTGTTGAGATCCACTTTCGTGGACCTTTTCATTTCATGGATCCCCAAATTTTTTTTTCGCTGACGTAGACCCCTTGCAGGTTGTCATAGACCCCTAGGGGTCGATATAGACCACTTTGGGAATCACTGGTCTAGAGTCTTTAAAAATCGGCTTGCTGTATTACTTTTGGAAAAATGTATTATTCAATAAATGATTATTTGCGTGAGACACTGTAGTTGATATAAATTTAATAACATATGAAATGATATGTGCGATACAAATAATATAAGAACTGACCATTTCATATGACTAATAATGTAAAATTCCCTTAAAGACAAATTTGCGCGCCATTCTGTGTGGCAGAATATGCGAACTTACGATTGTACCACCTTACACATTTTTGTACCATATTCTTGCAATACATTACTTTTATTATTATTAATAATAAATAAATAAATAAAATATTTAATTGATTTTCATATCACTAAACAGGTTTTCATAGTCGACTGGCAAAATTATTGAATAATTTTTGCAGAATCATAATAGTAACAAATCTTGCTAACACGAAATTTATGTTTCTTGTATGGTATTAATTATTTATTTATTCGTATAGTACGGAGACTAATACACAACGTTAACATTGTACACACGATGACCTAGATTGCGACATCTCACATCTAGAGTCAAAAATAATCGCCCAATTACACTTGCATGTGCATTCGGCCAGGTCAGTTAGGGGTGGCCAGGGCGGGCGGCTGGAGGGGCCTCCAGTGTCGGGGGGCAGCGTCAACGACCGCCATTCGCTCGTCTGCAATCGCGAGAGAACGTCCCATACGCTTTCCCCAATAATTGTGTTATTACGCGAGTGAAGTTCCTTAGTTTCGATACAAGCAGAGCAGTGTTAACGTGAACGTAATCGCCGTTTAATCGGATTACATATGTACTTGACTGGACGGACCTCCCCAGTGTGTTCTCGCATTCTCTTAGAATTTCTCTGGATTCCTCACATTATATCGACTCGTAAATCCACTTAAGCACGTGTGTCTGTGTCACGTTAACCCTCAGTGTCGTGACGGTTTAAAATAGTATTTTTTATATTTATGGACGCTTGACGCGTGAAATAGATTGAAGTTAGTTGTGAAAAGTGCTCATGTGTTAATAATGCGCTTGGAAAGATATTGACGGAATGAAGATTGAAGGGCTGTATTGAATTATGTGATAAAGCCCTTGGTTATGATGGTTAAGCTGGGTCTGGCGATGGTCGTGGGCGTAGCCCCCGTGCTGGTGTCCTGGTGGAGGTGCCAGGGTCCTTGGTTGCAACCTCTGTTGACTACATCACCATGTCTAGAGAAGCAGCCTAAACCATGGCCAGCGAGACGGTCCCCGTCTTTGTCTGATTGTCTGGAGAGCAGCGATGAAGATTCCGCTCGGTCTGTGGTCTGTCATGTTAGACCTAAATTGGTGAGTTTAATACGCATTATCTCTAATTGTTGCGTAATTGTAATGGTGTGCGAACATTGTGATATCTTGAGTCATCAAAACTAAATTTTTGCAAATACCAATTGTGTACAAGGCTCTCTAAAAAGTGTAGACATACTATTTGTTTCATCTACGCATAAAATGTTATTTTTTTTTAATAATTGCCTAGAGATGATTTTAAAGAACTTGAATAAAAAACTACGTGAAACCACGTTTCACTGGGAAAGTAGCGAATCATACCAGTTGCGGCCCATCGTACATTGAACATCTTTCGATTGCATCATATATTTTGCTTTAGTTGAGAACATTATATTTATTTACACTTTGTTTGCATTAAAATATAAAAATTTAACATAATTAAATGTAAAGGAGGGCAACTGGTGGCCTTATCGCTTTCGAGCGAGCAACCACTGTGAGAATTTTTTTAAATTAAATTAGCTAAGGTAAGCAAGAAGTGTAAAAATACATATTACATATAGTTATTTAGAAAAAAAAATTAAACAGGAACAAAAAACAAACTAAACTTAAAAGAATACATGAAAGCCCTTATATTATGTTAAGCTCGGCATTTTATTTGTTCAACGCTATATATATCTTCAATATTTACGTAATTACCGCGTAATATTTCCGTTTTAAAGTGTTAGCCGTTGTGCAATGATGCCAAAATTGCATTGAGTTACGGCCGCGTGTCCATAATGATCGTGACGTCATAGTGAGCGGTAAACGCGGAAGGAAGTCTTGTGTTAGTCACTTTGCAAATAATCTCTTGATTATACGGCTAGGTCCCACCAGAATTGGTTTTGTTTAGCGCCATCTATCGAACAAAAATTAAATCAGGTCCAACATTACTTTTATCTATACATTATCATATCAATCAATCAATCAAAATAAGTTTATTTAGTTTAGATGCGTCTTAGGGCATGCTTATGAATGTCAAAAACGTTTACAAAATTCGCGAAAGAGCAAGACTACGTCATCCGTTCGCAAAACTACCCGGAGGCCTTGTTCTGATAAGAACGGGCAAGAAACTCAGCAAGTTTTACCCTCCCTCTACATTACGATTATTCAAAGGAAAATATCATAAACCACAACGTCATTTAAGTTACATAAGTAAAAAAAATAAAAATTAATCCATTACACACATATTAGGCCGGGAAATATTGACACAAAATAGTGGGTATTTGTACCAGTATGGCGTCTTCAGGGGTCTTATTACGAAATGAAAAATAGAAAAATGACGGTCATGGATGGATGGCGCTGGTACCGGCGGCCCAAGCGCGTGGGCGTTAGTCGAACTCGTCGGATTAATTACGACTTTCAAAGGATTTGTTACACAAAAATTCTAGTATTTTCCGATAGTCCATAAAAAAATAAGAGGCGGCAGTGTCATGGCATACTTCTCCGATGTGACTTACAGCCCGCCATACCGACGCGAATGCGTTGATTTAAAAAAAATTCAATCATTTGTACCAGGCTAATTTTTCCACAGTTAAATAATCGCCATTTACGAAAATCACCATGCCATACTTTTCGGACTGTTCCAAATGTGCCAGAACGCCGAAAATCAGCAACTTTTTTTTGCCAAACGATTTGTAGGTAGTCATTAACTGTGTGGTAAGGTAAAGTAACCTTTAGCAATATAATATATAGTTATCTCATAAAACTTTTTTTTTATGAACAGGGGTAAACGGGCAGGAGGCTCACCTGATGTTAAGTGATACCGCCGCCCATGGGCACTCAATGCCAGAGGGCTAGCAAATGCCTTTTAAGAATTGGTACGCTCTTTTCTTGAAAGACCTTAAGTCGAATTGGTTCGGAAATACTTCAGTGGGCAGCTGGTTCCACATAGTGGTGTTGCGCGGCAGTAACTGCCTTAAGAAACGCTCTCTATTCTCTCTATTCAGTCTATTAAGTATGAGGGTGTGTAATTGTTTCATCAATTACTGTCTAACATTTGTAATATTAGCGCGTTTAATTCAAAAGGGCAATAAAGATAACAACAGAATGAGAGAAGACTAAAATTGGGACGGCTGATGAGAAACTTATACGAACGACGCGGTGTATCTCGTTCGTATAAGTTTCTCATGTAAAAAAATACATTTTTTGTAATAAAGTTCTTTAATTTTAAATATATATTAAGGGTAATAAGTAGGTACGTTATGACTTTCATTATTTATTAAACTGCATACTCAATGTAACATCCGGCTGCGTTTCACAATTTCGTATAATAAAATAATGGGACGAATTACGCCCACGAGTCGTAGCTAAGAAAGCGTATCCCACGTGCGCATTGCGTTGCGCGCACGCACAAAATGTCACGGTATTTACGTACGCGTGCTCGATCCCGTTGGCTGTACCCGGACAGTTAATCGGCCGATTTAGCCTTTTTGTTCGCTTGTTATCTCGTTTCTTCTGTCCACTACAGATTAGTGTTTTTGTTCGGTTTCTCGACAGTTGCGCTTTGTGTGTACAAGTTGTTAGCCGGACTACTTGTGAAAGGTAATATTGTATAATTTATTAAAACCGTACTGTATTTTACTGTGTTGGCCTAGTGGCTTAAGTGTGCGGCTCGCAACGATTAGGTCGTGCGTTCGAATCACGCACCAATGAAATTTTCTTTCTGTATTTGATTTAACACTCGGTCGGAAAACATCTTGATCCAACCGGCATGACTATGACACGAAAATGGACGGTGTGTCAGGCTCAGAAAGATATTTTGCTTATTAACGAAACAGATACACAAATCCCTATGAGCCCCAGACCTAAAAGGTTGTAGTGCTTACGACTTAGCGACTCCAGCTATTCAAAGTTTGAGTATACTCAAAGGCCGGCAACGCACTCACTAAAAATGGCTGCCATGGTCTGCGATGACTGCCCGTTATGGGCGTCCCGTTGCCCCCCCCCTATTATATATTTAAAAATTAAAAAAAAAAAAGTAAATATCATTTCTTTTTATTTGCGTAGAAACCTTTTAGACAAGGAAGTGCTTTGCAAAAACAATATGTAAATTTAATAAAAATGGATTTTCTGAATAATTCTCATTATAGACTAAATTTTAATATTTTTCCGGTGACTATTAAATTTAATGTGCAACTGCAATGTTGTTTAAACATTTAATTTTGACCTTGAACTTAGCGTGCACGACTTAAAACCAATTTCCTCCACTTATTTTACGAGCGTGTATTGCCTGTTTCTAATTGTATATTGTTATTTGAATTCAAAAAACTTGAAGGTCAAGTTTCTTTTGAAGACACATTTTGAATACCACTTATGGTATATATATAAAAATTTTAGAATGTGTTTTTTCACTTATGGGAAAAAAACACATTTTAAAACAACCTACCAAGCCTTCCCACCACGGTTGATCGCCGCGGGAAGATCAGACCACCGCCCTCTAACAAAAAAAATATATATCTAGAATCGCTCAATACCAGGACTTTAAAAACTCCTGGATCACTATCTAGGTGCCGTTCATGTATTACATAGGCAAATTTACTGAAATTTATCCCCCCCTCTTGTCAGCAAAAGTAAGCAAAACCCTCAAAAATAATAATACATAAACGTATTAAATTACGAATCCTCGAAAATACATTTCGTTTTCAAGCATGGACAACGTGTGGGTAATTAAAAAAGTAAATAATTACTGTTGACGTAATCACCAAATAAGAAAATCATAAACCCAAGCTATAGTGCTTACGTAATACTTGAACGACCCCTAGGCTACAACTGGAGAAGAGTCGCAAAGGATAGAGAATAGTGGAAGGGTCAGAGGAGGCCTTTGGCAAGAGGCACACCGAACTCTGAGATATACTGTAGTAAAGATCACAGGGTTTCGGAATATAAAGGCAATATTATTACTATTATAAATGATAAGAATCAGGGGTACGAGAGCGCGAAGTATGACTCCTGCTTGTTAAAATTCGATTCATTGTTGATGTACGGAAGTCAGACTTAGCACTGAGTATTGTTTCTGAATCTCCTTTTACTCAATGGTTTTATTTTTAAAAGAGGAAAGCATTAATTTATACTTAAAAAATGTTTTTTTAATAATCTAAGTTTTCCTTTTTATTTTCTTAACCATATCTGACGTAGTTATGTCTCTCTCTGCATCTTTTACCTAATATTTCGCGAGAGTGTTCAGAGGAGTGGTTCGGATTAATACCTGCAGCTGGGTTTGATCACCTGACGTGGAGGCAGAATACGAAGTACTATCCGTATCACCTCGGCGTCCGTCGTTCCACAACTAAGGGTTTTTAAGGCAGTTTTTGCCGCGCACCACCACTATGTGGAACCAGCTGCCCAATAAAGTATTTCTATTGGCCTCCTGCCCGTTTGCAGTTTTTATTATATAAAAAATAAAAGTCAAAAAAACTTAGGCAGTTCCTTATCTCAAATAAATAAGTTTAATACTTTCAAAATTTAACCAAATTATTATCAATAATGTAACCTTGATATCCTTGTTTGCGGACAACGTGATAGAGGCAGCCTTGGCTTGTTATTTCCTCTAAAATTAATAATATAATCTTGTTTGTATAGTTTCTGTTTACAGTCACAATTTTGTGTATACATGTTGACTATAATTTCCTTAAGTTTCATCGATCTTATTCATGATACACTCATCATTGATACACTAGCTGTTTGATGATTGAAAAATTCACAGTCACTCACTCACCTGGCTCTGTGACCCAAAAGTGTCTGGCCTCTGAAATGAGAATGTGCCAATTGCGGTCACCTGACCTAACCTAGTGGTCGGGGACCAGTAGATCTGCCTAGGTACTGCTGGGCAGAGTAGAGGAGGACCTGCAGCTAAAAGCCCTTGGTTTTGGCTTCAGGCTTTTGTATTTGTTTCGTTATCTAATAGGGATCAGCCTTCTGTGCCTGAAACGCCTAGAATTTTTGACTAAGACTTTGGTTTTCTTCACTATGTTTTCCTTCACCGTACGTACGTTCGACAGAAGATAGAAAATACAATCTCAGGGTTGGGCATCCCAATAGGCAAACACTGTTCATGGTTGTATGATTAAGAGTATATATTAATTATGTTTATGTTAAAACTTGAACCCGATTGAGTAAGTCACGGAGCATATAATGTATACCTAGTCTTCTATTGAGACAGTGGCCTGTAATTGTCCCTATCATTGAGATTAGTTCTGATATGATGAATGACGTATTTAACATAGATAAAGTAAGTTACGATTGCATTAACCTGATTTTTGTTAGTCCATTGCTCTCTCAAGAGAGTATTGCGAAGCTATCTTCATATTAAACCGCGTTATTTTGCAATTCCGGAATTGTGGCTACACTCATGGCGCGTAACAATAAATAGCCTATTAACTGTATAACTTATTAGGTGGGCTCAAAAGTTCGTAGGCTAACATAGATGTTTTTTTATAGAATTTATATTCAATATGTTGTCTTCGAGAGCAATATTACGATTACAGCAGTCATACAATTTATCGATACCATTTTTACGATTTGTCCTTTAGCCTCAGAATAGGCTTCAGTTTCACTTAAAATACTATATCTCACAAACAAAAAGTATCCAATTCATACACGTGTCTTTCGAAGGTTAGGGCTAACTAAAAATCTAAATAAATAAAACATTAATTTAATGCGAATAGCGCCATCTATGTGTTAGCCTAAGAACTTTTCAGCCCATCACTTAACAGGTGGGTTCATTTTAACGGGGAACGGGTTAATTTTTTTGTGCACATTAAGCACCACAAATATACAACAAGAATATCATGAATAGTTCAGAAAATTCCCGGTTATGATTCGATTGATCTCCCTATCGATTTTTATGCATTTTATTGTTATTTACGTTATGAATATAATATATTTGTGTTACACATAATTATAATCTTGTGTCATTTATATCTACACATCTTGTTGCTATATATGAGACGGTAATTACATAATTGTAGGTCGTTTCAATTCAAATTTGATATATAATTTTCCTAAGACAATTCCAAGGGTTTTTTTTTATGTAGAAGGAGGCCAACGGGCAGGAGGCTCGGCTGATATTAAGTGATACCGCCGCCCATGGACACTCTCAAAGTTGTCTTTGACAGCCTTTTAAGAATTGATACGCTCTTTTCTTGAAGGACCCTAAGTCGAATTGGTTTGAAAATTCTACAGTGGGTAGCTGGTTCCACAGCAATGCGCGGCAAAAACTGCCTTAAATAAACGCTCAGTTGTGGAACGACGGACATCAAGGTGATACGGGTGAAATTTTGTATTCTGCCTTGACGTCCGATGATGAAACTCATCTGCAGGTATTAATCCGAACAACTCCTATATTCAAAGTCTAGAGAGCCTCAAGTATTATCCTATATGTCGTATGTCATAAAGGTATTGGATTTTAAAATATAGCAGTCATAGTTCTCGACTATGAACCTATTTATTATTATATTTATATTCATAATGACACTTATTTCTAATGCGATGGCTGTCCGTGCCATGACAACATGTAACTAGTGATGCCAACTCCTACAGTATTTTCCCCCTGGGACCAACTTCAAATACGCCTAAATATGGATTAAAAACCCCTTAAAGCACTACTTCTAACTTTTTTGTTCCGTGCCCCACCTTAGCCTACCTATGTACTTGACTTGTATGACTTGTCCTCTTTCACCATGCCTCATGCTGATAGAGGACAAGTCTTTGTTTTTAATTTATTTTATTATTATTTATTACTCAAGATGTCATGTGGTACATGGTGTAATGGTTGCAGCTTCATACAAACGTTGTATAAAACAAAAAACTTGGCGATTAAAAAGAGTGGCGAAGAGTTTATTGCCAGTTCTTCTCTTCCGTTCTACGCCCTTGATTTGAAAACTGGCAGTAAATGTAAAATTAGAAGCATTTCATATTTCATTTTGTTTTGGCGTTTATATGTGTACATTGCGTTACCTATATAAATAAATGATTTTGACTTTGACTTTAAGAAAAAAAAAATCTTACATAAATATCCCCCTAACAAGCTCCCACGTCATTTTGATTCCCCCTAAATTTGGGGGAAAACTCCCAAGATGGCATCGCTGCACGTAACCTTCGTCCCTGGGGTGCAAATGAATCACCTATGTGCCAAATGGACGTCATGCGTAGACGATGAAAAACCTTGTCTATATGACGTCATGTCAAATGAAATCCTGTTTCCTTCCACGGCATGATTGAGTTACTAATGTTGATCTATTCGGTATTTAAATTAATGATAATACAGTTTTCGACGTGATCTATTTGATATATGAATATTTTAGTTTTAGTTAAATATTTGAACGTCCAAATATTTTACGTTAAGATTTGTAAAATTGATAAAAGGGGCCTACTATTTTTACGTCTTGTTAACCTGTTTGTATATTTGGAAATTAAATTTTACAAGAATCAAGTACGTAATTAAAATAATATAGGGGAAATCCTGGTTATCTGTAACAGTGACGTCATAACGCGATAAATTATATTTAAATATGTAACAAAAAAACGAGTTGCATTTTTACTGTCAAAGTGTTGAAGCCCCGTTTCTATATTATTGTCATAATTGCTAAGTTCAATATATTTTTCTATAAAAGAGCAGATTTTTCAAATCACCGACTGCTAGGGGATAAACGAATGGTAATTTTTATTATGGACCGAGCCTTAATCTACAGTAAGTAATTGTAACGGTGTGATTACGAAAGTGATAGTCGCGGTTTAACGACATGACGCGTATTCAGACAGTTGACGAACGACTCCGTAGACGCTACACGTGTGAACAGACCTTTTAAATAAAATAAAAAAATACGTCCTTTAAGCGGATTTTTACATTGTTTGTGCCTTGGACAAAATCCAGTAACAGGACTGCGTTTCATTCCCTCGTTTCATTAATGGACACAATAACAAACACGGTTTCTGTGTCGGGTTTATCGCTGAAAACCGCAAACAATGGCTATATCAAGAATCGATATAGTAATAAAAGTGGAATGTTGATTAGATAACAAATAAACTTATGTTTTATCGTGGCCTCGGTGCAGCGCAAAAGAAAATCGTCTGCAAATTGCGCCCATCCTTTCCAAGTGGCATGCATTGCAGCGTGATTGTTTGTACGGGGGAATGTGAAAACAGAGTGTAAATATTTAACGGAATGTGTGACAGTGTGTTCTCTTATCATGGGTAACAGAAGAGAGATGGCTACTCCTGAAAATACTGACGATGAAAGCGGTGAAGTCTTCACTGACGGTGACTTTGAGGACTCCGAAGATGAACCAGTTGAACGTGAAATTGATGCTAAAATTGCATCAATTCCTGTTATTGATACTGTTAATGTAACTATAAACAATGATGCGAATGAACTCGACGGAGATATTAAAAGTGTGGAGAGTGGTACTGATTGCGCTGTGCAAAGTGATGAAATAGTGGATGCGCGGGATTCTGATGAAGAAAATAATAATAGCCCATCTTTAATTGGCATTCTCGGAGATCAGCAAACTCATGTACGTACACTTTTGGTTTTCAACCTTCAAAGTTTCTATGCAACAATCGTAAAACCGTGCAGTTGACATTGAATCACCATATTCGTCGCTATTTTTTGAATCATGGCTTAGTCATCTTTTATATTACTTTGGGAATTAATTAAATCGTTATATATAAGTTTTCTTATCACATAAAGACATTATTCGAAGGTCAGGTAGTAAATAGTTTCGAATGTTTGCACTAATCATAAGCGGTCATTTACGTAATACTATAAAAACGTTCTTTAGTTATTGAGGCTAGGCGTATTCGTGTAATTTAAATGTCACGGTGTCAACTCTAAGTTTATACGTAACAAACGGCAGTAGAATACAGGTGTGAGAAGTGATGGTACCAATTTATTTTGACTGAAATGCGTGTAGTGAATATTTGAATTAAAAACCGATTTGCTAAACGAAATAGGTTCTATATTGTGTGCAGCCAGTATTTAAAAAAAACGAATGAGTTTTGACATGACCTAAGCGGAGACGAAGTATTTATAAATGCCAAGTTCATTACCAAATGTTCAATGTGTTAGTGCACATGTGTTTAAAACATTTTTGTTAATTTATATATGTGACCTTGGTTATTCGATATGTCATCGCCGGAGATAATCATACGAGTTATAGCTAGAGTTATACTATTGTATGTGAGTATTGTTAACTTAACTTATATCTTCATAAATATAGAAATCCCCCTTGACTATTTTTAACAAATTCATAATATTCTAGAATATTTCAATGTCTATGTATTTTTATCTCATTGTTACACTTGTCAACTGTCGGAAGTGTACTTGAAATTGTTATTGTTTGATTAAATAATGAGTAATTGTTAACTATAACATATTGACGTAACATAGTTAGCTGTTTAATCTAGTCGCGAGTCCCTCGTGGTGATGCTCACGACACTGCTGGTACCGTGTCCAGCTTGGAACATGGCGTCAGAGACTTTGACACATGGTTGGTTCATTTTATTTGGCTGCGTCCCATCAATGATTTTCTTTTCCCAGACATTAAGGACCAATCTTGTCGCCGAACTCCAAAAAAGTTCATTGTTTCTTTCCATTTTTCGTTATCGTTTCTTGAAATAGGGCGAATGGATAAAATATATGGTGGTTGATTAGTTTATGTATCCATTTTGAAAGATCGTTACACGATTTAAATAAGTCCAATAAAAATAAATCCGAACATAGCCAACTTTTGACACTTTGAATTAATTTTATGACGAAATGGTATATAGAACATGATTTTGTAATTTACACGATATATTTAAGCGCAAGCCAAGTAATCCATTTCAGAAAAAAAAATTATAAAATTACATTAATTTAATGTTTTACATAATTAATTGTTATTACGGGCCGCCGCGCCTCTATGCTCCAGCTCTCCACTGCGCCCCACAGTCCACCCCGAGACACTGACACAGCAATTAGTGCTGGGATAGGGTCTTAATACTACTTCCTCTACATGGGACAGCTGATTTGACCTTGGCTGTTCTAGTATTACTCAGATCCACCGCCAGAGCCACATAAAAGATTTTCATTAGGCTTGCTTGTTCCACATCCGTTTTATGACTAACGACAATTTCATGTGATTGCTTGTTATTTAGACCGTACAGGTACATGGATAATAACAAAATACACACTAATATCAGCAGTCTATAAGCAAAGGATAGGAGAATAATATCTAAGAACAGTCTTGGACTCAATAGGGACTTCAGCGTGCGACTCTCATCTCTGAAGTCAAAGTCAAAATCATTTATTCATATAGGTAACACAATGTAAACTTAAATGGTCCTAATTTTATTCTCAAATCAAGGACGTATAACGGAAGAGAAGAACTCACACCACTCTTTTTACACGCACATTCAATATAGTGAGAACAAAAGACAACAGCTCATGGTGAAACACGATTGAAATTCCGACCAATTTAAAAAAAAAACATCAACAATATATAGTTTAATTACAAATAAATCTGTAATATTTATATGCTTCTACAAAGAAATAAAAATAAAATCTATAAATGTACCAAGTAATTACGAGTTTTAAAAGAAATATCAACATAATACAGCAGTGTTGGCCTAGTGGCTTCAGCGTGCGACTCTCATACCTGAGGTCGTAGGTTCAATCCCCGGCTGTGCACCTATGGACTTTCTTTCTATGTGCACATTTAACATTCGCTCGAACGGTGAAGAAAAACATCGTGAGGAAACCGGCTTGCCTTAGACCCAAAAAGTTGACGGCAGTGTCAAGCAAAAAAGGCTGATTACCTACATGTCTGTTAGACATGTAGACATGACAAATGATCATAAAACAGATACAGAATTCTAAGGCCCAGACCTTTAAAGGTTGTAGCGTCCCTGATTTATTTTTACTTTATTGAGAACAATTTATCTATACATTTGATTCTCAAGACATTGGTATTATCAATAAATAAAGACTTGCTTGTTAAATAAAGACTATTAAACACTATATTTTATTTGTCCTACATACAACATGAAATTTCATTAACATAATAATTCAGTATTAGATTAAAATTTATTAAGACATTTACGACTTCTATTGAAATAACAAGTTACCCAAAAAGGCTCTTTTATTACTGCCATTTTTAGTTTCAAAGAGTTCAATGAATGGTAATTAGGCTTTTAAAAGTATTAAGTCCTTTGTTCATCAAGTATAATGTAAGTTTAGTAATGGTAAGGAATGACTAGACAATAGAGTTGGAAATGGCGTGTAGAGAATATTTAGAACAAAATTTTCATAGATAATGAAAGATATAATACAGAGTAGAGCAATGAAATGTTTTCTTTTTTAATTTAAAACGTTATTGAATTCTTTCAGATATTGCTATCTCGTATACTTACGTATACTTCAGACAGTCCATCTGTCTCTCTCTTTAGATCAGTGTTTCCCAACCTTTTCTGTGCCATGCCCAATCTTAGCCTTTCTAAAATTCTTATGACTATGTAATATACATTATATTATTGAATTAAGAAAGAAGTTTTGAGGAAGAAATGACTAATTGTTAACGAAACATATAAAGAAAAACTGAAATTAAAATAACAAAAAAAAAACGAATAGATAGCAATCAAATTTCCCCCCTGTGGGCGTAGGCCCTACGTTGGGAAACACTGCTCTTGATCAATATTAAAAACTCTTTTGATATTACAAAGATAGTTTGTAATTAAAAGTATTACAATTGACAAGTGACGTATGGAATCCCCTGTATCCTTATCAACTACCACTCTATATCTTCGTAATAGTAATGATAGATTTTATAAGAAAAACTAAGCAGCGCTTCGTGAGTGTATTTGGAACTAAGTGCTGAACAAATTGTATGGAAAATTGGATCCGTCAAAAATTTATAATACCATTGACTAGACGTTACTAGAGTTGGCTATGACTCCAGTATGTCTGAATCCAATACATTTTTGACGTCAGTCTCGTTTCGAAGTCTTACCCTTAGAGTACTGTTACATAGAATTTTTCTTGAACGTAATAGCCGGAAACTTGGCTATCATTAAACGTGTCATGTACGGCGCTGACCACTTAAGGATCTGACTGGTGACTTATTAATCTAAGAAGTAACGGTGCGTTACTATATGTAAGTAAAATAAAGGTAATATATGTTTATATGTCTAATTGGGGCGAAATTGGCATTGGAATTTTATAGGAAAAACACCTATTGTAAGTCAATCAAGGTTTATAATAATTTACCAAAAACATTAAAATATCTTCTTACTTGAGTTTTTAAAAATCGATTTAATGTACTATTTTTGAAAAAAAAAAAATCTATTAACGATTAGTTGCGTGAAACATTTTAATTAATATTAATTTGATAACGTAATAATATATTTTAATAGTGTTATGATGTAGTGATAAAATGATATAAGAATTGATTATAATGACGACTCAATGTAATTGTAACTTCTATTCTACCTTTTAAGATAAATTTGCACACCCTTACGTGTGGCAGAATATGCGAACTTTACATTGTACCACCATAACATTTTTGTACCATATTCTTGCAAATAAATTATTATTATTTTAGTTGATAGCATCGTTATAGTTCTTGATTCTTTACCCTAAAGTGCATGTGCGAAGTAGCCCCAGGCTGTGACAATTGATATTTTCTTATGTGTAGCTGACCCGGCGTACTTCATACCACCTAACAGTCAAAGAACCTCGCGTTACATATTAGGTGAGCTTAATTTATGATTATATTAAAGTAATACAATGAATACAAAATAAATATTATGTTCACTATCACCGATTTGCGATACTCAACGGTACAATGTGGTTTGATTTGTCGTATATTTAAATAGCACCATATATTTTCACAAAATAGATTTCAGAACGCACGCATAAATATTTGACAACCAATATATATATGTCAATCCCTTTTACGTTATTCTACATTTTTATAATCTAAAATACGCCAGTATCCGAATATTGTGGTGAGAGTTTACCGTATCGACGGGATGAACAATAAATGTTTGACAGTTATAAAACCTACATTTTGTACTAGATTTTTTTGCGTAATTTATTAGACGAAAACGAATACAAAATATCTAAAACCATGAAAATCGGTCCAACCGTTCTTGAGTTAATACGTGTTCGAACAAACCCTTGTTTTATATATTTTATTATCGTAAAATCTACATTGTGACAGGAACAGTAGGAGTACCTTCTACTAGAAATGATAAATGAATCACACAGAAATACATTTGCCCCATTAGAAGCTTACTAGGCTTTCGTATTACTTTTAATTCTAATGCTTTTTATCAGTGTGTAATACGGGATTACTTTGATTTTGATCAAATTTAATTTTAAGCGTAAAAACTGAACGACAGAAAATATATATATAAAAGTCACAACTCAAAATAACTTTATTCATATAGGTAACCAAGTACACTTATGAACGTCAACAGAAAAGATGTTAAATTGATTCTAAATTTACATTTACTACCAGTTCGCAAGTCAAGGGAGAAGAGCGGGCAAGAAACTCTCCGCCACTCTTTTTAATCGCCGAGTTTTGGGTCATACAAATTGTTTGAACTGGAGAAAATCAATCCCTAGGATTAGGATCATTTAAATAGTCGTCAAATTTAAAAAAGACTTTATTTATTAGTTTACGTTTAACGAGAGCTTTGAAGTTATTCAGTGATAATTATCTAACTTCGCTTTGGAGTTGTAGAAACGAATACAATTTCCATAATACATATAAGGATTGGTTTATGTTCTGGAGCCTGGTTGGTCGTACGTTTAGATTAGTTTTGTTTCGAGTATTATACTTGTGAAAGTCACCATTTGTTTTAATAATCGATCAAAATATAGTTATGTTATGTTTTAACAAGTGCCCAAGTTATTATTATCGATGAAATGTTAAAATGCACTTAGCGCCGTCATTACTACGTTATTGTTTCAAACATTAGATAACATTGTATACAAAATTGAATACAAAATTACCCGTATATCGAGTAAAATGAGCATTGCTACAAATTTTTGTATGATTCACGCCTTTTTTAAGGGATAGGCAGCAACGATTTCCACTGAATACGGTCCTGAAAAACCTCTCTTGCTTCATCCACTTTCATGGCATTCACCTTGCATGCTCGTTAGTTATGGGTACATTAGACCTGTACGAGCTGGATGTAGTCCACAACGTACAAGGCCTTCCCGACCTGACCTCACCATTCAAGGCGCTACAACCTTCTTAGGTCTGGGCCTCAGATTTCTGTATCTGTTTCATGATAATTTGTTAATTTAATAGGTGATCAGCCTCCTGTGCCTGTCACACGCCGTTGACTTTTGTTTCTAAGGCAAGCCAGTATCCTCATGATGTTTACCTTCACCGTTCGAGTGTATGTTAAATTTACACATAGAAGAAAGTCCGAAGCCACTGGTGGTGCACAGTCGGGGATCGAACCTACGACCTCGGGTGAGAGTCGCTGGTGAAGCCACTAGGCCAATACTTCTCTCAGTCCTCGTTTATTCTAGACTTAAATATATGTCCGTTCCTTTATAACTCTTACAGGAATTTAGTAGTCGATTCAATCAAGCGAAATATAAAACGGTCTAGACTAGGTGGCTCCCCTAGATTTAATCACAATGACTCAGAACTTCCCACTTATATGTGAAGCTATGATATGGTATATTTGTGATATATTTAATATTCTATATGTGAGATTAATTTATTCTAAATACAATAATCTACGCCTATTTTATGCGAATTTTTTCTTTGCCTTTTTTTAATTGGTATCTGTATCAATAAAATCTTTGGGATGCATAAGACCCAAAACTGACCTCAAGTGTTGAGAGACGTGACTGTTCTGCTCCAAGTCATAAAGGCCCATATAAAGTGTTCTCCAGCTGTACTTTGAGGTCAATAGTATGTAAAGTATTTGATATAAAAAATGTAGAACTAGACAATACAAACGATGCTTAGTAACTGTAGCTTTTGCCAGAATATCAATAATATTAAAGCAATTCAACCCAGTACCAGCTCCTTCCATTTAATCACATCCAGCGCAGGGTGGCTCGAATCGGCTTTGCGTAGAGATTTTTGTTTCCTCAGCATCTTCTACCGCATTTATCATGTGTACTGCTCTGAATAATTGTTCGGACTAATACCCGCGGCTGAATGCCATCATCGGCGGTCGAGGCAGAATGCAAAATTCCATCCTTGCCATCACGACGCCTGGCACAACACTGCGCTATTTACGGCAATTTCTGCCACCTCTTTGTGGAACCAGCTGCCAGTAGAGGTATTTCCGATACGATACGACTTAGGGGCCAAGAAAAGAGCGTACTATAACACCCCTGGCGTTGCAGGTGTCCATGGGCGGCGGTTATAACTTTATATAGCCTGCTTGTTTGTGTCCTGTCCGATTAATAAAACTATTTTGCACCCAAAGATTCGTAGAACTGGATAATGAAAGTGTTTTACATCCATTGCACTCCCTTTCTCCCGCATAAGCAATACCTACACCCCTATGACGCAACAGCATATAAAAGGAAGCGTACAACACACATCGACAGCTTTGATCGGATATCTCATGTCGAACCAATCCAATCCTCAAATGAGTAATAAGTCAAAAATGTATATTATTGATTGTGCACCTTATATTGTAATAGTTTGATTAAAGTAATTTAAATATATTTTGTTTTTTGTTGGGATTCACCGCTGGCCCTCACTTAATATGTTAGTAAACACTTTGGTTACGAACTAGCGTGTATCTTCCAGCGCCCCTGGTGCAGCTTTCATTTCTTTTGCCGTCGTAGAGCTGGACGCCTTCTTCCTGTTACTACCTTTAAAAGTCCCAACTAGCTCCAAGTTTATATAAACATAATAGGTATTGCTAATGTTTATAAATATCAATATATAAACAGCTCGTTGGTGTAGGTCGTTGTTGATTCATCGAAGCATTTGTATGGAAAGCAATAAAGGCTGGCCAGTCAATCAGTTCACTCGTACCGTAGAGGATTGGCATAAGTATGAGTTATGTGGGTACGTTGCATTAATAATTTTATATAGTTTTCTTTAGACTTTCACCTCTAATTTGGTTGACCTCGTAATATGAAAATAGTAATTTTAAGAAAATTATTTGAGATTTTTTTTCTTTCAATTAAATTAACTCTTTTCTATCAACGTGTTGTGACCAATATAACTTGGCCAAGATTTAGTATAACTCCTGTTGCTGTATTACGTTTTTGACAACATTGTCATCCCTTATTTATTTCTAAGGTTCAAAATATATAAAATCAACAGAATCTTCCAAATTCCGTCTGTAAAAAGCAACTCAGGATTTTAGGCTCCTCTCATTCGAATACAAGTGAATCAATGCTTTTTATTCAGAACTTGATAAATTTGTACATTTTATCATAACTCTAATTGTCATGTAAAGAATAAATAGATTGTAACTTATACGAGGAAATGTATTATATTTAATAAATAAATAGACATATGTATAGGAGTCGTACTTAGCATTAAGGGAAAGATTAAAGATTCAGAAACGTCACGTGTATGTCAAAATCCAAAACTTTTTGACGTACGTGACAGTTCGCAGTAAGTCTCGGCTGTGGATCTTATCCTTAAAGTAGGACGTAGACAGTACCGAGTTCTAAAAATAAAATTATGACTCGAAGTCAACGCAATGTTTTATGTAATGGAAAAGTTGTTTTCAATTTTATTGGAGCCATACAAATTTACGATAACAATAATTTGTCTCGAAGACATAAAACTCTCATTTGGTAAAACAGAATACTTTTGTTACAACGTTTTCACTGAATTAATTTATCGCAATACAGCGAGGAAATGCTGCCAGCATTAGAGGTACACTGCCACTGGGACCATACTTTATAAATTTGTTTTAATTTTCTATTTATCCATTTTTAATTATTATTTTTACTATGTAGATTAATAATATTGTATATTATTGTGTTGGAACAGACAATAAGTTAATTTCTAAATAGAAATTGTCATTGTAAACTTGGATATGAATAACAAAATTTCTCGCTTTTTTCCAATAATACTGATTTAATTATTACGTATGCTATGTTTAAAAAAATATCAAGAGTCTGCAATTTATAGTTATTTGCATATATTTGTGTTGTCAAATCAAATTTTAGGTGTACATTATTGAAAATTTCGCCCAAAGACAATAGCTAGTGTAACTTGACAACGCATTGGCTGATATCAGTACATTTATTCAGGACGTTCTGAATTTTATCTTTATTTTTTATTTAATCTTGTTTCGATAAAGATGTATGAAATAAATATTAAACGCAATTTTCCAAATGCACTTGAGAAATCGCAACACTGAGTGCGGCGATTGAATGTTCATGCGTCTTTTGGTCCTATGCAGTCCTCCAGGAAGTGAGTTCCAAACTGCCCAGATGATGTCTCCAAACTACTAGCAATGATTTAATTTCTCTTAATTATGATATTTCAGGCTGAACAGCGACTGGCGGCGCGACGGGCTGCGAGGGCGGAGGCACGCGAGATACGCATGAGGGAATTGGAGAGACAGCAGAGAGAACAGGAGGACCATGCTGATAAAGCTTACGACATGTATGCAGGTAAACATATTTTTTTTATCGTTTAACTGCGCTGTTTAATATGCTATTCAATTACCAACATACATAAGTTTTAAGGTACAATCATTAAACTGTGGTACCCACGATTTATTAGAAGTATATATAATACTAGCTGATCCGGCAAACGTCGTTTTGCCATGTATATCATTTATAAGGGGATTGTATGTATTTTTTAATGCTGTATCATAAAAAAATAAAAACAGAAAAAAATAAAATAAAAATATTTAGGGGTGGACTACCCTTAACATTTAGGGGGATGAAAAATAGATGATGTCCGATTCTCAGACATACCCAATAAGCACACAAAATTTCATGAGAATCAGTCGAGCCGTTTCGGAGGACATAAAGATTCAGACGGACATATAATATTTAACCACATATTATATATAAATAGGTTTTGGATTCTGATAGTAACATAAATAAGTAAATAAAACCTGCCTCTGACTGAATGTCGAATTTTTACATTAAATAAATAAAAACAAAATAATTAGGCTAGATTTGTAAATGACAGCAATGTAAGAACTTGTTTTATAGAAACGTATAATTGAAGTAATTTCAAGTTAATTATAAGTAAACCGTTGAAACTATTGCAGATATGCCACATTTTAAATGGCAATTAAAATGCGGCGATACAATTCGATAGCTATTAACATTACGTTTTGATAATTAAATTCTTTGAAATTAATGAAAAGAACGTAATTAATGTCTTCTGTGGTTGTATTACCGTGTAATGGGGCAGAAGATTTTTAATTTTATCAGAATTTATGTAGAATTACGAGAATTCAAAGTAATTCAAAACATAAAAGGTATTTTCTACAAAGTTTTCTCCAATATCGATCCATGTAATTAATTACTGATTTAGGGAATCATAGGTGTAACTTCCGAAGTTCTTTAAATTGAAAAGATTCGTAATCGAGATATGCCCCGTGCATACAGTATGAGTTATGACTCCTGTAATAGTGGATTGGAAGAGGCTATTTGACATTACGAAAAATAAAGTGTTATTAAGTTTTATCTGTACAAAACTAGGCTTGAGACTTAACTCAAAACGGTGGCAGATTAGTCGAATCAACGATGACGTGAATAATATGTCTTCGCCTATCTATTTTGGAGAATGCTTTTATCGAAATATAATATAGATATATATATGTGTGTGTGTGTGCAGTGGCGGATTTACCAGCAGGTTGAGCAGGCTGGAGCCTAGGACGGCAGATTTTTAGGGCAACAAATTTGGAAACCAATTTATTGCTACCTCATAGAAATCAATAAGATTTCTGCATGACGGTTTTCTGATGTTTTACAGATTTTGCCCTACCCATCCCCAGGGCGACGCCATCTTGTCTAGAGAAGCGTTTTGGCGGGTTCTTGTAATTATAAATATTTAATTTGAAGTCTAATACTTAACAGAATTAAATTATTGCCAAATAGCCTATTATATTCACAGTCTAGACTTCAGTCAGTCTAGGTTTCTTCAAGTGGCATGTACCCAATTGGCTCAGCTTAAGTCATAATCGCGAAGATATTGGTCATTCAACGCGAGTTTTATGATCCGTTACGACGCTTCTTAAACATTTATTTTGGTTGCAATATATAGAAGTTGCTTGAAGTTTACGAAATTAACATTTTAATTATATTGCATTGCAGACATACGTGTCATATTTGTATGTGTATATTAGTATTTGTATGTTATTTATTAAAATTGTGGAAGAAGGAAGTGCGTTTCCTTCAACTTATAGGGACCCTTGATCAGTCTAGCCGGCCCAAAGGCCCGAGTGGCTAAGGCCGAGAATTTGTTTATATCCTTAGCAGCCGGAATAACTGCGTTCCTGGGTATCGGATTGATTTGTAAGCGCAGACTGTAGGTGTCGCTATAAACTCATAAAACTTCCTTTTTTTTTCTTTTTACAGGTAGTAGATATAAACTTGATTTCATTTATGAATTGTAATTGTGATCTTTTATAAGAGTCAATTCACGGTTTTTTTTAATCATACATTATTTTTGGTTCATTACTCCAGTTCCCTTCGCATAGATCCAACATTTTGGACTCCTCTTTCACCTGACTTTATTTAGATAATTAATTTGATAGATTCGTCTAATTGACAGTATTATTCCGATGGTTATTATTATATTATATATACGTGTGTATGAAGTACACGGTTGTACTTTAATTATGCATATTATTGTTTATGTTATAGAAACTGTGGGACGTCGTGGTGCAACCAGACTAGCGTCCCTCAGTCCGGCGGGACTGCACTCGCCGAGGCGGAGTTCGGAGGATTCTGACGAAGTACTCAGTATTAAGGATCTGAGGGTATGTATGACAAGTTATATATAGTATGAAGTAGTTCTTCAGTATATCAAATGAGTTTGATCTCACACATTCCCGCTTCGTAGTTAGCTTTACTAGCGAACTGTGAATCTAATAGTTATAATGTTATAGTGTATATTATCTCAATGGCCTTAGTATATAAGTTAGTTATTTAAATATAGTCGACGTCCTGGTGGACAGAAAAACTGTGTCCAGCTTGTGTTTCCACCACAACAACTTCTTTTCTATTTAAGATTATGATATACTATAAATAAATAAAAAAAATAAAAAATCAATTTTTTTAACAAAAAAAAGTTCCTTCACTCAAATTACTATATTTCACAAACAAATAATACGACAGTTGTCAAATTTATACACGTGTCTTTTGAAGGTTAGGACTAACTAAAAATCTTATTAATTTCATACTAGTAGCCATCTATATGTTAGCCTACGAACTTTAGCCCACTTAATACACATTTGTATAACATCTCCACGTTGGGTTCTGGCGAAATAATTATTAGCACAGAATGCTCATTGCCTTGAAATAATGAGTGATTTTTTTATTTATATTTTGATTTCAGTACGAATTAAAAGAGGTAGAGGAAAAATTTCGCAAAGCGATGATATTGAACGCTCAGTTGGACAATGACAAAGCGGCGCTGGGATATCAGCTGGAGCTGCTCAAAGATAGAATAGAAGAATTGCAAGAAGAGTACGCGCAGTTACAGGTATTTTTTTTTGAAGTTATACTTCTTTAGGCGCGTTATGAAAAATTGATGAGAGTGAAATTTTACGATGCGCGCGCACCGTGACACAAAATTAACAGAATGAAGTTGCCCACGGAAGATGCTACGGCATTGGACATAATTTAAAAACAACATTCGAATAATAATAGAATTTATGTTACACTTAATGTAAGAGAATAATAATAAATATTTATTTATTTAATTTTTCAAATATAAACTGAACTTTATTGACTATAATGACTCCTTTTCCAGTCTTTGATTATTTATTTGTAATTAATTATTTGCATGCAATCAAAAACTATTTTTAATAATGCCAAAGAAGTATAACTTCTTACGCGCGTACATAAGTACACGCACCCTTTTTTTTTTAAATAAGGTACAGCGCCCCTAGTGGTTAGGTGCAGAACTAAAAGTTTGCATATAGTCATTTGACATGTACGCTAGCATTAAAAAAAATCTTTTAAAGAAAACACTTTTTTAACGGATTAAATTGATTGTTTTCTTTAAATGTGTAAAAGTTATGTTAATAAAAGACAATACTAAAAAATCTTCTGTCAAACGCATGGTCACTGTTATACAAAGAAAACCAATGACATTCCAGCGCGAACACAAAGAGAAATGCTCAGCCCACGAGCGTCTAAAGCGCGATCACGCTACCCTCGAACGCGAGTTGACATGTGCGCGCGACGCCGTACGAGCACGAGACGCGGCCGTGGAGGGTGCGGGCTTCACGTTCGTGGAGTCAGGGGATGCGCAGGCGCAGGGCTTTGGTGCTGTGCCCCCTTTGGCCCTTGTCTCGCATCACTCGCACGCCTTGCTCGAGGACGGAGGAGAGGGCACGCTCGGTGAGTCTTCATAGCTTTTGTTAATGTTTGCACTTTTAACCGACTTAAAGTACAAGATTATAAATCATTTCAGATTATGTATTAGTGACTTGTTATTATTGGCTTGAAAACTCAAATAAATCATTCTTAATTTAAAGAACCAGCCAAAATAATGTTTAAAGAACTTTATTTATCTTTACAAAAAGAATGTATTTTATTTACATGAGAAACTTATGTATATATATACGAACGAGATACACGTCGCCATCAGCCGTCCCAATTTTAGTCTGATATGTATCTTTAATGCCCTTTTGAATTGGTTAAACGCGCGAATATTGCGAATTTTAGACGGTAATTTATTAAATAATTGCACACCCTCATACTTAACACACTTCTTCAAATAATTTGTACGCGGCTTCGGCAAGATAAGCAAACTCGCTCGACGAGTATTGCGTGTAGAAATTCTGGTCATGACGAACCATGCCTTTAAACACGTCGACAAACATCAACTTTTTACGTGTTAATTATATTATCATTCTTAAATTACACAAATATACTTATTATAATATGTTGACCAAAATCAGTCTCCAACGAAATTAAACAATAAGCATTAAGATAAGACAGGCAAAGACAAAAAAAAAAAAAAAAAAAAACCAAAAAGGGAGAACCAAACCCCTCTGGGGGCAAGTGATCAAATCCCAAAAAGCGGGGAAAAAAAAAAAAAAAAAAAAAAAAAAAAAAAAAAAAAAAAAAAAAGGGGGGGGAATAACGGGGCGCGGGGAAAAAAAATTCTCTTGGGAAAAAAAAAAAAAGGTTTTGGGTGGCAAGAAAAAAATTAATTACAATTAAATAATCAAAGACTGGAAAAGGAGTCATTAAAGTCAATAAAGTTCAGTTTACATTTGAAAAATTAATTAAATAAATATTTATTATTATTCTCTTACATTAAACAAATAAAACACTATTTATCTTTAAAACATTTTTATTTCATTATACTATTTATTTTTAAGTGACTCTAATGTCTTCATCAGAATTCGGTTTGTAATTTTAAATTAATCATTACTTGGTTGTGCATAGAGGCTCTCCAAACATTGTTTCTGCAAGCAAATAGCCAATCATTAGGTTAAATTTTTTTTCTCGTTGAGTTGAAAATTGTGGGAATATAATTTTTTTAATAATAAGTTTTATAAAACAATTAAAATAAAATAATTATATATAGTTCGTATGTGTTGAATAATAGACATGCTACAGACCAAGAAACAACAACTTTCTGTGACCAGTTTTGATGTCATGTATCTGATTTCTAGAGTACCTGGCCCCCTTCTATTTCATGAAAGAATATAACGAAAAAGCATGCGGCATATTAAAAAAAATTTATAAAATACCCCCCCAAGGGGCCGCCCCCCCCCCCCCACCAAAAACACCACACACAAAAAAAAAAAAAAAAAAAAAAAAAGAGAAAAAAAAAAAAAAAAAAAAAAAAAAAAAACCCCCCCCAAAAAAAGAAAAAAAAAAAAAGGGCGGGGGGAGAAGACAAGGGGCGGGAACAAAAAAAAAGGGGGGGGGGGGGGGGAGAAGGGGGGGGGGGGGGGCCCCCCCCCCCAAACTTTTTTTTTTGAGGGGGGGGTTTCCCCCCCCCCCCCCCCCCCCCCCCCCCAAACCCCCCCCCCAATTTTGGGGGGGGGGGGCGCGCCCAAAAAAAAAAACCCCCCCCCAAAATTTTTAAAAAGCCCCAAAAAAGAACAACCCCAAAAAAATAGTATGGTATCCCTAAAAGTTTGATATATTTTATGGATTAAACTTACTTGATACTTTATTTTATTTTATTATTTTTTACATTGATAGCAACTGTATTTCTATGAAATTAAATACTATACGTATTCAGTCTTTTACTATTGATACTCAAAATGACTAGCATTGCATAGATAACTAAAACTATATTTATTATAAAACACAACTTTATTCGGAATAATCAAATTCTGCGAAAGAAACGAAATATTCTATCAAATAAAAAAAAGTTTAGGCTATTATACCTGTTAACTATTCGGAAAAAATATATAATAGAAATAAAAATGAGTAATTGTATGAAGTATCAAGACAATAAATCATACTAACCTAAGAAATTCAATGACATTCTGTGTTGCCATCTGAAAGTTTTCAAATAATTCAATTACATATCTTCTTTCATTAGCCAGACTCTAGATATTTTAAATTTTTATAATAAATATTGTAATTTTCAGATGTCCGGTTGCAAAACCTCGTGAGCTCCAAGCAGGCCTTGGAGTCGGAAGTGCGGAAACTGAAATTACAACTGAACGAAGAACGCGCGGCTAGACAAAATGGCGTCGCCTCACACCACGACTTGGATTATGAGAATGAATGTGAGAATTTTTATTTATTTAAACTCACATATAAGTGAAATACAAATGGCGGCCTCATCGCTAACATTGATATAACAGCAATTCTAGTAAGGAAAAACAACTAAAAAAGAAATACTAAGGGTAAAGTGCATATTGCATAACCAATTTTATATGAATTATATTTATAGAATATAAGCGAAATAATGAAAATGTTAATTGCTATGTAACGAATGAATGCAATGTAATAGTCGAAGAGAGTGCCTACATCTGGCTATACTCTCGGGGCGTAACTCCGCCGATTTAGGAAATCGCCACGCTTATAAAACTAAGAAAGCCTGAGTGACCAAAATGTACAGCCTTGGCTCGTACAATACAATTACCAAACTTAATCTAAAATAAATTTAAAAAAAAACTAAAGCTAATCTTACGGTTTATGAATTACAATTCAAATGCAAATCGAAAATACTCAGATAAGAGTAAAATTAGGACACAGCTCAGTACCGATAATATCATTTATTGTTTCCAAATATGTAGTTTAATTCTTTTTATAGCTTGTAGGAAGCCTTCACAATGTATTTCGTTTTCAAACATAGACAATATGTGGGTAAATCTGTAAAAAAGTAAATAATTACTGTTGATGTAATCACCAAATAAGAGAATCAAAAAAATCCTCCTTGAACGGCCCCATTCCCTATAACGGGCCCGTTCAAGTATTACGGCACCGCTTTTCATATTTTTGTATGTATGTCAATTTGTATTATGTGTTTGTGGTCCAAATAAAAAAATAGTAACAAAAAAAACATGAATTACAAAAGTCTCTATTGAGCAAGATATGGTTAACAGAAGACTTAAAGGAATTAAGAGGAAGAAAATCTTATCATGGACCAATAAAGACGTCATTATAAAAAATAGCCACGTAATTCTGTTTTGGTAATACTTGAGTACTTAAAAATCTAAAAACGTATTTTAATAAAAGGTGTTTTCTGATTTTTTTCAGTGGAAACTCTAAGGAAATCAATTTCGGAAGCGAAAGGGCGGGCGGCACGAGCGGAAGCGGAAGCGGCGTTACAAGCGGGCGCAGTGGCGAGACTCGAAGCCCAGGTTCAGAGGCTCAGGGCTCGGCAGGACCATCAGGACGAGCACGAGGAGATGCTTAAGCAGGAGAGGAGGAAGCTGCAGAGAGAGGTAACGATGGGCTCATCTCTATTGACCATGCAGTTATAGATATATAAAAAGTTTATATTCAGATAACATTCTATCAATCTATTGAAGACGAATCTATGTTGACCAAGTGCCTATTAGAAAAAACAAATGATCGCGAACCAGATACAGAAATATGAGTATAGACGATATTTGATGCTTATTTTAAAATTTGTTGAAAAATTGTCTAAAAATAAATGAATAAACTTTTTTTTAAAAGAAATTGTAAATATATTACATTACACTGGCAACATTGGTGTGGACTGATTAAATTGTTATTGGACATTATTTTTTCATAGACAATAGATCTTTCAAGATGGCGGATCTAGGAGACAAATAATATATATTTATTTTACAGGATGTGGTTGATTTCTGGGCCGTTATCAATAATGGTGACTGTTAACGGTACTTAGTTATTTAAACCCGGTGTGGTCCAGTTTGAACTTTTAACTCTTAAACGCATGGTTACCGTTGCGAACCTGTTTTTTTTTAATTTAGGTATTTTACAAGATCATTTGTACAATACAGCATTATTTTGGTAGTTTATAATATCTAATTTGTATTTAATTATTTTATTGATTAACTTCTAAGTTTCAAGGCAATTTATTTCCAATATTACAAATAAAGTACAATTAAGTACATAAATTATACTAGCGAATATAGATATTTGTGTCCATAAAATGGCAAAAAGGTTAGACATTAAAAATGATATATTTTTTAATTACCAAAATGGTAGTCAGTAAACTAACTTCAACTTATAGAATTTATAACTGTTAAAATAATAATGTAAATAATAATTTTCAAATTAAAGTAATCCCTCCTGATAATCTGCTTGTACGATAATATAGTTTAATAATTATCTAACATGTAAAAATAAAAAAAACCGAACTATTTATAAAAGATTGTATAGAAAAACGACGGGTTGCACTCCGGAGTGCTGGCAGAAGTGAAGACTTGAATATTAACATTGTGCATTTTTGATATTTTGGAATGGTTAGGGAATCATTTTGCACGAATCGCTTTAATTATCAGTAATATTTATTTATTGCGCTATCGTAAACACACATGACAATTTATATATTAAATTCGCCGCGCCAACTGTCTACTCTCCATCCGTCGTCAGTCAGACCAAATCGTTAATAATAAAGCTTTAGACGTTTCGCAAAATTAAACCTTGATGTATTGACTTAAGGTCCAATTCCACATGCATCAATGTATCTGAAGAAAGAGACAAATGAATCAAAACCGTAACTGTATAGCGCGAAGGTTCATAATCCTTTAGAAAAACATCCGTGTTACGAATTTGTCCTGAAGCGAGTTTAACATTTTTTACCCATTCCAAAAAAAGTGTACAACACCGCTAAAGAAGTTTTCACTTCAAAAATGTAAAATATTTTTTTGGAAATTCTTTTTTTCTAAATAGTTGTTTTATACAGTTTTTTTTCCTTTATAGGCACGTGAAGCACTCAACCGAGTTGAAGAATTGGAGACAGAAAACAGTCATCTCACAAAACGGCTAGACAAACTGAAGAATGCTAAGTCAGCACTACTCAAGGAGCTGTGATGATGGCTACACCCACCATATAGTAACTATACCATTGTAATAGTGTAACTACCGTGTGTTATATGTATATTATATGTATATTATATATTATTGTAGTGACACTAGTGTCACTACAATAATAGTGTAACTACCAGATTTTGAGAATTTGATTGGAGCCTACTTTTCTCTTTACTTTATTCAATTTACTGACCTGAAATTATTAAACAATTTAAGATATAAGTATAGTATGATGAACACTTTTCACATACAAACACACAGATGTGAGATGTTTGTTAAGCATTTTATAAAAGTAAGCATCATTGTAAACTTTCTTATGTTTTAGTTGATTTTTCAACTATATTTCAAATTTCACACAATATACATAGTTAATTATTGATTGTTTAAAATTAAAATATATATATAGCATTTGTATAGAAGAAGTTTAATTTTTCATAAAAAACTAATAAGCTGAAAACGATGATCTGTCTCATTTCATCACAGCGTAGATACAATTTGACGGAAAGAGACAAGACTATTTCAGTCAAAATTGTGAAATAACATTGAGTTTTACAAAGAGAGGGATTGTAAATACCATTTTCTGCGTAAGTTAGATGGCGGTAAAAAAGGAACTAATTTTGACAATTGTTAATTGTCAAAGCTTTGCCCTGGAAGCATTGTTTCAAACAAAAATACCTTTTAAAAATTATTACATTAAAATATCACGTTATTGGGATTTCTAAGGAAGTTTTGCAGAAAAAAGAATTGGAAGACCTGTTTCTATACAAAACAAATTGTAACACCTGATTTTGACATACAGGAGTCCTAGCCCCGTTTTTAAATCTTACCTATAGACTATACGAGGCGCCAACACTAGGACGCCTGGCACTTGACAGTCTGTACTTTCGTGGGTAGAAATTGTATTGCATTTATAACATTTTTAATTTCAATAATCTGTTAAAAAAAATATGTGTTGTTTTCGAATGTTAATAAAATGTGACAATTGTATCAAGCATTTTTTTTAAACTGTATTTTTTTTGGCAAGAGCAATCAATAGGTTTGTTGACGTTTGGAGCATTTTCGTATTTCTATTAAAATCCATTACCAAATCAGAAAACAATAAAAAAATTGTGTATCCATTTTTTCTTAAAATAAATATAATTAAAGACTGCAATCACTCCTCCGCTTTGTGAATGTCAACTGGCCTAGTATTGACTGGACTATCAAATAAATACACAGAAATGATGTGTTGGGCGACTTTATAAAGACGTAGTAATTACCCAATAATTTGGATTGAGATATGATAATGTAAACCCTGTTATTTTCAGGTGTGTATATTTCATTTTGTAAATATTTTAAAACTTTATAAATGTTACATTAGATGAAATATTCAATATAATTCCTATTTTTGTATTTTTACTAAGAAAAACAAAATTCTTAGGTATTCCAAAATACATCATTTCAAAACCTAGTCTTGAAATTGATATTTTGAGACTTATTTTAGGGTATTATAGCCTTCCCATTTCAAGATATGTTGTCTGGAGACTATGGTATGGAAAATGTCAACTAATGTAACATTCAAGCATAAGCCATATTTTTTTTAAAGTCGACCATAGATGTAGATATTTTAACAGACTGTATGTAACCCTTTTAGTTTTTAAAATTTATTGTAAATTTGAATGATTTGTAACATAATAAATGTGTATAACTTTAGTTTTTATGTGTCATTATTTATTTTATATAATGAACTTGGCTGGTCACCGGGTGGTATATTAAAACAAGATATTTTTTTAATTTTTGTCACAACTTGAGTATTACCCGAATTATTTGACCGAGTGTATGAAAAGCACCAAACTTAATAGTTCTTGTAAAGTTTCATTGCGAAATTAAGAATTCAAGTCAAAAAATAGTTTCGTAAATTTCTTTAAACTAAATAATTTGTATATATTGTTTAAAATACATATTTAGCAAATAATAAATATATAATGGTTAAGTTGTTAGTGAGTTAAATTCACACTGCAATGTCGTATTTTACAGAGAACCATGAAGTTAGGTGTTGTAGGTTAGTCTAATTTGTATATTGCTTGCCCAAAATTCGCTTTTCTAATATTTCCTTGCCATGATGCAATCGCTTGATTTTTTGCGATATAAAATATTTTGAATTTAGTTGCAAATACGGCTTTAAAACGTTGACTAATGTTCCGTGTTTGTTGCCATTGTTGTGATGTAGTTTCCATAATAGAGGTAACCATGACAACCGACACAGTACTACAGTCCATGTTTTATAAAGTCAATATTGGATTAATATTTGTTTTAAAAAGTATTTTTATTATGTTTGAAGCAGAATTGTAATTGGTTCCCATCTAAAATTTTTTTATATAAATACACTATTACAATAATTTGTTAAAAGTGTTAGTAACGTATTGAATCGAGTGCTTTAAAAAGAATTTCTAGTAATTTGCTCAAAATTATCGCTGTGTCGTCGAGATAGATCTCTTCGCTTCAGTATTGTTTGAGGAATTTAACTAATTAGGTTTCCTGGAAGTTACCACTTATTAATTAATTTAATGTTTTTTTATAAATATCTGGTTTTACGATTTAATGAATTTAAATCGATATTTTACATGTTAAATTATAATTTTAAATGACAAAACGAAAGTATACTTGCACTATAATTGTCTCATGCATTTTACATACCGTGTCAGCGATTTTTTACTAAACTATAACTGCTGCTTGCACCAAAATGTATAGCCTAGCTAGACTGTTTTAGAAAATGGAGTTATCCTTATTGACGTGTCATGTATGTGAATAGTTAGGTAACTGGCCTGTCTTGTACTTTTAATAGACATTAATATTGATACCATAAACAGTACTAATAAAATGCTAATTAAAAATGATATTTAGTTTGGTTCTTACTTGGATACATTTAAACAATAGGTAAAGAGCATATAATGTAGAAAGTAAGTAGACATTTTGTAAGAATTGGTGTATGTATTTTGGTGCTGCATTACTAATTTATTTGATTTTATAAAACCTACACATTTTGTATGAAGCGAATGTTGTGTAAATTTAATTGAATAAATTACGCCTTTAACTTTTGTTTTATTTTTAAAGAATATGCAGGTCAGTTGATAATTTTCACCTTATAAATTTAAACATATAAAAGAATGAAAAGGTTCTGTGAATATTCAGATTTACTAACATTTATACTTGATTACATATAACAAGATTCTATCTAAAATGTTGGTAAAGTAAAGGTGATAAATGGCAACTCTGTGTACTTGTAATACCATCCCCAACTGAAGGTCTGATGATCTACAATCAATAATAAATTAATAAAAATAAAACTCGCAAGTTACATTTGTGAAAACACAACATACCAATAAATTTAAACCTATCACAAAATATTAAAATATATCTTGTTAAAAACACTATAACTCTTAAAAGGTCCAAAGTCAAATTCATTTCACAGTAATTTTATTTTTCATAGTTCTACATTACAGGATTCTCTGAAACTTAAATTAGAATGTGCCGTTTCAAACATACAAAATGTTGCATTTCAACATATTATACTGATGTCTTTTATCTAGCTTATTTACTAATTGAACAAATTTTACTATGAAAAAAATAAGGATTTGATTCCATTGATAAATAATTAACCAAATACAAGTTGATGTACCAAAAAAACACATACTTTACAGTTTTTATTTCTCTTGGCTTTATATAAATACCTTAAGCTAATTATGACAATCCTAAAGAAATATTAACAACAATTACACTTAACTAGGACCTAATTCAAATAATGTTGACTGTGGAAGTAAACATAAAAAAAATTGCATACATGTAGCTTATTTCATTATGACTTGTGTTTATTAAATAAATGATTTTTTGGCATGCCATGGTATATCAAAATTTCATTCATAGTTGCGGGAGTCATAATGTTTAGTTTTTGCCATAACATAAAATATCTTTGGATTGATTTTGTTTTTCAAAAATAAAATGATCCCACAAAAATATATAAAGTTTCCACTTAATTGTTGAATTCAATAAAAATTAAATCATCCAAATAATGAAAAAACAAATACTTTACTAGCCCACATTAAACTCATGAAATTTATATATGTTTGAAGAAAATAGAGATTACTTAGTAAATTTTTCTCCCAAAATTTATTGTTTGTGGAAAAAATAGATTTGCTCATTCTTTAAGCAAAAATGGACAAAAATACTAAAGAAATCATTATTATAGAAGTAAAAAGACTGTAACTTAAGGTAATGGATGTTGGCTGGGTGTTAGCCCTCCATGCTCCGGACTGTGTTTTTGTTTTTTCCTCTTTTTCTCTTTTTTGCGCTTTTTCCTCTCCTTGTCATCATCATGACGCTTTTGCTTTTTATGTTTCTTTTCATAGGTGTCTGGATTTGATGAATCTGAAATTTTTAAGTTCATTTAGACATTGGCTTCAAAGTTTCCCTTCCTATACCTCCTGTATATGATTGTTAATTTAACCATATTCTAATTGTAACTAATCCCAAGGCTGTACTAAGTTAGGCATCATTAAAATATATAAATTTTATACATATTTAATACTTGTTTAATGCTTGAAGAAACATTACCTTGCAGTGGAGTATCTTGGCCTGGAGGAGCACCATCCTTGTGTTTATGTTTCTTGTGTTTGCTCTTATGTTTTTTGGGTGGGGTAGCACTCACATAGCGGTACTGCTCTGGAAGTGGCCCTGGATGTAACCGGAAGCCAGCAAGCTGAGCACTAGTCAATGGTAATAATTCCTTTCCTCCTATAGGACGTTTTGCGATTACAGAACCCAATGTGCTGTTATCCTCTTGTCCAGGTCCGTCCATGATTCCTGGTAATGTAGGTAAAAAGGAAGATAGCGATTCCTTTAATTTTTTCCCGTTAAACTTACTATACGAATGTTCAAGTCCATAATACGCCATTAAATTTGTTGCTCCTGTTAACTCACATTCTCCTAAAATGATATAAATTATGATTTTAATTACAACGAATAAGCATTTGTACATTTCAACCAAGGTCAACACCTACCTGGAGGTTCTTTCATCAAATAGAATGGTCCACTGTGTACTATGGAGGGATTTTTACCCAGTGAAATAGTAGTTTTGAGGGTACCAGAAGAATCTTGCCGTGAAACAACTGGTGACCTCGCACCTCGAGGTGAGGACTTTGGAGAATATGGTTCTACTTTTCTAAACTGATCAGACATCATCTTGCATGTGCATGTCTACAGAAATGGATTTAAATTAAAAAGTTGTGGTAAATAATAGTATTAAAAAAAATTATAAAAAGTCCTTTCCCTTCGATGGCTAAACCTTCTCTAAATTTTATGTAGATTAAAAACGCCAACAATGTAGACTGTAGTACGCTGCGCAGCATAGATTAAACACAGATGGCATTGTGCGTTTTCCAATTACAGCGGCATAATGCTTAACGTTGAAGTTCCCAACTACAAAGCAACGCCTTCCCGCACAATTGAGCACTCTCCAAAAGTAATGCTCTCGCGTGCTCCTCGTAATCAATACCAACACAGTGACAGAAAATTGACCAGTCTTGTCCTTTAGTTGTGGCGAAATTTTCGTTAGTAAATATTATTTATTGTTGAAAAATTTGTAAGGCTTTCGTTTTGTCGTAGATTTTGAAAAGAATTAAAGTTATTTCAAACTGCTAAAAAAAAAATAGAAGTATGGATGAAGGTATAAATAGTTATATATAATATTATATGGAGTATTTAATGGGACTTGGGACGATTAATGGGACTGGGATTAGGGATGTTTTTTTAACATTTTTTAACCCCTCCCTCACCTATGGTGATACGTGGGGTGGTTTGAGACTACCCCCCCCCAACCCCTCCAAAAATCACGTGTATTTTTAGTACCCACAAAGAATCTAAATTTTTTATAATATTATTTTTAAGTACTGGTATAAAGTTTAAAGTATAATCTAATGCTATGCTAGAAAGTTAAGGACCATGATAAAACTGTCTAGACAGATAGGTTGCAGGTTGTTTTTGACTGGCATAAAAATAATATTAAAAGAATGGTGTAATCATGCTAAAAACATATATTGTACACGAACATATTGAATGTACATTGCCACAGATTAACAAGACTTTCTTCAATACTAACAACTGGATAAGCATCTTGCAAGTCAGTTGTTGGCACTGTACTTTGTTGAAGATCAACGTCGGTTTTATCATGCCACTCGGCGTCATCACGCGCACTACGTAGATAATCTCTCTCTATCTACTGATCGATCGTTTTTCTAAGTCGCTTTTTGGTTAAGAAATCACGCTTTTGACGAAAAAATAAGTACACGTGGTATCTTACAAATTCCCCCCTTCTTCCTTCCGTTCCGTTATTTCGTGATTTTTGCCGAACTCCTTCCCCCGTCATTTTCTAACCTCACGTGATTAATGGACAGCCCCTATGTTATTAGCTATGAACAAGAACTGAAGCAATTTCCATTCTTATTTATTAAACCGAGTTTGATTGATTGTTGCAGGTTGCCATCTATAACCAGGTATAACCCATTAAATACCATCAAATTAATATTTTGGTCAGAAAATATGACAACATTCTTTGATCACATTGTAAACACAAGCTTTATCATTCACGAAACTTTGTTTTGTTTGCAAAAGATAAAAGAAGATTAAGAACTAATTGGCCTAAATTTTAATAAGTTAAATATATAATTTCTGCGTAATTTTTTGTGTTAATTGTGAAAGATGTCTTGGGTAGAAATCCCACATAGGTCGAAACCAAAGAGTTAAGGTTTCATCTTTCATCGGTGAATTTAAACGTCAATGTTATTGCAAAAAACAAAATCGAATTTTGTTGTAACTTACATTTTAAATTTTATGCTTGATGTCAATGTTAGTAAATTTATTGCTATTTTAGGATTTTAAGGCTTATGACATTGATATACAAAAAACCCAAGATGCAAGTCTTGAATAAGTAACGCGGGAAAGATGTCCGAAACACTATTTCTGATCGTCTTTTGAAGTTGCAGCTTCTATTATTGCAAAATAACTTTATGCGAATTGTACTTCAACACTGTTATTACACAAGTGTACCTTCACAACTCACCATTTCATTCATTCTTAGATTTATGATCGTGGACATCAGTTCCACAAGGTCTCTGGGTAAAGTCGAACATGACTTTTTTATTTACCAACTATTTAACCATAATTTTAAATATATACGACGTTGCGCGTGCTTTACAGCGTAGTGGTCACGGTGACTGAAGACAAAAAAAAAAATTGATGTTAAATAGTTTAAATTTATAATAGATACAACTTTAACCTTTAATCTCGGCGTCAAAAAATGTTTTTTTTTAAAATTAAATGTTAAATTCTAAGGCTACCTTCCTGACCTACACTTTATATTTAAGCTCAATATATGTTGTCAAAAAATAACATTACACGAAAAAGTTCAAAAGTCATAAATTTATTTATAAAAAGGCAGTACACAAATAAAGGTAACATTGTACTCCGCTGGACTTATTAGAACAGGGAAAAGTCATTTGTTATAATGCGACTAAAATAAAAAGAAGACTGTAAAATGCGTTATTCTAACACTGAACAAAGAAGCAGTTCAAGTGTGGCCCTATAGAAGTTTGCGCGTTGAATGAAGTTTTTAGGAAAAATAAATAAAAATCACACGATTGCTTGTCGTAAAATCGGTCATAAAAACAATCAAAAACTAATCAATAAAGTTTTTTCACTTACCGACAATACGATATCCCATCCTTTTTTAGCCTTCTTGACGTAATATTTTTACAATTTGGAGCTCAGCAGAACAGCTTTGACATTTTTGACAACTGCGGCTCCCTATTAGACGAGAGCGACGCGAGACGAATTTGCCCGGAAATGAGCGCTACAATTTAGAATGTCTGCGCTCCTCCGGTTGAAGGAAGCGTTTTTTAGACGTTGATTGTGCATATTCGGTGGGGTTTTGTATATCCCAATGGCTTATCGAGTGTTGGTGTACAGTACATGCGTGAAGTCTTACTATTAAAGGGGAGACAAGAGAGGTTTCAAACTGTGGTGATGGTCGTTGGAGGAGGATCTGCAGTTTCTAATACAACATTACTATCAAGGCTTTATTATACTTCAACTCTGCAAGCTAGACAAGACCTTCACAACTCACCACTGGTCATATCATTCGAGGTTTTAGATTTATGATTGCACATCACTTCCACTTTGTCATCTGGTTCATGCACAAGCCGGTGCCACAAGCCTAGCTTGGCACGAAACTACCTATGTGCGCTGACCATTATTGCACAGAAGTAAAAAGACCTCAAGTCCATGGACCTGTGGGCGGGCTGACTGCGAGTGGCGCGCGTAGCGTCGATTGGCTCTCTCGATGAGCTCGCATTCCGTCCCCCGCGCGACAGTACACATCCCCTGCAATCCTCGTCACGCTATCGGCCAGCGCTTGAAGCTTAGGGCCAAGGAGGCAACGCTGCTTTTACGCAATCTTTAGGATACTCATTATACTTTTAAACCATAATTGGAATTATGATCAGAATAACATTGTTTCACATTTTCTAAATTTTTTTTTTTTGTAGCCAACGCACTTTTATCTTATAGATTCACATAAGCTTGAAAATGTTAAGAAAAAGAAAGAAAATAGAGGTCAAGTAAAAACTACTTTAAACCAGATTCAACTTTAAGTTTCGACCTATATAGAACTAAATAACAAAAAAAAGATTTAAAAGAAACTACCAGAATGTTGTAATATAATAAAAGCTGTATAACTACCTACCTGCCAAATAAGGAGGGAATTTAAACATTGAGACAAATATTAAATTACAGTAGTCTATTATTCCCTTTTAACAAATTTATAATATTAAATTTTTGAGGTTGAAAATACGTACCATTATAATTGCAATTGTGTATTTGTCTATTACTGTACCACGTGTGTTCAATAGCAATTGCCATGCGGCATGCTTTTCATTAAAAAAAATAACTCTATAGTCTATGGTAAATGATATAGCTTCTCGTAACGCGCTACGATTTTATAGAATGTGTTTGGAAATAAACAGTTTTGGGGTATATAATACAATATAATAAGTTTATGTGTTGTTATTATTGTGAATTATGATTGTGCTTTCTGATACTTACAAAAAAAATATGGTTTGGTAAATCTGATAACACCAATCTACGCTCGACAAAGTGACGCCATTTTACGGGAATGACCAGCCCGCGGCTGCCTCATAATAGGCCTGATGTAAGGAACGCTGTTCTCAAACGGATGCATGGAAAAAGATCTCGATTTTTGTACTCGTACTGGACGTACGATTTCACAGGTATTACGGCAATATGTAATTGTTGTTGTTGATATCTCAAAACAAAGTTGATTTCCTCTTGTTTGAATGTCTTTTGTTTCTATGCAATGAATTCTAGCACGTGTTTTATTTTTTTAGAAAACTATGGAAGATGGTAATATATCAAATTCGAGAGACGATAATAATTCCCCAGCGGCGCCATGTAACTTATATGGTGATCGTGCATCATTAGTAACGGCAAATGGACACGACTTCGCAGGCGAACCTTCGAGTCCCCCGGATCAGACATCAGAACAAAACCGGAAAAGTACTGATTCTCAACATGATGAAAAATTTAAGAAACGAATTAACCCATTAAGAATACACCTTGGGAAAAGACCTTTTGTGGATAATTCTATTGCCTATAATACAGTGTGTAAAAAGAAGAGACTTCTGCCAGTGAAACCAAGTGAATCAAATGTTAAAAAAGTGAACATACCTAGAGTCCCTAAACTTATACCAAAACATATAGATCATAAGTTTCATAATGTTACATCACAATTTGTGGATAATGAGCAAGACAAACCTGTGCCCCGTCTTGTACCCAAAAGCCAATTATCACAATTTAAAAAAAGTAAGATTGAAAAGAGCCCCCAGCTAAAAGATTATGCTCAGAGCTTAGGTTTACAGCCAATGGTAAAGTTTAAATGTCGGAAATGTTGCTCTATGTCATTCAAAACATTAGCAATGTTAAAAGAACATCAGTTAGTATGTCGAGCTCAAGCAAAAGAGCCAGCAATAAGCCCAGGTAGTGTAACTCATGTAGACACTAATACAAGTGGACCTTCTAGAGTAACTCGCAAAGTTTATTTATGCTCAGCTTGTGGAACATACTATGAAAATTGGAACTTGTTTTTACACATGAGAGAAGTACATAACAGG